TGCCTGCAACTGAATCGTTAATCATGAGATTGGTTAAGCAATACAACGAATGCATTTCATTTACATATCGAAAGCAGAAGCTGCCAATGTTTAAACTACAAGATTATCCTCACTTTACTTTACCTCCCAATTAGTTTTGCTATTCCCTTCAGAAGATATTCATGCTACACCCTCTGTTATGTGGTTCTTTGCAACCCAAAACTGTCTCATCATTTCCAATCAAATCTCCTGCCATTTCCATTAAGACATTTGTAGCCCAAGGCTGAGGCTATGGTCGAAGGTTTCACAAAAGGGTAAGCTAGCTTCTTGCCATTTTCATGTTCTAACCACCCCCGTAAGATACAGATTTGCGAAAAGATATGTATTGCTCCCCCAATTGCCATAAAAACGTAGAAGTTGTGAGGGCAAAACACAGGCAGGAATTTACAACAGCTGATCTCCTCCTGGTTTATTAAATTTTTCCAATGTGAGCTGCTACCCTCTGACATTTAGCTACCCACAGGGGACAGTTTCGGCAATCCAAGGGCTTTCAACCCTGTGGTCCACCTGATATAGAAAGTGCAAAATAAGAGGAAAAAAATGCCAAGGGAAACCGTGTTTATAGTTACAATCTCTCCCATGGAAACAATTATGTATTTTCCGAGGTCCAAGAGATTTTCGAAACTTGAGGGTAGATTTTACTTGGCCAGCCCTCGGGTGTCAGCTTCTTGTAGAAAGCTGGCATATGCCGAAGATGTGGGAGTGATTGGGACATTTTGTTTATCTACGCATAAGTGTATCCCCAAGCTACTATCCATTTCGGAGATCATAATGAGGTTTGACCCATGATTTTTCCACTTCTTTTTTGTTTGAAGAAATGAAAGAAAAAACAAACGGAAAAATAAAAAACCATAAATATGCAATGTTAAGTGCGTGGAGTCGAATGAACACAACTTTGGCCTGACCCGCAATTGTTTGTCGCAAATTGTCGCCATTTTCTATAAATATTTTAACAAAAGGCTGGCAATGGCAAGGAAAACTTACAGCGCAGGGAAGTCGTCCGGGAAAAACATGTACGTTTTTATGGCATCGTTGAGCTGATGAGAAGGGAAACAAAAGCCAGCCAGGTATAACCAATATACATATGCAAATAGCAATGTTGGACATACAACAAATGATGGGACAAACAGCTTCGACATGGAATGGCATGGGATTTCCATGTAAGATGGCCTGCCGAGAGTGTTCCATAAACCAGGATGTTAAAGCTGTAGGGAGGATCAGCTGTCAATCGTTTGGAAACTTAACATTAAAAATGTTTAACCCATTGAACTTTGTGGATTATTTTCTCTTTGGGTTTATATTTGTAATAACCTGTTTAACATACAACATTTTCTGTTAAAATTAAGCAGAAAATGTATATTAAAACATTATGAATTCCACATTTATTTTAACCTTTTGCCAGCCTGATTCTTGTGATTAACTGATATTAAAAAAGCTTTGAGGTGCTTTCAGCAAACAGTACAGAAAATTGTATGTATAAATGACTTTATTTTAATTTCACCATTTTCATTTAATTATTAATACTTAATATCAAAGGCATAAAAAGAGGGATCAAGGAATAAACATTATATGAATATGCATCTCGATGGGGAAAGCCCACAACAAAATTATTAAATCCCTCACTTTTTCTCTGCTCTGAATGATGCTTAACCTTTTTGGACAGGAGTCCCCCACAGACTTGACTCCTTTTCACCACGCCCTTACAGAACCGCCTCCTTTCGCTGCTTTTGACATCTTTCACAGCTCCTGTGTGACAGTTTACAGCTCTCGTAGTTTCTACCTGGAAAACCCATGAGCTTGGGGCTCTGGCCCCTGCACCTGTCATCACTTTTAACACTGTGTAATATTTTCCACTATATACAACCGAGAGGAAATCGCTCTACACCCCTCAACTTCCTTCGCCAGCCCAGTTAATTGAAAATCCAAACTGCATTGCCTCCTTGGAGCGCGAGGAGTCGAAGGAGTGGGCATGGTCTTTTGGTGGTGGTGGTGAGTGAGTGCTTGTGTGTGAACTAAATTAATTAGCAGCTAATGAAACGGGGCACATATTTATACAGGGCTCCTTCCTGTCTGGCTGTCACCAGGTGATGCTCGTCCTGGTCCTGTTTCACTTCCTGTTCCCGTTTCTCGGAATGCATGGCTCTGGCCCCAGGCCTTCATTTGCGACGGTGAAAAATTAACCATTTTCATTGGCGATTGAGCACATTGAGGTGTTTTTTTTATATAAATACAGAGAGAGAAAAAGATTTACCTAGTAATTTCTTCTCTTTTTTAAGGTTAAGTAACCATAATAACGTAAGGAACAAATATTTATAAATTTTTTGCAACATATTTTAATTCTTTTTGAGTTCCTTTCCTTAACAACTAGTTTTTCCTCACTGTATGTATTAATTTAAAACCACATTCAACTCACATTCCTGCCAATGGCTAAGCCAATGTCTTTCGTTCTCCTCCTTCACTCGATTTTTCTCTCTCTCGCCAGAGACAGCCATTTATCAGGGGGGTGGGGCCCTGAGGTGGCCTGCACCACGAGTTGATTAATTAAATTGTTGACAATTTTAAAAGCTGCCATGGAGAGGGCATTATTCACAGCTTAACATATCCTTCGTTGTCCCTAACCAGCTTTCTCTCTCTCTGTCTTTTCACTCCCACCTTCTCGTCATCAATTTGTGGCTGTAAACGTTTGCCATGGTTATATTGCTTTTTTTCTATGTCATCTGCTGTCTGCTGATGTCGGCAAATGCACTAGAAAATTAGCTGCCTGCGGTTAAGAACGCTCAACTTGGCCAACATCAAGCTTGATTTAACATGGTGTAGTTAATAAATATGTGCTGAAGGTATTTGCTTAGTTTGTCAACTGAAGGGTGGGCTTAAAGTTGTCATAATAATTTAATATTTCATTAATTAGCAAGCAATTAGTTTATGATGGGAATTATATTTAAATAAATATGATTATTGCCAAGTAATAGATTTTAAATACAAAAATTGAAATAAAATTTCCACTGATCAGTGATTTTTATATATTAACTTATATTCTATGTACGTTATCTAATGCATTATATTTCTATATCCTGTGCAAATCCTGTCACTCCATACACCATTTAACCTTCATGGAAACAGAGGCTATTTGGTGTACATAAGTCAGTTTTAATTGAAACCGCAACAAAACAATTAAAACTAAGCCAATGGCCAAGTCCAGCCCTTGCAGGGCTAAAACAAATCCTCTATTTTTTTATAAAAATATTCATATATATATTTATATATACTCATAAACCCAAGAGACTGCGTGTTTGTGTGCGTGTGCGAGGTATTAACTTAACTTTTCCACCCAACTCAATTAAAATGTTAGACAAAATTGCATATGCACAAGAGCAGGCAGCAAGTAAACAAATCTAAGTGTATATGTCTGTGTGTGTGTGCTGCATAAATTAATAAACTTGATAGTGTGGGCCGCGAGAGACGGGGTGGGGCATGCCACCACTTGCCGGGCATAAAAACTAAACGAGCTTTGAGCGCTGGGCGACACGTACGCAGAGAGTAGCAGCAATTAAAATTTTAGTAGTTGCCCAGCCCGTGCCAACGTGGGTTAAGGGTGTACAGGGGCTAAGGGTAGTGGGGTTTATGTCTACTGCTGTCGGCACATATGTGCCTCTCCTATCATCCTGTGCCATTCACTAGTCGAATTTTACGACAAACACTGGTAAACATTTCGGGGCAAGGGGAACAACAGTCTTGTTCTGACTTTTGGAGACTTTGGAGTTTGGTGATACCAAATAGTAATGGAGAATTTACTATTTTTGGTTCTTCCATGTATTCTAATTATTAACTTAAATACATTTTTTTTAAATAACTTATATTTCTGATTAAAAAATAGGATACATAAAATCAAAGAAGTGTCTTAACGACTTCTGAAAAGAATATTTTCCCTCGAAAACGAACGCTGGAACACTTTTCCAAAGAAAAACGATGAGTTAGAGGGGAAACGGAAGGAGCAAGCCTCTTCCGCTGTTGCCAAATCGACAGCGACATCCTGCTGTGGGCATAAATAAATTGTGTTGCATACTTTTATGCGTTTACCTGAGGTTCCAAACTTTGTGATGGTGTTGGCATAGCCCTTAATGATGCATGTTTGTATAGGAGCGAGCTTAGGTAGCTGGGGGGTCAGGCCATAGAAATTCGCTTACAATTAAGCAGCAGTCATGTGCAAGTTTTGGGCTCACTCTCACACACAAATACATGAAACACAGTTAGTCACCCATAAACCTTAATGTAGTTTGAGAGAGAGAGCAAAGAGAATTGCACACGGAATGTATCATATTCACCTCTCAAATTGGTTGAATTCTTGTGGCAAGCCAAAACAATGTCGACCAACTTTATGGCCCAGTAGTTGCCATAACTAATTCTGTCAACGCTTCTGCACAACTAATTGTAATTGTAATTGCAAAATAGTTCGACTCACAGTCGGCTTTTGTGCAGCCCTTAAATTGCAATTTGCCAAAGAATTTAGCACAATGAAATTCAATTAACAACAAAGTGCACACACATGCACACAGACTTTCCAAAACTGTGGCAAAATCCCTGCTGCTATTTTATCTCACTTCCACATTAGATGGTGGGGAGGAAGAGAAAGAGAGTAGGTAAAGGGGGAAAGAGCAGCAGCAGCTTATGTCATGCGTCACTAAATCAGAACAATTTTCCACAAATTTCAAAAATAATAAAAGCCCATTTTAATTACACTCACGCTCCCTTTTCAGGACAAAGTTTATAAGCGTGCATTAAGTTATTTACACTTGAAAATATGTTTTCGAATCTGAAATATTTTTTATCTTTTTTTAAAACTAAACTATTATTATTTCAACAAGAGGGTAAACTAATCAAGATCTCTTTATCACTAATTCTTAAAAGTATATCATAAGTAAAAATCTCCAAGTGCAATGTAAATGACAGACTTTATGAGTAGCTTTTATTTGGTAGACATTTCTTGGTTCTTAAATACAGATAATCGGATACAACAAAGTCAATCCAAATTTCAAACCTCTGCCTAACGATCGATTTCGCCAAAGACGATATCTAACGATCCTATAATAGCCACAACATCGGCCAAAAAATGTCCAGGTGCCAATTTGGCCATGAGAGCGAGATGAGCATAGGAAGCAGGACGGATCTTGCAGCGATAAGGACGTGTAGAACCATCAGAGACGAGATACACCCCAAACTCCCCCTTTGGGGACTCTACGGCAGTATATGTCTCTCCCGGTGGTACATAGAAGCCCTGCGAGAAGTGCTTGAAATGGTGGATCAGATCCTCCATGCCCTCCTTCATCTTGGCTCGTCTTGGAGGGGAAATCTTCAGGTCATCTACCTTGATCTCACCCGGTGGCATACAGTCGATGCATTGCTTGATAATATTCACCGATTCCCGCATCTCGAGCATTCGCACCAAGTAGCGATCATAGCAATCACCATTCGATCCAACAGCCACATTGAAATCGATCTCATCGTAGGCATCATATGGCTGTTGCTTTCGCAGATCCCACTTAATCCCAGTGGCCCGGAGAACGGGCCCAGTGCATCCATAATTCAAGGCATCGTGAGCTGATATAACACCAATGCCAATATTACGCATACGCCAGATGCGATTGTCGGTCACGACATCCTCTACTTCATCCAACCGATCGCCAAAATACTTAATAAATTGGTATAGATCATGGAGAAAACCCAGTGGTATATCTGAAGCCACGCCTCCTGGTCGAACGTAGGCGGCATGCAGACGAGCTCCCGATGCTCGTTCTGAAAATTCATACAATTTTTCACGTTCCTCGAACAACCAAAAGAGTGGTGTTATGGCGCCGCAGTCCAGGACCGAAGAAGCTATAGCCATGGTGTGATTGGTAAGCCTCATTATCTCCGAGAACATGGTACGTATGTACTTGGCCCTGCGAGGAACCTCCACATTCAGCAGCTTCTCCACGGCCAAGGCATAGGCTAACTCATTGGCCATGCAGGAAACGTAATCCAAACGATCGAAATAGGGCAAGGCCTGCGTATAGGTCTTGTACTCGATTAGTTTCTCGGTTCCCCGATGCAGCAAACCAATGTGTGGATCGGCATTTAGTACTGTCTCATTATCCAGCTCAAGAATCATCCGCAGTACTCCATGGGCCGCGGGATGGGCGGGTCCAAAGTTGATGAACTTAGTGCGAAAAGTTCGATCAACGGGTGGAATCTTTTTACCAGTAAAACCTGGTCGTTTCTTCCACTCATCACCAGCGGGATACATGACCATATATTGCTGATTATTCATGAACTGAGGATCTGGATACCAGAAATGTGTGTCACGTGGTTCGTATGGCGGGCCAGGTGGGTAGAGTTCATCCCAACTGGGGTCACATTCCTGTTTGGGTTTTGGCTCATCGGGACATGCTTTAAGAGTACTCTCTTAAATAAATCTAACAGAAAATGGACTAACTTACCTTCTTTGTTTGATGAAAACACACGGCGATTGAATAGTTTGCCCAAAATTGGTTTTTGGAAACTGGACTTTAGTCCCTCCACACTGAGATACTTTTTACTTAGATGATTCTTGTACGCCTGAAAACGACGAATTTCGTTGGGGGTGAAGAGTTTGTCAGCCAACTTACGAATTCCCTGCATTCCGCCTAGTATTAGTATAGCGCATATATAAAGAAGTATATAGTTCTGATAAATAACTTGTTTTTGAAAAATTAAAAATTAAATCTGATAAACACTCCCAACTTTTTCGAGATGCTAGGTTCAAAGACTGCTTTCTATAAACATTTGTAAAATCAATTTCATTTCACAAAATATTAACCCACTTCATTATCTTTTCTTGCAGATCTTCGATGATCACTACCACTTCGCACATCACAAGGTCTCGAAGCGGTCGCTCTCCCCCGCCACACATCACCAGACTCGCCTCGATGACGACGATCGCGTCCACTGGGCGAAGCAGCAGCGGGCCAAGTCGCGATCCAAACGAGACTTCATCCGAATGCGACCTTCAAGGACTTCGTCGCGAGCCATGTCGATGGTGGATGCAATGTCTTTTGACGACTCCAAATGGCCGCAGATGTGGTATCTGGTAAGTGTCTAAAACGTCAACTACACTAAAGTATATCTGATTGTTAGACTTAAAGTTGAGTTAGGGAATTGATGAATTTTCAATAACTATTACGACATGATAAATCTAATTCCGAAACCAACTTATAGGATAATCCATTAGGGTATATTTTCGGATCAAGTTTCTTCTTCAAACCGTTATTTACATTTTTATTATTTCTCTCAGAACCGTGGAGGTGGACTGGACATGAATGTGATACCCGCTTGGAAGCAGGGCATAACCGGCAAGGGAGTGGTGGTGACAATCCTAGACGACGGTCTGGAGTCAGATCATCCAGACATACAGGGAAATTACGTAAGTTTGACAATAGTAATCAATAACAGACTTTTAACCCATTTTCATAAACCAAAAACAGGATCCCAAAGCCTCATACGATGTTAACAGTCACGATGATGATCCGATGCCACACTACGACATGACGGACTCCAATCGTCATGGAACTCGATGTGCAGGAGAGGTGGCAGCCACCGCGAACAATAGCTTCTGTGCCGTTGGCATTGCTTATGGAGCCAGTGTGGGTGGAGTCAGGATGTTAGACGGAGATGTCACGGACGCAGTAGAGGCAAGATCTCTATCACTGAACCCGCAGCACATCGATATCTACAGTGCCTCATGGGGACCCGATGACGATGGCAAGACAGTGGATGGACCCGGAGAGTTGGCATCGCGTGCCTTCATTGAGGGCACCACCAAGGGTCGTGGCGGCAAGGGCAGCATCTTTATTTGGGCTTCGGGCAATGGCGGGCGAGAGCAGGACAACTGCAATTGCGACGGCTACACGAACTCCATCTGGACGCTGTCCATCTCCAGTGCCACGGAGGAGGGTCATGTGCCCTGGTACTCGGAAAAGTGCAGCTCCACGCTAGCCACCACCTACAGCAGCGGCGGGCAGGGCGAGAAGCAGGTGGTCACCACGGACCTGCATCACTCATGCACTGTCTCCCACACGGGCACCTCGGCGTCGGCCCCGCTCGCCGCTGGCATAGCCGCCCTTGTGCTGCAATCTAACCAGAATCTCACCTGGCGCGATCTGCAGCACATTGTTGTGCGCACCGCCAAGCCGGCGAACCTCAAGGACCCCAGTTGGTCACGTAACGGTGTGGGGCGGCGAGTGAGCCACTCCTTTGGCTATGGTTTGATGGACGCCGCCGAGATGGTGCGTGTGGCACGCTCATGGAAGTCAGTGCCGGAGCAGCAGCGTTGCGAGATCAATGCCCCTCATGTCGACAAGTAGGAGAACGATTTTGGTCTAATCTTAGGCTTCTGTACTTATTTCATTTCCCTCTTTGACAGGGTCATTCCACCACGTACCCACATCACCCTGCAGCTGACGGTTAACCACTGTCGGTCAGTCAATTATCTGGAACACGTTCAGGCCAAGATCACTCTAACCTCACAGAGACGCGGAGACATCCAGTTGTTCCTGAGGTCTCCCGCCAACACCAGTGTCACTCTTCTAACGCCAAGGTAAGTCATGGTCCTGGTAACCGAAACTTTCACTAATTCCAAAACTTCTTCACCAGGATACATGACAACTCCCGTTCTGGTTTCAACCAATGGCCTTTCATGTCTGTCCACACCTGGGGAGAATCGCCGCGTGGAAATTGGCAGCTGGAGATCCACAACGAGGGTCGCTATATGGGTAAGTCAAAAATCCTAGCTCCTAGAACTAAATATTGTGCCGTCAGATCGATGCTTTAAACCTGTACCGTTTTACATGCTGCGCTTTTGTGGATCTTACCACCGACACACCCACTTAACACCCCATTAAAACACCATTCGAACCACCCATTATCCCACTGACCTCTAGGCCATGCTCTGCTCAGGGAATGGTCGCTGATCTTTTACGGCACCACTCAGAGCATTGATCCCAACGATCCGATTTCGGTGCCCAGGCCTAGTGGTTCGGAGGCCACCACACCGAATAGCAGCAGCACCACCAGTAATCTCCATCAAGCCTATTCACCCCAGTATCCCCGCATTCCACCCAATAACTTTGGTAGCTCACCATCTGGCGGGTCCAAGTTGCCTTTGGGCAAAGTGCCTGCGCCCAATAAGTCCACTTATGTGACCAACAATCCGCTGCTGAATCCTGCACCACCCAAACAGGGTTACCAACAGATTTCGGCCACCTATGGAGTGATATTGGGCAAAGCAAATGGAAAGGCTAACAATAACAGTAAGGAGAAGACCAATAACAAGGGAAACAAGGCTAATAATGGTGGTAACAAGGGAAAATCCGGTGGATCGGGTGGTGGCAATCGCAAGGAGCAAACCACCCCAAGTACCATCGTTCAGACCACCACCAGTAGAAATAAGTTTTACCGCATTTCCCAGCAACAGCAGCAGAAGAACAATAAACAGGACAGAAATGGCGTCCAAACCCAAAGGCCAAAAGCCAACTCCGGAGAGAAATCCTACGATGAGAAGAGCCGTAAAGTGGTTGGAGAGATCACGACAACCACTGGCAACGGTTCAATCAAAGCTGCCAAACAGGTGAAGGAGAGTACCACCTCCTCTACGAACTCCCGGATACCCAAACTCTTCGAACGCTATGAAAAGATACAAGCCATTTTCCCGGAACTCGAACCCTATGAGAATAGTTCACCCAAGGGAAAGCCAAAGCAGGCCAAGCAGGGAAAACAGTTCGAGGTGGAGCTCTTTAGACCCACAACGGGGGGAAATAGTCGCCAGGGAAATACAAAGAAATCACCATCGGTGCCGCCGCCATCGCAAACGATGCCAACGCTTTCCATTTTACCCATTCTACCCGCGGGCGGTAGTAGCTTCCTGCCCGATCAAAAGATCCTGAAGAAGCAGCAATTGCTGATGGCCGCCGCCGGAGTTATGGCTCCTGCTCAGGTCGAGGTGGAAATGGAAGAGGTTCAAGCTACTCCTGATTACGAGGAGCCCAGAGACCAGCGAAAGCAGGTCAAAGGACCAAATGGTAGCCAATCAAATTATGGATTTCTTCAAATTTTGGTTTTTTATTTTCTCTTAAAGGATCTTTTGGCCAAATTTTTATTCATTTAGGTTTCATTAAGATACTTCAGACACCCTCAGTTCATAGATTGGGTTTTTATATACATTTTTTTCTAACTAAACTTTATTTGTTTTCGTTCATTTGACACTGCTGTACCCTAATAAATGTACAAATGTTTTGTAATTTTTAAATTATATTCAAACTTTCCTCATTTTAAGTCAGTCATTTCAATCTAGTAGAAACACATATATTTTTAAATTATTTATTATCAATTTCATCCAGTCATTTAGTAGATTTTTGAACAAGTTTCCCAATCATCATAGCTTAAAAAATATTTTTCGCTTTGTATTTTATGATTTTTGCTGCGTAGCCATCAATGAAAGTTTGACAAGCACTGAGCGGCACTTTCTTGCTGCTTTCATCAATCAAAGTGCAACTTTAAAATGCTTTTTCGGTTTGTTAGCCGTTGGACTACCGTTGCTAGCAACGATTGTCAGCAAAACAATTTTTCATTTTTATCCTTTTCCTCCCCTATGATGTTGATGAAAGTTGCGATTAGCTTTCGGCATTTGATCTGTGCTTTATATATATATAGTACATATCGTTCATATGGCAGATTTATTGGCCCTTCACTTGACTTGTTTGCCCGCCTGCAATCTGCAATATATCATACATTTTATAACATTTTGCGTTTGCCGTTTGTTTGTTGATTTCGTATAGATGTTTCGATTTTGATTTTATTTGGTTTATTGAGCCCTTGGCCAGTCAGCACTAACTAAATGCAATCCATTTCTATGCTCTTTCTATCTCTCTCTGCGTTGCAGCACAAATCACACAATGGGACATGATATTCTATGGCACCGAAACCCCCGCCCAGCCCGAGGACGTCGCCAATCCCGGCCAGTCGAACCAGTTCAATTTGTACGGAAACGATATGGCCCACAATGACATCGAGTACGATTCCACCGGCCAGTGGAGGAATATGCAGCAGGTGAGTCTCGTTGCCATTGTCTACATGTGAATTGAGGAGTGAAAACCTCTTACCTGCATGAATAGCCATTAGTCACTCAGCTTGGAAGCCTTAATTCATGCCTAGAATTCGGTATACAGTGAATGTTTGCTAATTGAAAGACAATTAAATGCTACGTTTTGGCAAAGTAGAACTAGAATGTCTTTAGTTTAAATTAACTATGGCTACTATACCATATGTAAATGAGTAAAAATTTAAGAACTCACAAAAAAGTTATATATGCCCTAAAAGTCATTATCAAAGTGAACTTCATTTGATTTTTGAATAATGGTGCCTTAATTTATAATATAATTAATTCATTTTTGAACTTATTCTTGTGGTTAAACTTAAAAATCTTAAATAGAGATGTTTTTCCTTACCTTAAAGGGCAATATGTGAGCCTCCACTGTATTCATCCGCCCCGTTGTCCTTCGTGTTTTGTTTATTTCTCGGTCTTGCAGTGCCTTGTAGATGCTTTGTCGGGCAGCGAGGAGTTAAGTAGTGATGAAAACCCGCATCAGAATCGCGGCACAACGCTGCGTTCTTGCATGTGGCTAGCTTGATTGAGCCTTCAGTGTGTCGGTCAGTCCGGCGTTGGACATTCACAGTGCTTTGAAAACTGTGTTGCCTTTGCAAGACTGTAGTAGTCCTTTGGCAGGTAGCTCGTTCACAACGCTTTCTGTTCCAGTTTTGTTTTTATAACCCCCTTTTGTCCAGCATGCCTCTTTTGTTGTTAATGTACGAATTTCCCCATAATGCGCCTGAAAGTATGCAAAGTACTCGCCCAATAGCGCTCATAAATTTGGAAATACTTAGGCATACAATGTCAGCAGTTATCTCTTGGGCCTTGTTTGCCCCACTCACTCCACTGCTGCCATCTAGCCAGCATCTTAATTCCACTTTTGGCAGCCGCTTTTGAGCCCCGTTTTTTGACAATGAGCCAAAAAGCAGCAACCCCTCTGTCAGGGGCTTTAGGACATCTGGGGCACAGAGAAAAACTATCCACAGCATTAATTAGTAGGCTCTTTTTTTTGGAAAGGCATTTCACTATACGCAGTTCAATCACTCTATGATGTTATATATTTATTTAATATATTTTTACCCAACTTGAACTTAAATTCTGCCCTGCCATTTTTCCCTCTGTGTTCGAAATCAGCATTTTTCTAAACTTTGCCTAGGTTTTCCGAGTCCATGGATGCCTGGGGCTTTATTCAAGTGCACTCTTGCCCCGGGGCAGGCAGCAATTTTTAACCTTTTGGCACCTATTGTGCTTTAAAAGCGTTGCTTTTTCCCGCCACTGGCCATGGCAAACGGAGGGAATGTGCGGTAATAAAGGCGAGTGCAGTGACCTTAGTTTTTTGCTTCTCACCGCTGCTGGGCTGGCTGCAAAAAACTTTTTGCATAACAAACACTTTTCCAGGCCCCCTTTTCCTTCACATTTTTCCTTTGCTACTAACACGCGACGTCATTGCATGTGAACTTAGATAGACTTGGACGGACTTTTTCGGAAGGGGCAGCTATAAATAAGGACAGACATGGCCGCACATATACACATAAGTGCTTAAAATGCCAGACAGAGCGGCAACATGCAATGAACTACAACAACTCGAATCAGACGAGGCAAAACTTTTCAGCCACTCCTGACTTGCCAAAAAAAAAAACTAGAAGAGACGTAATTGGACTTTAAGCTAAAGTAAAGGCTATAAATGTAGTTAATTTTGGGATTTGTTGGTTTTTAAATTTGTGACATTATTTCTCTCCTTTGTTATGGGAGTTTCTGATTTAAAAGGCCCAATATGACATAGCTAACCAGTTTATCTATTGAACTTAACTGAATAATAACAAACAGTTAAAGAAGTTACTTTTTCAACCTAAAAGGCATAATATAATACTAGATTTTCTCAAGGGTTACCTTCAACTGAAGTTAACCCAACTATTTATACAATTTAAGATCATTTTTTTCTTAAATAACTAAATATAATATCCACATCTAATCCACCAATATTTTATTCTAAATTTCAGGTGGGCGAGGTGGGCATGACCCGAGATCACAGCAACACCGCCGCGTGCCTTAAGTGGAGCGATCGCAAGTGCTTAGGTTTGTCCTTACTCTTTTTTATGATCATGCAAGTCTTCTTTCTAAACTTTAAACATGCCAACGACAACAACAACAAGAACAACAACAACATTATCAAATGCATTAGATAATTTAGTAACAAATGAAAAAAAAGAACAAACAAAAAAAAAAACATAAATTGGCAACCGAAGAGAAACAAAATTGAACTGTGTAAAGAACGAAAAAAAACCGAAATGAGATGAAAAGCGAACAAAGAATTTCCATTTAAAAGTTTGATGGCAACAGGACGAAGAAAAAAAAAACAAGAAATTAAAATTAAAATTAAAAACAAACAAAAAATAAGTTAGAGTAGGTAAGAGATTGAAGAAGAATCACTGCAAGTCCAAAAAAAATATACATACTAAAAAAATGTGTAGTTAAATTTAAATATAAGCTTAGTTTTACACACCGACACACAAGCAACACAAACACAAGCACACTTACACGTATTAGAAAGGGCGTGGCAGGGCAAAAACAAAGGTTGTTCTTTATTGGGTTTCCTTTTTTTTTTTTTTGTCTCGTATTGTCAATGAATTGGGACGCACAAAGCAAATTTCTGTATTATTTTTAGTCGAAATGCAATTATACGCGCAGCCTATATACAATCGTATCCTAAAGTATCCTAAAATATATATATATTTTATTTTTAAGAGTTTAGTTGAAATTTATTTGTATTCGTTTTTGATTGTTTTCGTTTAGATTGTTTGTGTTTGTTTTAAGCCTGTTTAGTTTGATTTGTTTTTCCAATGTTTTCTCCAAATGCTTGCTACCCATTTACACAGGAAGAAAATTAACTTCAGACTTAATCACTTTTCATGTCATTTTTAATCCTTTTACTTTCTCAAATTAATAAGTTATTGTTAATTATTTTATTAATAGCAGATTATCTTGATTTTAAAAAAGTACATAATTATTTTCTCCTGTGTAACGATCTGTGTGTGTATATATATATGTGTACATGTAAACTAAATGCATTATTTCAGATATTGCCAAGCCAGCCAAGTAGTCGCGCCACAGTTTGAAAGCCACTGTACGCAAGCTTTTATGCTTTTCACTTAGTTTTGCCTATAGTTTGAGTCCCCTTCTTGATTTTTAGTTTTAAATAAGAGAAAATAGAATGTCTTAATGCCACATGCAGCCAAAAATCAATTTTCAACAGAAAACACAACAAACAACCACTGCAGTTTAGAGTTCATAGTAAAAGACTGTTTCTTAAAATTAAAACTAAATCTTGGACAACGCTAAATAAAAATGGGTCGAAGGAGTCATGAAAAAGCGACATAGAAAAACCAAAACTAATTATATAATGGAAATATTTCTAGAGTTAAGGCGCCAAGCAAAGCAAACCATTTTTGTATCAAAAAAAAGAATAAACGAAAACAAAAAGTAATGAGAAAAGGGCATGGAAATAAATAATAATAATAATAATAATAATATCGTAAGGTGTAGGGGTAAAGTTTAGCGTAATAAATTGAATGTAGGCAGCAACCACTAAAAAATTAAATCGTAATTATATTTAACAATTTATACAAAAGTTCCTGCAGTTTTCAACAAAATGTTGCAACATTGAATCACACAAAATTTTCCAGTTTATTTTGTCCACCAACACGAACGCAAACAAAACGCCAACACACACAAAACACATATCTTTGTTACAAATTTGTTGCTTACTTAAATCATTAATATTAAAAACACAAATCAAAAAGCAAATTAAGTGCAATAATTATTATTAATTGTGTATTAAGCAGCAGTGAAACAAAAAACTTAACAACGTTTTCGTTTCTCAATCAAACCGATAAACTAAAAAAACATATCATTTAATATTTCTTTTGACTCTGGAACTTAGTACAAACGATTAGTTTACTTAAACACTTCTATCGAAATTTACTTATCTACTTTTGTGATTTATACTTTAATTGGTTTTGAGATTTTTGGTAAAGAATGTTCCCAATATCTATGCATTTTTGTTGTATGAATAATCATATCGTAACTGCACAATAAACAATACGAATATAAATGTTAATTTAATGACGAAGAAAGTTAATAGCGAGGTAATGGTCAAGACGAGGAGTATCTTTTTGTTGTTGTTGTAATTAGCAAAACACGCACACACCCAAAAAAAACACACACACACACATGCATATTTAGCCAGAGCATAAGATATAAACAAACTAAAGCTAGCATTTCTCTCTCTCTCTGCATTGACAAGAAGCAATCGAAAATAGTTGAATTAACCCCTTTATTCATCAGTATATAGTATATACTGTACTGTACGCACTAGCAGCGAACAAACACCGAAAATATATTTATATTCGTATGTATTAACCAAGCCAATACACATGACAACACTCACACAAGTATTTACCAAAAACTTTGGCAAGTACCAAAACATGAATTATGTTCAACAAATTTCCAAGTGAGTTCGGTTTTGCTTTCGGTTCGAGAACACAACAAAATTCTGCTCCGTTTCCAAGTATATTCTGTTGTTCTTCAACGCACACACACGCAGTTTTGGTACTTATTTACCTTCAAGAACCAGAATACACACTGGAAAGTGAACTCTGAAGCGTAATTACTCGATCAAGTAATTAGAGAAAAAGCCAAATTAATATTTAAGCTTATATTATGATGAACCTTTGAAAAGAGAAAATCGAGAAAAAAAAAGAACAAAAAACTGGTACTAGGGCCTGGGGTAGAAACTAGCAATTAATAAATAAATATATTAACTTTAAAACGAAATTGTAAAATAACATTGGAACAAAGTAAGAGAAACACTAAATTAATGCTTGCAATTAATGAAAGGAAACGAAATGAAATTAAACTTTTTTAAATGTAAAGTGAAAAAAGGAACGAAAAAACAGAAATTAAACACAACTTAAATTAGTGAAACAACCTCGTAGGTATGAACGCAAATTGAGAATGCCGCAATTCGAAACTCAATACAATTTTTTATGTATGTTTGTGTATATATCTATCTATATATAATATCTATATGAGTAATAAATAAATGCATTGAAACCGTACAAAAATCATCGTTAAATCAATTTATTTCCAACGATAAATTCAAAGCAGCAGCCGAAACATGCTCAAAAAAGGGAATTTAAAATATATTTAAATTTAATATACTTTCTCCGACTACAGTTCAGAGTTCACAAAAACTCCCATTGAGGTTTTGAGATTGCAGACAAGGTGAGTGTGGATCCATCCTAAGTATTGTTTTGTTCTTCTCTTTTTTTTTTGGTTTAAACGGAAACTTCAACTCCCCCTCACTGTTGTCTGACATTTAACCACTTTCTAATTTGTTTATTTCGTTACGTTACCTTTTTTAACACAATAAAAACTTACATTCTCATGTCCATGCTTAGTGTGTTTCTTTTTTAAATTAGTTTTGGTGAAGGTACAGTGAATACACCTACATAAGCTGTCATCTTCAATCGCACCCTAGCTTTTATGATTTTTTGAGCATGTTTTTCTGGCTGAGTTTGCTTTTGGATTTTTGTTGCTAATAAATATGTTCGAGATAAGCATTTATAAGTTTGTCTATAAAATATTATTTACAAATATAGCAAACTTAACTTATTTTATTTTGCGATGCTTAAGACGAAGATAATTCATTTTGATTCTTTAAAATGCACAACATGCACAATAATTGATTTATTTGATTTCGATTTCGTTAAATTTTTACTCAGCTTTTTTAACATCTTTCTAACCGACTAATTTCCAAACTTTCTCTTTCCGCTTAAACTGTCGCTGAGGTAATTCACTTCTTAGCCAATTTGGATTATAAATAAATATTATAATCTATGTTTTCAAATCTTCCACAGAGTGCACTGATACCGCTTATATGTTCGAGGATCTGTGCTATGATGTCTGTCCGGTGCACACATATCCGTTGGATAAACTGGCAGCAGAGGAGGAGGATTTAGATGACGGCGATGTGAACAGCAGTCCTGTTAATCCGTATATCAAACCCACCGATAATCATCCCTCATTGATGTCCAACAGCATAGACGACAAGCAGGATCCTCTGCAGGCGGAGGATCGTCGTCGTCGTCGTCGCAGTTCCACCGACGCACCCCTAACGCAACTGGTGGAGACACCAGCTCGCATCTGTGCCCCTTGCGACCGCAGTTGCTTGGCCTGCTATGGACCACTGGCTTCGCAGTGCAGCACCTGTACGGCGGGCAGCCAACTGCGGAAGATCCAGAATGAGACCTTCTGCTATGCCTATGTAGTACGCAGCACGGGAATGGCCAGTTTGGTGGACGTATCTGAAATGGGCGAGAGGAAACCGCAGCAAAACCTACCTCTCACTACGGTTCTCTTGCTAGTATCGGTGGTTTTAACCGTGATAGGGGTGGTAGTTGCCGGAGGTATTGTCTATCACCGAAGGGCAATTGCGCGATCTAATGAAATTTACTCCCGAGTATCTCTAATGGCAGGCGATGAAAGTGACTCTGATAATGATGACGAACTGTTCAGAGCAAATTTCCTAAGCAAAAAACCGGATGTTTTTGAATATCGCGACGAAGCACCCAGCGAAAAGATCTCTGAAAGTGAGGAGATCAGCCATTTGGTACCCTAGATTATCGATTAAATAAATACTTAGTTAGGTCATGCATTTAGCCATCCTCATAACCACCTGAAATTTTTATAAATCCTCTGCCACGGACAATCACAGTTTTGGTTTATATTTTATAACATTCGACGACCTTATAACTCCTTCATTTCAAGCCAAAATAGATTAAAGTATTACAAAATTGAAAAAAAATGAACAGAAAATCAAAACTAATTATATGTAATATTTATGCCTTAATAAAATGATTATAATTTAACATGAAATGTCTAATCTTTAAATGCAGTTAGAAGTGACTCACTATAAACACAAAAATATTTACAACTTGTTGAGAGAGATAATAGTAATCGATGTTGGTACTTAGAACTCGAGGAAACCCTCAAAGTGATAATATAAAAATAAGAAATTTTTGAAATGGATATTTGACACTTCTTAGATTGCTGCTGAAGCCGTCCTTGACTTTCATGGAACCCCTGTAGTGGTAGACTTATTTTGTTTTTATACTGCTCTACCGAAGTAGGTGAACAGCAATCTCAGCGCTAACAGCAATCAATTAGCTAATGGAAATTATAGAAACCCAGGTTGGACCCCGGCAGGGCTTATCAGCCCTGGGTTATCGAGGGGCTGTCTAAAGTGTTCTCCCCAGGTGAGAAATGTGTTGACAACACTCAAGAGCTTTATTTGTATAATATGCTGACAATAGCTCTTTAGAATTTTCACGATTTTCTTATCGCGGCTATATTAGGAACATCGATTGCCATTTGGACGGCAGTCGTGTTTTGTAAAACGGACGAAAATGAGGTTTATTTTATTACTGCTGGCTTCCTGCTGCCTCTGGGAGGCGGTACTCAGCTGCGCTAGCATCGAACAACGCTATAAGTTCGCGAATAGTAATATCTACGTGAGGCTCAGGCGAGGCGATAAGCTGCAATATGAACTGATGAAGGGTGAAAAAACGCTTCAGACTGTGACCTTTGACAACTTTGAGAGCAGTGCCAATCTGGTGGAGACTAGCAGTGGTAGTTACCAATTAACCGATGGCACATCCACCGTAGAGTTTACCCTGGTTAAGAATGGTGTGGTTACTGGCACAGGCAGTGAGATCACGCATGTGAAAGTTTCCCGAGATCAAGTTCTGCAGGGCACTCAGCCCAGAGATTGTTTCCCCCTTAACGTTGGATCCACCCACTGGTTCAGTGGTCCGGAGCAGAAACAACACTACTGGCCAGTCGAACGACAGAGGCATAGCAATTATTCATACCTGCCCAAGGAACTGGACAACTTTGGCGTAGGTGAGCGGTATTGGCTGAACGGCAATGGAGTCTTTCTGTATGTGGAGAGCAATACTCCACTTTTTATTGATCAGAATACAGCGGATCATCCGGATCACCTGTGTCTCAGTGCCACCAGTGCCCTGCCCTATGATCCCCGAGTGACCTCCGCCAAGTTTGTATATCACATTGCTGTGGCCAAAGATGCCAAGGCAGCTCATAAGTATGCTGTGAAAACTTTCCACGGACAACCTACTGGCTTTCCCGATGAACGAATGGTCAGGCATCCAGTGTGGTCCACCTGGGCTCTTTACAAGGCTGAGGTCACCGACGATGTAGTGCGGGACTTTGCTAAGCAGATCCTGGATAATGGTTTTAACAACAGTCAGCTGGAAATCGATGATGACTGGGAGGATTGCTATGGAGCCCTGACCTTCAGGAAGAATAAGTTCCCCGATACAAAGACCTTGACCGATGACCTCAAGGCTCTGGGTTTCCGTGTTACCCTTTGGATTCATCCTTTTATTAATAACAACTGCACAGCTATTTACAATGAAGCCAAATCTCTGGGTTATCTGGTGCTCGACCACGAGGGGAGTTCCGACACGCAGTGGTGGAACAGTCAGCCCAAAGATGCAGCCATTCTTGATTTCACGAAAACTGAAGTTCAGGAGTGGTTCACCAAACGTTTGAAGGTTCTGCAGGATGAAGATGGAATTGATAGTTTCAAGTTCGATGCTGGAGAGACTAGTTGGCTCCCTAGTGATCCCGTACTCCAGGGCAGCAGTTCCATGGTAACTCCTCTGCAAGCTGTCGGAGATTACGTGCGAACTGTAGCTGCTTTTGGTGATATGGTGGAAGTACGGTCAGCCCAGAACACTCAGGAGCTGCCCATCTTTGTACGCATCGTTGACAAGGATTCCGAATGGGGCTGGAACAATGGCTTGATCACACTGATCACTTCTATGCTGCAAATGAACCTTAATGGATATCCTTTTGTTCTGCCTGACATGATTGGTGGTAATGGTTACTACGAGAAGCCACCTACCAAAGAGCTCTTCCTGCGCTGGCTTCAGGCTAATGTTTTTATGCCTGCCCTGCAGTTCTCCTTTGTGCCCTGGAATTTTGACACTGAGGCCATTGAGATCAGCAAGAACTTTACCGATCTCCATGCCAATTACACGCCTTACATCATGAAACTTTTCCAGCGAGCGGTGGATTCTGGCGAACCTGTGAATGCCCCACTCTGGTGGATATCCCCCACTGATGAGGTGGCGCAGTCCATCTATGACGGTAAGTTCTTTGGTTCAATTACAGTTCTTATAATTTTAGCTAACCTTATTGGTAATACCCACAGAATTTCTTCTGGGCGATGACATCATCGCTGCTCCTATCGTGGTTGAGGGCGCCATCAAGCGAGACATTTACCTGCCGGAGGGAGAGTGGCAAGATGGCAATAGCGACCAGGTGTATACCGGACCCACATGGGTGATGGACTACTCCGCTCCCTTGAACACTTTGCCCTACTTCCTCCGCGTGGGCTTTACACTGGAGTAGAATGAAAAGTAGTTTCTAGTATATATTCTTTTATTCTAAAAAACGATCAAAACTCAATAAAGTAAACTAAATAGAAAATTGGCACAGTTAATTTGGTAAAATCTAGGAATATATCTTGTCAAGATCGACAGCTCAAATCGTCATGGTTGGAGGTGAGAAATCACCGGATCCAGACTGCGCGCTGAAGGGATATCTCGGTGATTCGCCGTTCTGACGAAACATTCCGTACTCCCGCTCAAATTCCATGGCATCCTTGGTCAAGATCTGTCGTAGGTTAATGGGCCTGCAAATAGAAATTCATAAAAAAAATGTTAAACATGATAAAGAAGGACTTACTCGACTTTAATGCTATCCTGAACCCTTTCTATACTTCGTTCGTATATGGCCTGCTTGAGGGCGTGAACTCGTTTGGCAGATCTTCGCCACCGCTTTCTGTATAAGTCCTTCTGACGGGCGAGACTATTATACCGATAATGCTGGCACCTTAGTTCTCCGAGTACCTGCTTAAGATCTCCCTCGTCCGATCCCTGGGCCTTAAGATCACAAATCTGCTGCTCCATGGCCGCAATGCGGACCTTCAGTTCCGTTTTCTCAGTATACAGCTGAAGATTCTCCTGTCGCAGCTCCATACTTCGATCCTCAAAGAGTTTTACCTGCTCCTCCATCTCCGATTTTAATAGGGCAATGTGTTCCTCTAGTTCTTTAAACTTTTCCTCATAGTCAATGCCCGAAAAATGAGTTCTATTGTTGGTAAAAGTTTCATCCAGATTTGCCACCTCTTTGTTTATTTCATGTCTGCGGGCCTCTTTACTTTCCATCTCCTCCAACTGGCTCTTAAATTCCAACTCTTTGCGCGCCAGTTCCTTCTCAAAGGTATCTATTTGTTGTCTTCGCCAGGACTTTAGCTTTTGACCTATTGTATTTGACTTATTTAGAGGTTGTTCGATGCTAAAATCCTCCTCAGAGGTGGTCAAATTCTTAAAACCTTTTTGGGAAGTTACTAATTTTTTAGTTTTCGGATTTTCCTCTACCGATGAGTTGCTAGTCACGGGCTTCGTCTTCTTTTTAACAATTTTTCTAACCTTAGTGTGCACCTCATCTTCAGGTAGATTTATATTTTCATTAGGTACAATGTTGTCTGATATAACTGATGACTTTTTTCTGATTATCTTCTTTTTGATAGGCCTAACTGGTTCCTCTTCCAAGCTTTCATTATTTCGGACCGCAGGATCTTCTTTTACCAAAATCTTCTTAACTTTCTTTTTCAGGATTCGTGCATCTCGGTGTTCAATATTTGGATTTATGAGTTCAGCTGTTTGAACATTAGCCTCCGACACCGACATAAGTTCTTCGGAGCTGGTAAATTCTATCTGAACTAATTGCTGATCACTTGATGTAGCTTTCTTCTTTTTTACACGAAGTATTTCAGATCGTTCGGTTCCAGAACGGATCCGTTCGCTCATTTTGAAATCATCCTGATCTTCATCTACAGTAATGCTGATCTTCTTATTTGCGCGATCTTCTTTAAGTTGGGTAGTGGATCTCAAGCTGCCCTCAGCATATTCTTCAGATGCCCAGGAATCCATCTCGGTTGCCTGATCCCCACCTGAAGAAATTTTTAACTTCTTTGCATGATCTTTTTTAGGATGAGCCAGCCTGAATCGAACATCTCGATGTTCTGTTTCGGAATACATGATTTCAGCTGCTATAGAATTACCTTCCGATACGGAGATGTATTCCTCAGAGCTCCCAATTTCCACCTGGTGCACTGGATTCTCGACTAGCCCAGTCAGGAGATCCTTTTTAGACTTACAGAAAGTAATTTCTTCCTTATATGAGCTTTCATAATCAACGCTTTTGGCCGTGGGTTGCTTGGTTTTTACAATTTTCTTTTTCGATTTAAGAGGTTTGCTCAGACTGAGTTCCATCTGATCCTCGAAAAGAATCTCATCTAGCTCGGCGGGACAGGTTTCCTTTAGAAACTTTTCGGTTTCACCCAAAGCTTTCGCCTGCACCTTGTTGACCTCTACCCAGCGGGCCCGAAGGTTAAGGTCACCCTTGGATGTTTTAAGTTTTCTGGTTTCCTTAGTACTGGTGGAAGTATCTTCAAGGTCTTCAAGTTCCTCGGAAATCTGTAGCTTTGATTTGGTTTTTAATCTACTTCGGCTTCTAGGTAAACTTATATCAGTTTCCAAGTCCGTATCCTCTTTTACAGTCTTGATTCTCGGTTTTTTGATTATTTTTTCCTTAGATGAATTTCGTTTTTCAGGAAGAACAAGACTGTAGTTTAAGTCTTCGTCACTCTGTTCATAGCTAGTCTCTACTAAATCTTTACTTTCCGAATGTTTTTTAGAAGACAGTTTGTCTCTCAATTTAGAAAGACTTTCCTTTGTTAACAGAACTTCCGTTTTTGAACTTGTTTTTAATTTTTCTTTGCTTAATTTATCATCGTAGGATTTTTTACTTGGCGATTTTGTTATGACCTCATTTAATTTTAGGTGGCTTTCATTATTTTGAACTTCAATATTAACGATTTTGGTTTTTCTTTTTTGGCACTCCGCCGACGCCTGTGATGATTCAATTTGACCTTCCTTCATTTGCCTACGGAGAAACTCCAGTTCGGCTTCCATTGCTAGTTTCTTTTCTTCCAACTCAAACAAGTCTAGGGAGTTCATTTCTTCAAAGTTCTTCGAATCGTTTATCTCCACTGGCGGACTTGGTAAATAGGAAGATTCTCTAAGAAACTTTTCAGATTCCTTGGCTTTAATTTTGGATTTGTTTGGTAAAGGTGTAATAAGTTTTGGTTTTGATGATTCCTTTGCAGCAGGCTTCCTTATAGCATATCGATCATCGTTTTCCATGTCAGATTCCTCTGACAGAATGTTAATTTCATCAGGCTTTGAAAGAGCTGCCTTTTCCTTTTGATTTAAATTGAGAATCTCTCGACCAACTGAAGCTAAGAACTTTTTTTTCTGATACTGTTCATCGTCACTGTCCAGGATCGGCTCGACTCTACTCAATTGAGCGGACTTCTTGCGCCTTATCTTTGCCTTTTGTAGATCCGCTGGACCATCGGAGTCCTGTTTAAGCTCAAAGGGCGAAGGTTCGTGGGTTTCTTCTGAGACTGATATCTCCGCACCCACATTAAGACTCTCTGAAGAAGCTGTGTTTTGAGACGTCAAAGTAACATCATTACTTTCTTTAGGCAACTCCCTGACAACCTCGCCTGAAACCGTTTGATTAGGCTCCTCCTGACCTTGACGTGAATATATTGTCTTTAGGTCCACACTAAAATTATACTCCATCATAGGCGGTTTGGACCCCCTACCGCTATCCACTCTGCCAAATCGATTAAAGACAAAGAAGCCGTCTTGGGTATACTTTCTATTGTCCGAGAAGTAGTTGTCCGGAGGCAGAAGATCGGTGAAGTTCATGCGGTAGTTGGCTATGAAATATATATTTTTCTAAATATTTTATTTAGTTTATAAATTAGATGCTTACCTATCGCGGTTCCGTTCATATACATGTTGATGGGCAGATAGAATATGCGCTGGAAGTATAGCCGCATGCTGCGTAAGGATGTCTTGAATCGCAGCCCTAGCACATCGTTAAGTGGGTAGGAGTCAGATTCGTTCAGCTTTAACTCGATGTTGGTTACATTTCCTACAAAGTCAAACACAAGGATCACGGAGCCGGGGGTCTTACTCTGGCTAAGTGACTTAATTAATCCGATCACATTCTTTAGCTGCTTCAGCTGCAGCACCACTTCGATGATGTCGCAGTCGACCAACGGATCATTGCCCACCTGCAGCAGGCCCAGTTGCACCAACGACTGTACATAGACGTTGGCCTAAAAATATCCGTGTAATTAGAATCACTTTTTGGGAAAAAGGAAGATCAACTCACCTGCGACTGCAGCATGCTGGCAGTTATCGAGTGACCGGGCGACTGCATTGGTGGCGTGGGTGGTGATTTTTCCTTATAAGCCACGTTAAATTATTAAAATACATAAAATATAAATATTTAATAAACACTTACTTCAGTGAACTGCATAATGTGGTCAAAGTCTTTGGTGTGCAAGATGGATTTCTTGATAATAGCGAGCATGAGAAGAACTTCCGGCTTAAGAGAGCGGAACTCGCTGCTGATACAAATGAGCTTGTGCCAGAGCATCTTTAGATGGGGACTGTTCTTGTTGTCAGCAGTGTTGAGCACCGGAATTCCTCGAATGGGCAAGAGGAGGGTGCCGACGGTTTTCCGTTCCGCACCGCCACCACGACAGGCATAGAAAGTCATTTTGACAGGACGGTGATCCGTTTTAATGCGCTTGATTCCGGCCAGGTCGCACTCCCAAATACAGTTGCTGTTGAAAATGATAGTTTCGGCCGACTGGGTTCCCTCAACCTCAAAGTCCACAGTGTTAAGGGCAGCGTTCATCACTATATGCTCGCGATCGACGGCATCATGACTTTGGAAGTTGATTGCTGCGCAAAGAGAAAACATGAATGCCAATAATGATTTTATGTTGTAACCCACCTTCGACTACATGGAGCAGTACGCAATAGACCTGATCGGATTCCTTGGATCTGGCACTTCCGCTACCGGCATCACTGGCCGTTCTCGAGCGAGACGTTTTGTATCGCTTTACCATTTTTGTGTACGGGGATCAGACGTCGGAGAGACTTTACAATTTTCGATTTCGGGAATGTTTAACTTTTCAAAACTAAATTTAAACATCGGCGTTCTGGAGCTTGTTCATCTGAGTTGCGGCTTGATCCTCCTTATCTGTAGTTACCTCTGGTTGTCCTCAGTTTTATAAGTGAGCTGTTCACTCTGAACGGGGAAGCCAATGCCACTTGGATTGGTTGTCACGGTGACGCAAGGCGATTAATATCGCAGGTGGGACTATCGCCGGATAGATGAAACAACCCTCGAAAAGCATTGAACGGTTGGGCTGTTCATTTGAACACATTTATGTCAAAATATCATATCAAAAATAAATATTTCACTAATTTTATAAAATTTTTCATTAAAACCAGAAGTACTTATATAAACTCTTTAAAAAAGGTACATAAAACTTTTTTATTTTCAAATCAAGGGATTGTAGGAATTTCTGAAAATTATATTTATTTATCCTTTCACTTTAAATCTAATCCAAATCCAAATTAAACCTACTTACTAAAATAACGAATCCATTAAAAATCATCTTTACAACTTATATACTTTTTTATTCCTTATTTTATATATTAAACTGCTCCACAACCGTGCGTCTTGGGGGCTCTCCTGATTCCTGTCCCTCCTCGTAGTGGCTCTGCTGCATGCGATGATTCTTCAGGGCGGTGCCTTGGATAAATCGTTCTCCGCAGACGCCGCACTGGTAGGGCCGTTCGCCTGTGTGCCGACGGATATGAAGTGTTAGATCGTTGGATTGCGTGAAACTCTTCTCGCAGTAGGTGCACTTGTAAGGCCGTTCTCCGCTATGGATCCTCATGTGCTGCTGCAGTTTGTACGAGCGGGCGAATCCTTTCTGACAGACAGTGCAAACATGAGGACGTTCTCCGGTATGCGTCCTTCGATGGCACTGGAGGTCAGAGGAACGCGGGAAGGCCATTGTGCAGTAATCGCACTTGAAAGGCTTCTCTCCGGTATGCCGGCGCATGTGTATGATCAGATTGGAGGATGAGCTGACCGCCTTGCCACAAAAGGCACACAGGAACCGTTTTGGTTCCTTAGGAGATGTGGGTCTATTCGAGGTTCTAACTTCATTTGAGCCTTTGCCATCAGGTCCATGAAACTTCTTCAAGTGTGCTGTGAGCCGATCCTTGCGGTTATATTTCCTTGTACAAAGTCCACACTGAAAGACCTGACAATCGGCTTTTGGATCATTACCTGTCGCCTCCTTTGATTCATCAAGCTGTTGATCCTCTGGCTTTTCATGATGCATCTGCATGTGATGCAATAGGTTAGACTCCCACATGAACTTGTAGCCACAGCGGGTGCATTTAAACTGCTTTTCGCGATTTTCACATTGAGTTTTCTTATGATGAGAAATTATTTCCGGGCAGACACTTTTAAAGATGCACCTATCACAACCGTCGGGGATCTTCTCCATCCGATGCATGGCTTGCTGGTGTTGATAAAGCTCGAATTTTCGCGAACACTTTAGTTGGCACATTCCACAGGTGTAAAACTCCGTGGCCCCAGGTGGTTTTGAATGTGTCCTAGAGTCATTATCATCCGTCTCCGAATCATCCAATTCCATCTCGTATCCCATTTGGTTGGTAATCGAGTAGTTTTGAAGAGATGACAAGTCGTGGTGACTGCCTGTGGGCATTGTTTCCAAATGCAGACGCAGTGCCGCAATGGTGGGAAAGCTCACACAGCACACTTTGCACTCTATCTTCTTTTGACCAGCGGGATTCACATATGAGTCTAGAATTGCCTCTGCATAAGGCAATTGGCTAACACTTATCCCATGGCGAGCGATATGCTGTAGGAGATTGGGCTTGCGATAAAAACGACGAGCACACCAACGGCACCGGAAAATATTCGATTCTTGGCCGTGCATCAGTGTATGACGCGTGAGATCCTTTTGCATCTTAAAGGTGCGTTGGCACTTATCGCACTGCAGATCACTATCCGCTTGAGGGAAATCTTCTGGGACTGGAATCTCAACTTGCTGATGGAAAAGGTTTATGTGGAGCTGCAGGTTCTCCCGCCAGCGGAACCGAAGTGGACATTTGCGACACTGAAAGACTTTCTGCGGATTGTAACAGACGGTTCTTGAGTGATGGTCTTGCAAAGATACGTTAACAAACCGGGCCTGGCAGTGAGAGCATACAAGGAATGCCTCATCCCACTTGTGCTCCGCTAGCTGGTGGGCATACAACTGATGCTTTCTCATCGAAACCACATCACAAAGATTGCAAGCGTAGCCCTGGAATGATTGATCTTCTTTTTGCTCGGATTCAGTTTCAGTTTCACTGCTATCGAGATTCAGCTCTAGACCAGCCTCGTTTGTGATAGACACAAATCGATCCAAATCCAATTGTTGCTGCACATCACCCATAATCCTTCCGGCGAGTTCATCTCTTCCTAAGACATTTTCGAGTTCCGGGTAAAAAGCCTTTGAGGCACTAGAAATATCTCTCTCTTCGGAAAAACTTAATTCATATTGATGAGAACGCATGTGAGTTCTTAGATTACTTATTTTTGAGTGGGTTGAGAGGCAGATCATGCACCTAATAAGCTTGCAGCCATGGGGACGACTAAGTCGGCTAAGGGTTATTCCATTAACAACGTTGGGTATGAAAGGCAGCTCTTTTATATGATCGGGTTCTCCTGCATGCACTTTAAGGTGGGATTTGAGACCGTCCTTGCGATGGAACCTGCGATGGCAATGAGGGCAGTCGAACGGCGCTGCAGACTGAGGCTGGTGCAGTCGCTTGTGTCGGTTGAGATCTTTGTGCCAGATGAAGACCTAAAAATAAAAGGAATTAGAATAACCAGTATATTTTTGGTTAGGAAATATAACTTACCTTTTCACATTCGTCGCATTGCAACCTTGTTGTAAGTTCTTCTTCATCGTGTTTTTTGCTATGGTGAGTCTTCAGATGCAATTCATAATTGGATTGCCACACGAATCGAATATTGCAAATATGGCATTGAAAGCGGAAGTGTGTTTTGGCGCATCTTTGCCTACGGTGTTGCTCCAGAAGATCTTTGCTGACGAATCCAGAACCACAATCATCGCAGGGACAGGGCAGATTAGCTGCCCTATCTGAATGTATGTTCTTTTGGTGCTGCAAAAGACTCGCCAGAGTACTAGTATTTTCCCCACACAAAAGACAACTGTATATCCTAGTCTCCTCATCGCTTTCATCTGTTTCGGAATCGAACAAATCCAGCTCTCGTCCACTCTCCGTACTGGCATTGTAATATCGATCAAAGTCCTGGACATTGAAATCCTCAGATATACGAGCAGCAAGATCCGATGTAGAGCAGTCAAGTCCATCAGGGTAAAACGATCGAAAGAAGGTGGAATTGTAATCCAAACTAATTCCATTCAAATCATTTTGGTGTGTGATTAGGTGAACCCGAAGTTGCGCTAAACTAGTTTGCACAGCATCACACAACGTGCACAATATTTTCTTCTCCGCTCGCCGATGGGAGCATGCATGGTTTTGCAGGTTTTCTGGCCACATAAACTTCCCGGGACATTTCCGGCAGCGATATCGTCTTATTTGACTGTGGCAATGGGTGTTCAAATGTTGATTGTAGAGTGTTAAGCATAGGAAACCAACCTTACAGGAACCGCAGCTTTGCCAGGGAAGCGTTGAAGAAGATTGGGAGTGCTCATCCAAAGTATGTTTTACCAGGCGGTGCTTGCGAGTGAACGATAGATTGCACACAAAGCAATTGTACTTCGACTCCTCGCTAGCACTCTCTTCATCTGAATCATTCAAACCCATCTCATAGCCGTAAAAATTTACAATGCAAGCAAACTTCTCGGAAAGTCCTTCGGCTACGTCAGAGCATATCTTTTGCTTGATAGTGTCTAAGTCGCAAGACAATCCAGCAAAATGCTCTCTGACCACATCGCTATCTTTTCTCAAGTCGGCCAAACTCTCCACGTTCACATGAGTATTTATATGAATTCTAAGCTCCTCCATTCGCTGACAACTTAATCCACACAACTTACATTCTATTTTCTTTAATCTTCCGGAGCTATAAAGGCGCTCAGCAAATCGCCATTGTTTTCCGACCTGGAGAGCCTTCCATTTGGCCTCGCGTTTTTTGTGACAGCGGAGGTGGAACATGTATTTGTCCTTACGCAAGAATCCCTTGCCACAGGTATCACACACGTATGAGGCTTTCTCAAAGTGAATCCTAGCGTGACGCTGCATGTCACGGTACCAGGAGAAGGTCTTATCGCAGACCTCACAGGCGTGACGGCCATCGCTGGTCATCGACTGGCTTTTAGCTCGACCAGGGGGACGTCCTCGACGCCGTTTTATGGGCGAAGATTCAGATGGCTTAACACTGACATGAAACATTTTTTTAGTATTAAAATCTATTTGTAACTAATACTGATTTAGCTTACTCTTCATCCTCGCTTTCTAATGGCGCCTGCTTGTCTTTTCGAGAACTCCGTCGCAGATGGTAAGGCTTCTTATCCACCTCTTCTCTATTAGATTAAATTTGTAACATATCGAATGTGCAATAATATTTGAAGGGCACCTACTTATCACTTAATGCTGCATCAACGAATTCCTCATCGCTGTCACTTTCTGGCTGCCATTTGAGCTCCAGTTTTGCCATTCCAGTGCTGTCCACATCCTCCTCGGACTTATTAGCCTCATCATCGAGGTCAACTTCAGTTTTTATGTTCTGCTCCGGTGGGATGTCGATGGGCATTTCATCCAGACACTCTCTTAGCCGCGCCAGCAGCTCCCCATTGACTCGTTTGGCCTGCTCCACAAAGGCATAGGCATTGTCTAACCTTGTCCAACAATCAGTGCACAGATGCTGCGGCAGATTTTCGTTCGAGCTCTCTAGCCGGGTCTAGAAATTTGGATTATGGAAGAGTTTATTCCCTAGGACAAGCTAATTATAACAACTCACATCAATTTGCGTAAGCTCCTGGAGCACATCGTAGAAACTTTTGGAAGCGTCTCTCTCCAAGCAAGTGGATAAGGGTAGCAAACAAACGTTATTCAGTGCACAGGTTCGACAAATGTCTGACGGAAGCATATTTCCATCAACTTTCTGACTTATGTCATGTTCTTATAGTAGAAATTCAATAAAAAAAACTCTTAATAACAAATAATAACTTCTAAATGTAACAATAGCAATTCCAAGTGTGACCGTTGCACGGCAACAGCTGTTTTTCAATTACCAAAAATTGTGGTTTCCAACACTGCTAAATCAGCTGTTCTACTTTTGTTGGCAATCAAACACTTCCCTATTTAACTTGTTTCTTTATTAAAAAGTTAAATAAATGTGTTAAAAGATGACGCGGACGTGCAGAATATGTGGCTGTGACGACGGACGTTACTGGATTGAGACGCCCGTCGAAAAATATGCGGAGAAAACCTTCGGCCAACTGCTACTTGAGCTAACACGAATAGAGGTGGGTCAAAAGTCCTATTGTCATCCAATTGACTCCCGCGTAGCTATTAATTCACTTTAAATTTTTATTAATAGGTGGCGATGGCTCAGGCGGAGAAGTTTCCTCAGTGGCTTTGCAACGCTTGTACCGAGAAATTGGAGAGCACCTATGACTTTGTGCTGCAGGCGCGCCAGACGCACGAGCTGTGGATACAGAAACTAGAGAACTCTGTAAACGGGGATGACGGAATTCAGGTCACGGAAGCCTTGGAGTGCCTGCGCGAAACACCTATCCACCTGTTCGAAATAGAGGGAGTGACCATCAAGACCGAGGAGCTAGCATCCACTCATCAAGTTACCAAGGCAGATCCTCTAGTGCGCACGCGCTTCGTCAAGCGGAGCATTGTTCACTTCAGCGATTCGGATGATGACCAGGACGATGTACCCCTACGTCAGCGCAAGATTAACAATTCGCTCTGCACTACAGAGCCGCCGAGGGAGAATGTCTGCGAGCTGTGCAACAAGGCCTTCAGATATGTCACTAATTTATATCGGCACAAGCAAAGGGAACATGGAATTTTTGGGAAGAATGGAGAAGAGTAGGTCAATGTTTCTTGCTATCAAGATTGCCAGCTTAAAGTTTTTTTCTCTCTAGCTATGAGGAAGACTACTACAAGTGTGACCAATGCGACAAGACCTACAAGTACGTGATGGCCCTTGTTAAGCACAAGCACCACGAACATGGAGCTAGTCTCCTACCCACTAAGATGTCCAGGCGGAAATTACCTGGCAGGCCATCGGCATTGCCTGAAGAAGCCAGTCCAACTAGCCCAGCTTCCACCTCTGGAACATCCACACATCGCAGTAAAACTAACAACGACACCCTGGTGCACAGCATCATCAAAGGAGTGGAGTAAGCCTATTGTCACAACTATTATGCGACTTGCCAAAGATGCGTTATATACCTAAAAGTATCTTTTGTGTCGCACAATGTATATAGGAATGTTTTTTTTTTCACATTTTTTCTAGTCTATAAACTTAAAAACTTTATTTCTCTCTTTTTCAGACTATCTGATGAGGATGACAACAGTAGCGCAGATAACTACTATAAGTGTGATCAGTGCAGCAAATCCTACAAGTACATAGTAAGCTTGATCAAGCACAAACACAAAGAGCATTCCGACAAACAGTCTGACAAGCAGTCGGACTCCGAGGACGATCAGCCACTTGCCTCTACATCTGCCTCGGCAGTTGCACCAGCCGCCAAGCCATCAAGGATCAATCGACGAGTTGATGACTTCGATTACCATCGCTGCGAACCAAACGGAGCCAAGGAAATCAAGTGTATGATCTGCTTGCGACGGTTTACCAAACTGCGTGAGCTGAGGGATCACTTGCAGAATCATCCAACTGACTTCGACTTCGAGGCGCATGGAGAGCCAATCGAGCGAATTGCAGAAGGATTCTTCAAAACAGCCGTGGAGTCTACCACAGAGGGTTTGAAGAGGCGTATTTTTCGGGATCTCAGGATGGGCGTATATGGGCGGTACTATTCCATTACGAATCAAGCGCGCTACGAGATGTCCCTGGACAGCTCGGATACGGATAGCGATGGGGAAAGTGAGACAGACGTCGTCATCCGGCGAAGTTATTCCTGTGAACTGTGCGATTCACCTGAAGCTAGGTGGCCGCGGAAGTACCTGCTGCACCAACACCACCGAAAGGAGCACACCTGGCTGGATGCCCCGCATGTCTGCCAGCGCTGCGACTCGCGATTTCTCAGTGCTCAGCTTTTAGAGCATCATACCAGTCAGCTGTGCCAAAACACTCTAAAACGGTTCATGTGCGACAAGTGCCCTCAACGATTCTTCTGGCGCAAGAACCTGCGCGCACATCTTGTGGAGCACAAAAGCAAGGTGAGGAGCAGTAAAGATCAGAGGATAATTAGAAGCTGCCGTTTACAAAGGAACAATCACATACCATAAAATCATTCGTATTTTTTTAGTTCATATTTTAATTTTATCAGCAGACAATGTGAATTAAATGTTGTTCAATGATATTTTAATCACCGAGCTTACGTTTTTAATTTGCTTTTAATTCCGTTTTGCGGTGGTCAAGTTAATTTTTATAAAGGGGAAATTGCTTTTAACAAGTTGAATACTTTTTTTTTATAAAAAAAACATAAAATAAATTTTATACACATCCCCATTCTAATCCATTTCAGCAAGAGACTTATCCGTGCGATCAGTGCTCCCGGAGCTTCCAAGATAAGAGTGCCGTAACCAAGCACAAGCTGATGATGCACAGGGATAGTAACATGCAGCTCCTTCCCTGCCGTTGGTGCACTCGCACCTTCTACCGCCCCGCACTACTATATAAACACTTGCAGAGACACGGATTTACTGGTCAGGACCTGCCCTTGGCTGAAACTCTGCTGGCAGATGCTTCAAAACCATCGGGACCCAAGAGCATCCAGTGTAAACTGTGCGACATTCAGTTTATTAGCGTGGCTGACTTGCGAAGGCACATATCCATGCAGGGCCACAGCGATCAGCCGTCAGCGTACATGATTAGTACTGCAACTGGTTTTGAGCTCCTGCTGGAGGATACGGATGATAGTGATGAGGAAAGCACCGGCAGGTCTTACTCCTGCGACCTTTGTGATCTGAACTTCCGACGCCGACGGGAATTGAGTGAGCACCAGTACTCCCTCCATAGCTTCGACAAGCTTCCACACTCTTGTGAACATTGCATTTTTAAGACTGTTGATAAGGTAGGATTAAAAACAAATTATTTTAATATATAATGTTAATCTCTATTTAATTATCGTACTTACAGTACATGCTGGATCAGCATCTTAGAACGCAGTGTAAGAATACCGAGAAGAAGTTTGTCTGCTCGCGATGTGGCTACAAGTTTATGTGGGAAGAGAATCTTGCTCAGCATCTTGCCACCCAGCACTCAAAACAAGCCACCGTTCCAGAGCAACAGCCCCCAATGAGGAGAAAGCGACGCTTCCGTTATCAATGCCCTCACTGTTGGCGATCCTTTGTCGTGCAGCCCAGCTTGGAGAAGCACATCCGGGACATGCATGTGGCCAAGAAGAATCCTGGAAAAAAATACCTATGTTCTTTGTGCGGTCTGGAATCGTTGACCCCGAACAAGCTAAACATCCATATGCGACGTCACATGGGCGAGAAGCCCTTCAAGTGTGATCTCTGTGACATGCGATTTACTGTCCACTATGAGTTGAAGGTTCACCGCCGGAAACATACCGGCGAACGACCCTATCAATGCACCTTTTGTGCCAAAGACTTCGCACGTCCGGACAAACTTCGGCGACATGTTTTTATGCACAATGTCAAGTCGTAAATTCATAATTTTAAGACTATTTGATAAGCTAAGAGTAGAAGGATTTTATTACAAATAGGTCCTATTAATTCATGAGTCTGAAAAGAGGTCATTAGCAGAAAATAGGGGTATACGCCAAAAATGTACTTAATCAGCTATAAAATAAATAAAACTTTGAGTGGACTTCTGATAAGACAAAAATGTTCAAATAATTTATTTAGATTTGCATTGTTATTAATTTACTTTGTTGATAAGTCATTCTAGTTCTCCGCTGAATGCAAATTGGCCTCTCTTAAAAGTTCAGTATCTGTAAAATGAAGCATGACGTCACGGCCTTTAAGAGAGATATACAACGAGCTTTTATTCGACAAAACATTTTGTGGTCCAGTAACTATCTGAAAGGCATTAGTATCAGACGCTAGCGCATCTAAACAAAGTTTTTAGAATGTCAGACCTACCAACTCCGAAGTGGGTGAACCAAGAACTTTTCCATGGCTTCTTGGAACAGAGTAATGGCGATTTTAAGGCGATACTAAAATTTGTTCCAACATCAGCGATTAGTAAAGGGGAGAATTATTTGACGATCGTGCTACGTATACAAATTGCAATGCAGCTAAAAGGTGAGGTAGGAAATTCAAAAATATCTTGTCAAATATTTAACAACAAATTTCAGATGATAGCACAGAAGATATCAGCTACATACTGAAGATTCCTTTGGTTCCGGAAGGTGAAGATGACGATTTTCACGAAATGTTTGATTCTGAAATCAAGATGTACGATCATCTGATACCAGAACTGGAGGAACTATATACCAAGAATACCGCAATCTCACCGAAATTCAAGCCTACGCATTTTAAGTTTCCAGGAACTGTAGTAAAAAGTGACTACATGCTGTTGGAAGACCTGAGAAAGAAGGGTTACAGGAATGCGGACAGAACTCAGGGCTTGGAGCAGTTTGAAGTGGAGGCAGCACTAAAAAAGTTAGCACAATGGCATGCTGCCTCTGCTAAAAGAGTCGTTGAACTGGGGGAATACGAGAAAGGCATCCGTGAGAGTTACTTTACTACCGAGCACCAGAAATTGTTGGATGAATTCAACATCAATTTCTCTATGCCCTTCTTGGAGTGCATGCAGAAATATAATCTGGATCCAGGACAACTTGTGCTAATAGTAAGTTTACGATATATTTTGGATGATATATTATAATAATTTTATTTTTCAGAGCGACTATACTTCACGTTTGACAGATCTTTATATAGAGTTTGGCAAAAACGATCCTATGGAGTTGAGTGTCTTAAACCATGGAGATTTTTGGTGCAATAATTTTATGTTTAAATACAAGGATAATGGTTCTGAAGTGGAGGATGTTTGCTTTGTAGATTTCCAACTGTCGAAATATGGTAACTACCTATATGAATAAAACAAAAAAAAAGTAAATTAACAATCATAAAACTTTTTAGGAACACCCGCACAGGATCTTCTATGCATGCTGATGACGTCCCCCAAGTTCTCTATTAAACTAGAAAAGTTTGATCACTTTATAGAGTATTATCACCAGCAGCTTTGCGAGCATTTGAGTCTTCTCAATTACAATCGGAATGCACCTACACTAGCTCAGTTTCACACCCATCTGCACAGATACAGTCTCTGGGGTAAGACCTCAATCCCAAGTTAATTTCAGAGTGGTTCTAAATCCAATCCTCTCAATATCTCAGCTTTCATCTGCGCTCAGCGAATGCTTCCCATAGTGCTGCTCCCGCCCGATGTGGATTCAAATATAGGCAATGTAATGGGAAACTCGGAGGAGGCTATTTCATTCAAGCGTAAGATGTTTCTTCTGCCGGCTTACGTCGATCAAATCAAAGTCATTTTGCCTTGGCTCATTAATAGGGGTTACATAAGATGAGCCGACTGCAATAATAAACAGGTTCTAGCAGAGCTTAATATGTAATAGAAGTATTATAATAAATAATCAATTCAAACATCCTTATCACAAAATATCTGTAAAATATATATCTGTTAAATTGGCCATGGTGAAATAAATAAAATCTTGAGCTTTTTCCCGTGCCAAAATGTTTGGAATGCTATCAGAGCTTTTGAGAGAAGATCGAGAAATATTTATCAAGCTCTACGGAATAGCAAAAGCTTTCCACTAACATAAAAGCATTTGATTCTCACTTTTCGTCAGTCAATTCAATACCGGCAAGCAAGCCGTACAAACGTTTAGTTTATTGTTAAAATAATAAACCAGATAATCTACAATGGCATCTAGCTTAATACCCGAATGGTTCGGAGCAGATCTGTTTGAAGATGTTCTTAAGACTAGTGTGGAGGGGTTCTCAAAAATCCGGAGTTTTAAGGCGGAAAGTGGATCTGCACCGGGTGAAAACTTTGCTACTATAATGCTGCGAGTTCATATCGAAGTAGAGCTGCAGGGTAAGTTGAAGGGATGGTTTGGATGGAGCTTTATTGATTTCGAATTTCTCCCGTTCAGATGGAACAACCAAAGAGGTCTCCTACATGGTTAAGTTGCCGTATGAACTTGCAGTCTACGAGGAAATGATGAAGCACTCCGAACTCTTCGATTCCGAACGAACCATGTATAATGAGGTTGTTCCAGAGATGGAGGCACTTTATAAAGAGGCAGGTGTGGATGTAACTTTTGGACCTAAGAGCTACGACCTAAAGAATGCGAAAAACAAATACATAGCTTTGGAAGATCTACGCATCAGGGGCTTTAAGAATGTCAATCGCCTTGAGGGACTCGATCAAGCACATACGGAGAAAGTTCTACGGAAGCTGGCCCAGTGGCATGCTGCTTCAGCTGTGAGAGTGGCTACCAAGGGCAGTATCCGGAACACTTACTAAAGGGATTCTTTAAGGAGGAAAACAAGACGATGATGAAAGAAATGATGAACGGCATGGGAAAGATATTCCACAAATGCTGTGTCACATACGAAGGTCACGAGGCCTACATTGACAAAATCGTAAGTTGTATCAACCTATTTCAATAGGTAATTATTTGACAGACTTTTTGTTATAAATAACAATTAGAAAGCTCTACAACCAGTGGTGATAGACGAAATGTTTAAGTTAGGGGAGGTGGATGCCACGGATTTCAATGTCCTGAACCACGGAGACTTTTGGTCAAATAACATTATGTTCCAGTACGATAAATTTGGCAAAGTCGAGGAGGTTTACCTGGTCGACTATCAGGTCACAAAATACGGAACTTTGGCCCAGGACCTCTTCTACCTCTTGATTTCTTCCACTAAGCTGGAAGACAAACTAAAAAAATTCGATTACTATGTTAAGGTGTACCATGATAGTTTAGTAGAACACCTAAAGATCCTGAAGTATTATAAACCATTGCCAAACCTGCGTGACATCCATAAGGAGTTGTTGAAGTACGGACTTTTTGGTGAGTATAAAACTATAACTATAATTACTGTCAAGAGATAATAAATTTAAATAATAAAATTATGTATAATTTTTAGCTTACTCTGTTGCCAAAGGGGTGATGGCCGCCGTTCTCGTTGATCCCACAGAATGTGCCACTTTTGAGAACTTTTTTGGCGAAACAGAAGAGGGAGTGCGCTTTCAAATGCAAATGTACAATAGTAACCGTTATCGAAAACACATTCAAGCAATCCTGCCTTGGCTGCTTAACCGTGGTGCCCTAGATATTAATTAGAAAACTGCCTCTGATTATTAGGAAATGTATTTCCATTTAAAAGACTTCAATCCTAAGATAATTTCGAAGGAATTCCAACAAAACTCATTGTGTAATAAAAGTATGTATGTATCATCTTTATCTCAAAAGAGCTAAAAAAGTTTTACATGTTTATTTTGTGAATAAAGCAATATTGTTTTAATTTATTATAGTTTAAAGGTTTATTTTAATGCAATGAGGGGCTTCTATTTACAATCGATCAATTTGGGGGACTACCACAAAACTGACTCCAGGCCCAACAAAATTAAAACTAAAACATCTTCTGATATCAAAATGTTTGGAATGCTATCAGCAGAGCTTTTGAGAGAAGATCGAGAGAACCTATTGAGTTCTATGGAATGGAAAAAGCTTCCGACTAATATATAAGTATCTAATGCTCAGTTTTGGTCAGTCAACAAAATACTGTCAAACGTGGCGTATACGTGTTTAGCTTATTCATAAAGTAATAATCCCCATAATCGACAATGGCGGCAGACAAAGTACCCGAATGGTTTGTTGCAGATCTTTTTGAAGATGTTCTCAAGTCTAGTGTGGAGGGCTACTCGAAGATTCGTAGTTTTAAAGCGGAAAGCGGATCTGCAGCGGGAGATAACTACGCCACTATTATGTTGCGAGTTCATATCGAAGCTGAGCTGCAGGGTAAGGTGAGGGGTTGGAGGGATTTGAGCTTTATTGATTCTGAATTTCTCTTTTAGATGGTACGATCAAACAGGTGTCTTATATGGTTAAGTTGCCGCACCAATCGGACGTTTACAAAGAAATGATGAAACACACTAACATCTTCCACATCGAACGCACCATGTATAATGAGGTTGTTCCTGAGATGGAGGCACTTTATAAAGAGGCAGGTGTGGAGATCACGTTCGGAGCTAAGAGCTACGATCTGACGAACGCCAAGACCGATTACATTGCTTTGGAGGATCTGTGTATCAAGGGTTTCAAAAATGTCAATCGTCTGGAGGGACTCGATCAGGTGCACACTGAGAAAGTTCTCCGGAAACTGGCACAGTGGCATGCTGCAACAGCAGTAAGGGTGGCCACGAAAGGACAGTATCCGGAAATAGTTTTAAACGGTTTCTTTAAAAAGGAAAACAAGCCGTTGATGAACGAAATGATTAACGGAATGGGAAAGGTATTTCTCAAGTGCTGTGCCACATACGAAGGTCATGAGGCTTACATTGACAAAATCGTAAGTTTTAATCATAATATTGAATAGAATTTTATACAATTTTTATGAAATCCAATTAGAAAGCCTTGCAACCTGTGGTGATCGATGAGATGTTCAAGTTAGGCGAGGTCGACCCTATGGATTTCAATGTGTTGAACCACGGGGATTCTTGGTCAAATAACATTATGTTCCAGTACGATGATAATGGCAAAATCAAGGAGGTCTACATGGTAGATTACCAGGTCTCGAAGTATGGAACTGTGGCCCAGGACCTGCTCTATTTACTGATATCTTCCACTAAGCTGGAAGACAAACTAAGCAAATTCGATTACTACGTAAAGGTGTATCACGATAGTTTGGTAGAGCACCTCAAGATCCTTAAATATTCCAAACCATTACCAAGCCTACGTGACATTCACAAGGCGTTGCTTAGGTACGGTCTTTTTGGTACGTATTGGCTTATATTAGTTAAAAAAAAGAAATTTAATAAATTTATGTATAATTTTCTAGCATACTCCGTGGCTACAGGTGTGATGGCAGCCGTTCTGGTTGATCCCACCGAAAGCGCCAGTTTTGATAACTTTGTGGGTGACTCAGAGGAGGGAGCGAACTTCCAATTGAAAATGTACAATAATGCTCGCTATCGAAAACATATTGAGATGGTCTTGCCCTGGCTGCTTAATCGTGGTGCCCTGGATATCAACTAGAAAAATGAATTCCAGTTTATATTGTAAATGAGGAGGTGTTTTCCTTAGATAATTGAGCTTAGTTCAGTATTAAAATACAAATTGAAAAACAAATCAGTAAATAAATAGATGTTCTATACTCATAACAAGTCTAATTACTTAGTAGTTATTTTTGTTGTCTCGTTTGCGATAAAAATATTAAAGCCCTTTGTGAATATAACTTATAATTCAGACAACAGTTCTTCCCTGAGGCCTAACGAGGGTCATAGATAAGCTTAATTAAAATAGTCAACGACCGAAACATGGTTAGAATATACATATAAGGGTATAGTGAAATCGGTAAAAACTTGTTTGGGAGAAAAATTAGTTGAAGTGCAATTTGAAAAGCTTTCTCTGAAAACTGAGAGGCAGCCCACTTGTTCTACGAACCCAATTATAAAAGCTCCCCCAACTGATATAAAACTATTGATCTTCCTTGCTTGGGCTCAGTCCACTCACCATAGCGCAACAGTGCGTATACTTGTGCTACGATTTATCGAAAAACCAATAAAGATTATCTACAATGGCGACCAGTAAGATTCCGGATTGGGTAACTGCAGACTTATTTGAAGATGTACTCAAGGCAAGTGTGGAGGGATACTCGAAAGTCAAGAGCTTCAAGGCAGACATTGGATCTGCGGCGGGTGAAAACTATGCCACTATTATGCTGCGGGTTAAGATCGAAGTTGAGCTGAAGGGTAAGTCGATTGGGGGTGAAGTCCGATAAAAGTTTCTGATTTCTGTCTCATAGATGGCAAAACGAAACCGGTCTCGTATATGGTCAAGCTACCCCATCAACTAGAGATGTTTCAGGAGATGATGAAGCGGACCAACATCTTTGACATTGAGCGTTCCATGTACAATGAGGTGGTCCCTGAAATGGAAGCACTTTACAAGGACGCGGGAGTAGATATTACTTTCGGCGCCAAGAGCTACGATCTTAAGAATGCCAAGAGTGATTATGTGGCTTTGGAGGATCTGGGAATTAAAGGATTCAAGAATGCCAATCGTCTCGAAGGACTTGATCAAGCTCACACCGAAAGAGTTCTCCAAAAGCTGGCACAATGGCATGCTGCATCCGCCGTGCGAGTGGCCATTAAGGGGCAGTATCCTGACATCCTCTTGCATGGCTTCTTTAAAGAGGATACTAAACCGATGATGACGGAAATGATGAAAGGAATGGGTGCCAACTTTCTTAAAAGTTGTGTTACCTACGAGGGCTATGAGGTTTTTATAGACAAAGTCGTAAGTAGTAATACCTAAGGTGTCCAATTTTACCTTATATAACCTTTTTTTATATTTTTACTAGAAAGCCATTCAACCTGTATATGTCGATAGGGTTTTCGAGTCAGCAAAGAGCGATCCCAATGAGTTCAATGCACTTAACCATGGCGATTCCTGGTCAAATAATATTATGTTCCAGTACGATGCCTTTGGAAAGATCAAGGAGGTCTACATGGTCGACTACCAGTTGCCCAGATACGGAAGCGTGGCACAGGATCTGTTATACTTCTTGATTTCATCCACAAAGTTGGAGGACAAGGTCTCAAAGTTTGATTACTATATCAAAGTTTATCATGACAACCTGGTAGAACACCTCAAGATTCTAAAATACTCAAAGACCATTCCCAGCCTGCGAGATATTCATCTGTCGCTCTTCAAACATGGATTCTTTGGTTAATATTTTAAAGCTACTTTAGATGAAGTTTGAATCTAATTTGATTTCTTTTTACCATCAGGTTATACAGTGGCCACCGGTGTTATGGCCGCCGTACTCTTGGATCCTACGGAATCTGCCAGCTTTGAGAATTTCGTGGGTGATACCGAGGCAGGTGTGGATTTCCAGATGCAGCTATACAACAGTCCCAGATACCGCAAACACATCCAGGTAGTAATGCCCTGGCTGCTAAATCGTGGTGGTTTGGATGTCTAGAACACCGAAACTAAACAATTTCTAATATTACACAAGAAAAATACAAATTTAGTCAGAATTTAGTGCATTCCCGTGATAGCGCTATCTGTATCTTTTGGCGATAATGGCTTTGAGTATTAGTAAACGTAAAATTTTGAACGATAAACAAGTTCAATCAATTAACAAAATTCACCATGAAAAGTTCGTTTTTTATTGGGGAGGAGGGTATGTTGACATAATGGGGCATGTCAATATTACTAAGCAATTTTGTGATGTTAATCAAGGGAAATCTTTCAAATTTTATTAAACAGAAAATAAACATTAAGTTTTACGTTTTCAAAATATTTTCTTAAATCTATTAAATGAAATTTTTAATATAAAAAATTAAAAAACAATAAAGTGATTAGTACTAAGTTGATATTTAAAGTTATCATAACTAAAGATAGTAGTGGTATGTGCTCTTCAAACCATATAAGGTCATAAGCGAAGAGCGTAGCAAAACAAAACTCACAAAATATAGCTCCAATAGCTTATACTCTTTACTTTTCGCAAAATTATCTCATTGTCTTATCTACCAGAAAAGCTCGCAGTTTGTTGGGAACTTATTATTATATATAAAAACAAGAGAGCAAAGAGAGTATGCCTTATATGGGCATAAACAAACTGCCTTAGCAAAACAAAACCGAAGATGACTCAAAACCTAAAGCTTTAATAACAAATAAAAAAAAACTTCAGAATTAAACAAGAAAAACAGCAAAGAAGAGGGTTCCGAGATAGACCGAAAAGAAGAGCTTCGAAGAGCAACTTTTGTTTTCTCTTTGTATCTTCGATTTAAGATACTCACAAAAAGATTTATCATATTTAAAGCCCTAAAGCCATATTATTTAATCGCCTTTTAGATATTTTAGAAAAAAACTTGTTGTCGAGATACTATAAATACTTAAACAATTTCCTATGATTATTAAACTGCATGTCATCTTTGCAATAATTTTTATTGGATTGTTCCCAGCCTGCGAGATATTCATCTGTCGGTCTTCAAATATGCATTCTTTGGTAAATAATTTAAAGGTACTTAAGATGAAGGTTAAATCTAATTTGATTGCTTTTTACCATTAGGTTATACAGTGGCCACCGGTGTTATGGCCGCCGTACTCTTGGATCCTACGGAATCTGCCAGCTTTGAGAATTTCGTGGGTGATACCAAGGCAGGTGTGGATTTCCAGATGCAGCTTAACAACAGTCCCAGGAGCCTTGGCTGTTAAATCGTGGCAGTTTGGATGCCTAGAACACCGAAACTAAACAATTTCTAATATTACACAAGAAAAATCAAAATTTAGTCAGAATTTAGAGCATTGATAGCGCTATCTGTGTCTTTTCGCGATAATGGCTTTGAGTATTAGTAAACGTAAAATTTTGAACGATAAACATATTCAATCAATTAACAAAACTGACGATGAAAAGTTCGTATATATGTATGTATGAGGGTATGTTGATGACATCATGGGACATGTCATTATTACTAAGCAATTTTGTAATGTTAATCAAGAGAAATCTAAAAATTTTATTAAACATAAATAAACAACAAGGTTTACATTGTCAAAATATTTTCTAAAATCTATTAACTGAAATTTGTAATATAAAACAATTAAAAAACAATTAACTGACAATTAACTCATACTTATAGTTATCATAACTAGAGTAAGTAGTGGTATGGGCTCTCCAAACCATATAAGGTCATAAGCGAACAGCGTAGCAAAACAAAACTCACAATATATCACTTTTCTTTTATCTAAATAATCGAGATACTATAAAGACTTAAACAATTTCCTTTGATTATTAAACTGCGATGTCATTTTTGCAATAATTTTTATTGGGTTGTTAGACAAACTTCCCAGACCAAAGAACAGAAAAAATGCATTGTCACATTGCACAGGGAAGCTTAGGAATAACAATTAGACTGTTTGTAGGGATAGAGATAATGATTATCTTCCCTATCGCAGATCTCAGCCTAGCCTATTTAAATGAAGAGACTAGTAGAACAAGTTCTCAGTTAATACGATTCAGTCTAGTAGATCACTCCAAAATGCCGCCACAAACAAAGGACGAAGAAGTTGGTCAGAGGGAAGTAAAAATTCCTGAATGGGTCAAGCCAGAAGCATTTCAGGATCTATTAAAAAACAAGATCAAGGATTACAAGGAAACCAAAGCTCTGAGGGCAAAAGCAGGTGTCGCTGCTGGCGAGAACTATGCCACCGTAATGCTGAGAGTGGAACTCGATGTGGAGACGAAAGGTTTGTCTAGATCTAAACTCAGGGAAATAGTATAATCTAAAAACCCATTTTTATAGACAAAACGGAGGTGACCAAAGCGTTCATGCTGAAAACTCCCCATCATTCTGATGCTTATCGCAGACTCCTAGAAAGAACTGATATCTTCGACGTGGAAAGAGGAATGTATCTGGAAGTGGTTCCCGAACTCGAGCAACTTTATCGTGATGCTGGTCTAGATGTAAAGTTCGGGGCAGAGGCCTACGAGATAGATGCCAGGACTACTATGTCCTATTGGAGGATCTTAGACCTCAAGGATTCAAAAATGTCGATCGCCTTCAAGGTTTGGACCAAACCCATACCGAAAATGTCCTCAGAAAGTTCGCTCAATGGCATGCGGCCTCTGCAGTTCGCGTGGATCTCAAAGGACCATATGAAGAGAAGTATACCAATGGATTTTTCAGGTCGGAAGAAATCATGGAAACATTTAATCGCAGTGCTAACAACTTGATAAAACATATCGAACTGTTTAAAGGACATGAGGATTACATAAAGGATTTGGTAAGAAAAAAAATATTGTAGTATCTGAAGATCCGTTTTGGTATGATTATCTTCTTTTACAGCACATTGTCTCAGGAAAGTTATTGGATGTATTGAATGACATGAAGAAACCAAGCCCCGACGAGTTTAATGCTCTTAACCACGGAGATGGTTGGTCTAATAACATTATGTTCCAGTACAACGATAAAAGCGAGATATTAGATACATATTTCGTTGATCTACAACTTCCAAAATGGGGAACCGTAGCACAGGATTTGTACTACTTTTTACTCTCATCAACCAACCTGAACATTAAAATATCGAAATTCGATTATTTTATTTGGTTCTACCACAGAGAGTTGGTTAAGCATCTAAAACTACTGAATTACTCGAAGACGTTGCCCACTTTAAGGAGCATTCGCAATGATCTGAACAAATACAGTGCTTGGGGTTAGTAATTGAATCTAAAATAATAGATTTTTTTTTCATAATAATCTGTATATTACAGCCTTTGTTTGCTCTGCATGTGTGATGGGATTCGTTCTACTGGACCCCAGAGATGATGCTGATTTCGATAAAATCGTATCAAAAGAAGACTCCAGCTTTTCAAATTCCCTTTTCACCAATCCCAGATATCGGAAACATATGGAAGTCCTACTGCCTTGGCTACAGCAAAGAGGCGCCCTTGGGTAGAACTTAAATAAGTAATTTTTAAAATAATTTTAGTTACTATAAAATTATGAAAAATAAGAAATATATTCATGGAATTATGTATTTTTATTAAATTCACTTGATTTATGCAATCTTAGTTAACTTTTGAATCGAAATTGTAGGCTTTCTCTTCTCTTCCCTAAAAATCATGGTTTCAGTGATATTATGAGTAATATCAACTAAAGCTTTATATATTGTATAACATACAGGTTACAAAACCCTTGAGTTTTCTATCGTCATGACTGTAAAGAGACTGGGATAGAATATATAACAGATTATAGATAGACTATCGCGCACACCCAAATCGCAACTAATTTGTTAATAGTGGGAAAGCTTACAGTTTAGTTAACAGATAAGATAAATGTATTATGTACACTGTGTAAAAAATATCGTAAAAACACTTTCTTTCTTTGGGTAATCATACAGTCTCAAAGTTTCACTAACCTACTAGCGATAAAAGCATATATTATTTTATGTTATATACTAAGCCTTTAATCATGGAATTATTTTTATATTCTCCCAACATCCCACAAACAGCATTGTCATTCCGAGAATATAATCTGTGGGCGTGAATATTTTAATAATTCCCGAGGCATCTACCTTGTCAAGATGTAATAATCACTGTCACTTTTGCACAAACGAATCTAACTCAGTTTGCTGATTGTTAGGTAAGAGATAAAGTTTATCATTATCTCTGTATTTAATTCCCCCTAGACTATTTAAGAGATGTTCCTAACACTCAAAGCTTCTAGTTAGTGCGCTGAAGTCATCAAGATTAGTTCGAAATGACTCCCCAGACAAAGGACGAAGATGTTGACGAAAGGAAGATCACAATTCCTGATTGGGTTAAGCCAGAGGCCTTTGAAAATCTGCTCAAAATCAAGGTCAAGGATTACGAAAAGACGAAAGCAATGAGAGCCAAAGCAGGAGTGGCTACTGGAGAGAACTATGCCACCATAATGCTGCGAGTCGAGCTGGATGTTGAGACAAAAGGTAGGTATTAGTATGTATGATATATCTATAATTGATATTAAAAAAATCCTCTAGATAAATCACAAACCACCAAGGCATTCATGCTTAAAACTCCTCATCAATCTGAGTTGTATCGCAAAATGATCGAAAAGACGGATATCTTCGACGTGGAGCGTGGAATGTATCTGGAAGTGGTTCCTGAACTGGAGCAACTGTATCGCGATGTGGGTGTGGAGGTAAAGTTTGGAGCAGAGGCCTACGAAATAGAAGCCAGCGATTACTATGTCCTGCTGGAGGATCTTAGTCCTCGTGGTTTCAAGAACATTAATCGCCGGGAAGGCATGGACCAAGCTCATACAGAAAGTGTCCTTAAGAAGTTCGCCCAGTGGCATGCGGCTTCTGCGGTCAGAGTCGAAAGAAAAGGACCATACGCTGAGAAGTACACGACAGGTTTTTTAAAGAACGAGGAAATCGTAGATGCCTTCTGTAATCGTAGTTTGAAAGTCTTTTTGAATTATGTCGAAGAGTCCAAAGTTTTTGAGACCTATCTGAAGGATTTGGTGAGTAAAGATATCCCAAGACCTTTATATCTCTAAATCTTATCTTTTATCTCTCACTGCAGCGCATTGCCTCTGGTAAAACATTGGAAATTGTGGAGAACTTAAACCATCCGAAGCCCGATGAGTTCAATGCCTTGAATCATGGCGATGGCTGGGCCAATAACATTATGTTCCAGTACAATAAAAATAACGAGATAGAGAACACATATTTCGTTGATCTGCAAGTCCCCAAATGGGGAACAGTGGCGCAGGATTTGTATTACTTCCTGTTGTCCTCTACAAGTTTAGATGTAAAAACCTCCAAGTTTGATTACTTCATTTGGTTTTACCACTCAGAGTTGGTAAAGAACCTCAAGCTGCTGAATTACTCAAAGCAACTTCCTACTCTGAGAAGTATTTACGATGCTCTTAACAAATATAGTGGATGGGGTGAGTTACCACCTTTAAATTATATCTTTCAGTTCTGAAAAATATTTAAATATTTCAGGATTCATCTGCTCTTCAACTATAATGGCTTATGTTCTGTTGGATCCTGTTGATGGAGCTGATTTCGATAAGGTCCTTGGTGATGACGATTCCACTTTTAAGAAAACACTTTACAAAAATCCCAGGTTCCAGAAACATATGGATGTACTATTGCCATGGCTTCAACATCAAGGGGCAATGGAATAGGAGTTCAAAATTTGAAATCTACTCATTTGTTTATTAAAAAAGTAAAAATGGTCTATTTTATTTGTAAGGACAGGAACCCAAGTAGCTAGTTGAAAGATAAGATATACGTTGCAATATTGTGCATTATCTAACAGATAACTTCTCAACAGATAACATCATTGATAATACAAACTAAAGCTATGTTTACCTATATATAATATTACCCGGAAGAATGTATTCTATGTTTTTAGAGTTTTATATTTGTTATAATAGCCTCAAAGTTTGGGAATAAAATCTAAGTAAATTTCGGATTTTGTTCATCGTTTTCATTGTTGAACTTTACGTATAATTATAAATCGCTGTTGAATTACTATAATTTTATAATTTATGACAAAAAGTTGAGAAGCTCAAATATGGGTTTGTTTATGTATGTCTAGAACCCCACGTTTGTTTTGGTCTCCGTGTATGTCGGTATGTTTATTAACACTACTCTGCCGGCTCTCTTTGTTCTCTCGCGTCAAGCTTTCAAAGCTTTCTGATCGGCCTTTGTTTTGGCCCTGGACAAAGAGATAAAGGCGAACCGGCCGGCAAATCAACATTCAGTTTATTCACAATGTCGGAGGAGACGGTTCCATTGCCCACCTGGCTGAAAGCCGACCTGTTTGAGAAATTGCTAAGTGAGCAATTTGGGGATAAGTATGCTGGAATCAAGAGCTTCAAGCCGGTGGCCGGTCTCAAGCCAGGGGAAAATTACTCCTCCATTATGCTACGCCTCCACTTTGAAGTCGAACTAAAGGGTGAGTCAGTGTGAGTCATTGCCATGGCAAACAATGGGAAGTTAAGCCAACATTTCGTCGCCAGATCACACCATCGAAAATGTTAGCTTTATGATGAAGACTCCACACGATTTCGAGATGTACCGGGAAATTCTGAAGAAGAACAACATGTTTGTGGTTGAGCGAGATGTGTTCCTGCAGGTGATACCCGAGCTGGAAAAGATGTATAAGGATGCGGGGCTGGAGGTTCAGTTTGGTGCCAAGGCCTATGAAATCGATGCTCCCGATGAGTATGTTCTCCTCCAGGACCTTAAACCTTTTGGTTTCAAGAATGTCGATCGACTTGAGGGTCTGGACATGATCCACACAAAGTGTGTTCTAAAAAAGATGGCTCAGTGGCATGCTGCATCGGCCAATAGGCTTCATCTTAAAGGTCCCTATACCCAGAACTACTTGCAACCCACCTATGCTGATAGCATGAAGGATAACATCGAACAGGTGGCAGATACCTTGGGAAAGTACTTCCTCAAGTGTCTCCCTCTATATGAGGGCTACGAGGAGTATAGCGAAGCGGTGGTAAGTACTCTATTATTTTAACTACCTAATTAAACTTAATATTACTTTTATGTTCTTTCTAGCACAAGATGCAGCCTAAAATAGTGGATCTGATTTATGCCATGAACAAGCCAGATCCAGCGGACTTCAATGCTCTAAATCATGGAGATTGCTGGGCGAACAACATTATGTTCAGATACGAGGAAGAATCCCCCGAACCAGCCGAGACCTTCTTTGTGGACCTTCAACTGCCAAAGGTGACCTGCGTGGCCCATGATCTGATGTATTTCCTTCTCGGATCGACGAAATACGAAATCCAATTGAGTCAATTCGATTACTTTATCAAGTACTATCACGATCAGCTGATCGAGCACTTGCGATTGCTAAATTACCCGGCTGCAAAGACACCTTCGCTGCGTTTCCTGCACACTCAACTGCTGAAACATGGACAAGTTGGTATGCCAAAAGCTCTCTCTCACACACTCTCTCTCTCCCTCTCTCTCTCTGAAAAGCTGTTGATAATTTTTTTTGTTTGATTTTTTCTAACTTAGGATATCACACTGTCTTGATGCTCTGCCCTCCTGTTCTGCTCGATCGAACTGATGATGCCAATTTGACTGACTTCGTCACCGAGTCGGATAATGGTGATGGTCTCAAGATGGCCATGTATTCCAATGCCCGATATAAGAAGCATGTTAGCGCCATTTTGACATGGATGAATAACCGAGGGGCTTTTCAGTTCTAAGTAAAAATGATTGTCGATATGACAACTATTATACTAATCCAAACTGATTACTAACTGTCTCTTTTGTTTTAAGAGCTTAAATGAACAGAAAACAAATTAAAAATAAACAATGAAATTAACTAACTACAAGCAATTGTATTAAATTTGATTTACATTGAATAAAAATTGAAATATTATATTTTGTATATCAACTAAATTGAATTTTTTTAATGATAATTTCGGAGTTCATGTAAAATTTGTATAGAAATTAATGAGTTGACAAGGTCGTTTTCTCTAAAGTAATTAAGGCCTTAACTAACTATCCCATTAAAGGCAACTCAAAATAAATTTAAAACCCAAATTGTGCCTAGTTGATGCCTTCATTTAGTGGGATTACTAAATTATCAAATAATAATTTATTAATTGTATGACTCGTATGCAGAAATCACAGGTGAACCCCGGGCAGGGGGACTTGTCTATCTTTCTACCCGTCACATGTCACGCCCGCAAACAACAATTAATGAGGAATCACGAAATAATTAGAGCGAATGGCGAGCACAAAGAGGAACATGGGTGCCCGATAAAGAAGTCGAATCAGAAGTGGAAACAAGAAACAGTTTTTCGTTATCAATCAAACAACGCCGTTTGCCTCCTTTATCACTTACCATATATATCAACTTGTGTACCTCTCGCTCTGACAGAGTATCTCGCACCCGCTCTCACCAACGCCAATTGCCACTATACTGTATATTTTGCCGGTTTTGGCGAACTGAATTACAAAATAAACTTCAATCGAATGCAGGTGATAAGGAATTTCTTTGGCCATAGCCAAATCGGGGCACTAGCGCTGGTCCCGAGTAACGCGACTCGTATTTCCCACTCGACAGTTGCCCGGACTGCAGTCGACCGATCCATCAGCACGATTCCCGCTCCGTTTACCTATTAAGGAAAAGGTTTGCTACCGTTGATTGTGTTTTCCCAGTGACACATATTCCCCGAGGGATCCAATCTCTCAGTTTAGACCAACAGCTATCGGCTCATATTGCTATAAATATGTAGCTCAGATTGGTCTAAAATCTAGTATACCAACTGTTATTATAGTGGAAAGGGTGAATCTAAGTGGAATTAGTTAATGAAACAAGTTTGGTGAATAGAAGTTATTGAAAGTGAAGTTATTTGTTCCTTAAAAACCAATATTTGTTCCTGACCAACTGGGATCCCCCAGACACTGTATGTCGTAATGCAGTAAAACACACAGCAGGTGTTTCACTACCTGACATGTGACCTGATTTATGATTTTTGTTCATTAAATAGCGATAATTCTGATAATTGCCTAATCAACGAAAGCCTTACCAACGTTTGGTAATTACCAGCATTGGAATCGGCAAAGTTTGTTAAATCACGTATACGTACCTATATTGATAATGATTTGCATTATTTGAGCTTTGAAACGATGTATTTTTGATATAAAAGGTAGTAATAGAGTTCATTTTAACTACTCCTAAAACGAAACCCTAGATTATCAGGTATTGCACCCATAATCTTTGAGTATTTAACAAACCTCTTGAAAAGATATTTAGTAGTTGTGTTTACTAGTTTGACTCAGTCCTTAATTGCAATGATTAGTTCTGTGCACAATACTAGTACTGTATTCCTTAAGATAACCATTACTTCTTCAAGAAAACTTCTTAGAAAACCTTTTCAGAATTGCCCCAAGTTGCTGGTCCTTCACTTGTAGAGAAACATTTACTGCAGCAATAAATGTACTTCAATTATGGTAATATATAGCCGATCCATTATACCTCTCAAGATAATGTTGTTGTCAAAATAGTCAAATGATGCAATTTCTTAAAATATAAAAAGCTTGAAAGAATCTTTATAACCTGGGATGGGCCAACATCAAATTGCATTTTATTATTCAAATATTCCGCGCCTTCACCACAAATAAAACCGCAGTGGCGCCACCTATGAGTGATGTTGGTCTAATAACTGTTATGTTAGCCATGTTAGCAATCAAGGCACTTTAATCATTGTTATCAGCTCGTTTGTGCTTTGAATTCGAGTAAATAAATCGCGGTCTTTTATGGTAGATCCATCATGTCTGAGGCCACCAATGGACACAGTGAGGTGCCAGCCAGCAACCTGCCCAAATGGCTGGCCAACATTACTCTGGAGAAGGCGGTTACAGCCCAGATCGGTGACTTTGAGAAAATCATTTCGGTTACTCCCAAAAGTGGCAGCAGCGAAGGTGAAAACTACTCTTCCCAGTTCCTCCGATTGCTGGTTGAAGTAGAGCTGCTCGGTAAGTTAACATACAATCCAATCCGTCGATTATCATTATAACTAATCACTCTTCTTCCCTCCAGATCACAGCACTAAGAGCCTTTCCTTCGTCCTGAAAGCTCAACACAACAACGAGGTAATGGCCGCCATTCTGGCGAGGTTGAAGCTTTTCTATAAGGAGGAACAGATGTACCACAACATTATTCCCAAGTTCGAGAAGCTTTACGCAGATGCCGGAAAACCTATTCAGTTTGCTCCTCATGCTTTCAAGGTTGATCGTGACCTGGGAGAGGAATACATTCTGCTGGAGGATCTGCACCGCAAGAACTTCAAGAACGCCAATCGTTTGGCCGGTCTGGACCAAGATCATGTACAGAAGGTCCTCGAGAAGTTGGCCGCTTTCCATGCAGCATCTGCCTGCTATGTAGAGCACTACGGTCTCTTTGGCGAGGAGTTCACTGTGGGAGTTTTCAGCGAGGCTAACCGCCAGTTACTAACCGAATTCAATGCCTCTGGTGCCTTTTTGGCCCAACTTAAGAAGTGGAAAAATGCTCAGAAAATCTATGAGAAGTTGGTGGGTATTCTTTAATGAGAAATCATAAGATTGATGAGAATAATATAATAATTGTTGGATATTTTTAGGCTGATAGCGATGACTACTTGGTGGATCGTCTGCTGCAGGATCAGCAGTACAATGCCAGGCAATTCAATGTGCTCAATCACGGAGATTGTTGGGCCAATAACATTATGTTCCAGCACGATGCTTTTGGAGCTATCAAAGAGACTCTCTTCGTAGACTTTCAAGTGGGAAAGTACGGAAGTCCGGTAAGAAAGTATAAAGAATAATTCTAAGTAATTCAATTAATCACTTTTTCCCCTCTAGGCCAATGACCTGTACTACTTCATCTTGTCATCGGCTGCCCCTGAGTTAAAAGTAGCCAAGTTCGACTACTTTGTTCGTTACTACTTCGAACATCTTATCGAGAATCTGAAGCTGCTGCAGTACCACCGACCACTGCCCAAGTTGGCCAACCTACATGCCTCTCTATTCCGCAATGGATTGTCAGGTGAGTTCTGCCCTATCTACATTATATAATTATTATTAATAATTCTGGGTATATAGCTTATATGGTGGTATCCAAAGTACTACCCGTGGTCATGCTGGACAAGACAAACAACGCCAATCTGGAGAGCTACATGAGTGACGAGTCCAAAATGAAGAACTCCATGTTCACCAACCCGAAATATGTCCAGGTGATGACAGAGGTGCTGCCATGGTTGGATAACCGCGGCCTGCTCGACTGGAAGTGATTACCAACCAAATGTCGTGTTCTAATGATGGATTCGTGCTATAATAATGCTTATTTAATTGCATCATCAAAAAATTGCGTTGTCAGTCAAATATATTACTAACTATATTCAAAATAACCTTTGCCCGGAAATTATTTTAATTTTCAACTTAAGTAGCCAGGTATTTATGTGGCAAGTTTTGAAATAAATTTCAGTCATTAGTTTTATGTTTTCACCTAAAATTCAGGGATAAAAATTGTGTTTTTAAAGCGATGAAAGTTCCGAAAACTCCCGAATGGGTTTCCTATTTGTCTCTTAGTCAGGCGGTAAAGTCTGTCTTGGGGGATAGTGGCCAGATCCTGGCGGTTTTTCCAAGCATTCATCTCATTCAGTTTCGCAACTGCACTGTGCTCCTGCCCATTCGAGTGAAGGTTCAGCTAGAGGACTATTCGGTAAAGAAGTTATCCTTTCTGCTTAAGGCACAGCATGGCACCCATTATCATTCCAGGCTAATGAGCCAACTGAAGTTGTTCCAACGGGAACACCAGATGTACCACAATATCTTACCGAAGCTGGAGGAACTCTACACAGAGGTGGGCAAGGAGGTATCCTTTGGCCCGAGGGCCTTTAAGCTTGATTATAGCATCGGGGTTCAGTACATTTTGATGGTGGACCTAAAGTCACGAGGATACAGGAATGTGGATCGGAAGGAAGGCTTTAATAGAAAGTGCCTGAAGCAAGTGCTTAAAAAGCTAGCTCAGCTGCATGCTGCCTCCGCCGTGTTCGTGGAAAAGAACGGAGAGTTCCAGAAACTATTAACCAACGGAGTCTACACAAAGACCAATCAATCTGTTCTTCACGAACTGCACAATCCCGATCCTTTCCTTTCGCAGTTACGACGATGGCGTTTGGGCGACCATTTCCACAAACGGCTGGTGGAAAAGGAGCAGGACCTTACCGATCGGTTAATGGAGCTCCATACTTCCAATACCAATCAGTTCAACGTCCTTAATCATAGCGACTGTTGGGTTAACAATGTAATGTTTAAGTTTGACCGTGCAGGAAATGTAGAGGACACTGCCCTGCTTGATTACCAGGTGGTCAAATACGGATCCCCGGTACGTCTTTCCACTTATTTGCTTTTATTTGAATCCCTTCTAACTAACTTTAAACCGATATCAGGCCAATGATCTGTACTATACCATCCTTTCATCCGCCGCGAAGGACATTAAGCTGGCTCAGTTTGATGATATGGTCAATTATTACTTCTATCATTTGCTGGATAATCTCAAAACTCTAAGCTACCCAAGGACACTGCCACAGTTCAAGGATATTCAAGATGCTCTCAGTAAACATGGCCTGGCTGGTGAGTATATAGCGTACTATGAGCCAAACTTAATCTAATGAATTGTTTTTAACTTTAGCCTATGTGGTGGTGACTCGGGTAATGCCAATTGCGATGATGAATCAGTTCGAGGACGAGGTCAACGAGCGATACGCCTCTAAAATGAAGTGTGCCATGTTCACCAGCCGGAAGTATATCCAGGCGATGAAAGATATTCTGCCCTGGATGGAGAGTCGAAACCTACTCAATTAAAATAAAACTAAAAATTAGTAAATTTTTAAAGTGTCATTAATTAAAGAAAAGCCTGTTACAAAATTTGGTATAAATTTAAATTCTTAGATAAGCTTTATTAAATGGTAGAGCTATTCATAGAGCGTCCATTGTTTCAGGGACAAGGTCTTTGTCATATTCAAACCAAATAGTTAATAAACTTAATTATCTCGCCTTATCAATACTGTTTTGAGTGATTTTCGATTAAAGAGCCAGTCATGTTCGTTGGCTTTTTTTACACATTATTTCGAATGTTCGAAAGCGGTTTACGTTTGCCATTGATAAGGTAATCGCTGACGACAAACTAATTTTAATTGAGCCTCAATCGAAGCTGATAATATTTATTATCAGGCCACCACGACCATAACCAAAAGCTCGTGGCACACTCCCTGAACTTGGACGAGCCTCAGTTATTCCGATTTGGGATGACGGGGCGGGTTCAATTAACATTTCTCACTTCTAGACTGTATAGGATGACTTTGTATCAAAATATGGGTTGCCACAATGAACAGTATTTGTGAGGAATTTTAATTAATTTGTTGGACAACAAGTGGCTATCTATGTCAACATCAGCAGTATGAATATTGACAGAGATCATGCACATGTATAGAATTACAAAGAAGGTTGATTACTTTAGCTGGTTTTTGTTATGGCTATTCGATAGTTAAGCTTAATAGTAATAAAATTTGCATACGTCACAAAATTTGTTTATTTCTAAAGTCCAATAACAATACTTTAATCTCAAATTATTAAAATATTGATAAATAGTTTAAGAAATATTGCATACTTTCAAGATTAACTAGTTTCTTCCGCTTCATCATTCATTAATTATTCACTTTTCCGTATCAAGTCAAGACTTTTTTTGCTAATAATCATTACACTTATATTGAAACTACTTCATTGGCTATTTAACCAGAGCCAATGAAGACCCAACTTCAGTATCAAATTGTGCCTTCGAATCAACAGAACCTTTTGTCTAACCAGGAATTCCGTACCCAAAAAAGCGGTCAGTAAATGATAATAATCGAACTGAATATTTCAGTCCATTGTACTATTCAATATAGTTTGGTCTAATCGTTTTTCCATCAATTTATTAATTACAGTGTAGTCATGTCGGCGAAACCAATCAATCCCAATGAGCACTTGGACATTCCACAGTGGATTAATGAGGACTACTTCCGACCCATTCTCGAAAAAGATGTGGATAACTTTGATAGAATAGTGAATTTCACTAGGATTGCAGCCACGGCGCCCGGAGAGAACTACACCTCCATTATGGTTAGGGTGGTGTTGGATATATTGTTCAAAGGTAAGAGAAAGCCCCTTCATTTTCCTGGACTATCAACTAACCTTAGTCAAACTTAGATGGCAGCCAAGGACAAACGTCGTACATTTTGAAAACTGGGCTGGATATCAACAAAGGCGGCGCCATGGTCAATCAGATGGGAATGTTTCCGAAGGAGAAGGAAATGTACAAGGTACTTGTTCCGCAGTTTGTGAAGCTTTTCAAGGATGCTGGTCAGGATATTGAACTAGCACCGAAGTGTGTCCACACTGAGGAAACGCCGGAGAGAATAACTCTCGTTTTCGAGGATCTTCGTCGGAGGAATTTTCAGAATTTCGACCGCCTCAAGGGATTCGACTTGCCACATATACGTTGCGTGCTCCGCAAGTTAGCCGAACTTCATGCGGCATCAGCAGTTTATAAGGAATTGTGTGGTCCCTATGATGATATGTTCTACAAATCATTGTTTTCGGAACAAAATCGAATGATGGCCACAAAGCTAAAGGAGTTGCGAGACCCAGGCTATATCAAGGCAATGCGCGAATGGGGCATTCCAGAAATTGAGAAATACATTAATAAATACCCCTCACCCTCCAAGTTCTTTGATAACGGAATCAAAATCAATCAAGTGGAAGAAAATGAATTCAATGTGCTGAACCATGGCGACTCATGGTCGAATAACTTAATGTTTAATTATAAAGAGAACGGAGAGATTGATCAGACCATCTTCGTGGATCTACAGCTATCCAAATGGGGAACTCCAGCACAGGATCTCCTATACATGATTATCACATCGGCCTCTTTGGACATTAAGACCAAGGAGTTCGACCATTTCATTCAGATCTATCATGAACGTTTAGTGGAGTGCCTGAAGCTTTTAAACTACACAAAACGTATTCCCACTCTGAAGGACATGCATATCATGATCTTCAAGTACGGCTCTTGGGGTCAGTAATTTAATGTTTACCTAAGGCTAATGACAAACTATATGAGAATTACTGTTTCACAGCATTCAATACAGCCACTGGAGTACTGGTGGCCACTTCGATGCCTTCGGATAAGGACTCCAACATGGACAATATGATGGCACCTGGACCCGAAGCTGATGCCATTCGCCATAAGACTTTCATAAATCCTTACTATGTAAAGGCCATGCAACAGCTGCTTCCCTTTTTGGATAGGAAGGGTCTTCTAGATTTTGAATAATCTTCATTTTCACTACATTTAAAATATTTTTTGTATTTATAAGCAATAAAAAAAACTTAACAATAACTAAGTACGTTTAAAAACAAGATTCAGTTAACCGGAAAAAAGATGAATGATGAAATTGGTTTAGAAAATACATCCAAAATTCAAAGTTCTTGCTGATATTGAAAGAAATTCCATATATCCCCTAGAAAAGCATATGATTAAAATGACTAACTGATAAGATAAGTATAAGCTTAGTCGTTTAGAAAGGCCTAAAACAAAAAGTTAACCTAAAATAATCCAAATTAATTTGTGGGGGTCAACTATGGTGACTTTTATGAATACGGATAGAGATTTGGGCACCGATTACATTGGTTTTATTGTTACCTTTGTTCTACATTGTATTTAGAATCGACAGTCTGGCCCGCCTTACCAGAAACCAGTTTATGCTATCAGTTCGGCCCAAGCACACAGGCACACGGCTCGCTACACTTGTCGCTGGGTCTATTAGTATAAAAGTGTAGGAATCGGACGGAGAGTTCAGTATTTGTTTGTCGTTAGAAATCGTCGGACACAGCCGCAGTCTCTTCTCCGTGCGGGAATTTAAATTCAAATTAGAAATCCCCAAAGTCGGTCAGTAATAAATAACAATTGTAGCAAATTTGTTGGGCGATTCGCAGACTTAAATCATTTAACGCGGAAATACATTTTTGCTTGGCAGAAAAATTACGGAAATAAATTGTCCTGAAAAAATTCTCTTTCCGGGTTAATATAACTATTATTAAATAATAATAAAAATAGTTGTGAAATAGACGTTGAATTCTGGAACTGGCATAAATATCAATATAAAAACTACTTAATTGTCATTGAAATGAAAATGTCTTCTAAACAAGACAAAAGCGAAAAGAAAGTAAACCGCTATTGAGTTTTAGACTTTGATCACCCAACAACCTGTTCAATATAACGTTTTTTACATAACATAGTGCTTTCTCATTCGTTAACTGCAATTAAGATGATTTAAAAATTCAATGAAATTGTTTAATTACTGTGATCTTGAACTGCTGATCGTTTCCGCTGAGAGTCAACTAATTGATCTCCCGATTACAGATTCAGCACCAACAATGTCGCCGAATACCAAGTCGGAAAAGCCTGTCAATCCAAACGAATACCTGCACATTCCAAAGTGGGTGAATGGGGATTACTTTCTACCTATTATCCAGAAGGATGTAGAAAATTTCGACAAAATTATAAACTTTACACCGATTGCGGCCACTGCACCGGGGGAGAACTATACCTCCATTATGATCAGGGTCATCGTGGATATTCTGCTGAAAGGTTAGTTCGTTTTCTCTAGTTTTCTAGTTCAATATTTCTTTATTTTAAAATATTAAAATTGATCCTTTTCAGATGGCAGCGAGGAGAAGGTTTCATACATTCTGAAAACTATGCTGGAGGCTGACAGCGGAGCAGATGTGGTCAACGGAATGGGACTATTTCCCAAGGAAAGAAAAATGTACGAAGTGCATATCCCTCAGTTCGTAAAGCTGTACAAGGAGGCTGGCCTGGATATTGAATTGGCACCCAAGTGTCTTCATGTCGAGGCCACAGCCGAGCTGATCACCCTGGTCTTTGAGGATCTGAGCCGACAGAAGTTTAAGAATATTGATCGTCTGAAGGGATTTGACCTGGCGCATATGCGTCAAGTTCTAAGAAAACTTGCTGAACTGCATGCCGCCTCCGTGATTGCTAGGGAAATCAATGGCCCCTACGATCCGCTGTACTCCATGTCCATGTACAACGAACAGAGCCGTGCGCTTTTTGAGGCTCTGGGAGAGATGCGCCAAGTGCAGTTCCTCAAAGCGATGCGACAGTGGGACCTCGAGAATGTAGAAAAGTACATTGACAATATGTGGAGTCCGTTGGAGGTATTCGAGGAAGCTCTACGAATCAATCAGGTCGACGAAAGTGAGTTTAATGTGCTGAACCACGGAGACTGCTGGTCCAACAACATCATGTTTAACTACAAGGACAATGGTGAGATCGATAGAACCTTATTCGTGGATCTGCAGATCGGCAAGTGGGGCAGTCCGGCCCAGGACCTTTGGTATCTGATCACCACATCTGCCTCGCTGGATATCAAGGTCACGGAGTTTGATCACTTCATTCAGATCTATCATGAGCGCCTGGAGGAATGCCTGAAGCTTCTTAACTACACAAAGCCTATTCCCACTCTTAGAGGTCTACACATCATGATGCTGAAATATGGATTCTGGGGACCCCTGACAGCCATGGGTGTGATGGTGGCCACACTCATGCCGACAGACAAGGATGCTAATATGAAAATGATGATGGCCCCAGGACCCGAGGCGGATGCCCTACGCTACAGAACCTTTATCAATCCCTATTACGGCAATGCCATGAAATTACTATTGCCCTTCTTCAACAACAAGGGTCTTTTGAAGTAGTCTTAGGTTCTTATTCCCCATCCCAATCCCATTTTACAGAGTAGCCAATTCGTTGTGATATCATATATCATAAGATCAAGCAATAAATATGAATTTGTATATAATTTAAACCTACATTTTTGCCAGTTTCCATTATTAATTCGCTTGCTCGAACTTCGAGCCGTAAGCAAGTTGCTTGTCACAGACTGGGGAAACAATCATGATGACTTGCTTAAATTGGAGACGCGAGCGATGAGCTTGGTATGGGGGAATTTTTTTTATGGTAAAGTCCAAAGAGAAAATGATTTCAGCCAATAGTATTTTATTAAAGTACCAATTTCTCAAATCTCACTACGAATTTGTGGGTGTCAAAACCGCATTCGTCACGAGAGTGACGTATGTGCTAACAGCAATACGCAGTTGTTGATCGTTGTTATCAATCCATGGTTATCAATCAATTAGCAGAAATAGACATTGACAAAGTGATAACCATTTATAAGCGTTAATTCTCATTAACTAAAAACTGATAACAGAAAATGTAATTATTAGTTCTTAATCATCTTAATCTCAACTGCTCAGTTTGGTCTTAAAACCGCACTTCTTTTCCACGCTTAATATATTATATCTTAAAACCGCTGATTTGATCATTCGGAAAAATTCCATAAAATAAATGCACTCCCTACCCATAGCATTGAGTAACTGCGTCATAATGGGGCTTTAATTGCCCTGGGCCAGTCAGTCTATATAATTAGGAACACGCAAATAATTCTCATTCGCTGGGCTTCCAGATGAGCGACCATAGAGAAATGCAAATTAGCGATTCTAATGAGGCAAACATTTTGATTGTTTGTTTTCGAAATCATTTGTTAGCTTAGACTGACACGAGTTTCTGTAGAAACGTGCTCAAAATACTAGAGCTAGAGATGAATATTTATGTATTCCGAAAGAGAAAGTTGAGAGTAGGGAATGGGACTAACCTTTTATTATCATTTATTTAATCACCATACTCAGAATAAACATTTTGTTTAGCTTTATAAAGCTTCATATTAGTAACATATTTAGCTATTTGAAAGGTAAATACTGTTTCTATATTTGCAAATTTCACTTTATATATTGATTACTAAGGCATTATAAAAAATCCATCTTTAAGCTTTTAGCTTGCCAAATCTATCCAAACGGGCCAGCAAGATTTTCACCTCTTTAATGTAGCCCTCAGAATATGAGCATTTTCTGCGCTTTTCCTCATTCTGAAGCAAATCACCAAAGTCAAATAACTTATCCTTCAATGCCCACATCAGAGGCAGGAATGTGCTTATAAGGAAGAACTCTAAAGTGATTATAGAAAATATTTTGATAAGATTACTAGCTATTACTTTGAAACAGATAACTTACCATAGTATTTGTGCTGATTAAACCGCTTCCACAGCCCCGATTGGGTGGGCATTTTACCCTTGTATCCAATTTTCTTTAAAACATCCTCCAAAACGAAAAAATAATAGTCGATAATATCATCATAGTGTTTCCAGCGATGGTCGGGTTCCATAAGCATATATATAGAATATGCCAGATCGAATGTCAAAGGGAAAAGATTGGAGATTTGAAAGTCCAGCAGCATGCAGTCCTCAAAAGATCCTGGGTCCTTATACTTGAACATAATGTTTCGAAGGTGTAGGTCACCATGGCAAAGTACCCTGTAAGGGTCTGCTTTCGGGTTGTTTCGGGATACTTTCCACTCTGCCATAAGGCGATCCAAGAAATCTTCCTTGATGCTTTCGAAATAAGGTTTGTACTTCATAAGCTCCGGTTCCTTGCCCAAAAGGTCCACGAAAAATTCCATTCCAGTTTTCATGAAGGGTTCATTGAAAACATGTGGCATCTCAAAAAGACCATGGGTGTAAGGCTCCAGAAAATCTGGTTGCTGGAATAATATTGACGATTGCAGACTTGATTACTTCTTTTTCAACTTACCTCATTCTGCACTTTTAAGCTAGCTGCATGCCACTTGGCGAGCTTGAAGTAGACACGATGTATCTCATCTAAGGTGGCATCACGATCTCTCAGCACAAAGTAACCCATCTCCACGAGATCCTCAAAGATCAGAACCTGATGCGGCTCTAGGCTATGATATATACAATTCGTAAAAAGCTTAGTGCTATCACCAGCCTGCCGAAGAATCCTCTCGAATTCGGGCAGCACCTTCGAATACATGGCCACCTCTGTTTCGAAGATGGGCGATCCTCCAATCATCTCCTTCTTGTGACCCTCCGCCTCTGGCATCGTCTTAATGATCAGAGACTTTGCAAACTCCCCCTTCTTGTTGGTGTACTTGACCTTGGCCCTGAACATTATGCTGGCATAGTGATCTCCCTTGGCACTAGCCGGTCCGAAGGTCAAGTCGATAACCTTAACCACCGGTTCCTTTTCATGGTGTCCCAGAACAGAAGCTATGAACTCTGAGTTGAGCCAGTGAGGTGGCACCAATTCGTCATCATTGAACTGAGTTACGTCGGGGTTCCCGCTCATTTTGTTTACTAACTTCTAGTTCAATTTCCAAGAGAGAGGGTACTGAATAAAGCTCGATTTTGCTTATGTTTAAATTGACTTTCAGAGATATTTTCGATTTTGAATGAAATTGAGTGGGCTTTTAAGAAGCTTTTAGTGAGAGATAAAGGTGAGCTTTTGTTTTGTTTTGAAATACTTATAGTTCATTCTCTCTTAGTTTAGTTATTAGAAGAGAAGATATTCTCTTTCTAACACCATCATTTAGTATATATTTTAAGATAAGATAACAAGAGGGGGATTAGTAAGAGTAAGTAAGACAGATGATCATCATATAAACAATCAATCCAAAACAAAACAATCAATCCAAAAACATTTTTTATTAATGTACTTAAAAATATAACGTTTAAGAGAGCGGTTCGTAATTTTCTAACAGTTTTATTGTCTGTTTTTGGTTAACTTCTTGTTCATGAATATCTTTTATAAATTTCCAATCTTAAAGATCTTCAAAATATCCTGATCTTTCGAATCTAGCCAGCATTATCTTACATTCTTCAATGTAATCTTTTAATTTTTGATCTGTTTCTTGGTTATAATTGCCACCAAGGCTAAGGCCCACCGACATTGGCAAGTAAGTGCTTAGGAAGAGGAATTCTAAAATCAAAATAATCCTATATAGTTTGACAAAATTCAAAAAGAGAAGCACCTTACCGTAATCCTTAAGGCGTTTCATTTCCGACCAGAAAGCCAGAGGAGTAGGCATTACTCCCTGGTAATCAATCTTTCTAAGAGTCTGTAGAAGGACGAAAAAGTAGTAGTTAAGTAGGGTCTCCAGCTCCCCAGTACGCTGTTCCCGGTTCATCAACATGTAAATGGAGTACATTAGGTCCACTGCCAAAGGAGCAACATAGCATCCCTGGTAGTCCAGCAACATGCAATCCTCGAAGGATCCAGATTTCTTATTGTGTTTGAACATTACATTTCGGGTGTGGTAATCCCCATGGCAGAGAACGTAGTAACCTGGTTGGGGATTCGTCTGGTACTCCTTCATAACGTCTTTGAGTCTGCCAATAAAGCTAGTACCTATCTTCTCAAAGTGCGGCTGATATTTTTTCAGTTCAGAAATCTGACCTAAAAATTCAGTAAACGGAGCCGCACCTGAGTTCATATAGGGAATGTCTACAAGACAAATTCCATCATTGAACTCCTTAAGGAACTCAGGTTGCTGGGGCAGGAATTAGTGCTGTAGTTAATGTATCTTAAATATAATTTTCAAGTTCTTAAGTACCTCGTTAATGATTTTCATGCTGGTTGCATGGATTTTAGCCAGCTTGGACAAGGCACTAGATATCTCCTGATGCGAGAGAGCACGATTTCTTGCCATTTCATAGCCCAACTCTACGAGATCTTCAAAAATTATAACCTGTCGCGGCTCGAGGCTATAATATACACAGTCTGCATATAGCTTGGATGTATCACCAGATTCTCGAAGTATCCTCTCGAACTCGGGCAGAACTTTCTTATACATCCCAATTTCAGTTTTAAATAGCGAAGAACCGGCAAACATTTCGGACACCGTTTTGATAATCAGTGATTTGGAGAAGGTTCCCTTTGGGTTTGTATAATCCACTCTTGCTCGATACATAACACTGGCATAGTTATCACCTACAGAACTTCCAGGGGTGATGACCAAATGGGTAACCTTAAGGTCGATCTCCTTTTTATAGTTATTAAGAACTTCAGTTATGAACTGCACATTCAACCATTCTGGATGGTTTAGCTCGGTGGTATTTTCAGCCATGTTGTTATATATTTAATACTGATTAAAACTTTCCGATGTAAGAGGGACTATTATCATTTGTGCTTCCGATGTAAATATTATGAAAGTTTTGCCTGACGAAATTAACGAAAGTTTGCTTTTGGCTCTAGAGAAACGTGACGGCCAACCGCCCGATAGGAACTGAAATCATCCACTCTCTATCCCTCTCTTGAAATTGGTTTGTTTTGAGCTTTAAAGCTCTGGAAATTTTATTGAAATATCCATATGGGTTTGCTTACAGTTGGCTATAAAATCATTTATTTTATTAATGGTCGTTTAATACTTTTGTACCTTTCTTGCATTGGTAGTTTGTATATATTCCTATTTACAAACCCTCAAAATAACCAGACTTTTCGAATCTGGCCAGCATTAGTTTTGATTCTTCAATAACATCTGTTATTTGATAATATTTTTTACGAGTTTCTGGATTGAGAATCGCATCCTCGATATCCATGCCATAAGTTCTAATCCCAATAGACACGGGCAGGAATGTGCTCAGCAATAGGAACTCTATAATTGATATATTATTCTTTATATTGTTAAACAGATCTTCAAAAATCGACCCTTACCGTAATATCTATGGCGTTTCATTTCCGCCCAGAAGCCATTAGTAGTAGGCATTGCCCCCTTGTAGCCTATCTTCTTGAGAGTCTCTAGAAGAACAGAGAAGTAATAGTTTAACAAAGTCTCCAATTGACCGCTTCTCTGTTCAGTTCCCATCAACATGTAAATGGAGTACATCAGATCCACGGCCATTGGAACCACATTGCATCCTTGGTAATCCAAAAGCATGCAATCCTCGAAGCATCCAGTTTCCTTATTGTGTTTGAACATCATGTTGCGGGAGTGATAGTCTCCATGGCAGAGAACGTAGTATCCTGACTGGGGATTGGTTCGATACTCCTGCATGATATCCCTCAGGCGGTCTTTATAGTCAAGTCCTATCTTCTTAAAATACGGTTGGTATTTTTCCAATTCAGGAGTGCTGCCCAACATTTCTGTAAAGGGAGTCATTCCTGAGTTTATTATAGGACTGTCCATTAGTCCCGGCATGTCACACATTCCGTACTTGAACTCCGCAAGGAATTCAGGTCGCTAAAATTATAAGGCAAAAATTTTAATTTTAAAAAAATATGAGTCTTTTTACGTATCCCACTTACCTTATTAATCATTTTCATGCTAACTGCGTGTATCTTAGCCAGCTTAAAGTACGCACTACAAATTTCCTCCTGCGTGAGCCAACGATTTCGCACTATGGCATATCCCATCTCCACAAGATCTTCAAAGATTATCACCTGCCTAGGTTCCAGACTGTGATAGATACAGTCCACATATAGTTTGGTGTTATCATTTACTTCCTGAAGAATCCTCTCCGTCTCCGGTAGCACTTTACTATACATTCCTATCTCTGTTTTGAAATAGAGGAGAATCTGCAAACATATCCTTCTTGGCACCCTCCTCCACAGGCATCGTTTTTATAATTAAAGATTTTTTGAGGGAACCTTTCGAGGTTTTATATTGCACCTTTGCTCGGAACATAATGCTGGCATAGTGATCTCCTTTGGCACTAGCCGGGGTGAAGATCAAATTGGTAACACTTAGATCCGGTTCCTTTTCATAACCACTCAGAACTTCAGTTATAAACTCAACATTCAACCATTCTGGGGGGTTCAGCTCGTCAGCGTTAAAACTATCTTCAGCCATGTTGTCGCACTTGTCGTTATATTGATACTGCTTTAGATTTGTGTGGGAAACTATATCTATATACCTTCGATTTCATGTAATATACGAATTGCCTGGCGAAATCGTTATCAGCTTTGCGCTCTTAAGATACCTGACAAATGGGCCCAAGGGAACAACATTTGTCACGGTCTCCTGACTTTTGTTTTTGTTTGAAGCTTTAAGCTTTTTTATTTTCGACAAACAAAAAATATAGTTTGTTTACTATTATTAAAAGCTTGATATCGTTTGAGTCTTTTATTTTTAAAATGGGTTATCTACTGTATAGTTATATCCCCCTGTATTTGACTAACTAAGGGTCAATGTAAGAGGGGTTCCCAGGCAATGCAAACCTTAACAGATAAATTAAAAAAAATCACGTTTATATAATGCACATATGTAAATGGCGTCCCGCGTTAGATAGCGACGTGCGTGTTCTCTCGCTTGCCAAAGTCGACTGCCACAGCCCTCTTCCCGCTCTCGTTCTGGCGTTTTCACAGATCGTCCCAAAGAGCGAGAGCGATCAGCTGATCGCTCCCCGCTTCCAGCTTCTAGCACATTGGGACAAGCAGTAAGCCGACCACCAAAACATGACAAAAAAATCACTTCAAAGCTTTTAGATATCTTTCACGAACGAAAAAGCTTTTAAAAGTATTTAAGTTTCCCATGAAATTAATCAGTTGAAAGAGAAACGTTGGATTGTGAGTTACGCATACGCAATGACGGACCAAGCTGAAAAGATAGTGAATCCGAACGAGCATTTGGAGATTCCCAAGTGGATAGACGCGGAATACTTCCAGAGGGTTCTGCAGAAAGATGAACCTGACTTTGAGAAGATTTTGAAGTTCAAGCCGGTGGCTGCCATTCCGCCTGGCGAAAATTTCACATCAGTTATGTTGCGGATTCACTTTGATCTTCAGATGAAGAGTAAGTTATAAAAACGAAAAAAATAAATAAAATTTTAATCTTAATATCACCCCAGATGGCAGCACGAAGCACAAGACCTACATTTTTAAGACCATGCTGGCTGAAGAGCGTGGTGGAAAGGAGATTCGCGAAGGTGGCATTTTCGACAAGGAGCTAATGATGTATCAGACCTATCTGCCCGCCTTTGAGGAGCTATACAGCTCCGTCGGAGAGAATATCCAGCTGGCCCCCAAATGCCTGCTTACGGATCAACGTGAGAACGGCATACATTTTGTGTTCGAAGATTTAGGCGTAAAGAAGTTCAAGAATGTGGACCGGATACAGGGTCTGGACCTTGTGCACATGAAGAGGTCCCTTCATAAACTGGCCGAGTTCCATGCGGCTGCCGCTGTTTACGCCGACCAAAAGGGACCATATCCTTCGGAGTTCCAGGAGGGATTCATTGGCAGGGAACACCTGAAGATGCATGAAGAGGGTTTTTTGGTTAAGGCTCGATCTTATCACAAATCCATGACTAACTGGGGATTGGAAGATCCAGAAAAATATATTAACAGCTTTGTAAGTAAGCTTGGAATATTTTTAACATAAAACTAATTTCCGACCATATACACAGCCTACGGTGGAGCAGTACATAAAAATGTGTGAGAGGAACCTGGAGACCGATCCTTTGGCCTTCAACACTCTTACGCATGGTGACTTTTGGTCTAGTAATCTCATGTGCAATTACCTAGCCAATGGTGAAATCGACGAGGTCATCATGGTGGACTATCAGCTGTGCAAATGGGGCAGTCCTGCCCAGGATCTGCTCTTCTTCATTACCCTCTCGGCGGCCAGTGATATCAAGCTGAAAGAGTTTGACAATTTTGTGAGGATTTATTGGGAGCGATTAGTGGAATGCCTAAAGCTCCTTAAGTACCAGAAGCCACTGCCCAAACTGCGTGATCTGCAGACGTCCTTGTACCAGGATACAAATACAGTTTATGGTAGGTTCTTGACTGAAAAATCTTATATAATTTAAACTTATTGAGATTTTTGTATTACATTTTTTAGCTTTTATTGCCATCTTCAACCATCTGCCAGTGATTCAATTCCCCTCCGACAAGGAATCCAATTTGCATTCCCTAATGCGTGACGATGAGGAGGGCGACAAATTTCGCCTGCGGATCTTTACAAATCCAAGTTTCTGCCGTTTAATGAAGGAAATCTATCCATTTTTCTACAACCGTGGCATCTTTAATTTTAATGACTTTGCTTAGGCAACAAATTGTAATAATTATTGTCTTTTTGACAGCTCTTAAATAAACAAATTTAACTTATTGTCGTAATAAATCTTAAGATTCCGTTTACTGGCTAATTTCAATACTGACGTCTTTAGCAAGATCCAACTATAACGATGACTGGCTAAGTTGTAGAAAATTAACGAAAAAACAAACGATCTTAAACTTATGATGATAATGAGCTTGGAAAAAAGTTGATAATAAATATATACAAGGCACTCGTGTTCGAATTAATTGTTTACTATCTATGCCGTAGAAAAAAATAAATTATCTAAATTGATAATTAAATTATTAAGTAACATATGGTGAAATAGTCAAACAAAACCATTCGTTCTGGCTCGCATAAAAGGTGCTTTTATATAGATTTTGATAGTGTATCGAAAACAAACAATGATTAGTCAGTTCCCTCGCTCAATTGGTTGTCAAGGCCGGCAAACCAGCGAAATCTTTATTATGACCATTTTTTAAATACCCTTACAAACACAAAAATATAGGTAGATAGGGTAAATTAAAGTTTAGATTACTTCTAGATTAAATAAGTATCCAAGGAAGCAAGTCATTAGAAATACCCAGCATTCATTAATAAACATAAAAGTGTGAGCATTTTAATCAATCCCAATTGATAAGATTGAGCAGATAGTTTTGATAGTCAAACAAACGTAAAGCACTTATAGGTGTTACCCCACCAAATGAAATAATTTTGGCGATAAGCGACCCTAGAAAAGCTTCGCTGAATGTGTGAGCAAATTCAGTTCTGAACTAGCAGGTGCCGGTAGAGGTTGTGTTAGCCAAATATTAGACAAAATCGTAAAAAATGTCCGAATCCGATGAAATCATTAACCCAAATGAGAATCTCATCATTCCCGACTGGATCAATGAGAAGTACTTCGAAGGGGTACTGGCCAAGGACGAGCCGAATCATGCCAAAATATTGAAGTTCACCGTTGTGGCGGCCATTCCGCCAGGCGAGAATTTCACCTCCACTATGTTGAGGATCTACATAAAATTGGAAATGAAAGGTTAGCTTGTGATAACCCTAATTCAATTAAAATAGTATTTTTAAAAGCCAAATATCCTGACATACCTCTTCATATTACAGATGGCAGCGTCAAGACCAAAACCTATATTTTCAAGACGATGCTGCCCGAGGAGCGTGGTGGCAGCGACATCAACGAGTTTGGACTTTTCCCCAAGGAGGCCAAAATGTACGAAACGTACCTTCCGGCTTTCGAGGCTCTGTACAAGGATGCCGGTTGGGATATCCAGCTGGCACCCAAGTGCCTGCACACTGAGGAGCGTGAAGGCGATATCCATTTCATATTCGAAGACCTGCGTGTGAAGAAATTCAAGAACGTTGATCGCACCAAGGGACTGGACATGGAGCACATGACACACGCTCTGCACAAGCTGGCCGAGTATCATGCAGCAAGCGCTGTCTATGAGGAGCAACATGGTCCCTATCCCAGTGAGTTCAATGAGGGATTCGTGAAAAAGGATGTAAAAAAAGTTCCATTTGGATGGGTTCAAAATCAAGGAGAAGGCCTACAAGAAGGCAATTCTTTCGTGGGGCATGAAGGATGCAGAAAAATACGCCAAGGCGTTTGTAAGTTGCAAGAGATTATATGAGATATCAATCTTTAGTTAATACTAACCTAATCCCCTCAGCCCACTGGTGAACAGTATTGGGCCCAATGTCTAAGCACTTTGGAGCTAAATCCCGATGATTTTCATGTTCTTAACCACGGCGACTTCTGGTCGAGCAATCTGATGAGCAGCTATCTGCCAGACGGAAGCATCGATAAGCTAATCCTTATAGACTTCCAGATTGTCACGTGGGGAAGTCCAGCTATTGACCTGCTCTTCTTCCTCACCCTCTCCCCCGCCAAAGAACTGCGAATCAAGGAGTTCGAGCATTTTGTAAGGATCTACTGGGAACGTCTTGTCGAGTGCTTAAAGGTTTTGAAACTAAAGAAACCTTTGCCAAAGCTACGCGATCTGCAAAGCTCGTTAAACAATAAGAACCATTCGTTCTATGGTAAGATCTAGAAGAAATCATTTTTTATATAACAACATTTAACCAGTCATTCTCCTGTAGCTTTCTTCAGCTTGTTGAATCACCTGCCCATCATTCTCTTCCCCACCGATAAGGACAGCAACCTGCACAACATGACCGCTGAAACGGAGGAGGGTGAAAATCTTCGAGAATGTTTGCTTTCCAATCCCGCCTTCGGAGACGTTATGAAGGATCTCTATCCCTTTTTGTATAACCGAGGAATTTTGAACTTTGAAGACTATGATGTGTGAAATTTTAATAGGCATTAAATTGTTGATAAGTATTACGAAATCAATTGTATCTTGGAGTGTCGAACAAGTGTGTAGCTTATCAGTAAGACTGTTGGCTTCAGTCAAGTTGATGATTTTATGACGATGATGTTTTAAAAGTAAAATACAAAAGTTTTAGGAATGACAATTCGTTTTAATTTTTATTATGTAATCTGAAACTTCTGCAAATGTTCTAGCCATCATATGTACATAAAGAATTTTATTACATTGATAAAATGTTTGGCCGAAAATAATCTCGGGAGATAACATCTTCTGATGATAAGCTCAACATTGTCATTTAAAATCCGGATCAGTTGAAATCATGTCGTGTCCCGAGAAGATCGAGAGCCCCAACGAGAGTCTCGTTATCCCAAAATGGTTAAATAAATCCAAGTTTGAATCAGTGCTAGCAAAGGATGAGCCTGATTACTCGAAGATTACGAATTTTACAGCAGTCGCCGCTGTGCCGCCAGGTGGTAATTTTACATCCGTCATGCTGCGAGTTTACTTGGATTTGGAAATGAAAGGTGAGGTGGTTATATAAGTAGAGACAAAGAGCTAAAGCCAATCTTTTCCAGGTGGAACACAGAAAAGAAAATCGTATGTCGTTAAGACGACCCTTGATTCGGATAAGGGTGGCAAGGCCGTAGAAGAGATGCGGTGCTTCCAAAAGGAACAGCACATGTACTCCACTTATCTGCCGGAGTTCGAGAAACTCTATCGTGAGGCTGGCCATCCCATTCAGCTAATGCCTAAGTGTCTGGAAATCGGCGAGATGGAAGGAAAACTCTATATCATATTTGAGGATCTTGCAGCCCAAAATTATGTAGGTGCGGATCGAAATAAAGGAGTGAATATGGAGCATATGCGAATGTCCCTTCGCAAGTTGGCTGAGCTGCATGCAGCCAGTGTGATCTACAGAGAACGCCATGGACCCTACCACATTGACTTTGACCATGGCTTTGCCAAGAAGGACAATATCCAACATTCCATTAGAGGATTCGAAGTCAAGGCTCCAGAATACAAGGCAGCCATGAAAACCTGGGGAATGGATGAGAGTTACTATAAGAATTTTGTAAGCGTTTTATTATTAACCTTGACAGAAATTCTAACTTTTCCTAATCACAGCCCACTACCGAGCAGTATGCCAAACTCTGTTTGGAATCCCTTCATGTGGATTCCCAGGACTTTAATGTCCTTACTCATGGCGACTTTTCTGCCAGCAACATTCTGTACAAGTACGATGAAAATGGATCTCTTAGTGAGGCTCTCCTGCTGGACTTTCAGATATGCAAATGGGGAAGTCCGGCTCAGGATCTGCTAATGATAATATCCATTTCCGCGGAGAATGATCTGCGCTATAAGGAATTCGATAACTTTGTGCGAATCTATTGGGAATATCTCATCGACTGCTTGAAAGTACTGAAGTACGAAAAACCTCTTCCCCAATTGAGGGACATTCAGTGTTCGATCTATAAGAAAGCAAACACTTTCAATAGTAAGATCATTAATATATATATATAAGGTATCTCTTAATGACCTTTTATTTCCTTAGTTTTCTTTGTCGTGATGAATCATCTGCCTGGTCATCTACTGCCCAGTTGCAAGGAGAGTAACCTGCACACCATCACCTCCACAGAAGAGGCAGGCAAGATCTTCCGTTTGAGAGCCTACACAAATCCAACCTTTGTGAAAGTAATCAAAGAGTTTTATCCATTCCTCTGCAATCGCGGTCTCTTCAATTTCGAAGACTTTGAGTGATCACAAGTTCATTCCTCTTCCAGTGCAGCCCGCACTCGCGTCTATTAAATAAATTGTGTGCGAATATTGATTCTGGTTTATGCAAGTTTTCAATGGCGACTGATTGAAACCGGGAGACCTTGAAATAGTTTTTCCAGCTTGTTTTTCAGTAAAAGCTTTTGTCTTTTTTTGATCTCTACATATATTTTTGCATATAACATTTTAAGATAATACACAAAATATTTGTCTACTTATCACGTACTCACCGTATCTACATCAAGAAGCTGATAAAGGCTGTAAGGCGATAGCCGAGTGAAATAATCTTCACGTTGAGAGATATAAACAAAAAGTTTTTCAGGAAATAACAAAAATCAGTAAACTTAATTTTTAATTAATTAAATTCTGTAAATTCTGTTGACTATACGAGGTGTGTTCAAAAAGTAAGGTGACTCTTCAAATTTCGCGAATTTCAAATTTTTCGATTATCGATTTTTTTGTTTTGTTATATTGGTACACTCTTCCCTAACATCTGTACCAAGTTTCAATGGAACATCCTCTTTTGTTTGGTTGTGAGAGGCGTAAAGTTACAAGTTGTTTTGCGAGCTCGGCGATTTTTTGCTATCGAAAAATATGGATCAAAGGATTTGGATTTTTTGGCCAAAAACAACACCACAATAATGCCTCAGCCACCATATTCACCGGATTTGGCCCCATGTGACTTTTTCTTGTTCCCAAAACTGAAGATAATCGAAAAATTTGAAAAATTTGAAATTTGAAAAGTCACCTTACTTTTTGAACACACCTCGTATAACTTCTAAAAGGTTTCGATAATCGAAAAATTTGAAATTCGCGAAATTTGAAGAGTCACCTTACTTTTTGAACACACCTCGTATAGTCAAAATGATCTCAAGAGCTTTTACCTCTCCCGGAACACCAAAGTCAGAGCCCACTGTCAGGTTATCAGGTATTCCCATCACAGCACTGCCACTTCTGATAAGCCTGGCGCCTACTGCACTGCTTGACCAAATTCCGGGTGTACGGGGAAAGCTCTACCAATTAACACCCACTGTCTCCCGGGAGAGTCTTCGTTGGCCCACCACAACCAGTCAGCCAGACGCGATGCTCAGTGTCCGAGCTGTTGACGAACCAGTTAGACGGGACGGGCGATTGGCATTGCTTTCGGGGCGTTGATAAGTGCGCACCTCACCCACCTCGAAGTAGGTTTTTTATTTTGTTTTGTTATTTTTTTGTTGCTGTGCGTGCAGTAAAAACGAAAATAACATCGCGGGGCTCAAACAAGAAAAACATTCTCGATAAGGAAAGTCGAGGCGAAACAGTTGCGCCGCACACTCCGGACGGAGAACAACGCAGTGAGCTCACTCCGGCGGAATCCCAGCGCCATGCCCGATAACAGTAATAAATTTAGCGCCTCCAGCAATGTCCGCATTCCGGACTGGATCAATGAGGCCTACTTTAAGCGGCTGCTCAAGCGGGAATTCCGTGAATTCCGGCGCATCTTGAACCTCTCAATCATTCCGGCCACGCCGCCCGGAGAGACCTACACCTCGCTGCTGATGCGCATTGTCATTGACATCGAGATGAAAGGTGAGAAAAATAGGGGGCGGGAACTTACTATAAATAACGGTTAACAACTTATGTATTTTACGATTTACAAATTACTATCATTGAAAATATAAAATATCACACATACGCACTGTTACCCTCTTACGAAACAAAGCAATCCTAATATTAATTTCTTCACAGATGGATTCTCACAGCAAAAGTCTTATATAGTAAAGACCATGTTGGACGATGCCCAGGGAAATGGTGGCTTTGTGAATACCCTTAATATCTTTCCCAAAGAGAAGATGATGTATGAAACCATCATTCCGAACTTGGAACTTCTCTATGAGGAGGCTGGACTGAGTGTGAAGTTTGCTCCGAAATGCCACTGGGCGGAGGATATTAAAGGAAGAATCTGCCTGGTGCAGCAGGATCTACGAACCAAAAAGTTCCGCAACATCAATCGACTTAAGGGATTCGATATGCCACATATGCAACGAGTGCTGGAAAAGCTAGCCGAATTTCATGCTGCAAGTGCCGTTTGGCGGCAGCGGAATGGACCTTTCCCAGATGATTTTCAACGTATTTATCTACCCGCCAACTACAACAAATCAAAGTCATATCAGGCGAGGATCCTAAGCTACAAAGCAGCAATGGCCACTTGGGGTCTGGCCGATCATGAAGAGTACGTGAATCGCATTGTAAGTATAAAAAATATAATAAAATGTATTTCATTCGATAATAAAAATTTTGTGATACATTTTTATAGCCCACTGCCGATCAATTTGTGCAATCCTACGCCCGCTGCTTCAACAACAATCCACATGAATTTAAAGTTCTCAATCATGGTGACTTTTGGTCCAGCAACATAATGCTGAGCTATACTCAATCTGGTGATATCAATCAGATTCGCTTTGTGGACTTCCAGCTGTGTAAATGGGGCAGTCCGGCTCAGGATTTATGGGAACTCATCATCTGCTCGGCACGGCATAGCATAAGGATACAAAACTTCGACTGCTTCATAAGGATATATCACACTCACCTGGTGCGTTGCTTAAAGACCCTTAATTATAACGAAAGGATTCCTATGCTCAGAGAACTACACATGAGCATGATCAAGTATGGATTTTGGGGTATGTTCATAATCCTATCTTTATAGTATGGTCTTAATAGGACTTTTTCCATCAGGTTACTTCACAACTTTCACCCATTTGGTCTTCATCCTCCTGCCCGTGGATGCGGAGGCCAGCTTGGTCAAGCTTATGCAGCCAGGAGAGGATGGAGATCGCTTTCGTTCTAAGGTCTACACAAATCCCCTCTACGTCCGCGCTGCATTGAGCATATTCCCCTTCCTTTGCAGGCGCGGCATTCTGGACTTTTGAAAATATTTAAAATTCTTACTCCTAGCCAAAAGCCAAGTCTGCGATTTTTATAATCAATTTCACTGCTACTTTTAGGTTTTTTTTAAACATTAAGCATAAAATGTAATAAAAATATCTTTACTCTATCTCATTACCTACCTAAACTACCAAAAGAACATTATTCCTTCTAATTTTTAATATGTTTTATAAATAAATTAACTTTCTATACTGCAAAGCATTTATTTCCATTTTAGCAAGAAATCTCATTCTTATCTCTTGTTTAGCTGCGACAAAATCTGTTTATTTTTTGTTCTAATAAATTAAAGTTTGTTTTACTTTATTTTCTTTGAAGGCCTCTTATCATATCTCCACACACTTAGCAAAGTGAGACTTATTAACTTTAGAATAAAATAAAAATAAAAAGCAAGTTATTTAAAGAAAATATTATTTCGAATTTATTCCCAACTCACGTTCTTTGAGTATTCAACTAATTTTTGTTAATTATTAGATCAAATATAACAAATTGTTGTCATTGGAGCTTATCATAACAGGTGCCTCTTTTCAGATCACGTTTTATTTATCTCTGTTAAATACAGTGATATATCGATAACGAGAACCCTAGAGTATGTTATTTCTATTCAGCTTGATGAGTTTTTACTGTACTTAAAGGTATAGAAACCATATCACTTTCTTATCTACCAACAACATCCACAAGATTCGTTCCACCTTTATCCACAAACTTGATTCAGTGCCATGTGCTAGGTGTAGTTCCCACATGTATATATCTACATATTATATATACAAATCAGCTGATAAGCCAAAGTAAAGCTAAAAACAGAGAGAGCTTTATGGAAGCTCTGTAGGTCGCCCAGCCGTCACATGTTCCGCGCCCCACATTCTCGTTTCGATTGCCCCCAAAGTAAGTTGCTGCTCAGCTGCTTAGCTCTCGGTTTTTTAGTACTTTTAGCGCGGTCAGGTGACTTGGGAAAAAAGTAAATAATTTACAATGGGAACCGGCAGCAAGAACTATCAGGCTCCCGAATGGCTCACCGCGGAATTCCTACAGGATGTGCTGAAGGAGCACTTCAAGGAGGAGCAGCTGACGGTCACCGAGTTGATAATCAAGAGCGCCCAAGTTGGTGACCAGGCGGCGGGATTTGCCAGCGAAATGCACCGGGCCAGCTTCAATCTTCAAAGGGGTTCAGCGGCCAAGAGCAAGTTCTCGGTGATTGTAAAAGATCATCCCAAAGGGCAAACTGGTGCCGTGGCCCAGAGGAGTAAACTCTTCAAACGCGAGATCCTGGCCTACAAGGAGGTCCTACCACGAGTCCAGGCCCTGCTCCAATCTATCGGAGATCAAACGAAAATCGCCCCCACATGCTACTACACCACGGAATCGCCGGAGCCGTTCTTGATTCTGGAAGATATGCAGTTGTCCGGCTTCGAGAATTTCGAGCGGGGTCGTCTGCTTAACCTAGACTACGTATTGCCCACCATTGAGAAGGTCGCCAAGTTGCATGCCTGCAGCGCCCTCATCGCCCAGGAGAGCCCAGAGGTGCTGGAGTTCTTTGACGAAGCGCCTATCTCCCGGAATCCCGACCGCCGTGATTTTCTGACCTTTTTCCCAGTAAACATTCGCTGCGTAGCCGAGGAGGTGGCTCATTGGAAGGGCTACGAAGAGATTACCGAGAAGATGTTCAAACTGGCTGAGAGTGTCCTACAGAGGGCGCTGGCCATGTTTGAGAATTCTGGCAAGGAATTCCGCGTTTTCAACCTCACCGATCTGTGGATCAACAACCTTTTGTTCCACATCAACAACGAGACCAAGGAGCCAGACGATGTGGTCACGGTGAGTCATGCATATCTAAGTGATTTAAAAGAAAACGTATTAAAATAACTCATATTGTGATTACAGTTGGACTTCCAGTTGGCTTATGTGGGATCCCCAACCATTGATCTCAACTACTTCCTATACGGCTCTCTAAACGAGAATGTTCGCAAAGTTCACTTTAAATATGTCGTTCGGGAGTACCAGAGGGTGCTCCAGCAGACCCTGGAGAAGCTAAACTATAAAGGACACATTCCCTCTCTTAAAGAAATTCACATCGAGTTGATTAACACTAGCCTAATGGGTGTCATCGGAGCTACTTGCTTGACCCCCTTGATTTTCAGGGAAGGAGCTGGTTTTGAAAACCTCGAGGACCTTAACTCCCGCACCGAGAGCGGTGATCGTTTCCGCCGAGAAAATGTTGAGAACCCCAAGTACCGGGCTTTCCTGCAGCGAACTATCAAAGAGTTTGAACTCTCCGGATTCTTGGATGAATAATTGACAGAGGCGGAGAGAGTAGCTGATAGACAGAGAGAGTAAATTACATTCGATCAAAAGTATTCGGGCTTCCATATAGAGTAAGCTTTAAATGTTTCACACATAGAGTATTTTCCACACACAAATAAAGTACTAGACATTGTTTATTAAAAGCTCTGACATTTTATTAAAAACTAAAGATTATCTTAAAAGCACCAGTTAACGTTATCATAGACCTAAGTTAAATATTATTTTGTCCATCTTCTAACTATCATTGCAATAACACATGATTGATAACCTGCCTATTGAGTAACTAGCTCTTTAATCTAGATCTACAGATCCTTAAAATATCCCATTTCTTCGTATTTGGGCAAAAGTTTTTTAACTTCCTCAACGTAGGAATCTAATAAGAATGCTTTCTCCCTAGTGGCCGTGTCTTGAATTATTTCACTCATTTTCAACGTATTTGCTTTAATAGCCAGAATCATGGGCAGAAAAGTGGTCATTAGGAAAAAGTCTGTGAAAATTTAAAGAAATACTTGAATTATTTATAATTTAAATTAAAAGAAATAACTTACCATAGTACTTGTGGCGGTGGATTTGCTTCCACAGACCAGCTTTCGTAGGCATCTCAGCCTTGTAGCCAATTTTCTTCAAGGTTTCAACCAAAACGGAAAAATAATAGTTAATAATATCTTTACCAAGATCCCATCGCTGCTCTGGCTCCATAAGCATGTAAATGGAATAACTAAGATCGATGGTAATAGGGCAAAGATTACAGATTTGGAAATCCACAAACATGACATCCCCGTTCTCCTTGAACATCATATTCCGGAGATGGAAGTCACCATGACACATCACGTAGTATCCATCGGATTGATAGTTTTTCCGGAACTCCTGCATCACATCAGCCATACGCTGTAGATAGTCAACTTTTATTTTCTCAAAGTACGGCTTATATTTGGTGACTTCCGGAATCTTGTCTAACGTTTTCAGGAAAGTATCCATTCCGGATGTAACCATTGGATCCGACATCAGAGTTGGCATCTCAATCAAACCATATTGGAATTCTTTTAGGAACTCAGGTTGCTCGTTCATAAGTTTCATGCTAACTGCATGCCATTTGGCCAACTTGGTAAATACATTTTTTAACTCCACTTCTTTCACAGGACGATTCCGAATGACGGAGTATCCTTGCGGAACGAGATCCTCGAATATCATCACCTGCCTTGGCGCCAAACTGTGATAGATACAGGGGACATATAGCTGGGTATTGTCCCCGGCCTCCCGCAGAATCCTCTCGAACTCGGGCAAAGCCTTGGTGTAGGCTCCAATTTCGGTGGAGAACAAATGCGACTCAGACAGCATATCCTTCTTGTGACCCTCCTGCTCGGGCATTGTCTTAATGATAAGGGGCTTAACGAATTTCCCCTTCGACGTGGTATACTCAGCCGTAGTACGGAACATAACACTAGCATAGTGATCGCCCTGTGCACTAGCAGGAGTGATCTTCAGATCGGTTACATTCAGTTCCGGCGAGTTTTCATAGGCGCTGAGCACGTCACCAATAAACTTGGCATTCAGCCATTCTGGAGCCACCAACTCGTCGGGATTGAATTGTTCCGCATCTACGTTATCTGGCATATTTGTATTTGTTTCGCTGACTGACAATCTATATGTTCTCGGAATACCGAACGATCAGGTTATACTAAACCCGACTGGTTTGCCGCTCATTTTAAAGGTTTGCCAAGAGAGCTTTTAGAATTGGTTTGTAGCTTTTCTCAAATGAAACTTTTCAATTTCGTATGAAATTCACATTCTCGTACCTATCTATCTTATCAAAATGCTTTGAAAGCTACATTAAAGGATAAATACTATTTGATTAGTGGAAAGTTAAAAAATAATCTGATAACTAATCAAAAAGTTTATCGGAAAACAAATACAAATGATTCTAACAAACAAATCTGTTTGTTTTTGCAAACACGGAAATATTCAATAAAAATAATCATATTTTTTAATTTTATGATTAGTAAGCATGAGTATAGAAAGCGACGACTATAATTGGTTAAGTCCTATCCAATGAGTTGCACATTGTACTAGTCCATGACAGTGTGAGTTTCTGATGAACTAATAGCAAGCTATTTTTAATATACTCTTTCCATTCGGTTATATTTTTTTATTTTTAAGAAAAAGAGTATATTTCTTGTGATCAAAACAATACCATTAGGTTACATTGGAAAAAGTTTTTTATTTCTTCCCAGAGGGCGTCACAAACTGCCATTGAACTTCACCTTGTACTAGACACTTCACAATCGTTTACAATTGGTACTTTAGATAGCAAAGTGTTTTGAGCAAACAGTTCAATCAATTTCCAGTTCTATAGATATTTTATTAAGTGTTATAACTATTTACTTCAATTCCAATTTATATAAGGCTATAGAGTTTTTAATTAAAGTCATATAACAGTTTACTGTCTTAAAAGTAATAAATTACAGATCATTAAAGTAACCAAGTTTTTCATATTTTGGCAACAGTTCAGAAACCTCTTTGACATAAGAGTCAAAAAAGTAGGACTTTAGGCGAGCCTCTGGATTTTGAAGAGCTTCATGCATTTTCAGAGTATTGTTTTTAACGCCCAACATCAGTGGCAGCAATGTGGTTATCATAAAGAAATCTATAATTAAATATATAAAATATGTTACTTTATAAAGATCTAAGCCTAAAAAGAGCCTTCTTTACCATAATACTTGTTGTGTTGTATTTGAGACCACAGTCCATTTTGGGTAGGCATCTCCCCCTTTGTAACCAATCTTTTTAAGAGTCTCAAGCAAAACCGAGAAATAGTCGTTGATCAGGCTTATACCCATCTCCCGGCGGTGTTGCGGCTCCATCAACATATAGATGGAGTAAGTTAGGTCAATGGTGATGGGTACCAGGTTGCAGAACTGGAAATCCACCAGCATAACGTCATCGTTGGCACCCAACTTCTTGTTATGCCTAAACATCATATTGCGAAGATGAAAGTCGCCGTGGCACAGGACATAGTACCGATCATTCCGCCGATATTTATGGTACTCATGCATCTCAACCTGCAGACGCTCCATGTAATTATCTTTAATCTTTTCGAAATGAGGCTTATATTTCCTCAATTCTGGGATTTTATCCAGAACTTTAATGAAACTACCCATGGCAGTAGTTATGAAAGGATCAGCTTGGACCGTTGGCATTTCAAAGAAGCCATACTTGTACTCCTTCAGGAAATTCGGTTGCTGATAATAGGAATTTAAAGAATTAAAAAGGAATAATCATAACACAGAAATTATTAACCTCATTGATCAATTTCATGCTGACTGCATGCCATTTGGCCAGTTTGGTGTAGGCCAACTTTAAATCCCCATCCGAGGGAGGACTATTCCGAATGACGGTATATCCCTGCGGCACCAGATCCTCGAATATCAACACTTTTCGCGGCGTTAGGCTGTGATAAATACAGGGCACAAAAAGCTTAGTATCATCTCCTGCTTCCCGGAGAATCCTCTCGAACTCTGGAAGGGCATGGCAGTACATTCCAATCTCAGTTTCGAAGAGATGAGACTCAGCCAACAACTCCTTTTTGTGACCGTCCTGCTCTGGCATCGTTTTGATGATCAGCGGTTTGGTAAACTTTCCCTTCGAACTTGTGTACTCCACTTTGGTGCGGAACATAACACTGGCATAGTGATCTCCCTGCGCACTGGCCGGTGTGATCTCCAGATTTGTCACCTTAAGATCCGGAACACTTTCATAGACACTTAAAATTCCACCGATGAACTGAGCATTCAGCCAAGCAGGCGCCTGGAGCTCATCGGCATTATATTCAATATTTTCGACTCCCATTTGTAAAATAATATTATAATTTCAAGAGCAGAACCTTACCGCTAGAATTCTAAATTGGCAATGAAAAACTTTTGTATGAAAACGATTGCTTTAAATATAACAAGTCGAGCTTTTTATAAACTTTTAAGAGGGTTGTATAAGTTTTTAATTTGTACTTTATCTTATCAATACATTTCTATCTCTCTTCAGTTTAAATTAGTTGTTAAGAAAACAAGTTATTTTTATAAGATTTTCATTATATTTTTAGTTTTTAGTGCGAAAAACCTACTCATTGTTAGTTTTCTATAGAAAACAATACGAGTATACAAGGAATTTGAATATTTTGTGCTTCTAAGGAAATTCCTATGAATGAATATTTTTTAAGTGAACTTTTAAATCTGTAACATTCTAGACACCTACAATAGTTTATAGAACAAAAACTGTGAGATAACAAAAAATATTGTGCAACCGTATTTTCCAGCTCGATGACGCGTCACTAAGAGTTAAAGTAATCTACTCATTACATACTTATCTAACTGGTAACATCTTTATACATATTAAACTTATTAAAATTCTTTTAATCATTTATACAATTTATTAAAACTAAATCAGGCATATTGCTTATTATCAAAATTAACCTGTAACACCTTTACTACAAATAATTCTCCAATGTTAGAGACCCTCAAAATAGCCGAGTTTGTCGAATTGAGGCAACAGTTTGGTGACATCTTCAACGTAAGTGTCCATGAAGTAGACCTTTTGACATATTTCCGGGTTAGGGACTATTTCATGCATCTTATAACTTTTTGATTTTACTGCCAGAATCGGAGGAAGAAAAGTGCTTAACAAGAAGAAATCTAAAATTGAAAAAAGAAATTAAGTTTCCCTATAAACGTTTTTTTCAATGACAATAATAACTTACCAAAATACTTATTTCGCCGGATTTCCTCCCAGAATTTTGATTCGATTGGCATATCACCTTGGTATCTGATGCTCCTTAGAGTGGCCAGCAAAACATTAAAATAATAGTCAATTAAGTCCTTTCCCATTTCTCGGCGCTGTTCTGGCTCCAGCAACATATAGATGGAGAATATCAAATCAGAGCTAATGGGACAAACATTGCTCAACTGGAAATCCAGCAGCATAGCATCCTCATGGACTCCCGTCTCCCTATTGTTCTTGAACATTATGTTGCGTATGTGGAAGTCACCATGGCTCAGCACGTAGTACGTATCAAGCCTCCGATTTTCGCGATGTTCTAGCCACTCATCTTTCAATCGTTGCAAATAACTATCTTTAATTTTTTCAAAATGAGGCTTGTACTTCTTTAACTTCGGTAATTTGTCCAGCATTTCTATAAATTTGTAGATGCCAGAAGTTATGAAAGAGTCTGTCTGGATGTTAATCCCATCAAAGAGTCCATATTTAAACTGCTCTACTAGTTGAGGTTGCTGGTGGAAACAAAAAGCCATTTAAAGATCATTAAACTTCTGCATTAAACTATACAAACTTACCTCCTTGATAACTTTCATGCTGACTGCATGCCACTTCGCCAGCTTGGAGAAGGCTGTTTTGAGCTCCACCTTTTCAACGGGACGTGTCCGGATCAATGAGTAACCCAATGGAACCAGATCCTCGAATATCATCACCTTGTGCGGTTCAAGGCTATGGTAAAGGCAGGGTACGAATAACTTTGTCTTATCCCCAGCTTCCCGTAAAATCCTCTCGAACTCCGGTAGAACATGACAGTACATCCCGATCTCAGTTTCGAACATATGTGATTCCTTTTTGGGTCCCTTCGGCTCCGACTCCGTCTTGACAATAAGGTGTTTGGAGAACTTTCCCTTCGCGGTGGTATACTCCACAGTAGTTCGAAACATTAGGCTGGCATAGTGATCTCCCTCGAAGCTTGCGGGTCTGATTTTCAAATCAATCACTTGCAGCTCTGAGGCCTCTTCGTGCTCGCTTAGAATTTGTCCGATAAACTGGGAATTGAGCCAAGAGGGGGGCTCCAGTTCCTCTTTTATGAATTGTTCTGCATCTATCTTGTCACTCATTTTGTTTACTATTACACAATCTAATTTCGAAAAGTGCCACGGCTGTTCTGAGTGCTATAGTAGTTTGATATGAGAACCCCGATCACGGGCTTGGCCAATTTGAAGCAAAATGATTCAGCTTTCAAAATGCTTTTCCCAAGCTTATTTCATTTCATCATGTAAACTTATAAAGCTCTTTTGCCAACAAAAAACGAAATTATTAATGGTTTTATCTTTAGGAATACATTTAAATAAATTTCTTTACTTGAAAATTAAAAAAATATTATTACTTAAGGAAAGCAAACCACTTGATAGTCTTACATGCACAAAAGGTGTGTACTTCAGCAACAAATTTATACCAAAACCTTAGTTTTGCAATCAATAGATACACTTAAGGAATCGTTTTGATTATTAAAGTTTTTACCTACTGCCGGTATCCCTATCAAACTGATTAGAACACAAATAGAATGAGCCATTCAATTAAGTGACGACATATTACTTTCAGGTTAACAACACTTTTCTTTATACCGATTAACTTTTTATTATTTTCTATATTTATTGTATAAGTTGTACCGCGTATAATGGATATTTACAATATATTGCATATACATACCTAAATTAACTAAACTATGTAATTTGTCTATATATAATATAATAAAGGTCATTACTCCTCACTGATCCACATCAAGCAATCCCTCTGCCTCGAAACCTGGAAGAAGTTCCCTTAGAATCCTTTGAGAAATCGGATTGACATAGCAGGCATTCTTGAAGTTGGTGGCCCGCTGATTGTTCTCCATCAGGGCATTGAAATCTGCATCGGCGGTCTCTACGTTTCGCTGAATTGGGAACACCGAGATAGATGTGTGAGCAGCTGGAAGTTATGATAAGCAATTATGATTAGTTTCCTGACTATATCATTTTAAGACTCTTAACTCACCATAGAACTTCTTTTGCTGCAATTGCTGGTGGAATTGGTGAAGGCTGGGAATGGAGGCCTGGTACTGCAACTTCCTTAAAGTATCCGTGAAAAATCCGAAATAGTAGGCAATCAGATGCTCCTGATGGTTCTGATGCAGGTCGAACTCCAGCGAAGTGTTCAGAAAATAGAAAAGATCCAGAGCCGGCGATCCCCAGGCTGTGTATTGAAAGTCAATAATGACGACATCCAATGGCTCTCCGGATTCCTTATCGTATTTCACAAGCACATTGTTGGTCCACAGATCTCCATGGGCCAAGACATTAATGTGTCCCGGTGTGATGTCAAAGATACGTTTTCCTAATTCCATGTAAATGGGCACCAGTGCCTCCATCTTCTCAGCGTACTTCTCATATCCTGGCCACTGGGCCACACGACGAGTGGCTGCCTGGAACATACCAACGAATGCATTTTCATAGTTATCGGTGTACCGGTTGAAGAATCCCCGATCATAGCTCTCCAGATTGTGATTCTCGCGTTCATTGAGGACAGCCGAAGTGGCATGCATCTTGGCCAGCTTTCTAAGCACAATTTTGGCCAGCTTAAGATCCAAGCCGATCAAACGATCCGGCATTACAAAGCCACGTGCATTCAGATCTTCGAAAATCAGTGCTGAATTATCAATGTCAACGGCCATGGTTTCGGCGAAGATTTGCTCAGTATCGCCAATTTCCAGGAGGAGAGTCTTCTGCTTGGGCAAAACCTGCTCATAGATAGTCATCTCCCGATTGAAGATGTCGTAGGGCGCCATGGCATTCTGTGCAAATTCATTGCCTTCAAATGTGGACTTCACTATGTAGTGGCCAAGTTGGGAACTGCCATCGCTGCGGGTGAACTGTGCCTTCACCCGGGTCAGAACTCCACCGTAGTTTTCACCTTTGCCCAGGGCAGGATTCACCTTAACCCAGTTGATCCGGATCCTTTGATCCTTGTAGTATTTTCGCAGGGCATCCTGCAAATAGCTCTCTGTTAGCCATTCAGGAGCATCCAAGAAAACAGAACTTGGAGCCGCAGGAGACTCAGAAACTGTTAGCTTGGGAATGGCATCAAGGGCACCAATCAGATCCGAAACCGACATATTGAAAGTGATCTTTTACAGTGAGAGCTATGAACGAAATTGTGCCGAAAACTCAGAGTCCAGACGCTTTTATGGCAAAATTTTAGACGAGGTGTAAACGTATTCCGGCTCTCAGATATGCAACTGTGTATATCTGAGGGCCTGCCGTCAAAATTGTGATTAAAATAACCATAAAATCCGTGAATTTGTAGCTGTGAAAGTGCGCAGATTACACTTTTTATTGGATGCCCCATCCCCAGCACCAGAACCCATTTTGGCATCCGCCCCGTGCCTCCACAGTCCAGTAACCGGGAAAATAGGTCTCACCTCTCACGCCGTGGCTACTGCCTAATTGCGAATTGTTTGAGTTTGCCAAAGGCAAGCCAGTTGATCTTTATAGCACTTGCTGTGGGTTTAGGGCTGCACAAGTGTTTTGTTTGGTAATTACCCCAGCTCACAAATGCTAAACGATTCCCAGCCTTATCATTCCAAATGCGAGTGATTTCTCAAAATGCTAACGTCAGACGCTACAAAAAACTTGGGAATATACGAAAAATATACAATTTCAAGATGATATATAATAAATGATAAACCTTTTTACAAAAGATTTACAAATCTTAGAATTAAAAAAAAATATATAAAAATGTTTAAATATTTATCTCATATAAACTATATTTCTCGACTGCTATCTTTTAAAATAAACTGAAGATAATTTTTAGAAAGACATAAAGTATCCAATTTTTGAAATCAAATCTACATTTTCTTGTTTAAAGAATATCCAAATATGATAATATTTCTACTGTTTCCATCGTTTTCCCCTGATTTGCCTTTTAAGTTGAAATTATTTCGAAAACTTTTTGAAAAAAGGTTTGATATTTACATACAAAATACAGAATTATCTATTTGAGGAACATTATTTAAATGGTTTTTTATAACATAGCTTACTTTGTCGGTATTTCCTTGACAAATTATGTTTACTTTGTCTAGGTAAATATGAGTATTTAAACTATTTTCTCAATGGTTTATAGCTTAATAATAAAAGTTTTACTCATAGTTTGTAAAAGTCACTCATTAGCCAAATGAATGATAATTTTAATTAGTTATACGTCAAACATAAACCAAGTAAGCATTTTCTTCGAGCTTTATTTTTAATATCAAAAATGTTTATAAAGTATTTAACGACTTTGTAAGTACTTTCTTGTAGAAAACATATTTTAATCCGTATATTAATCATATAAAATTAAATAAATTTTACCAACTATATACAAACGTCTGGTTAAATATTGAAACAGTTACTAAGGGAGTCTGGGCAAACAGGCAACTGATATATCATAGAACTTGTTGACACAATGCAATTCTGCAGCCCGGTGATAAAATGTCATCTTAAACGGAACGTGTAAGAATTGCCCATTAAAAAGGCTTACGTAAGGCAATGAGAGCAGTCGATTGCTAAATTATGATGATGAATGGGCATTCGCGTGATAAGTCAAGCAAAAAATTAAAACGGAATAGCAAAGTGGGCCTTAATCTTACGGACTTCCCATGAGCCCCAAGCGAAGTGGTACTTTTCCTGGGATTTGGGGTATCTCACTTCTATGTGTACGGTGGACGTCTGTTCCCGGCACATAAATCCAAAAATATATCTGCTTGAGCCGTAGTGTTGGGCAATGGCACGATTCTTGGCACACGATACGCATATTTGAGACCTGTTGCCAAACGGAGATAATCCTCAAGGCAAACAGCTAAGGCTATAGGTGCAATTGTTTGCCCTGGCATTTAGGCTAATAACGTCAACTGAAGTCGGCAGAAGAAAACGTCAAGAGCAAAAAATGGCAGATAGGAGCACAGAATCAAATACACTTTGAGAATAAAATAGTGCATTTTTTATGAGCTATTTAGTTAAAGATAATAAGAAATCCACCGAATGAAAGTAAATTAAAACAAAAATTGGTTGAAAGTAAAAACGAAGTGAATCTGCATGATTTAATATTTAGCTAAGATATTTCATATATATTTTCTGTTTCTACAAATTATTTTTCCGAGTGCGATGTTAAGTGCACTGTGATAAATGTACGTCATTTAGCTTAAGTATAAAAGCAGCCGAGCTTTGCTCGGTGCTCATTGTTCAGTGTGAAAAACTATATCAACTAAACAGGATGGCAGCAGCACCCGAGTGGCTAACCCACCACTATATTGAGCATGCCCTACGCTCCCACTACAAGGATGATGGACTAACCATAACTGAGCTGCAAATAAATCCCGCCCTGGGACCTGGAGAGAATTATGGAGGAGTTCTGACCCGAGCTCGGGTGCATTTCACACTTTCCAATCAGGAGAAGCAAATGCAGAACTTGATTGTAAAGACGGAGATTGATGACGATGAGTTGACCCAGGAGCTGATGGCGCCTTATGATATTTACAACAGGGAAATGACTATCTACCAGGAGGTGCTGCCCAAACTAAGGGAGCTGCTCAACGACATCGGAGATACGGAAAAGATTTTTCCCACCGCTATTTTTGTGGATCGCGAACGCATGGCCATTATCTTCGAAGATCTTTCCGTTGCTGGTTATGTAATGGCTGATCGAGTGCGTCGCCTCAACGAGGAGCACACCCATCTCATCCTGAGGAAGTTGGCCAAACTTCATGCCGCTTCAGCAGTTTTAAATGAGAGACAAAAGGGCAGCCTTGAGGGCTACGATCGGGGTTTCTTCAATCGGTATACCAATGCCTATAGTGGCTACTTTGTGGGCGGCCTTTTGGCAGCGGCCCGCTGGATGAGCAAGGTACCCAAGTTAGCTCATTATAGTGAGAAATTATTCGCCTTGGCTCCTCACTACATGGACATTGGCAAGGAATGCTTTGAACCCACCCCGGGTCAAGTAAATGTCCTCGCCCATGGAGATGTGTGGACCAACAATGTGATGTTCAAGTACGATCCAAACACGGGAAGACCTCTCGACGTGCTGCTCATTGACTTCCAGTATTCTTTTTGGGGTTCTCCCTGCATCGATCTCCATCATCTGTTCAATACGTCCCTGAAGGAGCCACTGCGTCGTGATCAACAGAGTGGGCTCTTCCAGTTCTACCATAACATTTTCAGTGAAACATTAAGAAAGCTTGACTATCGTCAGAATCCCATTCCCAGCCTACATCAATTCAAGTTGCAGGTGGAACAGAAGCGATTTTTCGGTGAGTTTTTCTCATATTTTTCCTTAAAATTATATCTTAATAATTGTTTTTTTTTAAAGCTATGCATTCGACAGTAGTGGTACAGCCTGTGATGATCAGCCAGGATCCCACGGATGCCTGTTTTAATGCCTTGATGAACGATGACGAGCGTGGCATTCGGTTCAAGAACCGATTATATAACAACCCCACTGTTCAGCAAAATCTCCACTCAATGGTACCATTCTTCGATAGAAAGGGACTGCTGGAAGTGAATCAGACCTGTTGAGGAATTAAGATAAATGTTTTTTAATAAGCTTCCACGTTATATAAGTTTGATTTTAGATTAATTATTTAAGAAAATCTTCTATTCAAATATAGAAAAATAAATAAATTTTTTTTAATTTAATTATGAGCTCTTGATCGTCCTTGAAGTCTCATCTGCTTCTTAATAGCACAAAAAGTTTAAGAACTAAATGTTTCGTACTTCTTAGATAGGTTTTCGAAATATAATATCACTCATATGCAATGATAAGTCATCTTCCTGATAAAAGCATCATTCCACAATTTGACTTACAATTAAAAAACATTTTTTTAAGACTTTAATATGTTTTGTAGGCGTTAAAATTTTTAATTTTATTAAGATTTTAGTCACAAAACTAAAATATATTTTTCCCAAAAAAAGGGTGTGTCACAGAAGTTTCAAATGAGACAGTCCTATGCCCAAAAGTTTGCAATATAAGTCTCTTAAAATCCAAATATTATAATTAGTTGAAAATAATCCGATTTTTCACAGATAAGATTAAGAACTCACATTAAAAAGTCCCCTCTTTCTATGTATTTCAGGAGTGCTGTTATCGATAACACCTAAAAGTATGCAATGTAAATCCTTTATTCTTTGCTGACTATCAGGAAAAGCACTTGAAAATGATTTTAATTGTTTATACTTCTGGTTCATTCCGTGGCGAAAATCCTTGTGAAATATTAAGCTCACAATAAACAAACAAGCAATTGTTTATGTATAAATAACCCCCAACAAGCGAAACCCACTCAAATCTATTCACGTTTGTATGGGCTTAACTATGCTAATGGGTAGATGGATTTATGGGTTGGAAGGCAGATTACTTTGACGGCGGGAACGAGAGCGATCTTTAAACGCCACGTCAGCAACTTTTGCGTTAAATTACGGCAAGGCACACTTACATCATATATAGAAGCGTGCACCGATGGGCGGTGTTATCTCATCCGCCCGAGTGTCGCTCTCTGAGCTCTGCCTTTATCTAGTCAGCTTTTGGATACTCGCGAATCTCTAACGTAGGAATCGAAATGTACGGGTCTAGCATCTACGTAATTGTCTGAGTCGGCTTGCTTTACGGCTACCATAATGTGGGATCTGTCGTCGTCGAGATTGTGCCTTCTGCCTGCCTATAAATGGAGCCTCCGGCACAGTCCAGCGATCCAGAATTCAAGTTGAGCATCAACATGGTAGAGCAGGGTAAAGAAGACGCTACCGACTTTCATCCGGCGCCAGTTTGGCTGGATGAGCCGTATCTGGAACGACTGTTGAAGGATCTAAAAAAGGATCAGGGCCTGAAGATCACAGATCTTGAAATTAAGCCCGCCACTGCCAAAGGTGATAATTATGCCAGTGTAATGACACGTGTGAAGATTTTGTACTTGAAAAGCGGTGCTAAAAGCCCTGAGACTGAGTACTATATTGTGAAGACCACGTACGAAAACGATGCCTTTGCCTCTGGCATATTCTCCCAGTACCAGGTCAGCACCACTGAAATGCGAATGTACGAGAAAATCCTTCCCCAGTTGACGTCCCTCATCACCAAGACTAGCCAGCCTGAAAAACTCTTCGCTGAAACTTTGCATGTTGACTATGAGCACGAGGCTATAATCTTTGAAGATCTCGGTGTGTCCAACTATGTCCTAGCCGATCGACTCATTGGCTTTGATCTGGAACACACCCGTTTAGCACTCCGTAAGCTGGCCAAAATGCATGCCGCTGCAGCTGTTTTGAACGAACGTCAACCCGAAGTTCTGACCAAATTCGATCATGGCATCTTCAATCGCCACACTCGAGGCTTTGCGCCCTTCTTTGTGAATATGGTGGGCGTAGCGTCGGATTTTGCCCGTGAATGTCCAGAACTGGGTGAGCACTATGCAAAGAAGTTGAAGGAGCTGCAGAAGCGTGTAATGGAGTACACCGAAAGAGTCTACGATCCTCAGCCTGGTGAGTTCAACACCTTGGTGCACGGTGATTACTGGGTAAACAATGTGATGTTGCGCTATGGAGAGGACAAGAAGCCCCTGGACATGACCCTGATCGACTTCCAGTTCTGCAGCTGGTCCTCGCCGGCAGTGGATCTTCATTATTTCTTTAACACATCAGTACAGAGCGCCATTCGTTTTGAGCAACAGGATGAACTGATTCAGTACTATCACTCAGTACTCGTGGAAACGCTTAAGGATCTCAACTTTGGTGGCTACACTCCCACGTTGAGGCAGTTTATCTTGCAGCTGGAAAAGGGTAGATTCTTCGGTAAGCTTATAAGTTAGTTTGTTAATTTAACAATTTAATAAATTTATCTTTTTAAATAGCCGTCACAGTATCCCTGGTCTGCCAGGCCATATTGACTAACGACCAGACCGCCGATGCCGACTTCAATGCCCTGATGAAGGATGACGAACGAGGTCGTAACTTCCGAAAAGTTTTGTACACCAATAAGAGATTGCAGGATAATCTCAAGCACATGCTGCCACGCTTCGATCGAAGCGGTCTACTAGATGTAACCGACTGAACGGGACTAATCCTTTATGAGTGATTCTCTTTTTATCTTTACAATAAATAGAATATATATATAAAATAAAGTTTTAATTTTGAACATCAAATAGTAATGTATTTTATTTGTCTAAAATAAAAAAAAACTATATTTAAATGGGTTTACTCTTCTCACTATTTTATAGTGACTATATCATAAACTAGCTTATGAAAAATCCAGATAAACAGTGGCAACGGTGCGTATGAGAGATAATTAAAGCACTACAAATAAACTTAGTCTTCTACTTATACAATCTACTTTATTTAAAATAATAAATTGACAACAAACAAAGTGAAATTTTCATTGTCAACACTGTTAAGTGCCTTTCAGCTTTTACTTAATCTATATAATAAAGAGAAGGTTTGTTTTCATTAGTATAACATATAATATAGAATATAATATAGAATGCATTTTATTGTATTTGCTAAGACACCTTATGTTAATCATTTTACGTAGCTGCCTCATTTCTATTTCACCACGATTCAAGAGCTTGTAACTGTTATCTGTAATTTTTACTGTCGTGTGAACGACTTGTTTGTCAGGGGGTTAGCACTATCTTGTCGTAATCAAGAAAACCCTTTGCTATCAGTCAAGAACAGTGTTTATGATATGAAAAGGTCAGTTATGGCCTAAATAATCGCAGCTATTGCAATTATTATTATCAGTTGACACTCGTAGACTACTGATAACTAATTTCCAAGAAAATTCGCTTGCAATTAGAAACGGCGGAATTTGTTTAAATACTTTGCACTAGAACTAACAGTTTTATTTGCTTTAACTATTCACATTTTTATCACATATCATCTAGCAATCCGAACTGATCCAGAAAACGTAGTGTTATACTAAGTTTCTTTTTAACGGCTTCTGACTCATAAACAGAGTCCTTGAATCGCATACCACTCTCGGAATCGGAAAGGATCTGCTCAATAGATGCATGCTCTTTGCCCTCGTACTGCATGACTGGCTCAAAAAGCAGAGAACAGAAGACAGCTGTGGATATATAGGATTTAAAGTAAGTAATTTACAGATCAGTAAAGAATAATACTCACCATAAAATCCTCTCGAGCGGAACTGCAGTTGGAAATCGAACAGGCTGGGTATCCGACCAGAATATTTCAATTTCTTCAAGGCGTCCACTAACTTATAGTAATAAAACTGAACCAATTCCGTCTGATGGTCGAAACGAAGATGATCCTGCAGCGAGGTGGCGAAGAAGTAGTGCAGATCAATGGCCGGGGAATTCCAAAGGCAGAACTGAAAGTCGATGAATATCGCATTTATAGGATGATCTTTTTCGTCGTATTTAAACATAAAGTTGGTGGTCCACAGATCTCCATGAGTTAGGGTTAAAAAGTCACCGGGATTATTCGTCGTTGATTTCTCGCCATAATCCATTAGCCGTTCAACAAGCCGATCTATTTTGGCCTTGTAACGCGGTCCCAACTCCTGATCGGAGCTAAGAGAGCGGGAAAGAGCCTCCAGAAGATTGATCATGATTGGTCCGTAGGCACGAGTGTATTTGTTGAAAAATCCGCGATCATAGTTCTTCGCATAGATCCCCGGACGACGTTCAGCAAGAACTGATGCAGCTGCATGAAAACTGGCTAGCTTTTCCAGCAACAGATGTGTATGCTCCAGGTCCACTTTTGTGCGGCGACAGACAACCTTGTAATGATCCAACGACATGTCCTCAAAAATAATCGAATCTCGCTCCCGATCCACATTTATGGTGGCTGCAAAAAACTTTCTTGGATCCTTCAGCTCATTTCTAAGTATATACGCCAGTTGAGGCAAGATGTTCTCGTATACATCCATTTCTCGAGTGTAGACACCATAATTGATAAGCACATCGCCAGCAGGTTCGCGGTCCGCGAATGTGTTCTTGACTAGAAATGTTAGGGCTTGCTTATCCTTGGTCTCCTTCGTGGTGTATTCCACATTGATGCGGATTATCACACTAGTATAGTTTTCTCCGTTGGCAATGGCTGGCTTGGCGTGCAGTTTCTCCAGCTTCAGGGAACTATTTTTCAAGTAGATGCCCAGTTTCTCCTGGAGATAGTCCGAGGTGAGCCAATCAGGCGTCGGGTGAACTTTGTGATTATCTTTCTTGGACATGATCTAAACTGCAACTCGGGTATTTTATTTCTGAGAGCTCTCGTATGGAGGTGCACCACTTTTATAGCCATGCCAGGTATACATAATAGGTATAGTATCTCGTGGCGAATAGCGTTGTCATGGACAAACAACAATTGAATAATTTTCGAGTCTAGCCGAATGGTCACGTTTTTTACAATGTATTTAAGTATTCTCCTGAAATCTCAAATGCCTATGTTTCCTGACTGATAAGCGCACCACTTTTGAACACTTTTCCTTTTAAATATTATTGATCAGATATATATATATATAACGCACTGTGTAAGGTATTCAATTATCGGTGATTTTAAACCGTTTTTCAGGAATTTCCCCTTATCGTTAATTTCTAATGTCAATGTCAATACTATAAATACTATAATAGAAAACTATTTTATACGGGATTAGTGATGTTCGTATGTCCCAACCCTACAAATATTTACAATTAACAACTGTCTACCGAGACTACCCATGTTAATAATTTACTTTTAATAAAAGTTAATCTTACGTATACAAGAGAATATAAGAGAATATTAAACAATCATCCAAAATGTATACTTTCCCGCATTTTAAACTAAAATTTCCACAATATTACTAAATTAACATATGTTAACTGATTTAATTATGAACTTTATTTTTGTATTTTACATAATGTCTAGAAGTCCCAGCTGGTCAAGGAACGGCAATGTGAAATGCATTTTTTTTCTGATTTCCTCCGACTGATAAAGGTCATCTTTGAACCGCATTCCCTTTTCCGAGGATGACATAATCTGCTCCATGGACGCCTCTTCCTTGCCATTGTACGACATCGAAGGCTCGAAGATCAGGGATGCAAATGCAGCTGAAAGATGAGAATATTAAAATACATGTTCAACATTATAAGTAGAGTCTACACACCATAGAAAGCTCTGTTCCGAAACTGCTGATGAAAGGCGAACAAACTCGGAACCTGTCCTGAATAGTTTACTGCTTTCAAAGCATCCTTAAGTCTATAGTAATAAAACTGAATAAACTCCGGCTGATTCTTTAAGCGGATATTTTCCTGCAAAGCTGTGGAAAAGAAATAATGAAGATCGATGGCCGGAGAATTCCACGCACTAAACTGGAAGTCAATAAAAATGGCGTTTGTGGGATGACCTTCGTCATCGTATTGAAACATAACATTTGTGGTCCAAAGATCTCCATGAGCCAGGGTCACAAAGTCCCCAGGAACAATAGACGTCGATCGTTCGCCGTAATCCATTACGTTGTCGACCAGGCGATCGATCTTTGCCTGGTAACGCTCACGCAACACCGGTTCCAGTTCTAGGGAACGTGATAGAGCCATCAGTAGATTCCTCATTATAGGCTCGTAGCCCCGAGTGTGTTGATTGAAGAATCCACGATCAAAATTCTTGGCGAAGATTCCCTGCTGACGCTCGGCTAAGGCTGCTCCGGCTGCATGGAAATTGGCCAGTTTCTCGAGCACCAAATATGTGTGCTCCAGATCCAACTTCTTTAGGCGATCGGCAACTCTATACCTGTCCAGCGAAAGATCTTCAAACATAATGGAATCACGTTTACGATCAACATTCACAGTGCATGCAAACAGTTTCCGGGAGTCACCGAGCTCGTTCCTCACAAGATCTGCTAGTTTGGGCAGAATCTGCTCATACATGTCCATTTCCCTTGTGTATACTCCATAATCCATAAGCACCTTCGCGGCTGGATCTCTGTCGGCGAAAGTTGTCTTAACCAGAAATCTAGTTGATTCCTTTCTGTTTGTGTTCTTCATAGTGTACTCCACATTGATCCGCGTCATCACACTGGCATAGTTCTCCCCATTACCAAGTGCCGGCTTAATGTCCAGATTCTCCAGGTTAAGGGAGTCATCCTTGAAGTATAAACACAGCTTTTCCTCTACATAATCCGGAGTTAGCCAAGCAGGTGTCAAATTTGGTCTAATATTGTTCTCCTGAGACATGATACTATCCATCGGGTGGGCCTTTGGTAACTGCGTTTTTTTCATTGGTTGTAGTTGGCTTTTATAGCCCTTCAATTACTCGATTACAAATGATAAGTACATTTTTATTATTCTAGTCCTATCTACCAATCTGTCATTCTTATCTATCAATCCTACTATCTAACAATTAAATTCATTTGAGATATACTATAAATTATTTCACACTACTTGGAATGTACCTATCTACCTATCTGTGTGAAAAATACGTACGTAAGACTTTAGGGCATGTGATTTGATTTAAGGATTAAAATTCGAGTTTATTTAGCATATTTTTTTTGGATTTTTTTTTTTACATATCGTCTAACAGTCCCAATTGATCAAAGAAAGGCAAAGACAGGCGCAATTTCTTTTGGTTTTCCTCCGTCTGGTAAACTGCGTCTCTTAACCGTTCACATTTTTCATCGTTGCTCATAAAGTTCTGTATGGATAGCTCCTCCTTGCCATTATACACCATGGTAGGCTCAAAAATGAGAGATGCAAATACAGCTGAAGAATTTGAAAAGTTAGAACGTGATATAAGCTAATTATGTGATTTTCACGAGATCTTACCATAAAAAGCTTTGGACCGGAACTGATGCTGGAACTCAAATAAACTAGGAACTTTACCCAAGTATTTTACCTTTTTCAAGGCCTCTGCAAGTTTATAGTAGTAAAATTGGACCAATTCCGTCTGATGCTGCAGACGAAGATTTTCATGAATAGAGGTCGAAAAGAAGTAGTGCAGGTCTATGGCCGGAGAGTTCCAAACGCTGAACTGGAAGTCAATAAGAATAGCATTTATCGGATGTCCTTGGTCATCGTACTGGAACATAACATTGGTAGTCCAAATATCTCCATGAGCCAGGGTCACAAAGTCCCCGGGACTAAGAGATGTCGAGCGCTCGCCGTAGTCCATTACGTTATCAATTAGACGGTCAATCTTTGTTTTGTAACGCTCTTTAAGATCCGGATTCAACTCTAGGGTATGAGACAACGCTATCAGAATATTCTTCATGATGGGTTCGTAACTCCGAACATGTTTGTTAAAGAATCCTCGATCATAGTTCTTCTCAAAGATACCAGGTTGCCTTTCAGCTAGAGCTGCTCCAGCGGCATGAAAATTAGCCAGTTTCTCGAGAACCAAATGGACGTGTTCCAAATCCAATTTCTTTACCCTGCAGGCCACCTTGTACTTCTCCAGCGAAAGATCCTCGAATACAATGGAGTCCCTCTCACAATCTACATTCACAGTAGCTGCAAACAGCTTCCGCGAATCACGCAGCTCATTCTTGACTATATCTGCCAAACGGGGCAGGATCCTTTCGTATATGTCCATCTCTCTCGTGTAGATTCCGTAGTTTAACAGTATATGGGACACGGGATCTTTGTCAGCAAAGGTGGTTTTCACTAAAAAAGTTACTGCCTGTTTATGCTTTGAGTCACTCGTGGTGTAGTCCACATAGATGCGGGTCATCACACTAGCATAGTTTTCTCCACTTGCTATCGCCGGCTTAATTATCCACATTCAAGGTTTCATTCTTAAAGTAGACTCTTAACCTTTTCTCAACGTATTCCTCTGTCAGCCACGCGGGCGCCTTATGTGACGTTTTCGCAGACATTATGTTGAGACTCTGCTAAATTTCCATCAGAAGTGCAATGCTTTTATATACGGACGAGATGCCAGGAATTGAAAAGATATCCGAGAGCAAATGCACGATTACTTATCAGCTTACAGCTCTTTGTTACATATTGCTTTGAACGAGTAGTACTGGCACAATCACTGAATAACACCTATTGTTCAGTTAGCTACATCACGTTTGATTTAAGAGTTCCTCTATGATAACTATCAGTTGTATTAGACATTTCTAGAAAACAAAGTTAAATTTACAAAATATATTAAAAACATCTGTTAGAGAGGCTGTAAATGAAACAAGCGTCTAACACTGTTGAGTTGATTTTTCGTACTGATTTTGTTGGGCCAAGCAGCCAAAGCAAAGACGGATGAGCAGCGGCGGGTTTATCAGCAGTTTCTAGTTTGTTTAGATTATCCAGTTTCGCATGCGCTTTACTGTTACTTTGTAGCGCATGCGCTTTTAGGAGCTTTGTAGAACTGAGTTAATTTGGTTTGATTTGAACTCGTAATACAAATTTGGATATTGAACTGCCTCGATGTATTTATTCTAAAGCAACTTAAAACTCTTAGTTGATCAACAGTTTTTTTCTTAAAATCCTAGCTTAGGTAGCTAACATGAGATTTGAAAATCCTTATCTCTAGACCCGCGGATCGGTATATCCCCGGCCGCAGGAAACCTTCTATCGTACTTATCTTTAAACATGCGGTGACCACTCGCAGGAGCGATCTAGGTAACTAGTTAAGTTAGGTATGCACACATGTGCTAGAGTCCAGGACATTAAAGGTTCAATTTTATTGCCTAAACGTAGACAGGCTCTTATCTCTCTTATATTAATATATGTGTGTTCTTTCTGAACATTCTGCCAAAGGCCGACAAAACTAATATAAGATTTACATATTACATTGCTTATGGACAATTATGTTTTAACGATTTAGTGGACTGTGATTATTTATGCTATTTCATTTTTTAACTTAAGTCTTGCTCTTTTTGTTTATTTATATTTCCTTTTCAACATTAGATTTTCTTATAGCTTAAATTTAACATTGGCTTGAGTTCGTCTTTCTCAACAATAAAAATTATAATACTTCGTGTTCTGATAAACAACATCTGATTTAATATTTTTTATTAACTTAACATTACAATTCATCTAGCAAACCCAACTTATCAAGAAATGGCAGTGTTGAAACCATATTCATTCTGATAGCATCCGCCTCATAGACTGAATCTCTGAAACGGATTCCACTCTCGGAAGCGGATAAAGCTTGGGCAATGGAGGCCTCCTCTTTTCCGGTGTACTGCATACAGGGCTCGAAGATTAATGAAGAGAACACGGCTAAAAGAGTTCTTATTAAAACACATTTTAAATGATTTTTTTCGTACTTACCATAAAAGGCCCTAGCCTGAAACTGTAAGTGAAACTCAAATAAACTTGGGATTCGGCGTGAATACTTCAGCTTTTTTAAGGATTCAACCAACTTGTAGTAATAATACTGAACCAGCTCAGTCTGATTTTTTAAACGAAGATTATCTTGTATCGAAGTGGAGAAGAAGTAGTGCAGATCAATGGCCGGAGAGTTCCAAACGCTGAACTGGAAATCAATTAAAATGGCATTGGTCGGGTGACCCTCTCCATCGTATTGAAACATAACGTTTGTTGTCCAAAGATCTCCATGGGCTAGAGTTAAAAAGTCACCAGGATTAGGAGACGTAGATCTCTCGCCGTAATCCATTACATTATCGACTAGGCGATCTATCTTTGCCTGATATTTTTCTTTCAGACTGGGACTCAGTTCTAGGGAGCGGGATAAAGCCTGTAGAAGATTCTTCATAATTGGTTCATATCCCCGCACATGCTTGTTAAAAAATCCCCGATCGTAGTTTTTTTCAAAGACTCCAGGTTTCCTTTCGGCGAGAACTGCTCCAGCAGCATGGAAACTGGCCAGCCTCTCCAGAACTAAATGAGTGTGCTCCAAGTCTAGTTTTTTTAACCGACAAGCGACTTTGTACTGCTCCAGCGATAAATCTTCAAAAATGATGCAGTCTCGCTCGCGGTCTACATTTACCGTACCTGCGAACATCTTACGGGAATCTCCGAGCTCGTTCCTTACCATTGTTCCCAGATAAGGCAGAACGTGCTCGTAGATGTCCATTTCTCTTGTGTAAATTCCATAATCAGCCAGCAAGAGGACCGCCGGGTCTTTGCCCGGGAATGTTGTCTTAATCAGGAACGTGGCAGTCTGCGAATCCTGTGAAACCCTTGTGGTGTACTCCACATTGATCCGTGTTATCACACTGGAGTAGTTCTCCCCATTCCCAAGTGCCGGCTTAATGTCCAGATTCTCCAGGTTAAAGGAGCCATCCTTGAAGTATAAACACAATTTTTCCTCTACATAATCCGGAGTTAGCCAAACAGGTGTCAAATTTGGTCTAATATTGTTCTCCTGAGACATGATACTATCCATTGGGTGGGCCTTTGTTAACTGCGTTTTTTTGATTGGTTGTAGTTGGCTTTTATAGCCCTTCAATTACTCGATTACAAATGATAAGTACATTTTTATTATTCTAGTCCTATCTACCAATCTGTCATTCTAATCTATCAATCCTACTATCTAACAATTAAATTCATTTGAGATATACCATAAATTACGTAAGACTTTAGGGCATGTGATTTGATTTAAGTCTTAAAATTCTAGTTTATTTAGCATATTTTTTTTGGATTTTTTTTTACATTTCGTCTAACAGTCCCAATTGATCAAAGAAAGGCAAAGACAGGCGCAATTTCTTTTGGTTTTCCTCCGTCTGGTAAACTGCGTCTCTTAACCGTTCACATTTTTCATCGCTGGTTATAAACGTTTGCATGGATAGCTCCTCCTTGCCATTATACACCATGGTAGGCTCAAAAATGAGAGATGCAAATACAGCTGAAGAATTTGAAAAGTTAGAACGTGATATAAGCTAATTATGTGATTTTCACGAGATCTTACCATAAAAAGCTTTGGACCGGAACTGATGCTGGAACTCAAATAAACTAGGAACTTTACCCAAGTATTTTACCTTTTTCAAGGCCTCTGCAAGTTTATAGTAGTAAAATTGGACCAATTCCGTCTGATGCTGCAGACGAAGATTTTCATGAATAGAGGTCGAAAAGAAGTAGTGCAGGTCTATGGCCGGAGAGTTCCAAACGCTGAACTGGAAGTCAATAAGAATAGCATTTATCGGATGTCCTTGGTCATCGTACTGGAACATAACATTGGTAGTCCAAATATCTCCATGAGCCAGGGTCACAAAGTCCCCGGGACTAAGAGATGTCGAGCGCTCGCCGTAGTCCATTACGTTATCAATTAGACGGTCAATCTTTGTTTTGTAACGCTCTTTAAGATCCGGATTCAACTCTAGGGTATGAGACAACGCTATCAGAATATTCTTCATGATGGGTTCGTAACTCCGAACATGTTTGTTAAAGAATCCTCGATCATAGTTCTTCTCAAAGATACCAGGTTGCCTTTCAGCTAGAGCTGCTCCAGCGGCATGAAAATCAGCCAGTTTCTCGAGAACCAGATGGACGTGCTCCAAATCCAATTTCTTTATCCTGCAGGCCACCTTGTACTTCTCCAGCGAAAGATCCTCGAATATAATAGAGTCCCTTTCACGATCTACATTCACGGTAGCTGCAAACAGCTTCCGCGAATCATGCAGCTCATTCTTGACTATATCTGCCAAACGGGGCAGGATCCTTTCGTATATGTCAATTTCTCTCGTGTAGATTCCGTAATTGAACAGTATATGGGACGCCGGATCTTTGTCAGCAAAGGTGGTTTTCACTAAAAAAGTTACTGCCTGTTTATGCTTTGAGTCACTCGTGGTGTAGTCCACATAGATGCGGGTCATCACACTAGCATAGTTTTCTCCACTTGCTATCGCCGGCTTAATCTCTAGTTTATCCACATTCAAGGTTTCATTCTTAAAGTAGACTCTTAACCTTTTCTCAACGTATTCCTCTGTCAGCCACGCGGGCGCCTTATGTGACGTTTTCGCAGACATTATGTTGAGACTCTACTAAATTTCCATCAGAAGTGCAATGCTTTTATATACGGACGAGATGTTTGACAATAAAAAAAGACACTAGCGTATCTCGTGAGCCTAAGCTCCTTAATTGCCAGCAATTGAAAAGATAGCCGAGAGCAAATTCACGATTACTTATCTAGAGCTATGTTACATAGTGCTTGCACAAGTAGTACTGGTACAATAGCAACTATTGTTCAGTTAGCGTAGAGCACGTTTGATTTAAAAATTTCTCAATGCTATCAGTTTTATTAAATGTTTCTAGAAAATAAAGTTAATTATACAAAATATATTAAGAACATCAGTTTTAATATTTTTTATTAACTTAAACTTTGTGGTAATGGATAAAACTTTACAATTCATCTAGCAAGCCCAACTTATCAAGAAATGGCAGTGTTGAAACCATTTTTTTTCTGATAGCATCCGCCTCATAGACTGAATCTCTGAAACGGATTCCACTCTCGGAAGCGGATAAACCTTGTGCAATGGAGGCCTCCTCTTTTCCGGTGTACTGCATACAGGGCTCGAAGATTAATGAAGAGAACACGGCTAAAAGAGTTCTTATTAAAACACATTTTAAATGATTTTTTTCGTACTTACCATAAAAGGCCCTAGCCTGAAACTGTAAGTGAAACTCAAATAAACTTGGGATTCGGCGTGAATACTTCAGCTTTTTTAAGGATTCAACCAACTTGTAGTAATAATACTGAACCAGCTCAGTCTGATTTTTTAAACGAAGATTATCTTGTATCGAAGTGGAGAAGAAGTAGTGCAGATCAATGGCCGGAGAGTTCCAAACGCTGAACTGGAAATCAATTAAAATGGCATTGGTCGGGTGACCCTCTCCATCGTATTGAAACATAACGTTTGTTGTCCAAAGATCTCCATGGGCTAGAGTTAAAAAGTCACCAGGATTAGGAGACGTAGATCCCTCGCCGTAATCCATTACATTATCGACTAAGCGATCTATCTTTGCCTGATATTTTTCTTTCAGACTGGGACTCAGTTCTAGGGAGCGGGATAAAGCCTGTAGAAGATTCTTCATAATTGGTTCATATCCCCGCACATGTTTGTTAAAAAATCCCCGATCGTAGTTTTTTTCAAAGACTCCAGGTTTCCTTTCGGCGAGAACTGCTCCAGCAGCATGGAAACTGGCCAGCCTCTCCAGAACTAAATGAGTGTGCTCCAAGTCTAGTTTTTTTAACCGACAAGCGACTTTGTACTGCTCCAGCGATAAATCTTCAAAAATGATGCAGTCTCGCTCGCGGTCTACATTTACTGTACCTGCGAACATCTTACGGGAATCTCCGAGCTCGTTCCTTACCATTGTTCCCAGATGGGGCAGAACGTGCTCGTAGATGTCCATTTCTCTTGTGTAAATTCCATAATCGGCCAGCAAATCCGCCGCCGGGTCTTTGCCCGGGAATGTTGTCTTAATCAGGAACGTGGCAGCCTTCGAATCCTTTGAAACTCTTGTAGTGTACTCCACATTGATGCGGGTCATAACGCTGGCATAATTATCGCCCTTGGCTGTCGCCGGCTCAGACTTCAGTTTTTTCAACTGGAGAGAGTCGTTCTTGAAATATCTTCTTAACTTTTTCTCCACGTAATCCTCGGTGAGCCATTCAGGACTCTCGGAGCTATTTTTCTCTGACATTATTTGCTCTTAACGTTAGCTCTGCAGTTTGTAAAATAACGCCTTTTATCTAGAATCCCAGATAGAATACTATCATCTTTAGTGGCGGATTTATAAATCGCACTAAGTTATCGCCTTCAATAAAACTGTCGAGACTACTAGTTAATTACCTCTATTTGTTTCAACTAAACTTTTTAGAATCCATCGCACATCTAAAATCTCTTATTATATTTAAAAGTACGATTTTCATATAAGACTAACAAACACTAGTGGCAGAAACTTTGTGGCAATGCAGATACATACAATGTATTTATACCAGATAAACCCGATAAGCGTTTGCGTTTTATTAAGTTATACAAATCTTCCAGACGTTGTAAAAGTTGGAATGGAAAATCTAGAGATTGCTGCAATCTTGACCTTCAGAAATCTTAATTCAAGCAACACTGCCTTAGTGAGGTTTTAATAGTCTACATTTATTTAAAATAATGAATATATTAATAAGAAATGCACAATCATGGCATCTGGCTTATCATGAAAATTATGAACATCTCGTGCCGAGTTGCTTCGTCATGGTACACAATAATCACCTATATCTATCTTAATTGAATCAATCCTACGGAATGACAATCAAAAATCTTTTTCTCTTAACTTATTTAGTTTTGTACTTCATGGCTATAAAGTCTGTGAACTAAATTATAACATAACTAAGTAGTGAATTTTTTAGTACCAACCAGTTCCAGTTTGCTCACTCACGATAAGCACTGCACGCCCGAATAATGGCGACATCTGTTTAACTAGGGATTAAACTAGATAAGAAACACTCACCTTAACATTTTATGGGCTAACGTATCTAGTCACGCTTAACAGAAATGAGTAACTAAGAGAGAATTTACTAGGGAGAGAAAAGGCCAAATTTTTAAAAAATTAAGTAACAAATGGAGTAAGAAATTATTGTTTCTGGTTCAAAATTTTTTATTTAAAATGTACATATCACTATGAAGAGTAAGAAATAGTGACCTATTTAAATTATAGGTCGAACCTGAACTAGAAATCCCATCCGGCGTATTCTTTCACCACATCCTTGTTTTCTTTGCGATGACGATGCACAGCACTGGCTTCTCCCTTCGCCACACACTTCTTACGCTGTTCCCGCTTCTCCTTGATGTCCATGTTCTTGCGTATTCGATCGGTGATCACGGACGGAGCTATTGTGCTGGTTGTGGTGGAGTAAGATCGCTGACTTCTGGCATCATTTAACATTTGCTCGACCATTTTTAGACGATACATGCGTGAGTTGGGATCCAAGCCAACAAGTTCGGGCACCTCATCCGTATCCAAATCATTGGAACTGATAGATCTGTCATCCTCTGTTACAGCTTGGGCAATTGGATCTTTCACTTCAACTGATATAACTTCTGGAGTTTCAACCGAATGGGGTACTTCCAATTTCTTAGGCAGTGTCTGATCGGGAACTTCTGGACCCACAGTCAGATTACCTAGATATTTCGTACACGATTCAATGTACCGACGCACTGCATCATCTGTCTTTTGTGTTGGCTTGGCCTCACTGTAAATCACCTCGTTTTCCACCTGTCGTCGACACTCATCAATCTCTTCAGCCGCCGCAGTGACTAAAGTTGGAGGTTCCTCCTCTGCTTCGAATTCATCTTCCTCGTCATCCTCATCAGCATGCTCCACCATGCCGTACTCCTCAAGAAGATCCTGCTCCATCTCCTTTGTAAAGCCATAGCCCGTACAATGCACCTCGGCGTCCAAGTCATCCTCGCGCACCAAATCGCTGAACTTGGGATAGTCCTCGCTTTCGTAACCAAATTTGCGACGAAACATTTCACGCACACAGTTAACATCGCGTTCAAAGAAGCTGTAACAAAATTGGGTATTAATTTCTATTAAAATAAATACATCTGTATATGCATACAATTCAGCATTCTCATGAGAGGTAGACATCATCTGGGGAAAATCAATCAGTATTGGCTTGCCTTCGTCCGTTACCATTAAGTTAAACTCATTAAAATCGCCATGTATTACCCCAGAATTTCCCAGACGGACAATTAGGTTCATGAGATCATCATAGACCTGCGGGGCATCCAGCAGCTCGTGAACTTGGGTCCTATTAAAAGGATATTATTAAACAACTATCAAATCAACTAAAAATAAGCATCTTACATGGGCCAGCCCTTAACGAGATCCATTAAAACGCAGTGACGATTGAAATCAATGGGTTTGGGAACCGGAAATCCACGATCAAAAAGTGCAGACATGTAGGCAAACTCACGGGTAGCCGATATGCGAGATAAATACAGCCAGGAGGCCTTGTGCCGGCGACCGTGGTAGTCTCGCTTAGCCTTTACGTTCCTGAAGCAAGTTCGACCCAATCGGTGAAGTTTCAGGCAAATGGCAGTACCCTCCTCGTCTGCCACTACATAAATATTGGACTCTTTACCAATACCAATCTGGTTGCCAAAGGAACTGACCGATCCCCGCAAGGTGAGAGATTTTAGAGCGAGGTAATCGTAACCCGTGTTAGTCAAGCGGTAGCCATCATCTGTGGGCCAAATAAATTTATAGGCTGAAGGTATTCAATCTGAAGTCATACTTACACTTTTTTCCCCGCTCGTAGGCCAGCAGCTTGTGCTTACACAGCTCCTTAAGTAGCTTGTGAACTCCACCCGTCTTCAGGTTCGCAATGGCAGCGGCCAAAGGCCCAGGGACCAGCTCGTGGTTCTTCATGCCCATCTCGATCGCAGTAAGTACTCGAAAGTCTTCCTTGGTGAGATACCGTAGCACTGTGACGTTTAATTTACCCATTTTTTATTGATTTAGTCTGTTTAACAACGCATTTATCAATGTTTTCGTTGTACACGTGCAGGCCAGTGTAACCAGATGGTTAAAGCACTTTCCCACCAAATTGTACGTTTTAAAGGCGGATAATTCATTGACACTTTGAAAGAACTGATAATCTTTTAAAATAGCTATGATTGTGTATTTTGTGTTTCTCTAACAAACCAGAATTGAAAAAAGTTATTTTACAATCAAAACTGGGCTTCAGTTTTTTAAAGTGTACCATTGGATGCAACTGGTGTTTTATTTCTGGCTTAGCACGGGCACACTGGCTTGCACATCGTCATCAGAAAGAGATAAAACGCGAGGACATGGCTGGAGAGGATCTGATTGCCCAATTCCAGGGGCTCGGTATGAGCGAGCAGAAGGCGAAGGAGACTTTGAAAAATGCAAACGTGACTAAGAACCTCCAATTAGCATTGGAGGTGGCGGGGAGCGCTTCCCTGTCTGATGGCACCGGCATGTTGATCTACCACATGGCCACCAAGCTGAAGCCACAGACCGCAGAGCAACTGCCTCTTCTGGTACGTTACATCGTGGAGCGCAAACTAGACAACACGCAGCGCGTGGATGCCGCACTGGAATACGTTCTGAAGTGTGGTCAAAACCTGAAGGCCAATATCGATATCCAGGCGCTGGAAAAAGAGTGCGGCGTGGGAGTAGTAGTCACTCCGGAGCAGATCGAGCGCACTGTGCAGGCAAAGATCAAGGCCAACTACAAGGAATCCTTACTGGAGCAGCGCTACCACTTCAACTCATTTAAAATTCTGCAGGACGTCCGGAGCGAGCTTAAATGGGCGGATGCAAAGTCCGTGAAGGCTGCTATTGATGTAGAGATCTTCGATCTGTTGGGTCCCAAGACTGAGGCGGATCTTAAGCCTTCCAAGGCAAGTGATAAGCCAAAAGCAGCAAAGCCCAAGCCTGAAGCAACTGCTAACTCTCAAGCCACTGAAGCAGCGTCTGATGGGGCTACTACAATTGCCGAGCTAATGAAGACCAAGGTTCACTTCCACGCTCCAGGAGAGAATTTTAAGGCCGATGGCTATGTAGTCACCGAAAACACGGAGCGTCTTCTCAAGGAGCATTTGGCTAGGACTGCAGGAAAAGTTCACACCCGGTTCCCACCGGAACCAAATGGCATTCTGCATATCGGTCATGCCAAGGCTATTAACATAAACTTTGGTTACGCGGCTGCTCACGATGGAGTCTGTTATCTGCGCTATGACGACACCAACCCAGAGAAAGAGGAGGAGAAATTCTTCTTGGCCATCAAGGAGATGGTGGAGTGGCTGGGTTACAAACCATACAAGATCACCTACTCCTCGGACAACTTCCAGCAGCTGTACGAGTGGGCTGTGGTCCTAATCAACAAGGGATTAGCCTACGTGTGCCACCAGAAAGCGGAGGAGCTTAAAGGGTTCAACCCAAAACCGAGTCCTTGGAGGGAGCGTCCCATTGAAGAGTCCCTACGGTTGTTCGAAGACATGAAGCGCGGAAAGATCGACGAGGGAGCGGCCACGCTACGTATGAAGGTGACCTTGGAAGAGGGCAAGATGGACCCAGTGGCATATCGCATCAAGTTTATTTCTCACCACCGCACGGGGTCCGACTGGTGCATTTACCCCACTTATGATTATACCCATTGTCTTTGCGACTCCCTTGAGGACATCACCCACTCTCTGTGCACCAAGGAGTTTCAATCGAGACGGTCATCGTACTACTGGCTGTGCAACGCCCTGGGTATCTATTGTCCGGTGCAATGGGAATACGGCAGGCTGAACATGAACTACGCTCTCGTTTCGAAGCGTAAAATTGCCAAGCTGATCACGGAGCAAATTGTTCACGACTGGGACGATCCGAGGCTATTCACTCTTACGGCCCTGAAAAGGCGTGGTTTCCCAGCTGAGGCTATTAACAACTTCTGCGCCCAGATGGGCGTCACTGGAGCTCAGATAGCCGTGGATCCCGCGATGCTAGAGGCAGCAGTGAGAGATGTGCTCAATATCACAGCTCCACGCCGCTTGGTTGTTTTAGAACCACTCAAAGTTACCATCAAGAATTTCCCGCACTCGTCCCCCCTCCAACTGGATGTACCTGATTTTCCCCAGAACCCACAACTGGGATCGCACAAGATTACCCTGGACAAGGTGATCTATATCGAGCAAGGAGACTTCAAGCTTGAGCCCGAGAAGGGGTACCGCCGTCTGGCGCCGAAACAATCCGTCGGTCTACGCCACGCAGGTCTCGTCATCACCGTAGAAGAGGTTGTGAAGAATCCGTCGACGGGTGAAGTGGTGGAACTTATCTGCACTAGCCAGTCTGCAGATCAGGCCGAGAAGCCAAAGGCCTTTGTCCAGTGGGTATCGCAGCCGATTCAACTAGAGGTTCGCCTCTATGAGCAACTCTTTAAGCACAAGAATCCCGAGGATCCAAACGAGGTGCCCGGGGGCTTCCTAAGCGATATAAGCGAACAGTCCATTTCGGTGGTGGTGGCATTTGCAGATCAGGCGCTCAACAAGGCTAAGGTGTACGACAAGTTCCAGTTCGAGAGGATCGGCTTTTTCTCCGTGGACCCAGACACCACCACGAACCATTTAGTTTTCAACCGCACAGTGGGCCTCAAAGAGGATGCGGGCAAAAAGTGATTAGCGTACCGGACTGCCAGGACCCACAGATAAAAGAAACAAACTCCGTATCACATTAAAATTCGATTTATAAAATCACCTCTCATTTCTTTCCCTCCACCATAATGATGTGATAGCCGAACTTGGTTTTAATTGGGGGATCTGTGTAAACGGGGTTGTTGACGGTGGAGATTGGCAGTGCAAAAGCGGCGTCTTGAAAGGGACCCACCATTGCTCCGCGGATTTGCCAACCGAGATCGCCGCCCTGTCGCGCCTTGTCCTCGCTGTAAGCAGCCGCCACCTCAGGGAACTTTTGACCGGCCTTGAGCTTTTCCATTGCCTCTGTGATCTTGCCTTGCTTTTCGCAAAGGATGTGCCGTACCTTTACGGCATTACCTCCTTTTTTCTCTTTGCCGGCAGCTGCACAGATGGGATTAAGTTAATTTAATACTTTCGGTTTTTCTATGTACTTACACTTGTCCTCAGCAGCTGGCTTTTTGCCACCTTTCCCCCCATCTTTTCCTCCCTTTGCGTCCTTTTTCGGTGGCATTTTCTTTAAATATTTTATAAATTATAAGTGAGTTCCATTTAAACAATAAGTACGGCTAGAGCTGCCACATGGGGAAGGACAGAGATGCTCTAAAAATCTAGTCATGATTAATCTAGCTATTTTGTACATACTGTGTATATATTAAAAAAAAAAGATGAACCATATCTTTTAGGATTTATATTTACCATGCCAATATAATTTTCTGTGTTATTGGATATATATAATGATATGATATAAACTGTAAAAAATTTAACAATTTTATGTATTGAATCAAAAGTTCGCAGACCTTATGATCTATAAAAGCTATCGATGCTTAAGTAGTTATACCCGTTTTCGCAAACGGTCACACTTAGTTGCACTTTCTAATCAGCTTTTTTGCTTTGCTTTGATGATTAACCACCCACTAGAGATTAAAGAAATCAGGATTTATCGCGCCCTCTTGACAGCATGGAATTGAGCTGGGAGATAGTGCTCTGCGTCGGCATCGCGGTGCTGGTTCACATTCTGATCTACCTATTCGTAATGGGCAAGCGCTCAAAGAGCATTGTGGGGCGTCATGTGGTTGTTACCGGCGGATCCAAGGGAATCGGACTCTGTCTGGCGGTGGAGTGCGCCATGAAAGGCGCCGATGTGACGGTAATAGCCCGCGACGAGAAAATGCTGAGTGAGTAATGCCACGGCTAAAAAACCCCGCCCAAAATTGTCTTATCTTCGCTACCATATATCTCTATCCAGGCGGAGCAGTGGCCTTGATGGAAGTGATCCGCCAGCGACCAGAACAAAAGTTCCAGTACAGGAGTCTGGACATTGGCGGCGAGTATGAAAAAGTATCCCAAGTTCTTGGTGAAATCGAGGATAGCTTCGGCCCTATATACACATTAATCAATTGCGCTGGAATGGCCATTTGTGGTGTGTTCGAGGAGGTCTCAGTTCAGGATATGCACAAACTGATGAATGTGAACTTCTTCGGCACCTATAACTGTACTCGGTACGTCCTACCTAAGATGAAAAAGGCGGGCGAGGGAATTATTGTAATCACTGCGTCACAGGCGGCAATGTTTGGCATCTTTGGATACGGACCTTATTCGACCACTAAGTACGCCCTGAGGGCGATGGCTGAGACAATAGCCATGGAGTCCCGGGAGCACGGGGTTAGCGTGACATTAGCCTTGCCCTGTGATACGAATACACCTGGATTCGAGGAGGAGGAAAAACCAAGCCAAGGGGAGACCAAAATAATCTCAGGTGGAGGAGGGCTTATTGAGCCAGAAGTTATGGCCAAAGCTATATTAAAGGACGCCTTGGTAAGTTGGTTGTTAAACATTGATGTGGACCAGATAAAATGACACTAATATTTTTCTTAATTTTTAGAAGGGCAATTTCACCTCGACGGTAGGAGCAGAAAGTTGGTTAATCACCACTTTGGGTGGAGCATTACTTCCTTGGGATGGATTCTTCACCAATCTCCTGCATGCCATAGTTCTGGGACCACTGCGACTAGTTAGCTATGGTCTGCATAAATATTTCAGCAGTGTTATACGCAAATGCGCTAGGGAGGATAAATCGAAGCCTGGATCCGAAGTGGACAGCAAATGAACGCTACGGCTTCTCTACCTTATTAGTATTCCAAGTGCCCAGTATATTAAATTACATTTTCATTGTAAATCACAAAGTGCAATCTGTTTGCATGTTAAGCATTTATCAGCCATTTCCAAGCTAACTTTATTGTCGTTTTTTATATATCGTGTTTTGTAGCTGACGTGTGCTTAAACTGGTGTGTGCTTCATTTGAATAAAATCAAAGTGTTACATTTGTTGAGAATATGCAGTTTTATTATTATTCCGCTGCAAACAGAAAAAAATTATGGAAATACCCGACTTCAGAGATTTCCCATAGGTTAATTTTGCGTATTACTATGAAATGTATTCCTCTATCAGAATTTGTGTCATATCTTAATGTCGCGCAACAACCTTAACGTTTAACACCGCGATCGAAAATGTGATTAGATAAACACACAAACCACACCACGCAATCCTCCACCATTTTTAAATAGGTCAAAATTCAACTATACATTATTTTGGTTTTCTTTTGTCTTCCTTTATTCATAAGACGCACCCAGTGTACACTTCCTATAGTTTCAATTTTCATTCCGTCTTTCTAACATTTTTTATAGTTAACGCTAACAAAAGTTGTATAATCATAATGCAAAATATATATGTTTGTATATATATTTAGGCATATATTGTTATAGCATCTAAGCATGATAATCAAAAATATTTTTTTCAAATACAGTAAGTCTACTTTTTGGATAAACGAATCATTAAATTAGCGTTAGGATTAGGATGAAAAAATTAAATTAGTGCTGATCTGTTGTTTCGGTATTGTAGGGGATTTACAATAGATAAAAGCATTGTAAATAAATATAAATTTAAACAAGCATTTAGATTAAACAATAAACAAGGTATTTTGCACAAGACGCCGTGCGACAACTCAACAGTGAAACGAAAAATGCTACACAAACCGAAAAGGAAAATTATATTGTATGCTTGGTTCTGGTTGATGTTATACTTCTGGATCCCATTCCGGGCTGTTTTCAGTAGCTTTCTCTAGTAGTCCTCAATGGCAATGATCTGCGGTGGTTTGATGGACGATGCTGTTGGCGACCCCACATCCTTGGTCGCTGCGTTGTCGCTGGTTGTTGATGGTGGCAATGTAGCTGTAGAAGAGGCAATCGAGGGATCACCCGTTCCAGTGGCCGCCGCCCGTGTGTCCGGCGTCTGTGCGGCTAATTGTCACTTCGCGTTGCCCGCCACGGAGCCGGGTCCGGCTCCCGCCAGGTCGTTCACTCGCTGGTAGCGTGGCTTGTTACGCGTAAACGGCAAGTACTTGTACTTTATCATGTGCTTGATCTGGCGCTTCATCGTTATGCAGAACAGTGTAATGAAGTACATGACCAGGATGGGCCAGAACACCGGCACATTGAAGAAGTCGAAGAACGTGCAAATCAGCCCTATAAGCGTGCTCTTTGCTACCGAAAGCCAGAACTTAAACTCTGGCAAGCGGCGGATGAAGGGCCTGAACTCCTCGTTGCTGCGAGTGGGTAGATTGGGTCCTTCGTCCTCATCGTCCTGCGAGTACGGATCAAACTCCGGGTCGATCTTGGGCGTGAGAAAGGCAATGAACAGGTTCAGGTGGTAAATGCCCAGCGCATAGCACACAATGTACCAGCCTTGATAGATGAAGATGCGTAACACGAAGAGCAGGAGCAAGAAGCCGGCAAACACCCAACGCATCCGTGTGTGCGGTGTGCTTCGGTCTAAGGTGGATTGATAGGTCTATAGCGGTAAAGAATGTGGGTTAGCTAATTTTCTGGCTGTGCTCTTAGAGGGCGCTTACCTGTGAGAGGCGCTGAAAGAATTTCTTAACGCCACCGCCGCTGGCAGCGCTGCTGTCCTCGTTCATCATAGTTGTCGCTAGCCTCTCATTAATCTCCGTCCCTCGACTTTTATTGTTGACTTTGACGCTGTCGCAGTTCCCCTTGCACACGTGTATCGATTCGAAATTGTGGTACTTTTTGGGGACAGGGGCAGCGACTGACAGAAAGAGGCTAACAAAACACAAAACAGGCCAACTGGCAAACGAAGCGCGAGACAATCGTTAATTGTTCTCTAATTCATATTCTGTACCGTCCGTCGTCGCCTTCTTCTTCTTCCTTCTTGTTGTAGAGCTCGCCTGTCAGGTATTGAGATTGCAATTTGCAGAGCCTTCTTGCCTAAATTTTAGGATAGGAAGAGTTTAGCACCGGGTTAAGTGCGTTTCTATGCGCTAACTAATTTAATTACACTGGAGATTTGTCGGCAATTTATTGTTCTTTTTTCACACAGAGTTCACCACGTCATTATGCTCTCTCAGTGGCAGGGCTGTCAAACTATCGGATAGTGATGGAAGAACCGGGTGACAAACTACTTTCGAGCGATGCTTCGTGAAAATTTAAATTTTTTATCTTGAGGAGTAAATTTCAAATTTTCAAACAGGTAAACAGGAGCAAAAAAATATTACATTAATAAAAAACAAGTACAGAACAGCGCTTTTTAAGCAGCGATGTCTGGTCTCTCATGTATCGACTGTTCCTTCTTAGTGTTCTTAAAAAATTATCGTTATCGTGTGAAAATAAATGCCCGCTAACAAAAAACACTTCAAATATCTTAAGGGTTATCAAAGTTTTATTATTTGGAAAAGTGCGAATTTTTAACAATTTTCCATACTTTTTTGTTGAAAGACTATCTTATAAACACAATCGTAAACATTCTACATATATTTAGATCCAGTTTTTTATGTGCCGTCCTGTTCCTCTTCCTCGTCGTTCTCATCGTCTTCGCTTTGCAAGGCCTTGGCACGGTCTACACACGAGTTTACCGTACTAAGAAACGCATTGGCAGTTTCCTCCTTACCAAATCGACAGGCGAGGCGTTCCAGCACGCCTTCGGTGCCCACCTTGCCCTCCGCGTCCACAGCATAGTTGTAGCCGGCCCAGAGAAAGCTTTTCTTTTGTTCGTTCATGTAATCCATCTGTAGAGAGGCGGAGATATTCATGTTTAGCACCAGTTTGTGGATCTGCTCCTGCCGCATGACTAGTCGGAAAGTCTGTAGCTCCGGATGCTCCAGCACCTTAATCTCGCCGACGCCTGTGATTTAAAGTGGTTATTACATTGATTTTAGACGAAAATTCAGCATTTGCTTACCTCGCTCCTTCCACTGTTTTGTCTCGGGATCATATCGATAAAGTCTCGCTCGCTCGCCGAACAGCTTAGTCTCGTTCTCTTCTCCCGTGGTGACCACTATTTCATCCGGCAGCTCTACAATGGGATCATAATGCGGATCGTAGTTGTCATCGTTAGCGCCATCGCCATCATCATCGCCACCATCTGCAGTGGCGGATTCATTTTTGCCTGTCTTCGACGAAGATTGAAAGTTTTTGAAATCGTCCTGGTTCTTCAGGTTATAGTATTCGATATTGGCGGACTTGTTGAATCCCACGGGGGTGCCTTGGCTGTTGGCCGACACATTGGCAAAGTCAATACTCGCTTTGCTAGCAAAATCGGCGAATGTTGGACCCGGTTTACTAGCTATATCAGCAAATGTGCTGCCAGTTTGGTTTGCTAAACCGGCAAAAGAACTGGTCACAGATTTTTCTTCCTTGCTGCCTTCACCAATACCGGAGGTTTTTGTTGCCTCCTCTTTCTTCTTATCCGAGGTTACCTGTTTGCCGAAATCAAAAATAGGGACTATGGCATCTTTTTGTCCGGTTTCACTGCCAAACACAAAGCCTCCTGCTGGTGCGCCCCCAAATATGGAGCTACCACCAAAGATAGACTTAGTTGCTTCTTTGTTGGCTGTGGGCTGAGTCTCAGCTTTGGGGCTTCCGAACGCGTTGGAGCCTCCAAAAATGTTTGAGGTACCGCCAAATAATAAATTTGGCGCTTCCTTACCATCCGTTGACTGAGACTCGACTTTAAATCCAAAAGGCTTTGAGTCTCCGAAAGTGGGAGCACTGAAGCCGCCGAATATTGCCTTTGGAGCCTCTTGACTGGCTGTTGACTGGGAGTCCACTTTGGCACCTCCGAAAATAGACGATTGCTCTTCCTTTTTGTTCCCACCTCCAAAAATGGATTTAGATGAATCCTCAAGCGAATTTTGGTTTGAGAAACCGCTGCCAAAAATAGATCCCAGCACATTGCCCTGACCTCCACTCGAGATCGATTTTTGTAGATTGGCTATGGGTGTGGCAGTTTTTCCGGTCTCAGATTTATCTAAAAAATAAGTTATAGAGGTATATCATATTTTAAAAGAATAGTTGGTCTAAGCTTTACACTTACCCGCGCTACCAAATAGGAATGCCGAACTGGGCGGCTTGTTTTCATTCGACACGGATATATTGCTGGAGCCGGAAAACAAAGAGTTGGTTGTGCCCAGCGAACTGGCTTTAAATACTACTGAGGAAGGTGTTGATGATTTTTTTGCCGTAGTCGATGGCTTAGGAAGAGTTAGGATGGGGAGGGTCATTGGTAGTGGTGGAATTACATCGTTGGAAGAGGTGCTTACAGACGAGGTTTTGCCATACTCGAACTTTTCCGGATCACAACCTCGGCATTTGTCCTCCCCTGCATGGTCCTGGAGCAGATTATCTGATGTATTATTTGCTTCGCTGGTTTCTGCTTTAAGGGGAGTAACGGCGTGGCTGGACGTTGAATCTTCTATTGCCTGAGCAGTGCCATCAAGGGCACTTTTCACAGCATTATTAAAACCTTGGGCCATTTCCGCTGTTTTAAAGCGCAAAGTGAACCGCTCAAGGACACTCTGGCCCTCGCTAAAATCGTGGACAGCAAACATCCACGATGTTTCGGTCTTTGGCTTGTACACTACATTTGAGTTGAGCACATGGTTGAGGCAGATCTTGAACACCTGATCCCGACGCATCACTACGCGAAGCTTTTTAGTCTGTTTGTGGCGAAGAATCTTTAAGTCGCCCAAGCCACGCTCTTTCCATTCGCCCTCAGTGAGGCGATATAGTTTAGCCCTGTGCACATACAGCAGTTCTTCGTCCTCCTCTCCCGTTTTCACATCGATCTAGAATAAACGATTGTCAATAACTAGGGTTTTTGGTATTTGATTAACTTACTTTATCGGGTAATGGAATCACTGGTGCAAAATAAGCATTGTTCTCCTCCTCTTCCTCGTGAGAATCGTTATCATCGCCCTCATTTGCCGCTGGAGTTTTGGCCTGTTGTTGGGTGGGCATAGAAAAGGAGAAGCTGCCGGATCCAATTGAGCCAGCTGGTTTTAAAGATGCCCCAATTGACGGAGCGGCGAAGTTAAAGGAGGCGGATCCAAACACATTGCTGCCCTTATTGCCCGCGTCGGCATCCTGGTCCTTATTACTAGCTGCAGGAGCTCCAAAACCAAAGTTAAACTTTGTGGTAGCGGGCAGAGTAAGTCCTGATCCTAGGGTATTCTCCTTCTTCGGCACAGTATCATCCTTGGGAGTTTCACATGCGCTGCAGTAAAGAGACTCTCCTGGATTGTTTACATAGCAAGCGGAACACGACCAGCTACCGACTTTGGGCTTGAAGGCGTCTCCGAATCCAGTCTTCCCTAATCCAATAGCTGGGTCTTGAGATGGAGGAACTGAGGTGGGAACTGAAGCAGGAGCTGAAGCAGAGGCGGTCACAGGTGCGACCACTGCAATTTCCTTGGGTTGTGTAACTCCTCCAAAGCTAAATCCACCTGTGCCAGGAAGAGATGCTGGTGCAAAGCCAAAGGAAAACGTGCCGGTAGAACCAGTGGTAAGGTTTAATGCGTTGCCTTGGTCCAGTCCCGATTGCTTGGGTGGCACAGTGGCATCTTTAGGCTCCTGGCAGGCCAGGCAGTAAAGCTGGTCCTGGCCGTTACTCGTATAACAGGCCTGACAGTTCCAGCTACCTGCCTTAGGCTTGAAAGCATCACCAAAGCCCTTTACGGGCTTCTCATTTTCCTTATTTTTTTCTCCAGTGCTAGAAGGAGCAACATCAGGTTTTTTTGTTTCTTTTCCCATACTTTGTTGAGCCTTTTGCACAGCATCCGTGAAGTCCTGACAGATCTCCGGCGACTTGAATCGCACAGCTAGCAATGCAGTGGTCAGCTCCTCTTCGGAATAGTCCTGACCCGCCCATGTGACTGCCGCTTTAATGTTCAATGCGGGAGTGAACTTGGTCTCGGGCAGCAGACGCTGATTGCAGCACAGCTTATGTACCTGATCGCGCCGCATTAGCAAGCGTACCTGGTTGGGATCAGAACGATTGCGCAGGAGCTTCATATTTCCAAGACCCCGCTCTTTCCATTCATTTCCAGCTTTATCCCAACGCAAAAGCTTTGCGCGGTGTTCAAATAGCACTTCCTCGTTCTCTTCCCCAGTGACCACTTCGACCAGTTCAGGTAAAGCAATAACCGGAGCAAACTGCGCTGTGGGCACGTACTCCTCTTCAGCGTCCGAGGCGACTGATTTATTTATTTGCTGCTTTTGTGGCGTCTGGCTTTGAACTGTGCTGTCCTTGATCGTAGCCGTAGTAAAAAGTGTGGTGTTGTTGGTACTGCCTGCCGCAGAGTTGCTACCGAAGGAGAGGTTTCCAAAAGGAGATGCTGTGGATGCAATGCCGAATCCTGATGTTGTTCCGTTTCCCGTGAAGCTAAAGTTGGCAAATGGAGCCGGAGCTGAGGGTGCTGATGTTGCAGGAACAGCATTGACGGCAGAAATGGCTCCAAACAGCGACTTAGCCACTGTTGCTTGCACCGCTGGAACCGGATCAGATTGAGGTTTCGTGTGCTCCTTAGGTTTGCTGGATAGTGAGGTGGGTGCTGGCGTGCTAGTCACAAAGGTCTTAGGTAAACTAAATGCGGCAGAAGACGTTGCAACCGCTTCCTTCGGAAGGTCTGCAGGTAGCTCCGATGGTTTCTCAAACGGCTTCGCAAGCTTTTCTGACTTAGCCGCCTCAATGGCATTTGTAAAGGCCACCCTGAACTCCTCAGCCGTTTCTGCTGTTTTAAAACGCACCAGGAATTTCTCCAACGTGACTTGCTCATCTGCAAAATCATTTGCTGCCCACAAGAATGATTTCTTTCCCTTGTCTTGACTGGCAAAATTTAGACTCATGTCAGCCAATATCTTATGATTGGCACACACCTTGTGGGTTTGATCGCGACGCATCAGAACACGCGACAAGCCAGTCGATGCGTCGCACAGTATCTTAATTAGCCCAGTTCCACGCTCCTTCCACTCATTGCTAACGAATCGGAAAAGCTTGGCTCGGCTGCTAAACTTGACCTCCTCGTTCTCCTCGCCAGTGCGAACTTCCACTTCATCTGGCAATGGGATGATGGGCTGGAAATCAGGACGGGGGTCGTAATCATCCGCAGATGTGTCTGCTAGCAGACTTTTGTTGGGTTCACTAGCTCCACTTTGGTTTAGCTCAGCTGCCTCCTGTTCCTTCTGTTTTTCGGCTGCTGCTTTAGCCACCTGCGACTTGAAAGAGAAAGGACTTTCGGAGGTCTTTGTTCCAAAGTTAAAGCTGAGAGTTCCCGCCGCTGAAACCGGTGGTTGTGACTGTGTCTGTGTCTGCTGTTCCGGAACCTGCACCAAACTAGGCTTGATATGCTGTGCTGGAATGGTCACACTTAAAGTAGGCTGAACACTGGCACTAGTTGGCTTTGGCAACGGATCTGAACTGGTTATAACAACATTGGCCGGTGGTTCCTTTTCTACTGGCTGGTTATTCAAGGCTCGGTTAAACATTGCTGGAACACTAACAGAAGCGGGGGCAGGCACAGAAGGAACCACTTGGGGTATTTGAATAGGGGCAGGAACAGAGGTTGGTACTACAGGATTTACAGATGCCGCGAGTGGTCCAGGAACCGGAATAGCACCGGGAATGGTCGTGGATGGAACTCCTAATGGCTTGGATTGCGGCACTTGAATGGGTGGAACTGCAAGGCCTGTTGGCGTGTTAAAGAAAGCGGGAGTAGAGAGTGCTGGCTTTGACTCGAGCAGATTAAGAGGAGTCGGACCTGGAACTGGCTGTGCAGGCGGCGGTATTAGACTTGGAGGAGGCTGAGTAAAGTTTCCCAAGGCGTCCATGTAAGGTGCTACTGTAGAACCTGTCGGCGGTGGAAACATACTGGGTAGTCCAAAGTTTGGATTACGTGGACCTACAATATTAAAAATATTAAAAAATCAGAAATATCCGAATCGAATTTAAAACTTGCACATACCAAACATATTGGGAGGTGGAATCGATCCTGGAGCTGGAGGAGTCCGCAAGAACTGGGCTTGTGCTTGAGCTTGTGCCTGAGCTGCGTAGTAATTATACATTTGGTTTTGGTTAAACATAGGACTGCCATAGGGTCCTGGCAGAAAGCGATCCGGAGCATTCGGCGTGTTTGGTAGGCCATTGTAGAAACCTGGAGTAGGCCCACTATAAGGATTTGTAACCACTTGATGCACAGCAGCTTGATTGTGATGCTGCTGTTGTTGTTGCTGGTGTTCCGCTAGCGCATCCTCAATGATAAACAAATCATCCAGTCCTAAAGCAGCTGCAGGATCCACATCACGTGTCGGTGTTTCTCTACTGGTGATCTTAATCTTCTTGAGCAACTCCTCCAGTCCAGTGAATTTCTCTGCAAGCGTTTTGATTTCCTGTCGCATAGCTTCCATTCCAACACTTACATCGTCCTTAAGCACACACAGAGACTTGCTGATCTGCTTTACAGTTTGTTCCATCTCTTGACTTGTTTGTGCCAAAACAATGGGTGTGACTGGAGCGGGTTGCAACTGCCGACGTGACCGGTTAGCAGATAAGGTAGCGCCCGAATAAAAGTCATCTTCGGCATCCTCGTAGGTGGAAGAATTATTGTGCACATCTGGGCTAGCGAAGCTATCATCAAGACCCTGACCACTTCGGTTTTGCTGGCAATTTCGTAGCTCTTGTTGGATAGTAAAGCTAAGAGGGTGTTTGACATCATTACCAAGAATCTGTTGCGACTGCTGCAGGCACTCCTGTCTTCGCTCCGAGAAACGAGACCGGGAGACTCGAGACGCCTTTCCAGAAGTCTCAAGATGGCGATATGCCTCCGATTGCAGATAAAGGGCCATGGGTAGGTTAAGTCCACGAACCTCTTCTATAAACTGTTCATACAGACCCGCCTTGAACATCTTTGTGCTGAAATAAGACACAGCGTTTTCGGCGAGTGATTCAAGGTCCTTACTGGCTATCGTTGAGTTGGCCGATCCGTACCTAAAGATACGCACAAAAGGTTCGAGCTGCTGTGTGTATTGACGACGTATCATTGAAAATCCTAGCCTGTAGAGATTTTCAATGCGTTCCTCCAGAGCAAGATGGTCCGCGCGTGATTCTAAGATCTTTCCCAACTGGAAAATGATGATGCTATCTGCTTTAGGTCCATTTACTGCCCGTACCGCCTCCAATCCAGCCTGGAGCTGAACACGTTGCTCCACGCGATTTCCTTCACTGGTCAGCTGGTTTTTGTGCAGCCGCAAAACAATATCCCACCAAATGCTTTGCTCTGAAGTGGTTAGTTGACTTACCAAATTGGCAAATGGCATAATAAGCGGCCGGGCAGCGGCATTGCGATTTCCAAAATTTAAAGTGTCGTACCCTTCCCGCTGGATCTGCAATCGTCGTTGCGTTTGAATAACCGTGGCGTAGAGGTAGAGGTCGATATCCAACTGGGTTATGGAATCAGGTCCGCAAAAGTTGAAATTCTTCTTTATATCCCTCCGATATCCCTCGTAATAGAGCACGCGTGGTGCTTCTCCTAGCCGGTCGGGTTCGGTGCCCAGCGCCAAGTAGACATGCTGGGCCAAGGTCTGTGGTGGCAGGAGCAGTGCCTTTTGCTCGCATATCTCTATCTCCGCCAAATCGGGCCACTCAAAAACAGGCAGCTGCAGGCGCTGATTGCGCACCAAATGAGATGACTGATCCTTTAGTTTATGTTCAGTATGGGTAAAAAGCTGCTGGTAAAGTTGACGCCGCCAGTTTTTGTCCAGACACTGTTGGTGAGCGCTAGACAACAAGTCTTCCGAGTCGACAAATAATCCGGGCAAAGCCTGTGCGGTTACTTGATTTTCATTAAAGTTGTTATTCTCTTTCTGACTCTCATTTTTCGTTCGTGAGCGGTCTAAGCATCCCAAAAGAGTGCGACCCAGCTGAGCGCAACGAAAAGCGCCTTGTTGACGCCACAGCTGCATCAGCTGTTTTTGCTCAGCATCACAGTGCTTCATCCAATGGTGTACGTGTGAGTCTTCGAGCGGTCGCACTTGGTAACCAAGGAGCAAAACCGGCAGTGTGGAGCGCAGCGTGCTCATCCACTTGTTCTTGTTTCCCAGTAGCTCACGTTTAAATATCAGCGTTGCAGCGTGTAGTAACAACTGGCCGGTGTAGTGATCAGCACAGGATTGATGGAGTTCTCGTGGGACATCGGTCAAAGAATCAAGTGATTGGCTAAACTTCTGAAGGTATTGATCAAGTCGGAACAACTGACTGGTGCTTTCTATTAGTCCACTGCTGGCTTCTAGGCTGAGTTGCATAAGGCGATCGAGGGTGTGGAGCGCCAGCTGCCAAAAACGCGAGTTCTTCTTTATGTCCTTGGCCATTTCCATCTTCGTGAGCACCACCCAGACTATTTCGTACCATTCGCTCGACAGACTCATACAGCCCTTGGCCTCCAGTTCAGCCTTGAAAGCATAGTTGAAGGCCTGATCCAACTTCTTCTTCTCAACATATCCTCGTACAAGTCGCACGCGTACACTCACATCATGCGGTCGCGCTTGTAGCTCCTTTTGCATCAGCACCTCCAGGGTGTTGTCATCATCGTCTCCAACACCGCTGCCATCTTCTCCACCCTTTTTTTCCTTGAGAGTTGCCTTTATTCGAAGGGCGAAGATCTTTTCGTGGTCGCTCAAATCAAGGTCACCAGCCAAATTAAGCCAGTACTTCGCGCGCTCGATGGTAAAGGCGTTGTTTTCCAGCAATAACAGTTCGCAGGCATCCAAGACGATCTCCTTCTGCCGTGGATTAAGTTGCATGGAGCGTTGGTAATGCTGCAGCGCCTTTTGCACTTCAGGAGTCTTCAGCTTACTGTAGCTGTTACCAATCAAATTGTGAGCCACTGGTTCGTCCTTGATCCTGAGATAGCTGTTCAGGTATTCAATGACCTTGGTATACTCCTGTACCTTATGATACATTCTGGCTATCGTCAATCCCTTGATATCACGCTGAAAATAACGATGTAAAGTTTATTAACTGGTTAAAAAAATGTCTTCTAGAGATCCACTTCATATACAATGTCAAAGAAAAATAAAATCACAAATTAATGTACTAACATAAACAAAAACGTCGTTTGAGTGAACTGAAGTTATTTAGAAAATAAACGATATTATTTTTTTTGATATTGAAATAAGAGAACTTTTGATTTTTGAATTATTCATTGTTTTGAACTTAAAAATTTATCTTTTTCAGTTTCTTTTGTATACCAGCTTGTTTTGGAATTCAAACCATAAAAGCCGAAATGAAAAACAATTTAAGTCGTGGTCAATATAAAAAATAATACTTTGCTTAGTTTAGGAATCATATTCTGCAACAAGAATTTTTATTGGCATTTGGTAAAACCTTGGTAATAATACTAATTTTTTACATATAAACGTATGTACTATAATGAACACAAAGTGCTGTAATCTGCTTTAAATGAACATGTTTAATTCTTTATGAGCAGCATATATCCCTGTTGATGTTTAAAGGCTATCTCACATACTTATTGATCTTTGTAGATGTAAATCGAAATAAGCGGCAGCTGGCGCCCTATACATAACCTCAAAATTCTATTTTGATTTACCAAGAGAACAACAAATGCATGAGGCTGAGAGAAAAGTACTATATTTTGCCAGGATACATATGCAATCGGAAAGGCAGGCGTCGCAAGAAAAGCGCGCACTTTTCTTTTCTATTACAAAAACGCCAGACAAATGACGCCGACTCACTTACACACGCGCACGCACACAGACGGACGCACACAACGGCGCGCTTTCAATGGCGGCACTTAAGATTTCGCAACTGATTTTTTTTTTGGAATTCCGATGCAAGTTGTTGGTATTTATTTACCTCATTTCCCGCCGGCAGTTTTGCCAACAATTTGTGGACATGCTCGTCCACTTCTTTTCGATTCGTGAACATTTCCTTGCTGTTTTAAGCGCTTTCAATTGGCAATTGTTTCGTCCTCGCAAAAATGTGCTTCGCGCTCGATGCTTCTTCACTCGACATCCGATCGACGCAGATTTTTTGAGCGGTAACGTGCCTCGACCGGAAAAAAACTTAGCACTTGATTGGCAATTACAGTTGCAACACGTCGCACTCGTTTGCGGTGCAGATCAGATCGTATATATTTCTAAATTCCACTTAAAAATTTTGGCTGGAATACACATCCAACCGACAAAATATATGCAACCGTAGAGCTGGAACAAAACTAGATTTTTTCTTTCGATATTATCTGTGGGTTCGATTTTTTGCCTGTAACTATCGATAGTTTCAGAGTGAAACTCTTATCGATTTAAAAATAACTTTGAAACTTAAAAAAAATATTTTTTAGACAAATAAAATTTTAGTTCATACTTAACAATTATTAAAAATATGTGCATATTTTTGTATGTACAAAGATAAAAAATAATTTTTGTGTACTAACGAAATGTTTATTATTATTATTTTTGCTTATTTTGTTTACTTCATTTGCACTTTCCAGAAAAGCAGTTTTCTGTCAGAGACCGCTGTTATATATGGCAGTCTTTGGTGCCAGGCCATACCACCAAAGGTTTTCAGGGAAGCCTCGAGCAACGGAACCGTAGACTTTGCTGCGAAAACCTTGAGAGTTAGCCCGATTATCATAGCAATGACCATCTCGGAGCTGCCTGGAGCGAATCGTACCACTCGGCCGCAATCCTCGTGAACCTGCTTGATATCGGCAGGCACAAACGGTCTGTTCAGATCCCAGGTGATTAAATCCCCGCCAGCCAAAGAGGTGATAAAAAGCCTATTGCTGTGAGCCCAATCCGCCGACATGAGCGGGAATTTGGGCGACTCTACGGAAACGACAGTCTGTTTGCTCCTCACATTGTACAAATGGATGGTCCCTGCCATAAGATGAATTAGTTGTTGATTGAAATAAAGGGTTTTTGTCGCCAAACATACCTTTTTTCTCAGCCACCAATACCTTGTTGGGGTCCTCGGGATGACTCTTAACAGACATTCCAGCGGAGGATAAACCGAAGGTAATAACATTCTCCCCGGCTTCTGAAATCGTCCAGAATCTGCAGGTGAAGTCATCGCTCACAGAGGCAAGTAGATCACCCTCGCAAACCCAGGACACATCATTGACGTAGTCTCCGTGACCATGAAGCATCTGAATCGTAGTGAATTGGCCCAAATCGGTGCGGACTAAACTCAGCTGATTGCCGTGGGCAGCACAAATAGTCACATTGTTGGGAGTGCAATTCAGTGAGGTGTCGGGGGAAAATGCCAGTGCACTCGTGCACTTAAGGTCCCCAACCTCGATCTCCTGAAGTTGCGTGTACCCAAAGTCGCCGCCACTCTCCTCTGGCAATCCAACTAGAATCAACATCAACTGTTTCTTGAGCGCTACAGCCATTAGGTTGTAGGCAAAGTCATTCGTACAGATTTCAAAGCACTGGATGTTTGAGTTTAGTGGGATGGTAAAATCAGGCTCTGTAACAGCCCGCATTTTTACTTTTTATGTTATAATTCTAGACTAATTAATTGTAAATTATATTTCGTTTCACGATCAATACCGGCGCCAAAACAAATGTTTTCTTCAGTATGACCGTAAATTGTTTGAAGAATTTTCTAAGATGATGTATCTAAAGCATGACAATTAAATCTTAATATAAATAGTTTATTTTTAAACTAAATACATAAGATTAACATAAATTCTGTTTAATGTTGTTTGCTATGAATTTGATAACTCAGATTAAATATTTCAAAAGCACTAAGTGCTGTGCTGGAAAGTGTCTGAAACAGGGTTGCCAATAACCAGCTGTTGGGTATTATTTAGGATCTTTTTGCCTAAGTTAAGTTGGCTGCGATTTACCCCACTTCCTTTTCCGTGTTAGCTGTGAAAGAAAAAACATGCCGGTGGGTGCCAAATTGCGTTAAAATTGATTTTAAACACAGAAAACTCATCCAAATGTTAACCGAAAGTGGTCAGGAATTGCCGCCAAAGTGTCCAGTGCGAATGGAGCGAGTGTTGGCCCATTAAATCGGCCTGAAAGGGGCCTTAAACAAGTGTCTGGCCCGCTTCCATGAGTGTGTGTGGTTTATTAGCCACGCATGGCGTGCGCCTGTGAAATTGCAAACAGTTGTGAAATGGTTCTATGCACCAAATTGATTTTGGATAACTTTAACTTAACTGAGAGTCATTGGAATGCCAGACGGAGTTCTTAGAAGTCCTTGCACATAACCTAGAACGCCTATTGGAAAATTTATATTGTTGTCGCCTAAAGTCTGTGCTTGGCATTTGTTGATACACCGGGGAAAATGTGCCAATTGGATAAGAATTCTTCTTAAAAGTGCTTCATAAAATCGTTCTGATACACCAATGGTTTTTTATTTTAATTTTTCTTATCAATATGTTACAAGTTCATCTTGATCTTCAAGATCAAAGTGATGTTAATCTCAAAAAGATAATTTTTGCAGTATTGAATAAAATAGGCGCCATCTTACCAGCCCTATAATTTCCCATGTCTCCAATATTTATTTAAAAAATGGCAACTAGAGATTCGATTTAGTAATTTGGATCAAATTCATATAATACTCGATTATCTGTGTAATTACTTTATACTTAATTAGCATCTACTTGTATACTAATTCCATGATTCAATTCTTATTTGCAGCTAGCAAAAGATCTTCTGCACCCTCTGCCCGCTGAGGAGAAGCGTAAGCACAAGCTGAAGCGCCTGGTCCAGCACCCCAACTCGTACTTCATGGACGTGAAGTGCCCCGGCTGCTACAGGATCACCACCGTCTTCAGCCACGCCCAGGGCGTCGTGGTCTGCGCCGGATGCGCAACCATTCTGTGCCAGCCAACTGGAGGACGCGCCAAGTTGACAGAAGGTAAACTCAAACTACTACATATTGTATTTTTCCTACAAACTAAGAACTTTTGTTTGTTACAGGCTGCTCTTTCCGCAGGAAGCCACAGTAAAATGGGACTCGCGATGAACCACAAATTATTAATTTTTTAATAAAAACTATAAAACGTAAAGAAACCACAGAACCTACCCGAAAGAAAGCTTGTAATTCAATTGCTGCGGTCCTTTGGTTCATTGTGCTTTGTGAATTAAAGAATTAACGATCTTGTGGTTGGCTAAGTGAAAAAACAGCTCTTGTCGTATTTGTTTATAGAAAGTGGATAATGGCCAGCAAAGGAGATAGTGGAACTTGATCGATTGGGTTTCCTGATATCAGCTCCCCTAATGTAATGTGGAAACTCGTGTGCACAAGAAAATACATTTTAGGGTTTTGTTATTAATCCCTTTGTGCCGCAAAACTTCAGGAATTTTTCACTAGTTACGCATAGATTCTAACGATTAATTGACTTCACGATAATAAAGAATGTTTCTTAGGCTTTAAAATCGAGATTTTGTGACGGATGCTCACTATCACTGAATGAAAATGGGAATAGGTTTATCTTAATGGAAGAATTTAAAATTTAATTAGAAATTTGTTTCAAAATGTGTTGCTTTTGGTTTTTGTCTTATATATATCATTGCTACCTGATTCTTGTAAATATGCAAGTTCTTTCAACTAAGACTTCCAAGTATCTCAGCGAGGATAGCCGTGCTGTTCACAGGTTTGAGCATGCACTAAGTAGGTATACTTGGCGTTGCCAGCTCATTCAATTAACGAAGCTGTTAACCAATCAGCGAAGACACTTTTGCTATTACTCTGCTTGTGTATGCACTAAACGGGTATTCCTGGCAGTGTCCTCTTTAAGATAGCAGAGTTGCAAACCAACCAGTGAGGTAACTCATGTGGTTTGTTAGTAAAGACAAATGCCCTAACAGCACTGCTAACCATAAGGCTAAAATAAAACGCAATTGCTTATCGATATTCTGCCCTTTATAATCGAAGCTTCTGCTCGTCACCCCACCCCTCTTTCAATTGAAATCCCAGACAGCGTGGCGTCGCGGCATTTTTAAAACGGTGAATTCGGAAAAAAAAAAATAAAGAAACTTGGGTGAATTTTTCTCTGCAAAATGTTTAATTCACGTGCCATGGGGTATTCCGCCTACGATGACCAGCAACTATGCCAAAATTTGAGAGAACTACAATATGAATTGTCTTCCATGATGGAATCAAATGAAGCTTCTGTTCAGCATCGTGCTCCTTCAAACGACGATCAATCTGACGATGGTTCCAGCAGTTCCCCGGAAGCTTTGTTGGAAATTCAACAAAAACTACGTGTGATGCGCTTAGATAAAAGTGCTCCGCAGTTTGAATTCCACGGCTTGGGATGCATGCATCAGCTTCAAAAGCGTTCAAGTCAGTTTGGATTGGGTAGTGTTCCGGCGAAAAAATCGCGTACCGCTAGACCCCCCTACCTCTTAGTTACTGGTCCAAAGCAGGAGCAACTGCAAAAGGAAAATGTGTGGAACCAGCGTCAACGCGAGGAAGAAGCTTCTGCACCGCCCATTACAATTGAAAAACTGCGTTCGATTGGCTTGTACGGCGATTGGTAAGTGTTAAGTAAATGGAAGCCTAAATTAGGGAAACGACATAAAAAAAGACACCATGGGAATACCTCTTTTCTAACCCACAGCGTTGAGCGCAACGCCGTGCTGCGTCTGATGAATCTGTTCAGGTCTCTGCATGATCACCTGTCTGCTGACTTGGGCTTTTCGCGTCAAAACTCAATGCCTTCGGACTACCTATTCGAAATGCCCGTAAAGAACACGATGCCAAGAAGCCTAAATGTGCGTTACCAACTTCAGGTTCTCTGCTCTAAGGTAGAGCGATTCCTAGAGCAACAGCGTCGCACACTGGAGAACAATCGCAACTTTGACTACGAAAAGTACACCGAGTGCGACAAGTTGATCAAAGGTTCAGCCTCTTATTTGCAATCATTTAATCAGTTTAAAAACATTGAAATGCGCCATCGTAATGGAAACTTTGTGAACAATACGGGTAAGTGTAAGCTTCAGATTGTAACTTTCTCAGTTTGTTCTTTTTTCTTATGTGTGTATAAATTTTCTAGAAAATGTGCAGCGCTTGGAGGGTTTGCTGGCGGGTCTGCGTGAGTGGCTTAAGGCCACGCATCTCTGCGTGCATGTGTTCAACTGGGAAATGGACCTGGAGCATCGCTATTCGGCGGCCATGACTGAAAGCCACAGGTCCTTGAACGAGCGAGCCATCCTATTGGCAAGCTCCGAGTTAAAGGCGGCAAAACCTCGTGCTATCACCACGGAGGAGGTGTTCATTGCCAAGAAATATAAGCTTGATAATGCTGTCAGCTGTGCCATCGAGCAGGACGATTTCCTCAATGCTCTTCTTGCCAATCCAGAGATCTACTTCCCACCCGAAGTTGTGGCCATTTGCGGTCCACCGAAGATCGCCGACTTAAACGCAGAGGATGATTCTGAATTTATGGACGAGTACGAAGTTGTGGATGAGGCGCCATCATCGCCCCAGCGACGCAATGAACGTGTATTTGTGCGTTTCAGAAGCTAAGCTGAATCAGAGCAATTTAAGAGCCTTTAAAGGTACTTATAAATATTTGAATTCTTAAAAATATGTATATTACAAGTTACCTACAAAGTCTTACACTTACCTAAAAAAGTTAATGGTAATATTTTAAGCAAATTCGACAATTATTTTGGATGCCTTATTCGTAATTTTATAAGAATCACTTTGACCTTTTAAAAACAAGTATTTACAAGTAAAAACATATCGAAATTTGTAGTAGAATACGAAGAGCGAAAATCAAAACGAAAACTATTTTTAATAATATTTTTACTTTTATTTGTCTAAGTCAAAATGAGGCTATTTTTCTATTGTTAAGTTTAAAACCCTTCAGTGCCTGAATTTATTTTGAAACTATTATTAATTTTTAAGAGGAACTTACCAGTGATTTATTTGCTTTGCATTTGTATTTTTAAAGTCAAATAAAAATTCACATATACGTTTCAACTATTTTCACTTTTAAAGCTTTGTACTAAGGGAGTTAGACTGTGAAAAGCTGTTCCAGCGGTAGTTTGCCGAAGATCCTGTCTAGTACTGACTTGGCTATCAGTCCGAAGGCTTCTCCGATGCCCGGTTTCAGCTCGTTGAAGATGTCCTTCCAGTTCTCGTTGATAAGGGCGTGCATGTTCTCACTCAGATCCTTCTGACCATTGAAGAGATTCTCCAGGTGATAGGTGACATGGGCGGGATCCACCTCAACATTAATATTCACCACCTCGGCGAAGGTCTGGTGTTCGCCCTTTGACACACGCTTGAATTTAATCAAAGCTCGTACCTTAGTTTTTTCTGTGATTTAAATACACACATTTAGATTAGATAACCAGATTAGTAGCAAAAACTTACTCAGCCGGATCTCAGCATTGCCCTTTCCGGTAATGGGTAGAATGAGTATTCTGCCTTCGACAGAATAGGGTCCTTTGACTGTAAGTTCGGGGACTTCCATGACTAGCTCAATCGATCGGCTAAGATCACTTGTGAACCCGCTGAATAGAGAAATTATTATTTTATTCAGTACAAATTTATGATAAGCTTCGTTTCGAAAATAATTTTCATATGATCTTACCTTACTCGCTTTGCAACCCCCTCCTGAAGACCCAGGAGGTCCACATCGTGGAAGCTAAGATCAATGTTGACCGGACTGTGTGGATTACGGCCAATTTTAAACTTTTTAATGTGCAGCGGATCCAGAGGGATCAGACCAAGTTCCTTGATGCCACTCTTTGCATAGTTCCTCAGAACAAAGTTAACCCCGTTCATCAGGCACTGCTCATCCGTGATACCGCACCTTTCGATTCCCGAGGCTGCAAATCCATAGGTTTCACGGCAAATTTCTTTTTTTAAAAAGGAGGCACAACTCACGTAATTCTGAGGCGTGTCCATGAACTGATACGGAGGCACATCCGAGCAGCAGGACGAGGGCAAGAGTAAGCTTCATAATTGACGCCGGGAAACACAATTGAATACTGATCCATTAGCCTCGGATGTTACCACTTATATAGTGACTTTCGTCAATTGAACATTCCGAGTGCGGGCTAAATGTTTTTGTTGCCGTAAACCGCTTTTGCGTCTCAGGCTGACAGAATTTGACTTTAGACCGTCACCAGTGTACTCACCATTACCACCACCACGTACCCCCTCTGAGTCAGTTAAATGGATTATAAACCAAACCGGCAGGCAGGCTGGCGGTCTGGCTGGCTGTCTGTCCGGCGAAGTGGGCTGTTATAGCCGGCGAATTTATTTTACGATTCCCTTTAATGAACTCCCGATTTGAACTTGAACCTGTTGGGTTTACACTCGCACTTACCAGTTATCGACCCCGTCGATTCCATCTCTCCTAATCACGTTTTGCATGTACTTTGCTCGATATATGCAAATTAGATTGGCCTTCCCAAAATCGGACATTAATTCCTATTCGAACTCCTTTGACACATTTGATTTGTGCCTAATTAATGGCTGATAAAACGTTAACACAATTTGTTTATCCAGAAGTTCGACTTTGTAAAGTCAAGAACTTATTAATTTAACGACCTTTTATAGGGCAAGATTTTTTAATGCATTGTGATATCCAGCACATACTTTTAGGCGGTCCTTGATTTGAATTAAAATAATATTCAACTTTTAAAAAGTGTTATCATATAACAAAAAGCTTGCGTGATGAAAATTAGATTTTGACAAGATCGTTTTATAAAGTGATGAATATATAAACTTTATTGCCACTCAATTTTGTTCTATTTACAGAAGATCTCGCTTAGATCGTTTAATAGTATATAAGTATATAAGCACTTCTCTATTATCTTATTCTAACGTTCTAAGTGGACTCGTGACCCTCATTAAACCTAATGATGATTGCTTGTGCCAAAACTTATATCTGTCAGTGCACAAACGACCTGAGCTTGAGTTCGTGATAAGTATCAACAAGTTGATTTGTTAAAGCCATTTTAAAGAAATATATCTACCATACTAGTTACTCCGGGGCAAAAAGCTTTGCATACGGCCACTTGGAAAATACTCCTTTCACGATGCCCAGGTAAAACTCGCCAAAGGATCGATTAATGGACGAGGCTGTCTCCTTGTAAATAGCCTCTGAATTTTCATTCAGAAAGACGTTCATATTGTCTCCCAAAGCCTTGTCTCCGTTAAACAGATTCGAAAAATGGTAATGTATAGACTCCGGCTTCATTGCAATTTTTAAATCCGTGACATCCAAGTATATCTCCCCGTTTTTCTCCAACGGCTTGCCCCAAAAGCTTAAGATTGCTTTGGTGTTAACTAAAAAGAATTTTTAGTCTTTTGGTTTTAGGGAAACCAACTTGTTAAATCTTACCAAGGGTCAAGTTACTTTGCCCAGATCCGCTAATGGGAAGTATGAGTACCTTACCCTTGATGTCATAGGGTCCGACCAATGAGAAGATTTTCGTGACAATTTTCACTTCGTGCTTCGCAGTGAGGTCCTTTCCAAATCCCCTGAAAAGACAATGAATATGATTATTATAATTTATTATATTATTCATATATATGAATAAGAAAGTATTAATTATTGTTATATCTTTTCGATGTGATCACTAGCTTACTTCACTTTCACGATCCTTTGATCCTTAATGCCGTATAGCAAATTGTCGGTAAACGTTAGAGTAATCCCAACCGGGCTTGCACTCTCACCCTGGCTTATTACCATCTTGTCGATCTTCAGAGGATCTAACCGCGGCAGGTTCAGACCAGGATTTGCCTCCGAAGACCGCTCATTGAACAATGTGTTGCATAGTTCCATGATACACTCGCCATCGCCGTATTTACATGGTTTGGGATCATCAGCTGCGGGGATTGCAGGATATTATTTACTGGATAATCCATGTATAATATTTGTGATAGGATGTCAATCTTACGGAATTCAGCTTGCACGGACACAAAAAGGAGGAGAACTGTTGCCAATGCTATTCCGAACATGTTTACGCTACTATACCTTTAGGAAACTGAATATGAACGGGAATTTCGTCTAGTATTTATAGTGGTCCACTAAGTGCAACTCAAATAAAGTCTAATGGCAACCTTTGATTTTGCTTTTATCTATGGCGTTACTGTCTGCTGCCCATTTGAGAAATCGCTCAAATATAATATATATAGTGCACCTACGAAACTAAATCATCTGATGGAATTGTGTAAAAGATTATACATTTTCTTGATAGAAATCTTAATTGATTCAGGCATTTCAAAAAGGCTTATTTACATTGTATATATTAATATGTATATACTTAAGTTTTAATTTTATTAGATTTTAAAATTTATGAATGGTTATTTACAGCCAGATGATGTTGGTAAGTTATAACTGTTTTATATAAAACATTCCTAATTACGCCCTGATATATGGTTACATTTCAAACTGACTCAGCTAATTGAGGTATCAGACAGATTATTATAAATAAGATTGTAATGTATTTGCAATTGTAATTATAAGGTTAATGATACTACAATCATGGTATTGAGTTCTCCAACTTACAAAAGGGCTGGCTCCAAATATAGCCAAAATAAGAGGCGAAAAAGAACGAAGTCATCGTGACAAGAATGGATCGCCAGAACAGGTCCTAAACTTCAGTTAACTTAATGGCCAAAACGCCCCGTTTTAAAGCCCAGCCTCCGTGGAGAACAAAAGCGACTCGTTTTACTCGGATTCGCTGCAGTTGATTGACTCGTGGAAGATTTTCACTGACCCAAGGCCAACTGGCTATCGACTCCCTGGTCTGGGGATGGGATTGCAGGTTTACCGTTGGATGTTCGGTACTCTTGAACTTGTCAAGTTTAACTGAAACGAATTGGAAACGAATTGGGGTGATGCGCATATAGCTATAGTCAGAGAAGCATTACTAAGATATTGATTTTTGTATTATTCAAATACTTTAAAGTACCTCGTATTTACTGAAAGGTATATATTAACTAGTGGTGATCAAAGTTTGAAAACTCTTCATCTTAGTGCTAATGATATGTTGTTTAGTTTCAAGTAAAAAAAACAATAATGATTTCCTGTTTAGAAATCAAATGAAAAACATTATTAAGCGAAATATAATAAAAACATTTTCCTATACTATTATACTATAAACTTTTGCCCGCAATTGTAGTTAGTCTAGTGATCAAGCTTTTATCATGCAAATTCCCAATCAAAAGTTTGATCACGTGAGCTGCTTGCTGATTGCCGTTTGCTTGCCAAAAAAGTGTATGCGACAGTTGTGCGGAAATACTGAGATCTACGCTTAATTTAACAATAGAAACACAACCAGTTTTCGTATTATTTTTTGTTTATTCTACAATTTAAAGCTTAGCTTAGCAGATACGATGATGATGTGTCAATGGCCGGAATGCAACGCCCCATGAGTGTGAAATGCTGGTGAGGAAATACTCGTACACTTAGCCTAATGCTGGACGACTAGTGCTCAGTTCTCCAGGAACAGATCCTCGTAGGCGAATCGCTTGAACAGCTGTGACAAAACGCTCTTCATGATCTCGGCAATGGCCACATGGATAGAGGGATGCAGCTCGTTCCACACCTCCGTCCAGTTGTCGTTGAGAAACTGATTCAGATTCGTTCCCAACGCCTGGTCGCCATTGAAGAGGTTCGCTAGTCGAATATTCATCCTGTAAGATTACAAATATATATATAACTGATCTTCATAGAATTTCCAAAACACACTCACTTTTGTGGCTCTACTAGCACCTTAAGCTTGTCCACGCTCAGGTGGGTGCGTCCATTGCGCTGCTGGGTACCCGGCTTGAACTTCACTGAGAATTTGGGATTGTGCAGGACGATCTCGGCGTCGCCATCACCACGAATGGGTAGGATTAGGATCCGTCCATCCGCCACATACTTGCCCTTCAAAACGATCTTGGGGAATGATCCGTACATCTCAAACTTGCTTGTTGCCGGATCCGGACCAAAGCCACTGGGAATTTTTCAAAAAAGGATTGGAAAAGTAAGTAAAATATAAAGACCTTTTAAAATAACAAGATCACAAAACATTATAGCCACTCTATACTTACACAGCTCTATCGAACTTCACTCCGGACAGGCCCTCCACATTCACATCCCTAAAGTTAAGCTTGAGGTTCAGGGAGCCAGTGCGTCCATCTGATATGTCAAATCGCTTCACAAGGAAAGGTTCCACCTGGGGGAAACCTGCCGCCGGGTAGCCAGTCTTTGCGTATTGGCGGATCAGCATGTGGGATACATTGATGATGCAGCTAGTGTCCCCCATATGGCAGCGAGGCAGCTCTGGAGCTGCAAGGACAAACGTTGGATTAGCACTGCACTAAAAAGGGGCCTCCACAAAGGACTCACGGAAATTGGAGGCACCACTGGCCAAACAGAAGAACAGGGCAACGGAGCCCAGTCGGAAGAGCATCATGTTTGATTCAATCGATGGAAGGCACTACAAAATTTTAACCGCTCGATAATTTTTGGCGAACGCCCGACCAGGTTCAATGGCAAACTGTAAATTGGCTCTGGACAGACGGCGGCATTTATAAATTTCTGATCGGCCAGAACGATGGAGCCAGCTAGCGAAGTGGCCGACAACCAGTACACTTCATAGTTTATTCATTCCTGACTTGTCTTGGCCCTTGTTGTTGTTGCTGCCCGCCTGATTGGTGGCTATTTTTATTTATTCGTATATCTCTTTCGTTTTCTGTTCTGGCTTCTCATCATCATTATCATGATCATCATTATCGTAGCCACCCCTAGCCAGAATTGGCAGCAACAATAATATTAATTAATATTATTAGCATGTGCCTCGATTCGCGAGAAGACCAACAAATAACAATAAACAATAACAATGGCAGCGGACAAAAGGCATCGAAAAATCAAAAGTGATTCTATAAATTTTAATGTTCGCCAGTTAGCAAGCAAGCCAATTTTGCCATCTAGCCAGCAATTTAGCCAGTTAGGTCTAGTCGTCTATTGGCCACCTCAATAATTCTCCTTTTCCAACAATGCATTACTTTTTATATTTTTATTTATTAGTACTTTTAATAGATCCATAATCTGTGAAATGGAATTTATAATGAAGTGCAAATACTGATTCGTACTTATCCATCTTATGTTTGCTTTGAGATCAGCACTTGGGATTTAGAACTTTTGGGGATTTTCTAACTGCGTTTGCAATACAATACAATACCATGTGCTAAATGGTTATGCAGGTTGGAACCGAATGGTAATGAAGTCATTTGCATAGATCGAGGTCTGGGATGTTTGATACTTACTGAAACGATATTCTAATAAAATATTTTAAAAATCCTTTTTGATATTAATCACAATTTCATAAGGAAATATGAAATAAAAGGTGCCCAGGGCTAGGATAAAAGTAAATATGGAAGTTTAATGTAGGATATATATTATACTTTAAGACATTTTATATTAATCTTAAATACACTTCTGAAGAGAATGCTGCATTTCAAGGCTTATAACCATAGGCATCCCAAAGAATTTCCGTTTTGCAACAAGCAAAGATAAATCTATTCTTTGGCTAACAACTCAATTCCGAACATAAGCCAATTAGACATAAGACATCATCAGGCATTTCAGACGACATCAAACTGGTTCCAACGGCACTCTTAATAGATTCACCAGATAAAAGTTGCCCCGCCGAGAGGTGGCTTCACTTTCAAACTATTTTGACAGGCTGCGTTAGGAACGGGCCGAGTGAATTTAATTTGCCAAATTCTAGTTAAAGGCTTCTGGCGTTCGTCATCGGCAATTAGCATATGCCGTGTGGATTGCCTTATATACTATATAGCATTCGATTGGCATGAAACCGGCATTTTGTTTATTTACCCATTCAATTGGCGCCAGGTAAGTCCACACGTATTTATGTTTGGCCATTTGGAATTGTTTTCTTAGGCAATTCCTAGACGCTGTCGTAGACATCGAGATTACGGCGGATTTTTGGGGGGCGCCTAAGAATGTTATAGAAAATATGTTAATACATGTGAACACGCGTTTTTTTTTTCTATTACGGCGGGCTGCCCTATGAATAAATTTGCCACATAGTTCAGTTATGTTTGTGTTCGATTTATCTGACGTAAACATGATTCGGTGTTTGTAAACTTAGTGAATTCGAGAAGATCTAACTAGTATATCCACTTTGTAAAACTGTGGAAAGCTTGTGAATGACTGTTCCTTTTTAATTTTTTTGAGGAGTTTATTATGATTTTGGGAATTTTTCTGGCATTCTGGTTTATCCTGAATCGTTTTGACTGGCATTAATTTATTCAGCTCATTAATTTAGTTAATTTTTTAGTTTAAATATGTAAATTTTGTTTTTTAAAAAGTAAAACTGTTGACTATTAGGTGTAACATAAAAAAACAGAATTTTGTATTTTTTTTTGCAAATTTCCTCACTCACCAGTAATGGACCAAGTATGGAATGCCATACCTCTATTAGCTTTTTTCTAATTCCTAGTCGAACGGCGTTCTCAGTTTAAAATGACAAAAATTTTCCTTTTTTTTTTTTTGCAAATTTTGATGTTGGTAATCGAAAATTCAAAATTGGTTTATCCCCGATTTTCTCCTCAATATGACAGCATTATGTCCGTAACTAAGCCAAAAATGGTCCAAACATAGAAAGTCATATCTGCTTGAGTTTGTTTTTTTAATTTCCAGTCGAACTGCATTCACAGTTTAAAATGTCAAAATTTTTTCATTTATCGCAAATTTTGATGATGATACCCCTTATCGAAAATGCGGAAATTGGTTTCTCTTACTTTCCTCCTGAAGGTGACAGGGTAACAAGGTGACCAATAGTGGTCTAAACATGGAAAGCCATATCTCCTAGTATCACTGTGTTCACAGTTTAAAATGTAAAATTTGGCCTTATTTTTCAAATTTTTATAATGTTACCCCTTATCAAAAATGCGAAAATTGGATTCTCACAATCAACACAATTTTTGTCCATAACTAAGCCAACAATGGTCGAAAAACGGAATGCCATACCTCGATGAACTTGATTTTTAATTCCTAGTCGAACTGCATTTACAATTTAAAATGTCAAAACTTTGCAATTATTCGCAAAAAAGAACTGTGGTCTATTTTGAGAAGTTTTGTTTCGCAAAACAGCACGCAGTGCTCCTTAAGTTATAACAAACAAAGATCAAGAATACATATATATAAATTTTGGAGCTTTAAGAAAGGTTTTTCATTGATTTTTTTTATTTATCTTTAAAATCTCGAGAATCTAAGCTAAAAATAATAAATGAGCAAATATTTTTTAATTTGAAATTTAACCGTACCAGTTTACAACTGGTTCCAAATCCCCTGGTTTCGTGAGGGACTCTTCAAAAGATGTGGTATTATTATTCAAACAGTCTTCGGTCACATTGTCAACCACTTCCACATCAGTAGTCTTGAAGTTGGATTTAAAAAATTCTCACGAAAATTATTTATAAGCAGGTGAAACACAATTGGAAAACATTCTGGAGTCAAAGCAGTTGATACAACATGAGTGGCAAGCAGATATTAGGCCTTTTGGCCAGTGCCCTGATCCTGGGAAGCTTGCAAGTGGCAGCGGCAACTGAAACGGACAACAAAACCACTGAATTCGTGGCCACCAAGGAATGGCAGGTGATTGCGGAAGGTAACGGCTAACCGGCAAAACTCTACGATGACGTGTACATTAAGTTGATATATCTTATTTCCAGGGCAATCAATTCCCAAGGGCTTGCATGTCCGCATTAACCTACAAACTGGACTCAAGGAAGCCAAGCTCTTGGATGACAACGAACGTGACACGGCGTTACAGAGTCAACCAGAGGATCAGGATCAGGGTGATAATGAACCCCTGGCATTGGACTACAAGCCAGACATAATTGAGGAATCATTACGGCGCGTCAAGGAGCAGAAGAAAAGTTATGCTGAGCTCCGCAAGGCATACAAGGAGTTCCAGAAGAATTTCCGGACAGACGGTGAGCTAATCGTTCAGTTGATCGATCAGTACCGGAACTTCAGCAGGACACCGTTGGAAACTGAGTTGCGCTCCAAATTGGACTGCCTTGAAAATTTGGAATATCTTCTGCACCAGATAGACAATGCCCTGATGTTCATTGATAATGGAGGATTGGATGATGTTCTCCTTCCCATTGTGGTCAACGATACAAATACCTCCCTGAGGGTCTCGGCCATGCGTGTGTTGGGGTCTCTGACGAGCAACAATCCCAAGGCCCAAATCAAGGTGTTCGAGAAGAACTTTGGCTCGCATCTGGCCCAAATCCTGATGAGCTCCGGGAATGGCGGAGAGATCTCCGCCGCGCTTCACGCCTTTGGAGCTCTGCTCCGTAAGTTTCCGTTAGCTCAGCAGCGAGTGCTTTCCACCTCGGGCACACAGGCTCTGATCAAGGTACTACAGAGTCCAGATGTGGAGCTCCGAAGCAAGGCAAAGGTAGTGACCCTCATCAGTGATCTGGTGCTGGAGAAGCGGTCAGTTTTAAAGGCCAGCAAAGATGCTCCCGAAGCGGCCTCCACAATGGCACAATATGTGCTCTTAGAGTTCGAGCCCTGGCTACAAACACAGGGCTACTGTTCAGCGGTGGACGGTGTCCTGACAAAGGATTTCCTGCATCTTTTAGAGCAGCCCGAAATTGTGGAGCAGTTTGCCACTGCTCTGGAGACTACTGAGAATCTCTGCATTACCTCTTGGTCGAATAGTTCAGGTCTCAGGCATGCTCTGTTAACCATACGCAATCGATATGCCAACAGCAAGGATGAATACCGACTGGAGGTGTCCCAGGTCCTGGCCAAACTGTGCGAGCGATTGTTCAACAAGTCCAAACACACAGAACTGTAATCCTAGCCAATTTACTTTTTAAAAGCTTTAGTTAATTGTAAGCTATGTTTGAATGTAATTCCTAGCCAAACCATAAACCCAACATGTTCAGGTTAGATGAACATGTTAAATAAGTTGCCAAGTACTTGTGATGCGAAAATAATGCTCCTTTTACGAGAAGTAAAGAATGTCATTAATTTAAGAAAGCTACATATATCTATGGTTTCTTTCTGCAAGTTAGATTCGATAGTAAAAACCTATTTATTTTTAATGAGACTGGAGAATAGTTATGCCAATGCTACACTAAGGATACAGCTACATATAAGTTTTCCGGTAATAAAAACAAGTCGACTTTCTCAGAATGTCGACAGCTTCAAAATTGGATAACTTTTTTTTTATGATTTCACAAATTGAATTATTATTTTCATAGTGTACATAATAGTATATATGAGTTTTATATTTTATAAGAAAATATTTGATTTATTTGTTTTTCTTTTCAAACTTACAGAAGAAATGACTTTCAAAGTACTAATGCCTGGAGAAACTGGCTTACCCAATATATCAGATAGATAATACCCTGGATCTCTAAATAGATTTTGTTTACAGAAACTTAAAACCCATTAAAAAACTAATAAAACAAAAACGATGACATTACGTTTCCTTTTTCAATTGTTTTTTTTTCAATAATAGGAAACTTGACTTTATAAAATCAATTTGATCAGTAAATTTGTTTCAATCAAGAAATCGCATTAAGAATTCTAACCCCCTGTAGAAGTTGAGACCCATTTAAAGCCCGATAAGGCTAGCATAATCGACCAGGCCATAAAGTAAGTCAAATGTGTCGGAAGGAAAGCAAAAACCGAAGGAAAGCATGTCCCAAAAAACTTCTCGAAGTTTGAATGTGGTTAAGGGAAGCCAAAAGAACAAGGAAAGCCTGGCACGAAACTGTACAGGAAGGGAAAGGACTTTGGAGCGGGAGAGTGCAATTATGTGCCGGCGACGTCCAGCGCGGGAATTACAGCAATTAACAGCAGTCACATGCAAATGCAATGTCACTAGAGCTGAGTCACGAAGGAGTACAGGTGTAATGGAAAGAGAAGAGCCTGGAAGTGAACCGGCTAGGACGCCGCCTTGGTTCCCATGGCTACTCCACACAATGTAAACAGAGAGAGGCTCCGAGGCAGAGAGAGAGAGAGAAAGAGAGAACTGACCAATGCGAGTGAGAAAGGGGTTGCAAAGCCGGCTCAGTGGAGCAAAACGAAGGAAGAAGAGCGAGTGCTTGGAATCCCACTCATCAATTCCAGCTGGGGCGCGTGCGCTGTGGCAGCTCGCTGTTGTTGTTGTCATGGCACTGCCACCGCCGCTTTCCGTTTCTTCTTGCTTCTTTCCAGCCGAAACGCTTGACGAGTGATGTGGAAACATTTTCAACACAAGTAAAAGCAAGCGTCCAGAGAGTCTTCCACCGTTTAACCACAGTGGCGGTTAAAATATTAGGGGCTTAACTTAATCAGACACCTAACCTATACTAAAGAAATTTAATTTTATAGATAATGTAAGCTACAAATGTGTTCTCAGAGATGAATATTCGTTGTAATTGGAAACAAATTGGAATAATACTTTCTTAAAAGTTTTACAAATTAATTCAATGAATGTTTTTAACTTTTGAAATATTTTTAAGAAACTTTCAAATTACTATTATATTGGCCAGGACTGTAGGCATGTGTGCATGCATGTTGATAGTGAGCACAAGTCCAACGCACACCGGCTTTACAGGCTGTTGCTGCTTTTATTGCTGTCGGTTGTTAGGGGGCGCGACTTTGGCAACATTATGGAAAATCAGTTTGTGTTTGGATCGCGGTGCGAGGAGCTCGTTCAGCGCAGCGGAGTACTAAATAAAAGCGTTTCGGCCAACTTGGTTCTTTGCCAATTGCACTCACAATCATAACAATGAAATGAGTTAAATTTAGTGCACCAGAAACCAAAACCCCAAAAGGATTAAGTGCGTGTTTGTAAAGCATAAATACTGTGAAAATAATTATTATTAATAAATAATGACAGATTGCCGCGGTTTTGAAAGAAAATGAGTCACGGAGACAAGATTTAGAAGTAAAGAAAGTGACAGGGAATGCATTTCTCAGTCTAGACGGTATAAGTAATTAAGGTTTAGAAGATTTTCTTTCTTTTCTGGAAACAATCTTTTTAAAACCACTAACACGAAGTATAGATTTTTATGAGAATAATATAGGACTTTCACTGTGTACTTTATTGACATCCTTTAATCATAACCGGAGTTAATAAATTGTCTCCAATTAAACTTCCCATATGCCGTAAATCAGTTAAAATTTTTTTTGTGAATCTGCAAGTTGCGTATGAAAACCCGGAGGGAAAACAAGTTCACAATCTGCGGCCCAAGCGAATATTGGAAAATGTAACCGTTTTTACACAGGTGAATGACTTTTTTGTGCGCTTCCGCGGGCTTCCGGTCAAAAAAGCGTTTTCATTTTCGCCATCGGCCAACGGCCAGCGTCTGATTTGTATGCAAATGTTTGTCTGTCCCCCCAAACCTCCGGATTTAACCATCAACCACCACACCACTCAATGCAACACGCCTCTCACTCCCCACACTTTCCCCACCCACCTGCTGTGTGGTATGCCATAAATCCTCGCCAGGAGGAAGCTCCTTTGGGCCGTGTAAGCGGGCGTTTGAAATTCTTCCACTATTTTGAAAATACCGGAACCAAGGAAACAAAAACAAAAACATTGCCACCGACTTTAGTGGCTGTTGTTGTCTTTATACTCTTTGAAGCTATAAAGGTATTGTAGTTTGATCATAAAATGGTCTTATATAGAAGAGATAAGGTGGAACTATAACAGATTAAAAAATTATTTATAAAGGCGTACATTGTTTTTGAGAATTTGTTAAGAAGTAATTGATCCTTTGTATCTATAAGGACGATCATTTTACTTTACGAAAAAACAGTCTTAATGAGGGTTATATCTGAAAAAGGTTATCTATCTATAAGTGAAATTTTCCTAAATAGAACATATTTCTATTCAACGTCTTTAAAGATCTTAAACTAGTTTCCTAAGACTTTTCATGAACAAATATAGTTTGTTTTGATAGGGTACTTAAAACTTCTGCCTGGAAAAGTTCTTAATTTGCCAGTGTTATTCTTAGTGTTTCTGGTGGAATAAAATGCCGCCAATTCCGCTGGTGACAACAACTAAGGCAATGTGGCAACCGACCAAGCGACCGAACTCCCGACATCCACCTCCAAACTCCCAACTTGGTGGTGACATGTGTGCGACATATGCCCCACAACCAGAAGACAATGAAGAAGAGGAAGCAGGCGGGGCAGAAGGGTATGCTAAAGATGAGGAACAACTTTCAGTTGTTAGTTGGTTGGGCGGTGAGGAGTGCTAATGTTCCAGTTGCTTTGGTTTCTGTGCCAAAGTGTTTTGTCTATCTAATAATCTTGTAATAATCTAGAAGACTCTAGTTTCCCCCTCTCATGATCTCCACCATTATCTATTTCAAATTGCCATTTTGCCAATTACAGAGCTAAACAAAGGAAAAGTTGCACATAAATTCAATTGAGAACGTTTATGGCACATCGCAGATATACTTTAATTTATAGCTTAAATAAAAAGAATTGTTGGCAATAACTCAACAGCAATAAGAAAACATCATCCGGTTAAACAAGAGTGTTAAAAATTGAATATGGAAAGTGTGTAGGAATATCAAGTGAAGTGAACGATCTTAAGAAACGATATTTTTATGAATTCTGTGAAAGTGTTATGTTGCTCTGAGAAGCTGAAGAACTATAAAATTACTTGATTGCTGATCTGAAGATATTGATGTACAACATGTGGATAACTTGTAATTGGATATGCTACGTGATCCTGGCTCTCAGCTGCTTGAATAAAGGTAAGCTATTTGATTTATACTCAAAAATACTTTTAATTTTTAAAAGTGATATGATTATCTTGATATTTTTGTAAGTAATGCCTTGTTGATATAAATACTTTTAGCAGAGCATGTCAGTAATAACCGCCTCTTAAGTATGATATAGTTATTAACTAGGCATGTTGGTTAGGTAACTGCAGATTCAAGTGTCGTCTTTGATAATCGAAAACAAACAAAGTAATTAACCGCATGTAACCCTCGAAAAGTAAAAACTGAAAAATAGTGAAATTCCAAGCGAGACTCGATAAATTAAAGAGAAAAGTCAGCCAAGAAAACAAATGTAGACGTCAACGTCGTTCTGGTCCAACGATTTATGACGGATAAAACTTTTCACGTGACTTACTTGGGTTTTGCCAACCCCACAAAGCCCCAATCCTCAACCCTATCGAAATCCCCCCAATGGAGCTTGGAGCAGCTGTCAAATTGTTTACCTTTTCTGGATATGAATACGCAGGCCGATTGTGGTCATGAAGTTGCTCCAGTTTCAAGTTCCATTTAGTGCATTAATTTTGGTTCATTACATCGTCATACCTGAGTGACATTCGTTACTCCATTTGGACAAAGAACATATCACGGCGGCAATTCGTTTCGTATCTTTAATGGCTCTGTCACAGTTCAAGTTCTTCCCTAACGGGTTTTGCCATAACCCTCATATGGCTTGACCTGTGCCACAAAAATTTATTGCGAAATACTTATTCCGATGCTTACGATGTTTAACCAGACAGAACTCACATGGAGCCAAGCCACTAGTTGCTGTTGGAATCCCAAAAAATAAAACCCCTTTATACCGTATACCTTATACCTTATGCCAAAGTCAGTGGCCCAGACCGAGGAGTTTGTCGTTTCGTTGGCGTTTTCATGAAAATCACCAAGCTGAACGGGCACTTTTTCTCTTTTTGGGTTTTCATGGTGTTGTTTTTATCAAAAGAAACCAAAACAAACCGAAATGAAAATTTGTTTTCTGAACTTTTTGATTGTTGAAACTTTTACCCGCCATATCCCATATGCCCATACACGTATTTGGCTAAAATTTGTTCAGCCGCCAACTCACTTTCATTTGTCTTACACTCTTCCACTTTGCAAAAAATAAAAGTAGAACTTATGTAATCTTAAGGTGGGTTTTGGATTTGGGTTTGCTCTTTAATCTTCACTCTATTTGTGTAAGGCTTCGCGGATTTACGCTTCAGGTATTTGCACCTTATGGATGAGATTTGGAATCCGATGACTCTAATTAGTCTTGGGGTTTTAAATACAGAGGATTGCATACATGCATTCGCTACTAATTAGTAGGATAGTTGGGTAATCAAAATGGGATTTTTTCTTTCTTTTTGTGCGGGATACCAGTGGTTAGTCCCGATTTCAGTTTGCGGTTTAAAAACTTTCCATTTTCTCCAGAAAGTAGCGCATGTAGCTCTCATGTACGTGAGCTATCAGCACACATCTGAGAGATTTTGTAATAAATCCAGAGCAATTAGACTAATTTCCAAAACACTTTTAACTGTCGAAGAAAGTCCACGTACCGAGATCTTCATTGCCATGTGCATTGCCCAATGTCACAACAATTAACCCAAAACAGAGATCTTGAAGACGAGTAGAAGATTTCTCTCTGGCATATCTCATCTGTAGGCCGTGTGGTGAAAATCCCGCCGGAGATGACTGCCGACCCCCAGTCAGGGTCATTGCAAACCGTTTACCAGAACGAAAAAACAACAAACAGAAATTATACTGTTAACACATAATAAGAACTTGTTCTTCAGGTGGTCAAGGGTTTGAGGTAGAAACCGGAAAATTTGAAGGGAAATACTTGTAACAGTTTATAATTGCAATGCCCAAAAAAAGGTGTTATGTCATGCTCCCATGGGAGTTCTAATTTGACTTAGCTTAGTCGTTCCCCTAATAAGATCTCATATATGTAACTAACACTCAATACTTAGCTATTTATATATCGAGAAAACGGAGCTTAAAACCAATAAATTACAGGAGTTTTTCTATATTTTAGTAAAATAAGTTCAGAAAGTGTAACCCAATTGCCTTACAGACTTTCTTCGATTATTTTTTCGTATACACTTGTACCAATTTGCATACGATTAGAGCAAGTGTTTGCAACAATTTGCATGACCGTCCCAAGTTTACCCGTTGCACACTAACACAATTAGATATCAGAGCTTGTCCGGAAACGCAAATCAGCTGCGAAGCACCCAAAGAGGAGCCGAGAGATGTTCCATGTGGCCAGTTACCCACATGGATGTTTACTTGGGCCCACGGTGGTTGGTCTTCGCTTTTGCAGCTCTGGCCGAAAATTGCAGCACTCGAAATGAAAGAAAACGGAGGCTTAGTAGAGCGTATCCGAGGTAAGAGCAAACATGTCTGGCGATTCGGACAGGTGGCTCACTGGAACACAAACATTGAACCAGGATCGTAGGCCGCCTCAGGGCGAAGTTACCATGTCGGTATCATCGAGTGACAGCTGGGGTGATCGACTCATGGGGGGAATTACTTTTATATGTACAGGTGGTTCCACAATAAAAGTGGCGTTTAAAGGTTATCGATTTATAGCCCATATATATTAAAATTAAGTGAAATTCTTTTTACATCCATTGTGAAAATTTACTAAAATACAAATCATAATCATCTTCTTCATCATAATCTAATCTTCTTTTAGCCACCTTTGGAGCTATTCTGGACTCTCGTTGTTATCTTGAGGGCGGTGGTTCCGCAGAGAGTTTTCTCGCTACTGAAGATCTGGCGGTGGGTTCCATAATTGGCAAATTAAGGATTAACGGAGATCCCACTGCAGAAACAGGGGATATCAACCTTTCCTTAAGAGAAAAAAATGCACCCGTAGAGATTCATGCCGGAACCAAGGAACTAGCCCTATCGGTGGAGTTGGACAAGGAGGGTGTAAGAGGACCTTCCTCTATCTATGTGAATGTCATCTGCATACGACGACATTCAACTGATCCGGTAAGTAACATTAATTAGATTAAATCAAAAGACTATGTTGAACTATAGGATAACTACAGAAAATGTAATAATCCACATCACGAAAACGAATAGTTAATGCCAAAGTAAAGAATAGGTGAAAGTACTAAAATTAGGAAAATGAAAGTCGATTCGGAAATTGCTTACCAGTCTATGCTTAAGAAGAAAGCCTAGGAAACTAGGGTGGAGTAGGAATCAGTTGAAGCTAGCATGCTGGGAATCAATAGAGCCAGCATGTCGAATTAAACCGCCAAAGGTGGTGGCTAAGCACTTGTCGATCAGGTTAACACCGCAATTAATCAGAAGTTCTGGTCAGTGGCCCACATCGACCGCATTTCCTTGAAGTTCTTCCTGTCGGCCACTTTCCAACCGCATTCCGCACCTGCGAAGGCACCTTTCGTGCAATGGGCAACCAATTAACCTATATAGAGTAAGTTGCCACCTTCTTGAACTCCATGCCTCCATCCCCTCCAGGCAGTGCGTGTTCCCTGAGATTAGCTAAGCTTGTTAAATTTCGGTAAACACGATTCAATGTTCCTGGCGTTGCGGCTATTCGAGGAACTCTATAAACAATTGAAAAGTTTTGCTAGACAATGAACGCCCATTTCAATTTTAGAATCAACAAAACGCTGGCTCCAACTTCAACATCAACTATTGCTGCCATTGCATCTACTAGTCAAGGAGCCATCGAAGAAGGAGCACCTGGCAGTCAACCCCTTTAGGTGCCTGTGGTTAGCCCCAGCTTGGTGGCCATAAATTAGCCATTAAGGCTTCCGTTTGCGGGCAGAAATCTAGGGAGTGGGGGTTAAAGGGATCGGGGAAGTCCTGGTTTTGTGAGGAAGGGGGTTCGCTAAACATGCAAATGTATGCAGGACATTCGGCAGCGTGCTTGGGCTTTGAACTCCTGGGAGGTCAGTGACCAGCACATGGGCTAAAAAGTAAGGTGTTTGTCTTGAAGTGCACACACTAGAAAAATTGGTTATTTTACACTGTAAACAAAATATGGAGCTATATCAAATAATAGCTAAATATAGATTACTTTTCAATTCTAGCTAAATTTAAGTAACACATATTTTTCAAAATTTTTGGAATATACTTTTTTTAAATGAATAATTACTTACATTTTTTCTGAATGTAGACATTGCTGACTCACATTTCCTCTGCTCCAATTTCCTCCACAGAGCTTCGTCATTCCCGTAAATGTTCGAGTAACCGATGTGAACGACAATGCCCCTCAGTGGATCGGCACTCCCTACACTTTGACGCTTTCGGAGGTGACAGTTCCGGGGACTAGAATCCTGCAGGGAGCCCGTGCCGAAGATGCCGACCAACCAGGCCCCTTCTCCACGGTGGAGTACCAGGTGCTTCCCGGTCCATATTCGGAATACGTGCAATTCCTCAATCCACTAGAAGGGACGTTGGTATTAAAGAAAGCACTGGACTATGAGCAACTGCAAAATTTTACCGTGAAGCTGAGGGCGCAGGATCAAGGCACACCTCCACGTCACTCGGACACACTGCTTCGGGTGGTTATCACGGATGCAGATGACCAGAACCCGAAGTTTCAGCGGGAGTCCTACAGTGCAGAAATACCAGCAGATGGCCGACCAGGAGAGCTACGCATGCGACCGGAGCCCCTGAAGGCGGTAGATCAGGATGAGGGGATCTGTGCCCCCATTCAGTACACGATAGTCCAATCGCAGGATGCCAAGTACTTCCGCATCCATCCGCATAATGGGGCAATCAGTTTACTTACCCCCATTGGATATGCAGATGTGGCCAATGGCGCCACTCTAGTGGTGAAGGCCACGCAGATTGACAATCCCGATCGTTATGCGCTGACCACTGTTCAGTTGACCCGACCTGGTAGTCACAGTGATCTTAGTACTCTGGCTTTTGTCCAAAAGAGATTCGTGATGCGCATTCGTGAGGATACAGCGGTGGGCAATCGTATACTGGCTCTACCTACCAATAAACCCGGTAAACATCTAAAGTACACCATCCCTGATCCGGTGAACTCGCAGTTCTTCACCGTTGGATCGCTGGGAGAACTTGTGTTAGCCAAACCACTTGACTACGAGAAGATGACTAAGCACGAGTTCCAAGTTTTAGCCACCGATGGAATGACGAACAGCACTGCGGAACTCACGTTGGATGTAATAGACGTAAATGACTGGGAACCTCGTTTCCGTGAGACGCACTACGAGTTTATGGTACCCAAAAGCGTAAGTATTCCCACTTGGTCTATAAGGAAAACACTACCAAACGGAATTTAAATTTACCATACCTTTTTATCGTACACCCATTCAGCAATCCTTACAATCCCGCGTGGATTCCTTTGAGGGCGTGCTAATCGGCAAGGTTGAGGCTGCTGACGGGGATCGCAATGACAAACTGGAACTCTCATTGCGTGGTCAGCATGCCGGACTCTTCGAGATAGATGCCACAGGGAACATTTACATGCGGCCGGAGCAGCTACAAAGTCTTAATGAATCCACAGTCCATCTGATAGCCATCGCTACGGACACAGGTGTGCCCCCGAGAAGCACCTCAGTTCCTGTCAGCGTTACAATGGAGGGTCTGACCCTGGCTCAATCCGGCTGGAATAGCAATATGCTAGGAATGTTCGGCATGATCATGGGCCTTTTCCTGATGATCATAGTGGCTCTCAGCTGTTATATTGTCCGATCTAAAAAGCAGGGCAAGAGCGCCTCCAGTGGATTGGGTCTTGGACGAAACCGGGTGCATAGTCAGGCGCACAGCAGCGTATCCTCGGCTAATCTGGTGACCCACGAAAAGCTGGCGGGTAATGGCAATGGAAACGGTGCCAGTGTGACGAGCGGCGGTGTCTCTGTGTTGCATATGAAGCACGGCGGTAATATCACCATGGCCAATCCGATGAACAATGGCCTGCATCATGTGGCCAGTGGAGCCAGCAGTAGCATGGCCCTCGGAAGTTCCGCCGCCTTGTTGGAGCGAGAACGAGAGAGGGAGCGGGATCGAGAGCGTCAGCGGGAGAGCTATGCGGCCACAGTGCGCAGTAAGTGACAGTCAATCTTAATCTTTGCCACGGATGCAAGTCGTTTTCGTTCAATTTGATCAAAATTATAAAATAAAAACGTAAAAATAAAACAATAAGTGAACCAGATTTGCATCCCTGATCTTTCCCAACTTTATACCCCAATCTCACCCGAAACATTCACTATTAAAAGTCTTCCTGCCAGGCATAGTATCGCGCGCTTCTGCCAACGGCCAGCTGTTCGAGGAAGATGAGATCGAGCACGACTCCCTGCAGACGGAGAATAACAACAGGAAAGTTGCTGTCACGGGAGCGGCAAGTGGCGGGGTCACCACCATCACCACCACCTCGGCCAATGCGGGCTCCAATCTTCTATCCGCCACAGATGCCATGGGTTCCTCGGAGAACAACTTGACGGTCTACTTTTAGAATTGTGAGAGCCAGCTCCTTCCAAAGAGCTTGTAAATATCGCTGCTAAGTCAGTTTAGGTTTAGGTTTAGGCCGCGCACACATGTATGTACATTGAGTAGACCAAATATAGCATTGTAAACAGACCCAGCACATGATTAAGATTAAGTCCAAGCGATTTCCATTGTAAAGTTTTGCTTCCCAGATTTTAAGTGGATCCGTCCAATAAAGTTTTCGACTATTCAAGCGTGTTGGCCCCTTCCATGCAAACAGTTTTCCTTACGAATCTCGTTGTTTATATTCTTGGCGCTTAAGTTCTACTTCGATTCTGGTGATCTTCACAACTTTGGCATGGACAAAACAAAAATAACTAGGTTTATAAACGGTTGACTTAGAACAAATAATAGGTAGGATATTACAATTCAATGGTTGGGTAAAGAAAATTCAATCAAATACAGTGAAACGCTCTATGGGGCGAAAAGACTTTGGTTGAAAAACACTTTTCGTTCAATATGAATAACATATTGAAGATATAGTTTCTTAAGCACATTGCTTGGAATTATTGTTAAATTTTATCAAAGGAATAAGTTAATTACCCCATCTATTAAGGATAAAATGCTGTATTAATGGCATGACCTCAGACTCCTTCAATCTGGGCCTGCCTTTACCTGCCATTTCGTTTTGTCTTTCTCTTGAGCAGGTTAAAGTCTCCATACTGAATGTGATTGTCGGTCAGGAATGGCACATAGAAGGCACGCAGTACTTGGTGCGACTTCTCCGGAATTAAGAAGGGTAGGCTCTTCATTATCGACCACTCCTTGGATCGTTTTGAATAGTTTGGTTCCAGCGCCGTATACTTGCCTTCATCAAAATCGACGAGGAAATCGCACCGGTCATAGTCGAAGTACATATGTTCGTTTTCCTGATTGAGATCATTAAAGTACGGATGCACCACCTTGGTGGCATTTTGGCCTATATCATAGTAAGCTGGTAACATTCCCCGAAACTCGGATTTCAAGAAACGCAGACGGAAATTCTGGGCGGGAAAGAAGAAGCTGCCTGGATAGCGATGCCAATCTTTGCCAATGCAAACGTTATAGATCACATCTGGGTTATATTGCGGCGTCGCCTTAAACTGATTTAGCTCCAGCATCAAATCCATAGGGGCATGGTAGTTCCTGTACAAAGCAAATACCCTTGAAAGTCCCAGTAATGTACTGGTCACCATTACTAGGATGGCTATGAACATGCTGTGGTCCAAATAATGAACTCCCGACTTAATTTTGAACACCAGCGATTTGAAGCGGAAGAAGATACGCTGGTACACATCCACCGTGATTGCTCCACAAAGCGAGATTAAAGGATATACTGGGAAAAGAAAGCGTTCCTCCTTGTGTGGTTGGGCGAAAAATACAAGGAGCCACAGGTAGAGAGGAGCCAACGATATATAGTGCGGAAAGTTTAAAGTCGACTTTGATTTCGCTGGCACAATTATATAGTCCATGACCAGCATCATGGGTAGTTGTAGAGCCAGAATCTACCAAGAAAATGAAGTTTGTAGAGTTTCAATAATTAAAAAGATATTTAAACTTACCCAAATAATATTAAAGTTGAGGAAACCGTTGACAATATAGTAGCTTAGTGGCTCCGTGCCAAAAATGTTTGGTCCATGGCTGGTAAACACATTATACCATACAATATTAAGAGGAGCAAATGTCAGTTTTCCAAAGTAACTGGTATCGATGGCGATCATAGGAATAGCAACAGTGGCGCCAGATATCAGGGTCCATTGAACAAAGGTCTTCCAGTCTCGCTGCCTGAGAAGCATCTCCAGCACCAGAGGGATGCCAATAAGCGCTGCAAATGGCCAACCCAGCAGAGCAGATATGGCAGTCAGGAATATGGCTAAACAATAGTTTTGCTGCCACCAGGCGGCCAGTGCAGCACATCCAAAGTACATGGAAAACGAGGATGGCAGTAGAGCGGTGCTGGAAACAAACATGCCCACGCTAAAGAGCTGGAATATCAGCCACAGACGACCGATGTGTATTCCGAACTCTTGGCAAATGGACCTGAAATTGGATTGAGATTATTATACCTGATGGATAGGATTTAGGATTTTGTACTACACTTACTTATACATATATCGCTCCATTACGGCACAGGCGAAGCCCAACATACACCTGACCATGTAAAAAATTAGAATGGGACTAGGATTGAACATCTTTTGGTAAAGATATCCGGGCACGCCCTGCAGCAATAGGTAGGTGTAGGATCGAAGTCCAAACTGCGGACTGTACTCCCACGTCTGCAATCCATGGCCATTGATGATGTAGTGTAGCGGTTCCCAGTAGTTGAACGTCTCGTCGCAGTCGGCTATATATGCCCAAATGGCGCTACACAACCGAGCACTCACAAAGGTCTTGAAAGCGGTCTGCACACTGGGCATTATAGGATTGGGGATGCCCTTTTCCTGGCTTCCACTCGTGGATTGCTTTCTACGCACGAGAAGTAATTACAGTCATTTGTACTCTGGATAAAAATATTTATACTTACCGCTTTTTGACATCTTTCTCCTTCTTTTTGCCGGCCGGTGCTACATCCTTGGTCTTGTTGTTTCCATTCAGGCCCACTCGTTTGGGCGGCTTTTTTGACAGAATCTGGTTATCCGCCTTGTTGGCTATATAGCGAGCCCGCGCAGCCGGAGGCGCCATAATCCGGACTTTCTGGTAATATTACCGGCGGAAAACGTAATCAAAATTGGTAAGATGTTGTATTTGTCAATATTATGTGGCGAATGTTATCGATATCATCACGGTATCGTGAGAACATGAATTTTAGATGGGGTATTCTTGTTAAGAGTAAAATATCATATAAACTAAATCAGCTATCTGTTATCGATACATCGAATGCAAACGGTTTTTTAAACTGAAAGACTAAGAAGAATGATAATTTATTTAATTTCGAATTGCATTCCCCGTTTTCGAAGTTTTAAAGTCAATGAGTAAAAGGTTTTGGAGTTTTTAATAAATGTAATATTAAAAATGAAGCAGAAAAAAATATATAAAGAGAAAGGTAAACAATTAACTAAGCTGAGTTTCGAATCGGCAGATAATGAACAATAACAATACACACTGAAATTAAACAAAAATTAGAAAGTTTTAAATTAAGAGTGCTAAAATAATTTACCAATTAGAGTGCAAGTAAAAATGGCAAAAGTTGTATTGCAATAAGGCTGCAGCATAACTCCCATTAGGTTTGTAGCTGCAATGATTCCAAGTCGTCCTAGGGACATGCAAAAGCTGACTGCCTTAGATCTAAGAGTAAACAAATATGTTTAATTCAACACAAAATAAAGGGTTAAGAATTTACCTTAAGTGTGTGGGAACTAGATCAACAATCGCACCAATCATAATTGAAATCGAAAGCCCAGGCAAAAGAATGTACAGGCAGAAAAGTACTAGTACGCCTGTGGGATTCCCCATAAAATGGAGCAAAACCCCACTTAGCGTTGCAACTGCTAGAGCAGCTAAAAGTACATTCTTTCGACCCAAGGGATTAAGGATAAGTCCTTGAATGGAAAATCCAATCAAGAACGCAAAGCCAACAATCAGGTTATCTATGTAGGTTTTGCTTGAAATGGGATCAGAACAGTCCTTAAAATTACAAAATATTAATATTATAAGAAATTCCTGAGAAACACAATTTATTAATTACTTACCAAAGTTTCTGTAACATTGGGTTTTTCAACAGGTACACTCAGAATCTCGCAAACTGTAGAGGAGTTATTTTCTGCGCCGGATGAGCGATTAACAATTTCGGGAAACCAAAATTGCATGCCATTTGAACTAAAAAAAAAAAACCGATTTATACTAAAAGTTTAATATATAACTATATACATTACCTAAAGAACATGCCGAACAAAGCCAAATTACAAAGAATAAAGTTAAATCCATGTGGCTTTTGGAAAAGTGGAATAGTAGCTCTGCATATTTTTGATATAATACCACATCCTTGGCTTTCTGCCAACAAATTTTCCCCAGCAGGCTCTTCTGATTTCAATGTAAATTCATCACAATTTAGAACTTGATGTATTGATTTCCCCCTGTTAAATTTACTAATCCATGCTACAGCCTCAATTGCTTCTTGGTTTTTTTTTTGTGATAGTAATAGTTTTGGACTTTCTGGGTAATATAATAAAATTAAGCCACCAATGAATCCTGGTAGCAGACTAACTAGCAACAATAAACGCCATGGTCGAAAAACAAAATCGCCAACGGTGATTGCCCAGTTAGATGAGAGTACCAGCCATGCAGTTGCTATATTGTTAAGGGAGATACAAAATCTTTGTACATAATTCAATTGTACGAGGTGTGTTCAAAAAGTAAGGTGACTCTTCAAATTTCGCGAATTTCAAATTTTTCGATTATCGAAACCTTTTAGAAGTTATACGAGGTGTGTTCAAAAAGTAAGGTGACTTTTCAAATTTCAAATTTTTCAAATTTTTCGATTATCTTCAGTTTTGGGAACAAGAAAAAGTCACATGGGGCCAAATCCGGTGAATATGGTGGCTGAGGCATTATTGTGGTGTTGTTTTTGGCCAAAAAATCCAAATCCTTTGATCCATATTTTTCGATAGCAAAAAATCGCCGAGCTCGCAAAACAACTTGTAACTTTACGCCTCTCACAACCAAACAAAAGAGGATGTTCCATTGAAACTTGGTACAGATGTTAGGGAAGAGTGTACCAATATAACAAAACAAAAAAATCGATAATCGAAAAATTTGAAATTCGCGAAATTTGAAGAGTCACCTTACTTTTTGAACACACCTCGTATAATATTAATGCATACCTGGTACATATATTGCAGTAACACTAACAAACATTGTGGAATAATTAATCGCCACAGCCCGATGTCGTGGTATGTTGAATTCACTTAGATATGCATAGAGTGCTGCTGACACCGCACCGACACTAAGAATGTGAGAATTACATCATTAATTTGTTATTTGAAATATAAAAAAAGGAATTATATAGGATCCCTTATGAATATACATTCTTATATAGAATTAAAAACTTACCTGATTCCAACAAGAAGGTTAATAATGTTGAATAACCAAACACTTGTAACGAACATTAGAATAAATTGCAGGGCATTGCTGGCGAAATTTCCATAAAGTAAAACTTTCCGGCGCCCTATATCATCACTGATATATCCCCATATATAGGTCGATAAAAAGATACCTGCCCAATGAGAAAACATGAGAAAATTCCATTGTGTTCTCTGAGCAACCGCTGATTTATTTCTCGACTCACCTGTAACACTAGCCGCCATCATCAGGCCTTTTTCAGCCTGTGTGGTTTGAAACTCACAATGCGAAGCGATCACAATGATACTCATGGCCTGTTGGGCGGCAACGGATGTGATTGTCAGAAGTCCGCTGACAAGCAAGAGAATCCACTGCGTTTTGCCATAACCTGGTATCCAAAAAAGTTCCCAATTTGTGTATCACGAGATTGATAAATGAGATATCAGTAATTTACCGATCTTCTCCAATATCATATCGTAGTCCCACACATTGGGCCCGAGGGTATTGCTCTCCAGTGAGCTGTGCATCTTGACATACCTAAGCTACTTGTCGACTGGTCACTAAGCTGGTGCAACACTTGCTTTTAAGCATTGTATTCTAATAAACCCCCCTGTAGAACAGTTGAGCGACATGTGAACCGCAAACCAGTTTTGAGATAAAAACACTTTTGTGATTTTGTTTCAATTAAAACATTTTGCAGAGAGATCTTTGGCGCTTCAATGAATTCGATTTTATATGCAAACTGGCTGAGAGAGAACCCAAAAATGTTTGGTTTATATCGAAAAAGGTACTGACGGGTATTTTACTTTACCTCGGTATCTCTCGATCTAAGCAATCTTAGGAAATAAATTATTAATCCTTTAATCTAAATCATACTCAAATGTAATGAGCAAGTTTGATTTTCTTTCTAGAACACATAAAAAACCTGAAAGATTTGAAAAAGTGGTGATTGCCAGATTCTTAGCGAATTTCCATTGTAATATGCGGTTTGGTGGCTTCGGCCGGTTTTATTTTTATAGAGGGAGTGCCAGTCTCTTTTTTATTGTTTTCCATTTTAAGAACAAAGCAATAAAAAAGCTGCTCCACTTGTATTTACTTAAAATAGTTTAACGAATTGTTACTATAAACAAGCTGTTGAAATTAAATTGAGTTTTTGGCTGCACAAAAAAGAGTAAAAGTTAATGCTAATTACTTTTTTTGTGTCTTTATACGTCAATGTAATATAAAATTTACTTCTTAAATTAAGATATTTATTGAAATGGTACATAAATAAAACTAAGCTACTTAAGTTATTATGGCAAATCTCAAATGGGCAACAGCAACGTTAAACTCGCACAAACTGTAATGAAAGATTCAAATATTTACTGTCATAAACAAATTAAATTTAAGACAACAAGACTACTCACCCAAAACAAATCCGGAGAATACCCCGAAAGTAAGAGAGCAATATGACTCCAAGAGTATTCCGATGATATTACTTCCAAAGACACTGCCCGTACGACCCAGCATTAGGCATATACAAACAGCTTTTCCACGAAGATGTGTCGGAACTAGGTCTACGACAGCACCACTCAGAATGGATACACAAAGTCCGGGCAGTACCAGATATAAACAGAAGCAAACCACAATTACCACTTCATCTTTGATAAAGATAAGTGCAACAGCACAAGCTCCGGCTAATGTAAGACCAATCGAAATTGAAGCTTTGCGACCAATAGTGTTTATAACCAGACCCATTAGTATATACCCTACTATTAAGGCCGATCCATAGGTTATTGTGTCTATATAACTCTTGGTGTTAATATGATCATCACAAATCTAAAAAATATTAATTAAAATAAATTGATATTAAGCATAGCCTACTTATCAGCTGCATAAAAACGCAATAAATTTGAATTCTGCTTACCTTATTGGTTGTATTGGCTTGCATTTGATCTATTGATGCATCAATAACCTGACACACTGTCATGGAATCTTCAGCAACGTTTGAGCCCAAACGATTTTGTATTTCTGGATACCAGAGACCCATTCCTGAGGAACTGTTTCGGAAAGTTTAATAAAATAAAATCATAATTGATTGACATATGAAATTACTCACCTGAAAAATAAACCGCACATAATAGTACAACTAATAATGAAGTTTACTAGATGAGGTCTCTTCAGAAGAGGCATAGTTTCTTTCCACATCTTCTTAATGGTTGTAATCCTAAAGTAAATATTCAATTTTTTATCTGACTAATTACCTAGCAATATAAACTTACGCTGATTTTGATATGAGTAATATATTTTCTCCATCCGTATTGGCTTCGGTTTTCAGTTTATGAACCTTGAATTCGTGTAAGTGCTTTCCCGAATTTGTAACTGCAATCCAATCAACTGCCGCAAAAGCCTCTTCATTTTTACGCAGAGAAAGTAGGATCTTGGGACTTTCGGGAAGGGACCATAACATGATTGTTCCCACAACACCAGGCAGCAAGTAGCAAATTGTTAGTAACCTCCAAGGACGGAAGGAGAAGTCATCCGTCACACTTATACTCCAATCCATTGAAAGTATCAACCAAGCGGTGGCTATAAGGCCAGACTTCTAGTTTTATGTATTCATAAAAAGCTGGAGGTGAATATTTACCTGGAACATAAACCGTAGATATTCCCACGAAAAGACTGGCATAATTAATGGCAATTGGCCGATGACGAGGGGTAAAGAACTCGCCAAGATACGCATAGGTTGTTGAAGATGCTCCTGCAATGCTGTTGTAAAGGAAGGTATTGCAAGAAGATAATAGTTAAATAATAATAGTTAAAACATTGTTAAGGAATTTAGATATAGATGTAAGCCTTATGTACATCCGTTTCATAAAATAGTTGCATACTGTGCTTTATAATCTCATAATTTTAAGTTAATCCTAGTCAGTTTATTTATAAGTACTTACAAGAATCCAACACCAAACCGGACAAAGACGTAGAGCCAGTAACTGGGAATTACTGTGGAGCACAAAGACAATACATTTCCGGCTACCGTAGTGTATAGCAATATTGGCCGTCGACCTATAGTGTCACTTAGGTAACCCCAAAAGTAGGAAGAACAGAATATGCCTGAAAAATAGTTAAATCCCACGTGAAATATACAACCATGAAAACGTAAAAGATAAACTGAAACTAATGCTAATTAAAATAACTTATGCAATGCGAATGTGAAACGCAAAAAGTGCTAACTCACCAATAAAACTAGCAGCACTCATAATAGCTTTATCCATGGAATTAGTGTTAAAATCACACTGGGATACAATGGTGATGTAGGACATGCCCATGGTCTCGTTAATGACCATCATCAGCAGAAGTCCTGCCGCAATAAGGACCACCCATTGCACTTTTCCGAAACCTTTGATACATTAATTAAATCACATTTTAGTAAGAGATTACAGGTTGTTGGGGTCATTTTCACTACCGATTAACTGAAGCACTTCCTCGTATTCGTGACCAGCATTGCGGTCTGCCACCGTTTTTGGCTTCGACTCAACATCTTGTTGGCCGGATTCCGAACTCATTTTGATCTTTAGGATAGAATTTTTTATTTAAGATTGTTGGCATACCCGAACCTGCGACAAACTGAAACTGAGGAAGAACCCAGGTTGAAGTGGGTATAAAAGCAGTGGCTGTGACAAAGTTTGATTCGAGTGATAGAGGACGCCCCTAGAGGTTGGGTTATCAGACGAAACAATAAAGATAATTGAGGGTCTAGATGATATTCTGTTTATTTATCAAATGTGTATCACTCATTTGCTACGACTGTGAATCTTAAAAAAAAGAAGATCGCCCCCCTCGCCCACCGGAACTGTGTCGTTTATTCCGTTTTTTCAATTCATTAGAGCAAATAATGCAAAGGTTGGCTTCATTCTTCACCAGGTGCTGTCATAAATTCGCATGTAATGACACAGTGTAACAAATTTTGGGAATATGAAAAATCATTTTAATTTTATATTTTATTTTATATTTTATAAAAAGAAGTGGTGATTATATACTTCTTCCCAAACATTTCCATTAAAGCTTTTAGAAAAAGAAAAAATGGTAAAAACATTTTATTATCTTAGCTTAAAAAATAAATTTACAACTAATAAAAGTTATTTTAAAAATTTCTGTCTTATCCCGAGGTAAACACCTATTTTGTTGTAGAGTGAGGTTCTTGGGGCAATAATTGCTGATAAATGCAATTAAGTTTAGGCATACTTACAGTAGCTCTTTAACAACAAAATTTAATGTTTATTTGTTTGCCTTCTAATGTTTATGATAATTAAAATGTGTGAAAACGGAATGCCACCAGGGGCTTAAGATCATAAATTTCTGAGCCACATGTCGACATAGTTTGCTTGATAGGAAGTTTACTGATGGGACTGCACCTTGAAACGACCCTACTCACATTTACATATCTTTTACTAAATGCAATATGTAATATATATAAATGTTTTAAAACATAAATATTTTAAGGAAATAGCTATTAAAATATAATGAAACTTTGCCATTTTTATATTCCATTTAGAATTCCGTAATTCTATAAATTCTAAAGTCATTTTCAAATTGTAGTTCATAAGTTAATTTGAGTTTGAGCTGTTAAAATGAACTATAACGAACACCTTTTATATTTGAAAAATATTAATAAATACTGATAATTAAAATAAAATTAAGTAAATTCTAAGGTTAAATCATATAATTGAGTTAATGTGCCTAAAAATTCTTTGTGAAACATAAGACTTTAATTTTAGATAACCAACATATTTTATTCATCATAGCGAACGTTTACTACATATCGATAAGATTATGGGGACTTATCGAAAAAGTACCTATCGATATGCTGATGACACGTCCAGTTTAGTTTATTTACAATTTGACCAAAGTAACTTTAGCTGCACTTTATGGCTGATTTTCAAGAACAGCTGCGACAATATCGCCTTCAGAAAAGAAGGAAGGAAACGGTTGACAACTTCAAGGACAAATTGCGAAGATTCTGGATGTTGGGCACTGGGGCTAACAAAGACACAACAATAGAGGTACAACAGGTAAGATTAATTCTAACCATTGGCGTTCTGTTTATTCTAATTTTCTTGTTTTAGGTACCAACACCCACTAAAGCTGAAGTTATATCGGACAACTCACTGGATGAGGCTGGTACCTCCAGTGAAAATGAAATGCTGCCGGACGAGAATCCACCGAGGTCCACAGATCATCACCACAGGGAAAACAACGTTCTGAAGTACACCCTCTGGACTGTCTATCTGTTATTCTGGGTAACTCTCTATGTAATAGCCATAAAGCTGAGCTTCGGATTGGTTTTCCTGATGATCTCTGCACTTTTTGGAATCTACTTCAATACCCGGACGGAACCAAAGAAGCGGAACGAGATGAGCGCCTATAGTGTTTTTAACAAAAATTGTGAAAGTATCGATGGAACCTTAAAGGCAGAGCAATTCGAACGGGAAATTCGATATGGATCAGGCAGTGTACGATAGGAATATGTTTTTTTAAGGATAATTATGTAGACAATATAGAAAAAACTATAAATTTATTATAACCGGCTGTATAAGAGATGAATATTTAAAGTCTACTTGTTAAGCTACTAACTAAACACAAAAGATTTTAAGTAGAAATATCTTGACTTCTCTTCTAATTGTTTCTTTCTAAAAGCATAACATGTTACCTTATCTTTTAAAACCCACAACAAAATTCATTATATAATATAAACACAGTCTAGAATTCTAAGGTTTGTATCTTTTTATTGGTAAAGTATAAATTTATCAATTTTTTAAAGGTTTTCCACAACAAAACACAAAAAGAAGTCTCGAATTTTGTATATCATTTTCCTCAATTTGAGTATCATCAATAAATTGATTATTTTAAATAAGTGCAGAGAATATTTTAGTTTAGTTCCTATTTATTAGCTAATCTTACAGTCTGCCATTTATCTAACAACAAGTATTTATGTATATACACTATAAGTTATTGGATTCACATTTCCAATGCGTGCTTCTCGTTAAATTTAGTAAGGCTGTTGAAATAGTTTCTAGATAGTTAATGTTTGTAGGCCTTAGTGCGTAGATCTGTAGGGCAAAGGGTAGGTAAACAAACATCATAACGATTAAGTAACTATATCCATCTATTTATCCGTGCATCCATTTAGTGAACGTTCAGTGCTCAGTTGATCAATTCCAAGATCTCTTCGGTTTACCAACTACTTCTATGAGTATTATTATGTACAAACTAAAATAGGGACTAGCCTACTGTACTAGATAAGGTCCTGTAACGGTGTCGTTCGCATGCGAAGCGAGGAAAAGCTATGGAGTCACCTATTTCCAGCCACGTAGCCACCAGTCTCACATGTGGATCTCCTGATCCTGAGCCAGCAGGAGATCCCTGGCGTGCGAACTGAACTCCGCGTGCTAGCACTTTGGCAGGAAGGACTTTCTGGAAGGCAATAGGCAAAGGATGCTCAATGCCATGACCATGTGCCAGATGGAATGGACGATGTGATAGTTCTGCTTGGTCTGCAGGAAGGCATAACACACTAGACCGGCCACCACCAGGGTCAGTCCAAAGGGCAGCCACACCGACAGGTATCTCCGCGAGGGGAACAACTTGCGGGATTTGGCACATCGTAGCCCCCAGCTGGTAGAGATAAGGCAAATACCCGTTAGGGCTGGGGCCAAAAATACCCACAAGCTCTGCTTATTCAGCTCCGTGCCAAATGCCAGCAAGATGGCTCCAAACATGTGGAGAAGCGAGACTATCTCCGAACGGACATGAGCCATGGCTACCAGGGTCACCCAGATGCTCAACAAACCGCAGTAGAAGTCACAGAACTGTAGCACTCCGATCTTCACCAGGCAGAAGCTGTACTCATCTTCGCCAGCGTCGCAGGCATGGTAAAAGATCGAGAAGAACATGGCGAAGAAGTAGATGACGCCCTCGGTGTAGTAGCGCCGCTTGACCGCCATGTAGATGCTCGGAAAGAATAGCAGGTTGCTCAGTGTGAGCAGTAGAGTGGCTAGTAGAATAGACATGTTTGTTGGCACCTGTGAGTCCTCCGTGCAATCCCATCCGCGATAACCCTTTGAGCATACGCACGTAGAAAAGACAAAACCGCCGGACATGTAGTGATAGCATCTTCCAAAGCGTCCACATCTACCAGCCACACAGGGACTTGAGGATACCGAAAAGACCACCGAGGTATTGCAGTTTTCCACTGCCACGTGTTGTTCCATTGACGCCTTGTGGTGTTCCGCAAAGAGTCGAGACATTTGCTTATTATCGCCCATTATGCACTCCTTGACCTTCAGTGTTTCGGATTCGTTCATCGCTTTTAGGCACTCCGGAGATGTCAAGCAGGCGGTATAGCGGGGAACAGATTCTGCACAAGCACTTGGGGAGCGCATATCTGCCAACACATCCTCGTGCTTTACTATGAACTTCTTAACGCTCTCCATGATGGACACTCGAGTGGTTCCGGATCCATGGCAAAACAGGCCCATGGTCACATACCTTTTGGGTATAAAGATGGTATATTTTATTAGCTGATTAAAAAGCCTAACTAGATGTTTTTAACTCACCATCGGCCGCTCTCGGGGAAGGGTATATGGACCAGGCCCATGCTCTCCGTGTTGTTTACAATAATGGATGCCTGCTTTAGCTGCTGACCATATCGACACTTGTCCGGATATTCTGGGTTTCCCGGCTCACCCAACTGCATACAGACGACGATCTGCATGCTCTGGTTGCTGGATGCAGTAGTGGCAGGCACCACCTCCTCCTTGGGATCTCCGATCAGTCTCTCGGCCAGTATGCCACCCAAATCAGGTGACTGTGTGGGCAGACTCATTCTCAAACTGGCACGGTGAGACTCCTTCATGGAAAGGGCAACGGTTAGAGTGCCACCAATATCGGACACTTCACCCACGTCAAAAGCGAACCCGGAATGAGTCTTAGCCGTAAGATTAAGGGTTTCGGGCACTGTTCCATTCACATCTGGCCGGAGATCATAGTCGAACATGAAGAATTCGCGGTATGTCTGACGCAGCAGGGAGTAAAAGTTTATTTGACGGAATTTCGCTGGCTCCCAGGGATTCGGAATGGAACTATTTGTAGTGTTTGCCACGCTCTTGGGCTTCTGCAACAGGTTATCCACAGGCTCCTCTGTGATGTAATCGATTTGCAGGACATATGATAAACTATGATTTACATTGCCATTGTTGCCTTCAGAAGGCATTTCCGTTTCATCCGCCCCGTTGACAAAAGTCAACAGGGCATAGTGCCACGTATTTGGCTGCACGCCGAACGGAATTGAGATTTCCGTTGTCTGATTTGGCCGGATAATGGTGCCATGTCCATGGCTCTGATCTGTACCGCCCCGTGGATATCCATTGGCCCGGACATGGAAGCCCACCGCCGGACAGTCATCGCACACTTGGTCGAATATTATCCGGGCCGTAGCATCGCCTACATCGTCTGGCACATAGAATCTATATATGATTTCATTGTTTGCGGTCGGTGTGCTGTTGTGGTTTTCCGTGATATTTTGAAATTGAGCAGCTCTTCCGGACTTTCCTTCAGCAAAGAGTTTGGATTCGGTAACAGCTGCTGGTTTCTGTTTCTGCTGCTTGGGCGGAATGGAGCGCAGGGGTCTGGATGTGTTGAGACCTTCCTTGATATTGGTTTCGTTGGCAGGCAGAACATGGCTCGTTAGATTGTCCTCATGCTCCTGACCACTGTTTATGATAATCGGACGGAATCGGGACACAGACATCTCGGCGGACAACAGAGTGTCACATGAGGCAGTGAGTCCTGTGAACATAAATCAAATTCATAAATATGCAAATGTCCAAACACAAAGCTAAAATCATCCCGATTGGCATTTTTGCATATTCAAAAGGCTTTTATCTCTGGTCTAACGAAGTTCAATTTTGCAAATATCCTAAAGAATACCTAAAATATTTCCAACATTTCTATTGGCTTTTATTAATATCATGATGGGGTGTCTAATAAATATTTGCATACCTAACATACTTCAAAACTAAGCAATAGTTTATGTGGAAAATAAATAATATATGAAGTTTATGGCTTTAAAATCCCCAAAACTGGCCAGTTCTCAATCAAAATGCATTACCTTGTTGTTCAATGCGGTCATTATTGGGATCTGACCAACTAACAAATGCCACCGCAAACCAGTTGCCTATGTGCGGCGCCTCTATGGTAATCCGCTGCTGCTGCTCATTAGATAAAAACTGCAGGTCATAGACCTTAAATCTAAATAAAATTTTAGTTTATTTAGTGTTATCATGCTATCATTTTTCAATAATTTACTCACCTCTGCTCTGTAGTAAAGAAGTTCTTTGGAAAGGTTATGTTTTCTGGACTTATCACTGGATAACTGCTCGCCTTCAGATGCAAAGTTACATCCTTGGGTTTACACTTTCGTTCTGGAAAATATTAGATAGTTACAAGTTGTTTCCCTATTTTAATAGCTTATACTAACGAAAGGCACTTTTGGGATCCTCAAACGCTTTGAATGTGAAGTAAGCTGTCCGAGAATCGGGTGGAACATCGAAATGCAAGATGGAGACATCCTTGTAGGATGTATATTTGAGCAATGAGTTTGATGGCAGTCGGACTACCAGTTCCTGATCCTCTGGCAATTTTAGTTCCTCAATCGGTACATACTTCGTGTATTCATCTGAAGGATTTTGCAATACTGGAACACTTGAATTCACAAGTAATCGGTGGTCGATTAGTAGTAGCATAAACACCACTAGTGGACTGTAGTTGAATCGATGTGTTAGTATCTGAATCATCCTGTTCTGCGTTATCTAATATGTATCCACTATAGGTAGTCGGAATTCCTGGAAAAGAACAATTAACAATTTAAGTATGATTTAAAGACTATCCTTTAAAACTTTCGCTTTGGTAATTTGTTTTTATTTCGAGGGGCATTACCAAGAGCAACTAGACTCAACTAGACTGCGCCATATAGAGGCCATGGTTTTGAATCCATAGACAAAAAGACAGAAACTCATACACACTGCGCACATGGTGAAATGCTGGGCCTACGGATGAGCATAAATGTACATATTCCCACACCAAAAGTTTTTGGCAAAAGTACAGACATAAAGGCTTTTTGTATGCTGGGGCAAGTAAATTGCACCGTTGCAAAAATGCCGAATTCCGGCCCATTTATGTGGCGCGGCTAAAAACCAATGTGTGGAGTCGTTGCTGTGTGTGGAAGTTGTCCGGCACAAAAACCAAATAATAATAAAAAAAAAACTTCTGCACTCGATGCGGTGATGCTGGGCCTGAACTGTGCATTGTTGGCTAACACCTACTATAATTTATGGCCGACTTGTAGCCCCCGAGAAAGACTCAAGAGCTATCTCGACCAGACGAGCGATGGTGGATTTGGAATTAAAAAGAGGTTCACTTTTATTTCTAGCAAAATTGATATTCTAGTTAATCTATGAAATAAGATGATATTGTAGTTCACTAAGAAATTCCCTAATCTTTATTTGATTTATTTATGATTTATTTAATCCTTTTCCAGCTATTGTTTTTTGCTTTCAACTTTGTAAGCACTTGAAATACACTAAAGGCGTCTGAATTTATAAATTGTTCATGAATATACCTCATAACTTATAATATAAATGGGTTTCAGAGAGCTTTTAATTAGCAATTGAATGAGTTTTCTCAATGAGAGACGCAAGCCAACTGCCGTTTGTTGTTTTGGTTTGGAGAATTCGTATTTGACCCAAAGTCTTATCAGTGACACTCAATTTTCTTATCGAATCTTTATAGGAACATGTGCTTATCAGCTCAACTATGAGCTCACTCATTGTTGTTTTATATTACAGAAGGCTATTATGATGTTTAGAAACATATTGCAACCATACGTCAAATTAAGTCATCTAGGGAATCAATTTAAATTTAAAAGCAACTTGGCTTCTATCACAGTTGCATTTCCTAGAGGGGGTGTTGAAACAATCGACTTTTTGTTTCCATGGAAAGTGAGTCATTCAAGCCGAATGACTCTCAATCTTTTAATAATGGATGCAAATTGCAAAATGTATCTCAATTTTCAGTCCCATACCTTTGTTATGACGTAAATAGCATCTTGATACATGCCTCCTTAGTTGTATCTTAAGTTGGCCAAATATATCAAACAAATTACGGCCAACCGAGTAATGACATCCAACCTTGCCGGCCAGCAATAGACTGAAAACATGAGCTAAGCTTACCTGCTTTTTGGCGTATTGTTTATATGTCTCGCAGAATGCAGGTTTTGAAATGGCACGACTTGTGAATGGGTCTTAAGAGAGAGGTTTTATACTTTTTTGGCTAATACTGGTCCGCGGGGAAAATCCGCGTGACGCATTCGATTTTACGATGCATTCGGGTAAATAAATAAGTATGCTGGCACTTAGGTAAATAAGCTGTCGCGGAAAAGCTTTGTTTGCGTGTTTTGGAACTGCCCCGGCGTTGTCATGGGCAACTGCAATCGACCGCTGATATTGGATGGTCGTAAAACAGATAGTTGCTTTGATTAATGAATGGGTATGGGCACAAAGCTTTATTGTTTCTGGAAAATGGGGGAAATCCCACAGCAAAAAATGTGATGTGGTTGGTGTAAATGCTTATTAACAAGTGCATATGATTTGGTATGAATTTAATTTATATTATTAAGGCGAAATGAATTTTTAATTCTATAATCAGAAAATTATTAAGTAGAAGTTCATTCAGTTAGTTTAACAACTATAATAAACATACCTAGTTTGTCACTAACTTAGCTAGTCAGTTAGATTTTTAGTTAAGTATTAAAAGAAAAAACTAAATTTTGGTTTTCTGACTAAAAACACAAATTTCTCTTATCTATATGCTTTGATGCGCCTTATTTGACGACAAGTACCAAATAAACCGACACTTGCTACTGATAACTAAATTAATATTAATCTGGCGATCCACAAACATAATTCGTTGAGAGAGAGAGAGAGGTATTACCTTAGAGCGCCAAGAGAAAACCTCTCTTCAAAATACGATCCACAAGAGAGCAAGTTCAAGTTCGTTTCTTGCGGTTACTAAACAAGTTTTTCGTTTTCGAGAGAGAGGGAGTGTGGATAATATCAGGAGATCGCATAGGGAGAGGTCTTGGGGACTGGACTTAAGTTTCAGTTGTCAGTCCGCCTAGTGGCTAAACGCATCGCCGTCCAAATCCCGCTCTGGGATCGCCCCATACGCAACCCGTGAAAGTTTGTGGATACCAGTTTCCCCTTGGCTTTGTGTACAATCTATATATGTGAATTTCAGCACAAAATCCCACCCTGAAATAAAAGTAATAATAGCTGGAAATGAAAATAAAATTTAGATTATAATTATGTGCGAAGAGGTGACTCATTGTTACCAAAAAAGAAAGATGCCTGTGAATCTAATAATTAGCATATTGGAGTGGCCTCTTTCGGTGGCTTTAACCCGATATTTATATAATACAATTATGAGCTTGTGTTTTTTGTGATGTTTTATATGTGAAGTGCAAACACACCTTAAGCAGGAGGTTTCAAAACTTCCTTACAAATTATTTGAATACACAAAAGACGGCATAAAGCTAAGCCATATTCCCATTCCCATTCCCTCTCTCTCTCTCTCTCTCTTTCGCCCCAAAATCCATCTGTCTCTTTCGGTGCGATCTTAAACTATGCGAGAGTGTACACAAACAGCTGCGGTTGAAATAATAGTAGATGTTTAATTTTTAAAAGTTTAACTCACAATGATACAAATCTTAAATTTATATCGAAATAATAACGGTTTTTCATATGGTCATCTCTTTTAGAGAAAAAAATCTGCTTATTTATGTCAAAAACAAAGTTTATACTAAATATATGATATAATATGACATTTTCTTATCAAATTTAAACCTACTTTTCTGCCTATTCGTTTTATATACTCAAAGACACCTAAAATTTTGACCGCTGCTGTTTACATATTGGGGCTGTGCTCGGTTGCCCAGTTTGTTTTGCTATTGCGCCATGCACCCGATGCCGTATACGTCAAAAAGAGAAATCGCCGACCCGCTTCATGACGCTCGGCGTCTTAAGTTATATTTTCTTTTAGTTGAGCGTGATGTGTGCCCTTCACTCAAATATTCCAACAATCATATCCTGGTTCACTACAATCTTGCAACCCGTTGGCAGTGGCATTAGTGTTTTTAATAATTTCCGAGATAAAACAAATGTCTGTCTGTCTTGTCTTTTGGTTTATTTAATAAAACACATTCCTACAAATGTGGAATCTGCAGGACATACACACAGACACCGCGAACTCCCACGCATATGTCATGTGATTTTATTTTCACCACAGTGAAAAGCCGTTTTTAATTAAAATTTCATCACCTTGTCTCAGCCCCTGGACATCTGGCAGGCTGCCGTTTAGGCGGTTGATTGCGCAATGGTTTATCACCATCACAACCACGAAAGTCGGATAATACACTGCGGAAAACAATTAATTAACTGGCGAAGGAGGAGCCTGCTGTTAACCATTTTTGTGGTAGCAGCCACTGTGGTTTCACTGTTATCAGAAGGAGGTAAGAATTTCCTACATAATATTAATTGTTTTCTTTCATCACAAAGTTAAATAATTACTTACAAAAATGTTATTTAATGAAATATCTACGCATACTCGTATACCCTTTGAGTATCTACAAACCCTTAAGCACGCCTATCTTAATTATCTCATAGATTATTTATAAGATTTCATTAGGTAAATATGAGGGTACCGGGTCAATAGTCTTCGCCTATCTTGATGACAAAACACGTTAATGACCACAACACCGATGCGTAATTGGCACCCAAAACAATGCGAATCGCTCTTGAAGTCCCACAATGGTCCATTTGTCCCCCGTGGGCGAGGAAAACAAATGGATCCAAACTCCAGTACAATCAGCCTTGACCGTGAATGTATCACCAGCTTTGTAGGTGCCATTTCATAGAAGGCGTTTAATTCCCGGTGTTTGAACTCTTAATTCGACTAATGGCCAGGAAATAGATTGAAATTGTTTTCATCCGAAAATAAATCGAGAGAGATATTGAGTGTTAAATTAGATCTTCAAATTGGTAAATTGCTGTTATGTTATCGGATGAACATATATCAGAATAAATAAATTACAATCAATCTTATTACAGTCATTAAACTTATCTTCATTTCCATTCATATGACTAGAAAATCAATCTTTATTAAAATCCTTATCTCCTATTAAGACTTTTATTTCACGATTAGAAAAAACCGTTTAATAAATAAATTTGTTGCTAATTATTTTTAGCAAGGTGCTAATTGTCTTTATTAATATCAATATTCAAATTGATAACACATTTCAAAGATAATTTTTAAACGTCTTTCTAGTTCAGTCCTTAAACGCTATGGCAATTTGAAACTATATTTCAAGGGAAATCCTTAAAAATGGTTATCTCCTTTGATAAATTCCCACAAATGTAGATAATTCATTATACTGTTTATTAATATCGCTGTCAGGACGGAATTCACGCACATGTCTCATCAGCATATTGTGCAATATTTAAGTGAAACGGAACATGGGAGTCGTGTATATCTGGATGCGGATGGGTTACACGCGGACAAAGTTAAATCCGCCCAAAGAGCGTGTTTGCTCCAAGACCTGAGACCTGTTTTGGCCACGCAATCCGCAGCGCAAAAACATTCTGCTCACTTAAGTCGCGCCGTAAGACACGCTCTTAGCCAAAATAAAATAAAAAAAGCAAAAAAGAAGAATAAAAAGACTCTCCTTTAGCCGTTCTCCGGGCCCACAGACACACACACACACACCATACAGCATTTACCATATAGCCATATATCACGTATACGTATTCGTTACATGTGTGTGCATTTGTATCTGAAGGTCGAGCGGCACAAGAAGAGATACAAGTGCAAACAACCCAACCGGTTATCACGTCACGTCGCTTAGGTCCATTGAATGATGCTTATGCTTGACTTATGGAGCGCAAAGAAATCATCTGAATATGCGAATACCATATTTCACGGACATTCTCATTGGACAATGAACCGATTGATATTTGCCAGAAAAAAAATAAAAACTATTTCCCTCCTATGTTGCAATCTGGCCTCCTACCAAAAAAATGAAAATGTTGCCTTTGTGTGCGCCTTTGGCACTTGTTCAAAAGCAGCTCCCCAAGTGGGAGACATCCGGGTCAATAGCTGGCACTCGGATCTGGATGGCTGAATGAACTTGGCTGCCAACTGTTGGCCCATAGAAATAATGCAAGCTAAGTCGTCGCCTTAACCAATTAATCGCTATGTCGTCACGGATTTCGTCGGCATTTAACTGGATTTAATAAGTGGTTGCTGTGCGATTACGAAACAATTTAATGGGGCTATACACACTCGCTGTGTTTTCAAATGATATCACGCTTTTATTTCGGGGTTTTCCTGGGTAGATTTAGTATTGAGTACTACGAAAGCAACTCAATTTTATTATATTAAATGGTTACTTAAAGAGGGAATTATATTTTTATAAAGCAAAGACATTAATCAGTTAACGTAATCGTGAGAATATATTTTCGATTCAGATGATTATTTCCTGTTTTTGTTCTGTTTTCTGTTTTAAATATATAATAATTATAATAATAATAATAATATATCTTTTGCTTAACTTCTTTAAAAACCTTTCATATCAAAACTCACCGAACAAAACTTGAAACTTTTCGTGTTAACAAATTGCAAGATCTTGTTGCAACAAAATTTATATTTTAAAAACCGGTACTGTAACATCTGAGAATCTCTCTTATGTACAATAACCTGTTGTCAATGAACATGTTATAAAACTGCATTTTAAGCAATTAATTTGTAATTTATGTATTTATAAAATTGCAGTGACTGCCCACGATCAAAATGCACCTCCGATTCTATATGTTCGCGAGCGCAATTGGCGCATTTCGGAGACTGAGAAAGTTGGCCAGATAATAGATCGAGTGCGGGCGGAGGATCCGGATGGTGATGATCTGATATTTGGAATAGAACCACGATTTAGTCTGCCACCTGGAGGTGGAAATGGACCTAGTCCGCCGGATAAGATTCCCTTTATAATTGATCGGGAAACGGGAGTAGTCACGCTCAACGAAAGTTTGGCAGGAAGGGTAAGTTAAAGGATTAGATTGGTTTTGGGACTTTTTAATCAAAATATTATTTTATGATTTTTAAGGCTGGGCAGAACTTTCTCATCTATATAACTGTCACGGATGGAGTCTATACAGCGAAAAATGAGGTTTTCATCAATATCTTGGGCGAGCGGGAGAATAGCTCCGGCTACCGACCGCAGACATCAATTTCGAACGTGGTGCACAACATGTCGCAGTTTTTTCCGCGCTTCGACCAGCTGCCCGGTGTTCAGTCCATCCGGAATGGACTGCCAAATAGTCGGCCAGGCGGTGGATATCCACCGGTGCCCCAGAACAATATATTTGGACCACCGCCATTCGGTAACTTTTATCCACCGCCACCGCCAAACATTCCTGGACATCGAAGAGATGAGGAAAGTGCCGAGGTGCCGGAAGAGGATGAGGTGACACCCACCGCAACACCCGTCAAAACCAGCTCCAGCACGCCGAAGAGTCGCACCAAGTTGACGCCGATAACTGCCAATAATTCGACGAGGGTCGAACAAAATCCCACGGATACAACGACACCGAGTGGAAGCCATAATGAAACCAGCAGCCCCATCACCGTTTTCTCCCTGAAATCCGGCACAATACCAATTGTGGTCACCGTTGGTGGATTTTTCGCGGCCATTGCCGTACTTCTGGCGTACTTGTGCCGCCGACGGCTTTGTGCCATCAGCAGGACCCTCAAGAAGTCCAAGGAGAAGGAAGAGCTGGCCAAGAAGTCCAATCAGAGCCAGCTGAGCAGCACGCTGACCGATGACAGCCGCAACTCGATGGTCATGCAGCAGTGGCAAGGGCCCTCGGCATTCGCCAATCGCTATGTACCCTGGGAGCGGGATCAGCAGCTTGGCATTGTGAGTAAAATCGACTAATTTTAAGGGACACCTCTTTGGCCACTAAACCCCAGGTGGTTTCCAGTGAAATGTGGTTATTTGAGTAGGGTAAAAAGGGCTTTTAGAGAGCAGCAAAGGATTTGAGCATGTACAGTTTTTTTATATTGAAAGAGATTTTTAATTAAAAATACCACTTTAATCCTTTTAATTGATTGGGATTAAATTTCCAACAAATAAACTTAACTTAAGAATCCTTTAAATATTCCGAAATATCTTTTAATAGTTCGCTGCAGACATATCCAAGTTATTTTTCATATAAAACATAAAAATCAGTTAACATTCCATCTGATTAGATTCTATAAAATTTAAAACTTTTCAAAAAATCAATGAAAGTTACTGCAAAGAAAGCTTTGTGATTTCATATTTCCTGATATTCATGAAGCTCCACAAAAGGTCCTTTTGAAATGATTGCATAAAATTAGAGAGCGATGCACAAAAGCTTATGCAAATATCGATCGATTTCCTCGCCCACTGGGAGTGATTGGGGCTTAGAGCCCGGAGTCCCTAATCGACAGCTACTCGAGCACAGATTTCAACCTCAGTTGGCTCACTCAACGCCTCCGCAGAGCCATAGCCGTAGTCGTTCTTTGGTCGTGTCACCCACAGTGGCCACAGCGGCATTCGCAGTGTAATTGACAGGAAAAAGTAGCTCAATGCAGCTGCATGTAAGCTTAGAGCCTGCCTGCCGGCGGGAATGTCCTTTCATTCGATTCCCATTTATTGACAGCGAATGCCAAAAACTTCACCAGGCACTCGCGTCATCAACAAAACCAATCCGCGCGGAAAAATTTGACATTCTATGGTGATGACAGATGGGTTTTTTTTTATTTTAAATTCGAAATTGCGTACTATGTTATGACATTGAATATCATTTAATGGAAAAATTAGATAACTTTGGTTAGTAGATGACAGAATATTTAATACTATTTTTAAGCATTATTTCCAATCCTTTATCTCCGTAGCTTAGCACAGATTTTATGATATTAACATCCGAATATGTTAGTCCTGGATTACTGTCCTAGATTTCATGCCATCCACCATTTAAACAAAATGACTGTTTGAAAGGTATCACAACTAATCAAAGCTTTTTATCTTGTTTTTCTAAAACTTATACACGACACAAATATCAACATTTCCGCTCACTTGGACGTGAAAAAAAAAACCAACAACAACCATCGATGCTGTCGCTCAAAGGCAACTTCCCAGCTATCAACAGGTGTCACGAATGGCGGTGAGTCCACCGCCGGAGTGCCCAGTCCCGGGACAGGTGAGCCGGGTTCCAACTTGGGCCCTGGCTGCGTGGCAGGTGGATCAGGAAGTTCCGGTCCAACGGAAAATGGTTTTGCCGGCGAGGCCAACTGCGACCGCTGGGAATTCCCCAGATACCGATTGAAGTTCTTCAATATTTTGGGCGAAGGAGCCTTCGGACAAGTCTGGCGCTGTGAGGCCACCAACATAAATGGTAAGTTATATAATTAAATATACTATTCATAACAAAAATAAGCTGAGGTAAATATGAATTCAAAGTAGGTCATAACATTCTGTTGCGGTAAGTCATGTCCTTTGGGTCAGATTAGACCCAAGTTTCCATTTCAATTTGTATAAATAGTGAATCGATTTTCATTATGAGTGAGTGGGCTGTTTAGCCACTATGATTAATAGGTAGATAGATACTTGATTATGTATAGCATAGATTTCTATTAGTAATCACTTTTTAGCTTGGAAAAAACAAGAAAAAGTAAAAACTTCAAATCCAGAATTTCAACAGAGTAATTTAATCAATTTGGCCATGATGCCGAAAGGAATTTAAAGTGGAGCAGATTGTGCATTCAATCAGCGGAGTTCCACAAAGCTACTGGCTCATGCAATCCGGCAGTTGTTGCCCCATTTTCAAGTACTCAGGTGATGCAAAATGGTGCATGTAGAAGGAGTTATCTCTCCCCCAACTCTCCCTCTCGGTATGCCACATTCCACTGCTCCCCCATGGTAAACCCTTTTTTATGAGCACGTCGAATGGACATACAAAACGAGAGGCAAGTGATTTTTGGATTTCTATAAAGGTAGAAAAATTGCCAGGTTGCCTATATAAGTGGAGCAAAATATGTAAAACTATGAATATGGAAGGAGTAAACGAGTGCCTAAACTTGTTAAAATTTAATTAGATATCAGCTGAATGAACAGCTACTCTTCCAGAGATACTCTTACTAATATCAGATATATGATAATCTACAGGCAACGAAGGCATCACAACAGTGGCTGTGAAGACCCTAAAGGAAAGCGCCACGGAAGTGGATCGAAAGGACTTGTTATCCGAATTGGAGGTAAGTGTAAAACCAAATAACAACACACACACACACAATCTCTGGGAATTAGCATTTACAATTTTTTAAGTCATTCGTAAAGGGTATGCAAAACACCGACAAAATCGTTACATCTCAAGTTTGGCCAAGTGACGACTTGGTGAGCACAATTTCCCGGCTGCCTTTTCCTCTGTCACTTTTCATTCAATTGGTCGCCATTCTCGCCCGAAAGGAAAACCTCCTGACAGACTCGCTAACTCGATGACTGAAAACTGGGAACTAAGAACCGAGAACTGAGAACTGAGAACTGAGAAAACTGGGTACTGGGTACTGAGTGGGCTGGCTCTGGGCAAATCTTGTGAGTTGGTTTTTCTGGTTAGATGAAAAAGTTTCGTAAATTGAAAATTAACGATGCTGAAAAGTTTTGAAAGAATTTCTTTCCTGCTCCATGCGATGGCGCTCTACCGCTGCCAGCGCCTTTTCCCCTCGAGCTTGGATTTAATGTTTGCCTTTTTAATGAAAACGTAAAGGAGTCTACTTATGTGTCTCTCTCTCTTCAGGAAGTTTCAAAATGTTTGAGTACCTTCAACAGAGTTTTCAACTACAGCTTCGGACTAGAGAAAGCCTCCCTCTTCGCTAATAATTTGGTCTAAGTGGCACAGTTTTGGGAAAAATCCAAGCCATAGTCACCTTAGTTTTGTCCAACTTTTGCTTGATTTCTTGACCATTCTTTGAGTTAGAAACTCTAAATGCCAACGACATTAGGAATTGTCAAAAAGTCCTCTTTCGACTGGACAGTTTTCTAATTTAAAGTTTTCTGCTGCTTTTCCTCACTTTTCTTTCAATGTCTTTTAGTTTAGTTTAGTTTAGTGAATTTGTTGTTTGGCTAATTAGCTTTGTTTCGTGCACTTTGAACTTCAAAGGACCCTGTAATAGTATTACAAAGTTATTTCCTGAATTAAATTTAAAGCCAACTATCTGGAATGCAATTTGATGTGGGTTAAATGTCAATTCCAATATTGTCGCTTCTTATGGCATATTCATGTCCGCCAAAAATGCTGCGACAAAATTATTAATTTATGTCCTTGTAAGCATCCCGGTGTCGGACGTGCATATTTAATGAGCTGTATCTTTGTGGGCTTACATATGCGAACTCCGAAAAATCCAGTCTGCTGGCTGGCATTAACAAAAATAAATATACAAAAGGAAAAAGTGCCATGTAAACATATATTTCAGGACTCAAAAACCGAGCTCTGTAAATCAAATTGCGTTGAGCAGCACAATTGTCCGTAATCAGTGGGCTAAAAATGTTTTCATTTCGCGGCGAATCAATAATTTTGATTGTAGTGGTGGTGGTGGTGGTGGTGGCATTTATGGTCCTTTAATGGCATCAACACTTGCAACCGTATTTTGCATACTGGCGCGGCAATCAAAGGAGGTGTTGTCAAGGCAATCGAAGTGCCAACGTATTTATTCAGCACAAGGACGACCCTCTGGTTAAGAGGTATGTACTTGGATTTCTAACAGTTTTCCCAGTTTGATAGTGACACAAGAGCTAGGGCCACAGTTCCCATATCGATTGGCATTTACATACTATAGCTGGTTGCATTATTACCTAGGTTTTCGCCGGGGTAGAAAAGTCGATGGCTAGCTAATGAGTTCAGCATTTGGGGGCACTGAGTAGCATTTATTCAAAGCACACACACACGCACGTACACACAACACTTATTTGGCCAGGAACTGTTTTGACAGCAGTTGCGGGCTGTAAACACGAGGAACTGAACTAACTGGTCGGAAACTCCCGCAGCCTTGCAAAAATACGACAAAAAACGTCTCTCCCGGTCACCCTATACCATCCGAACTGTGCGCTCCGACGCCTTGAAACAAACTGATTCCTGTTGCTGTTCCTGCCACCAAAAAAAAAACACTGACAAACCGCAGCATCCTCTCGCCTGGAGGGCAACTATCGTCTCTCGGAATCGTTGAATCTCTGAACATTCTGAAGCCCCCAACTCTCGTCCTGCGCAGTAGAACTTTCGGAGTTCGAGACCTATTCTGGCCTGGCCTTGCCCCCTGCAATCTCAATCTGACTCTGACTCTGACTCCTGACTATGACTATGACTGCGAGTCTCTGAATCTGAAAAGGAATCTGAATCTAAAGAGCCACTCTAGGGTTGCCGCCGTGTGGGTCGCGTCCTTCATCATTAAAGTCGCATTTGGTTTTCGTCCTGCAACGGCAGCCAGCGTTGTACGGCATCGGCAGTGGCAGCGGCAGCGGCTGCGGCGGCAGTATATCATGTTCTGCGGATTACCCCAGAAACGAGAATAATTGCACTTTAATTTTAGAACAATGAAAAATTATGAATGGCCCTCGGCTAGGTTTCAGACTCATTCCTCAAGTTGCCTCTGCCTCTGTTGCTGCCTCGGCACTTTGCCATTGTATTTGGAGGCGTTAGAGACCTGGAAAATTACCGGGCTATGTTGATTTTCATCGAGGAGATGGCTTAGTTGCTCAAAGTTTTGATTTAAATTTGCGAGGCCAGAGATGATTAGAAAAGGAACAAGTTATTAACTGAAAAGAAATGAGGGTACTTGGGAACAAGTCACTTAAGATAAAAATTGGAAGGTTCATTAGGGGTAGGAGGTAAATTAATAAGGTAATCGCACTCGTAAATATAGGGAATGGCTTGATTATGAAATTTTTAAACCAAATTTATGCTTATTTTTATAGGTAATGAAATCTCTGGAACCTCATATAAATGTTGTTCATCTGTTGGGCTGCTGCACTGATAAAGATCCCACATTTGTTATTCTGGAGTATGTAAATCGAGGAAAGTTGCAAACTTACTTACGCAGCTCACGCGCCGAAAGGTAGGCAACATTTTAACAACCCCAACATTATAGCTATATATTCTATATATAAAATATTTATTTCAAAAGGCACTATGGAAATACTCACGGAAAATCAAATATCCTGACTTCCTGCGACTTAACATCTTTCATGTACCAAGTAGCTAAGGGAATGGAGTATCTGACATCTCGTGGGGTAAGTTTATCTCTAAAAAAATAAATCAAAGGCAGATAAATTCATTAATAAAACAATAATTGTGAAGTAAATATCTAAATGTAAAACTTTATATTATTATCTATTACTTAGATTATTCATAGAGACTTGGCTGCTCGAAATATTCTTATTACCGATGATCACACCTGCAAAGTGGCAGACTTTGGATTTGCAAGAGATGTAATTACCTCAAAGATTTATGAGAGGAAAAGCGAGGGAAAACTGCCAATAAGGTAAAATAGAATTTAACCATAGCTATAGGATAAAATGTTAAAATCAAACCTTGATTTTCCAGATGGATGGCTACCGAGTCACTTTACGACAATATATTCTCCGTAAAATCAGACATCTGGAGTTTTGGTATATTGATGTGGGAAATCGTGACTCTAGGATCGACGCCATACCCCGGCATATCAGCAGCTGATGTTATGCGGAAGGTTTGTATTATTAAATTAAGATTTAAATAGATCAAATAACACGTTTTATGACAGGTAAGGGATGGCTATCGTTTGGAGAAACCAGAGCACTGCCGTCGGGAGCTGTACAATATAATGTACTATTGCTGGTCCCACGATCCCCAGGAGCGTCCTCTCTTTGCTGAAATAATCCAAATGCTAGACAAGCTGCTGCACACGGAAATGGATTATATTGAGTTGGAACGTTTTCCCGATCACAACTATTATAATATCGTTAGTCTTAGTGGTGAAAAATTGTAGGACTGCCCTTAATGCACTGAACCTGAACCCCAAGAGCTTTATTACCTCCAAAAGACTTTGGGATATTTTCCCTTTCAGTCTTGGCTCAGTAAGAGAAGATTCTTACTCGAATTTGAAAAGGTTTATACTGCCATTACGAATCGCACTCTTAGAAAGTGTAGAACAAACTGTATCTGCCTGGATATCAGATAAGTCTAAATACCAAATTGTTTGGCATTATCTTCGATCATCAGACGAGGTATAAACTGAACATATACTCCGGTTTCCCGAAAGTGGAAATATTCAAAGGCAATTGAAATTCCTCTTAAGTTGTAAGATATTTGTTTGCTTTCACGTTTTATTTATTTGATTTGTATTATGTATTTGTATAAATTATCAACCGTGTATAGAGTTATAAATGTAATTTATATTATTTGTTAAAGTGAATATAAATATTAAATATGAAACTAAAAATGGCATTTAATAATCTCATATCTAGATTGGAACATTATTTCCAATTTTCTCTTTGATTTTGGTTGAACATAACTCATACTTAAAGGACAAATCTTTGACCCACAGTTATTTACGTTAACTATGATTGAAGGCTGTGACAGAGTTATTGCCGTAGCAAACTTTGCAGCTTTGGCAAACAGTGTACGTGCATAAATGATGGCAATGGCGCCAAAAGCTGGCGATGCTGATACCTAAAACACTTACTACGTGATGTGCATTCGAAAATTTTGCATACTCGTATTAAATGTATCGATTCCTGCACACTGCGGAGGGAACTTTTTTTTTAGCAATTTAACTTTTTTTATAAAGATACTAGCTACTGGATATTCTGTTCAGAAATTCTTTTGGTTTACTTCTTAAACTACTTGAGAAAATAAAATGCAACAAGTGGGCTTTGCCACAAAATCACATTAAAGGGATAATTCGAGTAAGCTCTTGAGGCCGTAAAAGTACGTAAGCGGTCTACGAAGTTTCTTAGAAAATCGGTAAAATTGAAGTGGAATTAAATATGATTTGTATTTATTACCGAGCAAGAACAGCAACAGACTAATTATGGGTGAAAATGAGCTCGGCTTTTATATCTTCTAAGAATTCTTGGTACCACACGGCGCATGAGTGCGCTCTTCTGGAGCACGTGTTTATGTTGTTGGGACAGATATAAACTATTGTGGAAACATATGTCCGCTTACTATACAAATATTTGTTGTCATGCTAAAAGAGAGACGAATCCATTTAAGGAGAGAAAAAGTCGTAATAATCAGCTGTTTTATGTAATCGAAGGGCTATAGTATATAAATATAAACTTATAACTGGGGGAACGTATTTAAGTACTATAAAATAGTCAAAACTCTGTAAAAAAAATTCAAGCTATACTTCTTAATGAAAAGGCTTAAAGTGTTTAAGATGCTAATATTTATCAAAAGCATTTCTCTATTTACCATTTCTCTATGAAGAAAAGCTTTGTGCCCAGAGAGGACATGCGCAGATTTTGATAAATTAAAAGCTTTAAGGACTCCGAATTCCTAGACAGATACCAAGTTTCAGACCACAACAAAAGGTGTTTTGTTTCATTTCATATCTTAACTTCTTAGTTTCTTTATTTATTATTTTCATTTTGAAAAAAAATACTAATGTTCTTATATTTAAATAAATATTAATACAAATCGTAGTAAGTAAAATTACGTTTAAGTTACAGCGCTCTTCCGGCATAGTAAAACTACTTTAACCTAAAGATAAGTCCAATGCCAGCATATGAACCTCTATTGCACAGCCCTCTTAAGATTACTTGGAACTAATTTAAGGATTTAAATATAGTCATCATTGTCTGGGCCGTGCAATTTGGTTTCCTCGTTCTCCCGCTCCCACTCGTTCATCTTGGCCTGCATGATCAGATCCTGGAAGGACCCGTACTCAGTGTTTTGCCTTGTCTTGGCCGTCAGACCCACGTCGCCTTCATCGTCGTAGAAGTTATCAGAGTCGTAATCAGTATCCTTAGCCATATCCATATCGGGATATTCGTGTTCCTCGGCATTCCTTGGGATACCATGCTTCAGATAGAATGAGTTAAGCAGGCTCTCGATTTTCCAGGATGGCATATCGGAAACCATCTTGACGGCGATCTTGCGACGTGGCCTTTTCAGAGTCTTATGAGGCCTATCAGCCAATTCGAAGTTAAGAGAGGTTTTCAGCATTTGCTTGGAGGCAGTGAGTTTCTTGAGAATCGATCGATAGAGTCCCAGAAACTGGTCGGGTTGTTTCTTGGCCTGTGGCAAAGCTTTGGGGTTTTCCAAAATGAAACGATTGAGCAGCTCTTTAGTGCCTTGTTGATCCTTTTGTGATTTCAGTAGCTCAACTGGAGAGAGAGAAAATTTAAAGTTAATAAATGATTCAAAAGGCTTTTGATTTTTTAGAGGAAACTTACCTTTCTCTTGGCTTAGTCCGAGTGTGTTCTTGAAGACTCCCCAGTCATCCTTAGGTGCTGTCTTGGCAGGATTCTTCTCCACGTTCTTGATGTACAAAGCCAGGCAGCTTTGTTGGATGGTCAGCAGCAGTAGTATAGCTTTTCCCAACTGCATGGTGATGATGTGCTTCGTTCGGAGTGTGAGACGAATGTGATGTCCTCTGTGGCAAGGAGCTGCCTCTTATACCCTGCTTAAGGGCTGCTGATCCGCGTTAATTGACATAACCGCACATCAGCGTTGCGTGGCTGCGATAATCAGACAAAGGCTGCAAAGGCGCTTGACACTCGAGACATCCGGGGCGCCTGCGCCTGCGCCTGTGCCCGAAGCAAGGAGTCAAGACAGGACGACATGTGCTTGATTGAACGCCGTGCTCGCCGATGCTCTTTGTTTTTCTAGGGAACACTTAGCGCGAGCCGCGGCAATTAAACGGCAAACTGAGCATACAAAAATTAGTGCTTACGCATCTTGCCTCAGACGACGGCCAGGTAGCCAGAGTACCAGCGGCGACTACTGGCCAATGTGGGAATCAAAGTGCGTAATTGAGTCGCTTAAAAGCGCCAAATGGTTTCATGAATGTAGCAGTGCCACCAGGTAGACGCTCGCCTTTCAAATGCGAAAGGAAGTACAAATAAATCCTAGCGCCAGCCATAAACGGATCAACTGCGCCGATCTCAATCCGCTGGTCTCTCCGCTGTGCTGCTCGACAAGTTTTTCGCTAATTATTCCTGAATGCGGGTTTTATTGATGCAATATAAATAATGCAAATGCAATTTGCGGTGCATACCGACAAGGGGGTGGTTCTTAAAAAATACAAGCCATCTCTGCCATCTGCGTATAACCGACTTTAAATGTCGGACGGGTAATTATGCAATATTAATAATTATAAAAAAATGTATTAACTTAACATTTGCTTGAAAGGAATATTGGTTTATATATGCAACAATCATATAATATATAAAATATATATGTAAATAAAATATATTTTATAATATTTTAATGCCTTTTATATTATTTATTTTTAATATACATTAAAGGTAAATAGTTCATTTGTCAATAAGTGTTTAACGCATATTTTATAATGCCTTTAATTTGAAACTTATATTTTTTATTATTACAACTTAAGACTACATTTACAATGTAGTTTTAAGTTCTTCAAACAGATTATGGGAATGAAATTTCGATTAAAAAAATAATTAAATACATTTTTCTGGCATTTAAATTACTGTTTCAAAGTCTCATCATTTAAATTTGGAGAATTTTGTAATCTTTAATTTTTAATCTTTAAGATTACTGAGACGTGAATTATTAATGGTGGTTTCCAATGACTTTTAATGTAATTTTAATTATTATAAATAAGATGAAAATGGTAAAAATATTAAAGAATGGTCTTGCTTTTTTGTTTATGTTTCTTCAGATAAAAATTTTGATCTTTAAACTTTACAAATCCACATATATGGGACAAAAGGTAAGGTCACGTAATACAATTTAAGCCTTTGCTTACGTTACTTACAATGAATGACTACTGTCATATCTACATTTACATTTCATGTGAAATCAGCATGTAAATAAGTATTGTGCCATTACAATGAAGCAGTGTACCGTGCTGAATCAGTGTCCAAGCAGTATAAAAGCAGTCAACTGAGATTAGCTGGGACACTAACCGGAAATGAACAGCAAAATAAGATCTTATGAGGATATTCTTAGACACAAGCCGAACAAGCTGTTTTTGAAATATCAGGACTTAAAAAAAGCAGGATCAGGTCTTTACCCAAAATATATTTGAATATTATTTCTTTCTATTATAAGCCAAGTCATCCTGTCTGTAGTTACACAATAAGCTTCATATTTATATATTTTGTATTTCATTTTAAAAGCATTTAAAAGGACTAATAAAATTTCCTAATATAAAAAGTTTATCAAAATATAAATTTATAACCGAATTTTCTGATCGTATTAAATCTTTCCCATATACAGCCTTATCTAACAACAAACATTTTGATTTCTGTCACATGTTGACGAATTGAAAAATATATATTTTTCCACGAACACCGTAGTTATAGAAACATTTCTTGTTTATTATTATTCTGAAGAGCCGGTAATCGTTACTAAGCCAACATGCCGAAGGTAATATTCCAGAAGTACAAGAAGATGGTAAGCAACATCGACCCAAGTCGGCATACTGCCAAGTTCAAGGAAATCGATGAGGCACGCCGCTCGCAAGTCTCGGAGTCGGATTTTACAGAAGAAATGGGCGCGGAGTACGAGGAGGAAATGGAGGAGATGAAATCGAGTGAAATTAGTTTGTCTGAAGGAGAACCTGCCCTTAATATCGGCAAGATCGATCTATCATTTCCCGAGACAGTCGAGGAGTTCGAAAACAGTCCACAGTGCTATCCTCCCTCATATTATACGCTTTCACCCAAGGAACGTTTACTCCTTCTTTATGCTGAGAACTTCCGGAAGCAATTGGTTCTCTCTTACCCGAAGAGGCGAGCGATGGTCTTGGCATTGCCCAACGAATGCAAAGTACAGGTAATGTCCGCTCCATCCTTCTATAACCGGTTAACTGGTTTGTGATAAATTGCCCATCTTAACCAACTTACAGAAATTCGTTTGCACCACCATCAGGCCAACAGCGTTTATTTACACGCAACTCATATCCAGCGTTGAGGAAATTGCCAAGTTTGTCGCCGACTTTGTTCAATATGAACCACTAGAGGACCCAATAAATTTGGTAAAGTTTATCTTCTTTTTTCTTTTCTTTTCCCATGTCGTATTAAATATTTAAAAAAAAAAAAAAATTTTTAAACTTTTTTTCTGTTTTTTTTTTCATTCTTAAATACAAATTAATTGTATTTGCCTTTTTCAATTGTTTTTATTGTTTAAGGAAAATGCAAAAGGTGACGGAAGAAGTGATTGGGGCTTTATTTGTTGTTTTTGTTTATTTTTATTTTTATCGATTAGAATGAAATTGAAACAGGGGGTTTACGTTTGGAAACTATCTTTTGTTGTACAATTTTTATTTTAGGGATGGTAATTGCCTTGGTTCTGGGTTAAAAATTTGAGGAAAAAAATTTTTGATAAGGGGTACCATCATCAAAATTTTCGAAAAATGGCCGAAAATAAAGTTTTTCAGATTTTAATGCAAATCGATTGGGAATTATGGCAATCAAATTACAAGCCCTACGAGGTATTACTTTCCATATTTGGACCATTTTTGGCTGTGCTATGGCCAAATATCTGGTTTTTTTGGGGCCCAAAATCAAGTACACGTCTTTTGAGAGCAGAGAGCCCGGTTATGTTGCCGTTTCTTAGCTCTAACTTTGTCAAAACAAGACGCACGGCTTAGACAGTGACAGTTTTATGCAGCTAACAATCAAAATTTTAAGCCCCTATACTTGCTTTTATCATTATTGTTCTGATATTTTGTTGCTAGCTCTGGTTTAAGGGCTGAAAAATCTGGAAACCTATTTTTAACAGAAATTTGCAATACTGTGGTCGGTTCTTTAGCTCTAGCCCGGTCAAAACAAGACGCACAGCTGAAAGAACAACTGTTTTGTGCTGCCAACGACCACCACTTACCACCCCTATCACTCTATTTTCGATTTTGGGAAAATTAATTTTGACCCAAATTTCGAGTTTTTAATAAGGGGTACCATCATCAAAATTTTCAAAAAAAAGTCCAAAATTTGACATTTTAAACTGTGAACACAGTTCGACTAGGAATTTAAAAACAAACTTAATGAGATATGACTTTCCATGTTTGGACCATTATTTGCTTAGTTATGGGAACACTACTTTCATTTTGAAGGGAAATTAAGGAAAAACCAAATTTCGAAATTTCGATAAGGGGTACCCCATTATTTTTGACATTTTAAACTGTGATTGCAGTTTTAATAGGAATTAGAAAACAAACTCATTAGCATTCTATATTTGGACCAATATTGGTCTAGCTATGGGAACAATACTTCCACCTTGAGGAGGAAAATGGAGGAATCCAATTTTCGCATTTTCGATAAGGGGTAACATCATCAAAATTTGGGAAAAATGGCAACATTTTAAACTGTGAACAGAGTTCGACTAGAAATTAAAAATCAGACTCAACGAGATATGATTTTCCATGTCTGGGCCATTTTTGGCTTAGTTATGGGAACAATACTGTTACCTTGAGGAGGAAAATGGTGCAAGGCAATTTTCAAATTTTTAAAAAGGGGTAACATCATCAAAACTGACAAAATTCGGACATTTTAATCTGCGAATGCAGCTCGAATAGGAATTAGAAAATAAGTTCATCAAGGTATGACATTAAATATTTGGACCATTATTGGCATAGCTATGGGTAAAATACTATCACCTTGAGGAGGAAAGTGGGGAAACCAAATTTTACATTTGTGATAAGAGGTAGTCATAAAAATTTTTAAAAATTGACCAAATTTTGTCATTTTAAACTATGGATGCAATTCCATTAAGAATTAGAAAATAATTAATAATAATATAATAATATTTGGACCATAATTGACTTAGTTATGGGAACAACATTGTGATTTTAAGAGGTTACTTCACGTTTTTTTTTTTGCAAAAACACAATTTGGAAATTTTCATTTAATTGATACTTTTATTTAGAGTTTTAATGTTCAATATTTTTGGTTCTTATGATTTTTTCCAGTGGTAAAATATTCCCATTCCCAGCATACCGATTTCCATTATTTCAAGCCAATTCCGATAAATAAAGACAATAGCAGTTTCATAAGAGTTTCATAAAAATTATCTAATTATTTTTTATTGAACATGTATTTAAAATTACATTTAAATTTGTAAATGTTTTTATTTAAATATCGCATTAATTTCGAATTAAGAAAATTCTTTTGAGCACGTTTCCATAGTTTATTAATATACGAAATTTAAAAACGTTTGATATCAAATGCATGTTATCCGCGCTAACACACCTTGCAGTTCGAAAAGGTTCTTTCGTAACAAAAAAATAAAGGCTATAACATTTTTCTAGAATGCATTGGGTAAAACACACACACACACAAAACAAAGTCGACATTTCCGTTTCCGTCAAATGAAATCCATAATAGCTACAAATAGAGATTCTCGATATATACACGCTTTAACCGTATGATTAATTAATACAAGTGGAATTGAAAGAGACTGAAAGTATGCTCGATAGGTTTCACAGCTAGGAGATAAATTCAGTGGAGTCCTTCGGGATCGAATCTAGCCTAGTCTAGTCTAACTGCTGGAGCTCAGTTCGTCGTACTGCTGGTATTCGCCCGTGATCTGGCAGTCGTCCGGGTCATCGTCGAGGTCACAATGTACAAATTCGTAGGGGGGGAAGAACAGGGAGCTGAGTAGGGTGGCCGACGATCTATATACGGCCGGCGCATAAACGTGGCACCTGGTTGCCGCCTCGGTGGCATCTGGGACCTCTAGATCTGGTCCATCCTGCAGTGCATTGCTTGGGTAATCTTCAATATCCGTGGCTGGCTCCGTGGGCGCCAACTTTGGCTTTTCCTATTTGCGACGACGACTCTTGCCCCGGCCGCTGCCCTCTTCCTCGGCGTTCTCCTCGTTGTCCTCCGGCAAACTTCTCGAGCAGGGCTTCTCGATCAGGGGCGTCTCGTTGCCTGACTTAATGGCGGCTATCAGGAATCTCAGCTGCATCAATTGCACAGCTGTCACTCGGGGATTGCTGCAGTTCTCCAGCCACTGCAGGAACTTTTCGCCATGCCGGATGGCCTCAATGTCCTCATCCCCTGTGCAGTCCAAATACTTGCCCTTCTCCTCCTCGTCCGTTTTATTGGAATTATTATTGTTATTATTGCTGGCACTGACGTCGTTGTTGTTCGTATGCGTATTGTTGGTGTCCTGGAAGCTTCCTTCAGACTCGGATCCATGTTCTGGTATCAAAGGAGCACTGGCCTCTAAGCCGCCAATCTTAAACAGCATATTGTCAAGAATCTTTTTGCATTCGCTTGTCGGATTCGAGTTGGTCTCTGTGCTTTTGATCTTCGTTCTGGGTTCGGGACTTCTGCTTCCAGGACGTGAATTGGCATTGGGACTTTGCGAGGGAGTCATTACTTTGCCGGCAGCTGAAAGATCCTCTGGTTTCCCGGACGCCTCTGCCTCCGCTTCCCCGTCGAGATCAGGTTCAGTGGCCTCGTCAGCCTCGGGATTCTGTTCATTGGAGGATAGACTTCTCACCGATGGCGTCTCAGTCTCTTTGGTGAGATGGGAGTACAGAATGTTCGAGGGATCACTCATGGAACCTCCATCAGCAGTCGATGTGGCCACCTGCTGTTGCAGTGAGTTGGCTTGCAGGGCGGCCAGAGTGGCTGCATTGGGATTTAGGGTATGCAGACTGGCCCCAAAGGCCTTGCACCAGTTGTACCACGCCGCATTCTTCTCGTCCAGACTTCCCGATGGTGTGGATGAAGGCGTCAACGGAGCCGAGGGTATCGGCGGAGTCTGGGCCAGCTGACTCATGTGTTGCGGTGTGGAAGAGCGTATCGGGGGACTGGTCACGCCCATGGGAATCGTAGGCGGATACAGAGGATTCAATCCCAACATTGTCTGCTGGGACTTTAGCCAGTAGAGCAAAGGATCTTCAGCCAGATTGGAGAGAGTCATGGCCCCACCCATTTGCGATGGAGCAATCGATGGACTCGGACTCTTGATATCGCCTCCTTTGACCTCGTTCTTGATGCTAAGATTCAGGCTGCCTTGGCTTTCGCCCGGCTTCTGTTTGGCCCAGTTCTTCACCGATAGCCCCTGAGCTGACCGATCTCCACTATCACTTCTGGGACTCTGCACCTGCAGGGGAGTCTGGGCATTTGGCTTCGGGTTCCTCAGGTTACCAGCACCCGCTGGGAAGCTATTTAGACCCGACATGGCCGCCAGACCCGGATTCAGCTGGGCCAGCAAGTTGAGGTTTGTGGTTAGCTCGTTGAAACTGATCGCCAGCGGGGACTGCGATATGCCGGTGAGACCTGATAGGTGTGTTAAACTCGAAAGCGGACTAATGGCATTCAGGGAGGGATCGGCGGCGGGTCGATTGATATCAGCGCCAAAGACCTTAGCCTTGACCCCACCATTGAAGGCCGCATAGTCCACGGGAAGACCATTATACCCAAGATCAGCTAGATTCTTGTTTGTACTGTAGTCCAGGCCATTCAGTGGTGATCGCTTGAAGGCCAGCTCATCGAACTTGAGTTTGTTGGAGAAGTTCAGAGGCAGGGCGGCCTCCAATCGCTGGCGTTTCTCTGGCGGACCCAGAAGACCTCCTCCACCTCCTCCAGAGACATCCATCTTATCGGCCAGGGAGTCGGCGCAAAGGTTATCCGTGGTCGATTGCCTGGACATGAAGCGTAGCTTATCCTCGTTTTTGCACCAGCCGCGCAGTGTGGACTCCGGCACACCGATATCTCTGGCCACCGAGGCCTTGGACTCGCCATCGTGGATCCTCTGGATGGCATGGATCTTGTCGCGGGGCGTCAAACTCCGCAAGGGACGTTTGCCCTTTGTGCCCATGCGGATGTTCATATGGGGGTAGCTGGAAATATCCAACTTCAGGCCGTTGTCGAACAGCTTGGCGTCTGCAAGGAGAAGAACAAGCGTTTCTTAATTAATTACCGTGACACACTTGCCATATCGCATATCGCACGGCGGACCGATGCGTTCCCATTCGCCAGCGGTGTAGCACATAGCGGTATATATGTGCTAAACCGAATGGCGAATGCCGTGTGCGCGCGTCCATGTACTTTTCAAAACGAGTGGGGCGGGGGGCTGTTGCGGTTGGGTGGGTAGCAAAAGGGAACCGGAAAGGTACCAGGATGTTACTGGGGGGTGGTGTGGTGGTGGATGGCTCTTTCGCATGTTCGCACGGGGCTCCAATAAAATCGCCGCGCGCTTTAAAGTTTTACAGACAAGTCGCGGTGTAAATAAACCGCACTGCCGGGCGTATGCGCTATATTGCGTATACGTGTAGGTGGTCCCAGTGTATCTACATATCTATATATACACACATAGGTATTTGCTGGGCAGCTCTAGTCAGGATGACAAAATCTCTCTCTACGCTCTTGCAGGCAAATGAGCTGCGTCACGCCCCTTGCCTCTTTTTGCGCTCGGCGCACGAAGGATGCCAAATTTGCAAAAAGGACTCGATGTCTCTATGTGTGAGTCTGTTGGTGTATGTGTGTGTATACGGGGAGACAATGGAATATGCTAATTGGTGCGTTGCCTTCGCGCCGCGACGCGCCTGCTCCAAAATGCAGCGCGCAACGCGAGCTACGAATAAGCAACAAGAACAAGCCATTCGTCGGCCGAACTTTGCCGAGTCCACAAATTTATAACTTGTTTACCTGTTTCGGGCCACTTGGCGCTGCAGCGCAGAACATCCCCCAACTTGAGATGCCGAAGGATATGGACACGGATCCATGCCAATGCCAAAGCACGCCTGTTGCGCCTTCCCAGCACCTCAGCCCTACTGCCCCCGTCTGCCCCGTTTGCCTACTCTGCCGCAACTGAAAATGTAGCTAAAAGGCAAACAGCAGGTGCAGCAGCGTCTTTTGGGCCCAACTAGAGAGACCAAGTCGTCTTTTTCGGCCTGGCCAAAAGTCCCGGCCAAGTGGTATGCCTGGCCAGGAAACCTGAGCGAGCAACAATATGCTCCGCCTCCATCTCTCCAGAAAGTGAGGCATGCAAAAGAGCTCGCCCCATGGTGCAATTTTAAAATGAAAAACACGTTTTGCGCATGACTGACACATGATTTCTTTCCCTGCATATCTCTACATATATATCTACATATCTATATATATATATATATATATATATCTATATAGCATTCAAATATACAAGGAGCTATAGTAGGTGTGTGTTTCGCGTCAGAGAGAACTCTGCTGAGAAAGAGAAACTTGGGGGAATTAAGAGAGCGGAGACAACCAAACTGGTGGAGTCTTTCGTTTGGCCATCCATCGCAATGCCTGTTTACAAAACACAAATCGCGTCTTGGCCCGCTTAACAGCCACTTGAAATGGAGTTTACACGTTGCCAGCTATTAATTGGAGGTTCCTGAATCACTGGACTTATCTTCTGGTTGGGTGAGTTGGTTGGTTGCTTAACCAAACACAAGCTCATGATTTGGAATAAGCAGATGGATTTGGTGAAGGTGGTGAAGCAACTGAAGGAATGTGCATAGTGCATGGCTGTGACCTTCCTTTCTTGAAAGTGCTGTTTAAATGATGGAATAATACATAAAATAAAATATATACTAATAAAAGGAATATAAAGTAGTTTCCGGGATATTTATTTCTTAATACTTTAGTTTTTCATTTGATATTTTAAAAATATTTTTGATACTTTGTTGCTTTGAATTTTCTATTAAGAAAGAAATGAGTAACAGGAATAAGAAAACTCTTATCCTAATAATAAAAGTAATAAATGATATTTAAATATTTTGATTAGGTTAATTCTTTAGTATCTAAGTTAAGTTTTCCTTCCATGTCTGTAGCTGTTCTATCATTCAAGAATCTTATATATTATCATTTTAAATTCCAACATATTTCTCTTATTACAATATAATTGAAATAACTTTATTAACGAACATTTGCATAATTAACTCAATTTCAAGACATACTTATGTTTATGCTCTCGACACCTGGCTGAACATGCGGTTTAATGCTTACTTATCCAGGTGGCTCCCCCACCCAAAGACGACACCCGATCCACAAACAAAGTCTCACTGCTGCTACTGTTGGGATGTTCATAACCAATAGAGCAGCAAATAAGTGTGTCGACGGCGGTGCATGTGATTCTGCCCCATTGCCATTGCTTGGCCATCATCTAAACGCTATCATACACCGAACACCTAACAACTAACTCAACCCACAGGGATCCAGAGATCCACAGAGCCAGAGAAGCATAGAGAACTACCGACCTGCCAACAACCTGCACCCAAACACATATCGAATAAAACTTTTACAGCTGTATAAAAATTACAAGGTCTTTGGCCATTCAGCAAATGGAATGGGATGGGGCTTGGGTTAGAGATGGGTTAGGGGGTGAGGAGGGGTTGTACAGAAGGAAAAGAATTTTTACTTTCGCTTTCCACATTGGGTCCGTCCTTGTCCTAGCCGGCTCGCCATTAAACTTTTCACGAACCGAACTGGGACAGTGAGAAGTGTGTAAAAAATCTAGTAACAACAGAAAAAGATGAAAGAAATAAATATAAAAGAATTACACCAAGTTTGTCAGTGTGTGTGTGTGTGGGGGGGTTAAGGGGGGTCTGTCTGTGTCTGGTGTTGCTGCTGTGCACACATGCACACTTACACACACACACACCTAGACGGGACAGCAGGACATATGTATGTTGGAATGGCCATACTCGTCTGTATGTCTGTAATGGCCAACCGTCTGGCCATTTGGCTCTGTGTATGGCTGTGTGTGTGTCTGTGTGTGAGTGTGGGCTAAGAGCTTCTGATTTTCCTATATACAATTATAATTTTATTGTATTTACTATTTTTTCGTTTCTTTGGCTTCGTATTGAACTCACTCACAGACACACATATACATTTACAGGGGCAATGCATGTGGCAAGGACACCAAGGAGGTTCAGATGAATGGGAGGGGGGCTTCAAGGGGGGGCCAGGAAAGTCTGGCAAATGGAGGTCAACGACTGAAACTAGTACTAATATGTGCAAGCGTTTGATAGCTCCATTCGTTTGTGCTAATGCAAAAAGAAATAAAACACATAAAAAGAGGCAACAAATAAAAATAAGAATTCCGTAGATAAAAGAAAAAGTTGCCTCAGTTCCGAACCCAATTGTGTTTGTATGTTTGTTTGTTTGTTTTTTTTTTGTTTGCTTGCTGGTGTATGTGTGTGTGTGTGTGTGACTGTCTGGGATGTTTCTCACACCGCAGTTATGTGTGTGCAAATAAACCATGTGTCTGCTGTAATTTTCGACCTGTTGGAACCAATGATCTATGTGGCTTTAAGCACTATTCCACCATATTATTGTGTGCTTTTGCTTATGATTACCCCGATTAATGTTATGCTACATTATTGCCTTGGAAAGGTTAGTAATCAATTGGTTAATCGTTGTGTAGACTCAAAACATAGAACTTCTACCAGGTTTTTACGAATCACAAATAGTTAAAGGCTCTTACTATATACGGTCCTTAAAGGACTTCTTTAATAACTAGAAAATTAAAGTGACCTTTGGGATTATTGTATTTCTAAGTAAAATTCTCTTATTTAATGTAGCTTCCTTTTTGGCAAAAATACTCCTTGACTGGTTGGTTTCCTTCTAAGAAAAGTGATGTACATCTGTTCAAAGTTTTATTCTTAAAAAGTGTTAGACTGCTATCCAAAAAAAACTATATTTTTAAAAGGTTAAGTTTGAGTATCATTCTAATGGTCAGTCAATAAAACCAAAATCTCAATCAATCTAGGCTTGAAACATTATTGAGACTCCTAATCACGAATAGTCTTAAGCTCTTTAAATTTATTTTTTTATAAATTAAAATAAGTTAATATACGGACAAGCTAACATATATATTTGTGAATACCGATATAGTAATACTAACTCTGATAAATACAAGAAACCAAATATTCTTTAAAAATTCTATTATTATAATACTTTAAAAAACATATAGTTCCAATTTTTAAGCTTTTTTTTAAGTTTCTTCGGAATGTATAATTATAATTAAAAATAACGTAAGCATTTAAATTCTTAATACTAAAAAAGTGTTCAATTTACCCTTGGATTTTGACCAAAACTTCAAAGCAAGTTTTTAGAATTAGTTTAAAATATATGTTTTTAATTTTAGAGAGCTTTGAGTTTGAGTGTTAAGAGTTTCAAGTCGAGAGAAATAAAAATTAAAAACTTAGAAAAGGTTATTATATATGTGACAAGAAAGCATATGCTTATAGACCTAAGGTCCCTTAAGATCAAGTATATGCTAAATATTATGAATAATATGTTGCATAAATCAAGGGGCGCGCATTACTGGCCTACCAAAACAGCACATATGGCAGTGCTTAAATAGCAACTACATGGAGGTATAGTTAAATAATAATTAAATATATCTGAAATCAGGAAATATTAAATATCATATTTTGTATAATCATTTTTAAGGTGTGCTCTAGGAAATGTATTTTCTTTATTTTATTTCTTTGTTATAGATATCTAAAATGTCTATTTAAAAAAATATCTAAAAATTGCGTAATAACTTATATTTGTAATGACAAACTAACAAAATATATATGGAAGGGTTTAATACGGACATATTAATGAACAATTTCTGGAATACCTAACTCTTTCATCTCCTAAATCCTATCATAAATTGACACCGATTAAATCAAATCAACCTTTTGTCTATAACTTGTTTTAAGTATTCACTAAATGACATTGACATATTTGTTTTTATTTTTTGACATCTAACTATTTATTTTTCATAAAACAAACTAGTTCATTTATAGTAAGGCTCTTAAGTCCTTCAAGTTTGGAAACTTTAAATAATAAAATATCAATTTTCTCAGAAGGTTTCAGCTTAAGCATCAATTTGTTTTTATTTTTTATTTTTACCTTCAACACATTTTTCCAACTTTTCTTAAGCCAAATATTTCAAACTTATAAAATCAAAAACACTTTATAACTTCTTCATCCACCAATTATAAACAATACTAACCTTTTAAGTAACTTCCGGGTCGAAAAGTGATCAAAGCCTTCTACCAGCGAAGGCGGGAGAAATTTGATATTAGATCTTAATGGGACCCGTTAGTACAGCTCTTTGCGTTTGTTTATTATTGTTCTCGTCCAGCGATAAATCAGTTATTAAACACGTTATTTAGTTCACATGGATAGCAGTTAAATGTAATTGTTTTGCAATTATATTAGAAGTAAGCACAATCGAACACTTATTATCGCGTTGCGATGCGATTTATTTACCGCTGCTGTGGCGTGCGAATTTTAGCGGCAGGACATGCGACAGGACATGCGGTGCGACCTCTCTCTCGCGCTCGTCGATGGATATTGTGACGGTGATATCTGTGACGCTGCGTCGCTGTGACGTGGCTGTGCGAACCTGAGCGGCTAAAGTGCGGCGACAAACTACCGCGGCGGACTTGAGTGAATTTTGATTTTAGCGCGGCGAATTTCCGCACGGCGACGACGACGACGACGGTGGCGGCGGCTGCGACGGCGACGACGTCACGGGAAATTTAAAGTCGCACGTCCACGAAATGCGGCGTTTCGTTCTCACTCACACACACACACGTCGAGAATGGTGGTTGTGTGCTGGTCAGTTTGGCCTGGTATTAGTAGTTGTAGTTGTAGTCGTTTTTGTTTCTTTTACGTGGCCGTAGGTGTGCGTGAGTCGCTCTCTCTCGCTCGCGCTCTTTGATTTTGCTATAATATACCTCTCTCCCTCTCTCTCTCTCTCTCTTTTGCTTCCTTCGTTCTCTTTCACTCCCGCTCTGTTGCGAAATTCGCGGCCTTTTTCGGTGACAGCCAAATGTACAATGATTAATAACGGCCAAGACGGCGGCGAAGAAGTCCTCTCGCTTTGGCTTCCCCGTTCGTTTTGCTTTTGGCCTTTTCGCATTTTCGCATTTTGGCATTTTGGCCGGCCCAACCACAGGCCAGTGTCCACTCACAAATACACACACACATAAATTGGCACGCACACCCTCACAAGAGCTCACACACTCACATCCGCTGAGTTGTGTGCAACGAAGACGACGCAATACTCGTGCTAGGCTTTTTGAGATTGAGAGACGCACATCCTTTTCGGCCTCCTTTCTTGCGCCCACGTGTGTGTGTGAGCACAGAGAGAAAAAATGGGATGTTGTAGTTGAAAAAATGCATATTTTTATAAATGCAATATTCTAGACAGAAAAGTCTAAAGTTTAAGTGCTGAATGGGTGATCAAATATCATATTATCTATAACTTAAATGATCCAAAAGTAATAAAAAAAATCAGATTATTTTTGTGTAATAAAGAACTTTCTTTTTATTTTAATTTCATAAAAGTATCTTTGTAATGTAATGTATAAAAATAGTATATTCCAATGAATAATTTGTTTTTAAACTATTTATTAATAAGTACAAAATTGGTGATAGAAACGCCCTGCTGATGTCATTTTTATACTCAAGAATTTTCTCAGTGCAACAGTTTGTGTAACCTCAGGAGGCATTTGCTTGCGTTTAGCCAAGCCATATTCTGCCTTCCTTAAATGCCAGAGAACTACCAAAATAAGGATCTGCGAGAAGAACGTGGAAAACGTAGCCAAAATCCTTGTCTAATTTTCGCAGTAGGGGTTCCATTTTATCGCCGCTGATAATTCTGTTAGTTTTCCCGCTGTCATGTGCTGCAGTTGTTGCTGTTTTTATTGTGGCCAGTTTTTCTCGCTTTGTTTTGATACATGCCTTCATCGCAGATTACTTGGCTCGCCTCTCTTTCGCGCCCATTTTGGCAGAGAGTCCTGAGAGCCAAAGAGCCGTTTCCTTAAGAGATTGAGAGACAGCGAGAGAGAGAGAGACAGATTGGGAGAGCAAGAATGGACAGCTGGGCAGCTTTCGTGTTCGGCTTTTTGCCGCACGAATCATGTTTTGGCGGCAGGAGGTGCTAACCCCACGGGGAAACCCCCCTTTGGGAATCCCCCTGTTTGAAAACAAGGCGAATCCATAGAGCGGCTTTCTTCGCTCTTTTCGCTGGAGCGTGACCAGGTGATCGTCGAAGGAACCGGAATTCTCGAACGATCTCTCGATGGGAAAGTATATTGGTACATATTCCAAGATATATACAGATATAGTGGTTGCTATTTAATCGACTTCTTCAGACAAATTGCTGTGGCTTACAAACGTCAGTTGGCGAAGTAATTAAATGGATATCGAACTAGGTATATGCTAATATCAACTGCTGTAAAGGGGTAATAATAATGATGTGGGCTTATTATTAGTTGTTTTATTTAATTAAAATAAAATTTCGTAGGTTAGTATTGGAAAAGGTGATAATTTAAGGGAAATTGTTGAGATTATGGATATATAATTAATAAAAAAGCCATGTAATATGTAACATTCTTAATCCCTAAAACGACACAGAAACCATTATTAACCATTCAATTTTAAATACAATTGAAATAAGACTATGCATAAAGACATAAACATACTTATAAAGCCAAACTTGAAAGGAATTTAACTCAGTTTCTAGCACTCTAAATTCATTTAGAACATCAGAGTTTCCTCATAGCTCTTAAATGATAGAATATATATTAACATTTCAAGCTTGTTTGATGTAAGTTATTATTGAAAACTCATAGATAATGATTAAACACAGAGGCTTTTCCTCATAGGTCATCTTCAACATTCCATTCAGAGACAAGTTTGAAAATGTATTTTGATTAGTTGTGAGAAATGAAAATCCTGGCAAGTATTTGCACCATCTTGGGATATCCCGGAGATTACGATCTTATATAATGTGTGTACACGCATAGGCATTTGAGGTCGTAGACTTTATAGTTGCTATGCAAAACATTTGCGCAGAGCACACACACACACACACACACACATACACAGACACTAATACATATACATCTCTGTATTTCCCTATTGTATCTGGCCAACGAAGGCGTCCACTGACCATAATAACAACAACAATAACAACTAGAACAACAACAATGGCAACGAAAAAGACAGCAGCAGTGTCGCCAGAGTTGCTAGTTGCTGCCTTTCGGGAAATCGCTAAGAAAGGTTTTTGAATCCATGTCCAAAACGCACAACCACACGCACTCGCACACACACACACACACACACACGGGCAGAGGGCCCAAAGATATAGTATAGTCATAGTACATATAAGTAGAGGCGTATACACAACAAGGAGCAACAATAACGCAGGACTACGGAATACGGAATACGGACAGCGGACGATGGACGGCGGACTACGGACTTCAGACTACGGACTACCGACTATGACCACGAGTACAGATGGCCGGCATGGGGCCGCATTGGCAAGAAACATATCCTTGCCACTAAAAAGCCAAGCAGCCTGCCCGGGTCGCTTCATTTCGTCACACATACACATAACCAGGACTCACTCATACACACTGGTCACTCATACACACACACACATACACTCAAGCAGTTTGGCAACACGCTACCCACACAGACGCACATTCTTCTTAGCATCCGCAGGCACATCAGCATCTTTAGCGTAAATTTTGCTGCTGCGAAAATTTAGAGTTGTTGCTTTATGCCAATGTGCGTGCTAGTGTGTGAGTGTGTATATGTGTGTGTTTTTGGGTATATATACTTCAGATTTTCATCGGCCAACCTAAAAACCCCCTACCCCTTCTTATCCTGACGAAACCCAAACCCAACCCGTCCAACCAACCAACCGACCGATTGTCCATTGTCCATTGTGTCCACCAAGGCAACATTTTCCATTTTCGTTCGTCCTCTCTTTGGCCGCCGGACTTTCTCTCATATCTGCAGCTCCTTGCCAGCCGCCTTCGTCCTAGTCATCCATCCATCCACCCACCCACTGGCCACCCCCTCAGATGGTCAAAACCCCATTTTCTGGATGTGTGTGTTCTCTGTATGTGTGAGTGTGCGAGATGCCTTAATGTTGCTGCGTGTGTGTGTACAATTACGAATTCGTCGTCCTCGACTAAACTCAATTCACTTTCTCCCCGACTCTGGCAAACCCGCGTCGTTGTCACCGTCGTCCTGCGATGTCCTTTCACCCTGCCTCCCCACACCCTCCTCTAGCCTCCACTCAACCCCTCATGTCACACCTCCGGATGGCGAAGGAAATTTTCGCGTGAATTGAAAGATGAAGGCGCACTGGGCCTGGACCTGGACGCTGGTCACCCCCCGATTGTTGGTTATATGTACACGCATTGAGGTCCTTGTTTATTTCAGTGTGTGTGTGTGTGTGTGTGTTCGTGTACATATGCTAGAAGACGTGTGCGCTTGATTTTCAGCACCCATCTAACAAACGCCCACCCGCCCTGGGAATCTGCATCCTCTCACATTGTCTTTGTATAACTGTTCCTAAAACAAAATTTTCAGTTTTGCCTTCAAAAAGATAAATGTGTGTACACGGGTTTTCCTATGTATGTGTTTCTTTTGGATATTTGTGTGTGTGTGTGTTTCTCTTGGCTACATGTACACTGGGATATATTCTTAAATGCCTACTTGATTGCACATTGGCTTAAAGTCGATTTTGTGCCTATATCAATCAACTCATCGATCATTTATTTTGATTTCGATCACTATCAGTTCAGTTTTTGATTCTCATTTGGTTAGCAGTTTGAAATAGAATTGATATTGATGGTTATCAAGGATTGGGAAAATATATATCACCTGGACTAGGAATAAAATGTGTTCTTAAATATTTCTTAAATATTTATTACTTCTGTTATGGCTTAACTTTAGGTTTTTGATATCATAATGTATATAATATGAATACTGCTTTCCGATATGAAGTATGGAAAATCCACAACCAGTTTTCGATTTAAGATTAATATTCATTTTACCATACTGAAACCCATCATGACACTGTAAAAAATACCATATTATGTTAGCCTAACAAATATTTCAAAAATATATAAATTCTATGCAAAACATTCTGATTTCAATGAAAGATGAGGTTGTTCCCATTGAATCCACCTGATTTCATGTATTGCAGATATACTTGCACTGGTCAAGCCGAGCATCGTCGCCTGGAGACTGTCTAATCCGTTGTCCGCAATCCTGCTGACCTGGGCGGTCCTGCAAGATGCCCGGTCTCGCAGTTCTTTCCTACCTAACCCAACCCAAAACCCAACCCATCCTGCCTCCTTAGCCATTATCTGCAGTTTTGTCTAAGCTAAGGCGATTTGAACAGACAAAACCGCAGCTCTCGCAAGTTGTTTGGACCCAGTTCGTCCTTTCGTCCTGTATTCCCTTCCCTTTGGGTGGGTTTTCGCTGTGCACTCGTGGTATTCTATTTTGTGATGCTGCCATAGCTGCTGCTCCTATGTTCCTATGATTTGCATATTCGAGCTCGTAGCTCCTTTGTTTTAATGCGCCTCCACCCCTTTGGTCCTGAGTCCTGGCTCTTTTGTCAGCAGCATTTACCTGAGAGTGTGTGTGTCTATGTGTGTGCTAGGAGTGCGAGTGTGTGTGAC